CTTTTCCTCCCTTCCTTCATGAACATAGTGTCAGTGTACAAAGATGAGTAGTGATCAACAAAGACGTATAATTGACTACCAATTAGAACAATTTAATCGAGATTGATGTCAACAATCAATAATGAAACGAAAATTTTGAAGTGAGTAGCTAATAACTAAGAAGTTATTTTAGACTATAAACATTAAAAATATTGATAACTCGAGTGAGCAAACGAGTTATTTAGCCAAAAACTATAGCCAAACAGGTCAGGATTTTGGAAAAAGATAAGACCACCCAGTATGGGGGTGGAAAGAAGGAAATGAATGATAATTTTGGCGGGGATGCAGTGGGGTTGGGGGGAAATAAATGAGTGTGTTTTTTCCCACAACACAACAAAAAAGGGGGGAAGGAGTAGGGGTGGCAGTTCGGTTACCGGTTAACCGACTGGTTCAACCGATAACCGAAGTAACTGAACTTCGATATGTTTGAGGAGACTGGACGAAATGATTTTTTGTCTTAAAAGTGGTTCGGTTAACCGATAACCGAGATAACCGAAAAACCGAAGTTTATTTCGTGCGGTTTTCTGTAGAAAGAGTGGTTGTTTCGGTTAACCTATAACCGACCGATCGATTACCGGTTATAACCGAACTGCCACCCCTGGGAAAGAGGAGGGGAAGTGGGATGGCATGTCGGGCCCGCGATGACTGTTTTTTGGATTACTTATTTTTTTTTTGTTTTCTGTTGCTTTTAGTACTCCTTTTTCGTTCTAGTTTGATTTTTTTTAAATCTTAGATTATTTTAAATGCGATCTAACGATCATAATTATTGTGATGAGTCATGGTCTTCTTAAATATTATTGTGATTTTGTCATTGATGACGTTATATTTAATTAACGATGAAAAAAATTATTTCCAAATTAAAAAAATTATATCACAATGTTCCTCTAATTAATTATTACTACCTTTATAAAAAACAATCAAACTATTTAACTAAAATGAAAAATTCAATACTAAATTGATTTTAACAAAAAATACCCCACGTTTCCCTCCCAACCCATTGTGGGGTTTCCTACCCCAAAACCCAAAAAACTCACATTTCCCCCCTCAACCCACCAATTTTATCCTACCAAGTATCAACCATACTGGATGGTCTAAAATAGAGAAAAAGTAGAGGATCCAAAGAGAGTGTGGTCCCACAATTTAATAGATTCACTCACTTTCATTTTTTTCTCTCTTTTTTCTTCTCTCTTCGTCTTAGGTGATAATATTGGTTCAGATGCTCTAACTACTTCTTCAATGCTTTTAAATACTTGTTCGATACCTATTAATACGTGTTCATTTGTGTAGAATATTTGTTGGCCTCAGATATAAGAATACTAGTTCGACACTTTTGAATATTTGTTCGATGTCTTCGAATACTTCTTCAATGTTTTTAATACTCGTTCGACGCGTTTGATCTTCGGCGATTTTAAATACTCGTTCGACGCCTATAAATACATATTCAAAAGGGACGAACTAGTATTCAAAAGCTTCCAACTAATATTGCCTTTGAATACTTCTTTGGGGGAAAATCTCCGCCGCATCTCTCTCTCTAACTTTATTTCAAAATTTGCTCTCATCCCTCTCTACCTTTCCCCTCTCCGTAAAGCTTCCCATGGCTGCCGCCGGCATCTCTTGGTGACCGGCGGTAGCCCATCCTCTCTCCTTTCTTCCTACTTCCTATATTTGCTTCCTTGTCTTTGATTTTGATGTTTTTCACTCTACTTTTCCAGCTTTCAAGCTTTTCAAGCCATTCTTGGCATTTTATCCCCTGTTCTAGGGTATTTTGTTGGGATTTGCTCTCCTTTGGGGTTGGGTTATGCATCTTGGGTCTTCTCTCATGATGGTCGGTTTATCAGCTTTTGTGGTGAATCGATTCTCTGGTTTTCCCCTTCGTTCTTCCCAGGTGGTTGTTCTGCATCTAGGTGGCCGACGGAGGATGGATTGCAGAGTCTAGCCTTGCTGCTCGTGGGTTCAGTTCTTTGATATGGGGATCTGGGTTCTTCTGTTTCCCTTGACCAAGTCTTGGAGCCTCGTCTTCCCCTGCCTCTTCAGCTCGGAGCATTTCGATCCTCATCTCTGTCCACCACCATGTAATCTCTCACCCGTGATTCACTGTGTTGAGCGTCTTTGAGCGACTCCCAGGAGGCGGCTTATGACATTGTGTTCAATCGTCATGGACTCGGTCGGATCGGACGAGCTGATTGCGCTTGGTGCTACTTCGTTTGTTTTGATTGCAAGAGAGCTTTCAGTGTTTACTGCTTCTAGTTCAAGTGTTTCAGATCCTTTGTTGGATGACTCCTTCTGAGTTTTGTGCTCTTCTTGTTGTATTTCTAAAGCTCAGATTGAGCACCTATGTGCTTTTGTCTTTCTGTCCTTGTTCTATTTTTGGTTTGCTTTGTTGGTTCTCTTGTAATTGATCATTCAAAGTGCAATGCAAGTATTCCCTTTGTAAAAAAAAAAAATACTTCTTTGGCGCTTTTAGATATTGGTTCGACGCCTATGCATATGTATTCAAACGGTTCGAACTAGTAATCAAAAGTTTTCAACAAACAGTTTTCAACAAATATTCACATCTCTGAGACCAACAAATATTATACACAAATGAACACGTATTAATAGATATCGAACAAATATTCAAACGTGCCACAAATATATTCAAAGTATTTGAACCAATATTCTCATCTTTGAAATGAAAAGATTGGAAGAAAGGAAAAACATGAAAGAAAAAAGTGAGTGGACATTAAATTAAAGAAATGTGGGACCAAATCACTAAAAAAAGTATCTAACTCTATCTTTTTCTTGCATAAACCCATCTTAAAAACATCTAATTCTAGCCCTTCAAATTACACAGGCATTAACGTAGCGTAACACTCTCTCTACCTTTCCCTTTTTGAAAGAAGCTCTGCCTTCTCTCTTCTTCCAGCCTTCCGTTTCTGAACCCGGGGGCTGCTGTCGGCTCCTTTTAGGTGACCGGCGGTAGCGCAAAGCTTTTTATTTTCCTGCTTTTGTTTCCTTTTCATGCTTTGGTGATCTTGCCTGTTTCCTGGGCAGTTTTCAAACGGATTTTCAGCGTTTCTGGCTTTCAGTTTTATCCTTTCCAGTCGAGCTAGGGCTCTTCTTTCAGATCTTGGTTCTTTGTTCTTGGGCTTGCTCGTCGTAGGAGCTGGAGACTGCAGCTTGGGAGCCTCGTCCAGATCTGGATGGTGGGGTTGTCCCCCGTTGGTGGCCTCATCTTCAAGGTGAAGCCATTCCCTTCTTTCCCTCTCCGACCTCCCTAGGTGTCTGAGTGGCTTGGTGAGCTGTCGGATGGTGGTGGGTTGGGTCTTCTCCGGTGGTTGCGGTTGGGATTCAGTGTCTTCGTGGAGGGTTGTGGCAACCTTGGGAGCTTCTGCTCTTCTTCGAACCTGATATCTCTGCCTCGGCCTCCTCTGCCTCTTCAGCTTGGAGCAATCTGGTTATATCCTCTTCCACCGCCATGCAGTCTAGTTTCTAGATTCACTGTGATGGATGCCTTTGAGTTTTCCCCAGGAGGCGGCACATGGAGTGATGATGTTCAACTACCATGGATTTCGATATGATCGGACAAGCTGATTTGGTTTTGTTGCACTTTGATTGGTTGTTTGATAGAGAGATTCTTGATGATCTGTTTTCGGTCAAGGGTTTTGCTCTTTCCGGATGGTTGATTGCAGACTGTGTTTTGTTCTCTGTTGCTGCATTTTGTCATTCACAGTTTTGTTTGTAACCGGATGCCTTTGGGCTTCCTCTTGTTGGAACCAAATTGTGGGACGGGATACGGTGACAACCCCTAAGGGGGTTGTCAGATTCACAACCCACTTCATAGCCTTCGATACGTTCTCTCTACTGTTTTTTTTTCTTTTTTTAAATTAACGGTTAAGATTAAAGGAATGGTATTTTTGGAAGGGTAAAAATTTACCACACCCAATCATTCACCCTACCATATAAAAAGAAAAAAACCCTAACTCCTTCCTCCATCCTCCCTCTCTCTCTCCCGTAGCCATCTCCACCGTCGGCGTCGACGCCCCTCCGCCTTCAACCGCATCTCGTCACCTCCGCCTTCAGCCGCATGTCGGCGCCCCTTCGCCTTCAACCGCCTTCAGCCGCCTGTCGGCGCCCCTCTCGCTGCCCTTCGTCCCCCACCACTGCCGCCGTCGCGAGGTCACCCTCTTCCCCTACCTCTCTCCCGTCACCGACTCCCCTTTTCTAGATCTGGTTTTTTAGTGGTACCATTTTTTTTTTCTGGTAGCGTACCAGTGATAGTGGTACCAGTGATAAGGTAGCTGGTAGTGGTAGCGTACCACTATCATCTGGTACCACTATCATGTGTTTTTTTGTGTTATTCTCTACTGGTATCGCTACCAATGCTAGTGGTAGCGCTACCAGTGCTAGTGGCACATTTATTCTCTACTGGTACCGCTACCAATGGTAGTGGTAGCGTTGTACTGGTAGCGTACCACTAGTACTGGTACATTTTTTAACGCATTGGTAGCGTACCACTAGCACTGTTATATTAATTACCAGTAGATTAATGGATTGGTACACTTTTTAACGCACTTGTACATTTTTTCAGGTTGCCGGAGGGAGTCTGCCGGAGAGAATTCGCCGGAGAAAAAGTATGTCCGTCGATGCGGAGTGGCCGCTGGAGAAAGGAAGAGAGAGATAGATAGAGATATTAATGTATATGATTTTGTTTGAGCCCGGGCGACTGAGCGTCACTCGGGTCCAAGGGGTTTGGGGCGTCAGCCATGACCTTGAAGGGGTAGGCGCCCCGCCTCGTCCGAAACAAGAAAAGAGAAGGAGTGTATAGAGAGAGGAAGTAGAGAGAAGTAGTAGTAAGAGTAGATTGATTGCCATTTATGAGGAGAGAACTCCTATTTATACACATTTGAGGGTTAGGTAGTGGTCTGGGCGCCTGCCAAGCCATAAATGCTCTGGTCGGGCGCCTCAGACTCTCTGACACTGTTCATAGTCCTTTTGGCAGAGGGTGTCCCCCTGCCCCTTGTCCTTGCTGATGTCAGGTGCCTGGGCTTGTCTCTTGTCCCCCAGCCTTGTCTTTTTCCTCTTGTCTTCTTCCCTTCTCCATGTCATTAGCCATGGCAACTACACCTAAGCTTCCTTTCTCCATGTCATTAGCCATGGTATTAATTCCTTAGTCACTATGATACCCTATCAATTGCCCCTTTTGGCAATGGCACAAATAGTGTGGCATCGGCAAACAAGTATGCTCTAAAAAAGGTCTAAAAAATAAAACTGAAATGAAAAGCAAAAGTAAAAATAAAAAATAAAAATAAAAATAAAAATGAAAATGAAAATAAAAACAAAAAGCAAAAAGTAAAAATGGAAATGGAAATGAACCTAGGGAAGAACAAAGAAAATACCCCCCCGAAATAGAAATAAAGAATACGAATACAAAAAATGCAAATTTGCAGAGATAACTCCTCTAAAATCGTGGGGGTTTTGATAAAATTTTAGGGGAGGATGTGAAGGCGCTACCCGCAACAGACTACTTGTGGTGGCAGTGGGCCAAACCCACCAGCAGGCTTAGGATAGGCCCATTTGAGGGGAGAGTGGATGGGTTGGGCTTTAAAGAATAGCCTGTATTGGGGAACGCGCACTCTCTCCTCCTCCCCCTATTTAAACTCGCGTGTCACTTCACCCCCCTTTTTTTTTATTCGGCCGCCCCTCTCCTCTCTTCCTCTTTTCCTTTGCTGCGAGTTGCTCTCCTCGGCGCCTCTTCCCCTTCTTTCTCGGCGCCTTGCCTCCATCAGTTCGGCGCCTTCTCACTGCTTCCTGGCCGGCGCCTCTGCTTTATTAGGTAAGCGCCTCTCCTTCTTTCCACGATTATTGCTTGATTGTTTGGTTCATTGTTTGGGGGTCGGCGCCTCTGTCGCTTTTGCTTCCTTGGTTAGTTGTTTGAGGTAGGCGCCTCTCCTCTTTTTCATTGGTACTTTTGAAATTTTTTGTTTTGATGCAGGCGCCTTGAGTCCTATCTCAGGCGCCTTGGATTATTGCTTGATTTGTTTGTAGATTCCTAGTTTCGGCGCCTTTCAATTTTTGTTTTGTGGTTTTGATGCAGGCGCCTTGGATCCTATCGTAGGCGCCTTTATTTGTTGTTTGATAGTGGCGGCGCCTTTGTAAAAAATTTTTTGAGAATCTTTCCTTCACAGGCGCCTTGGATTGTTGCTTGGTTTGTTATGCCTTCGAGTCTCGGCGCCTTTTGAATCTTGCTTTGATGCTTGATGGAGGCGCCTCGGCCTTTTGTTAGGCGCCTTTGTTATATCTACTTTTGTTGATCGTCTAATCCTTGTTGTATTGGGCATCCGCGACTTGCTCTGTTTCAGACCTCTATTTCAAGGCGTCGAAAGCGCCTACCCACGCATAGTCACGGGAGGCGACATCGGTTTTTTTCCCGCGTGCTACCGGATTAGGCGTTGTACACAGTTCTCTTCCAGGATTCATTTCGCCGCTCATCGCTCTCTTATGGCTTCCCATAATTCTCAACCTCCTGCCTCTAAGAAAGGAAAGGAGAAGGCTTCTTCAAGCAAAGTCAGGAAGATGGGTAAGCTATGCTCTCTCTATTTTGTTAACTTTTAATATCGTGTATTTGCTGTTTGGGAATCTTAGTGGATTAAAACAGTGTACAGACGGTCCAAATGGAGACTTACCGAGATTGCTAGTGACATCGAGGATGATCAATCGTATACCCGTCTGGAGGCGCTTACTGAGGATGATACGTCAAGTGCGGACCCCGACCCTGGCACGTCTTGTTCTCGAACGGTTACTGATTCAGGCTATACTATTTTGCCATGGCGGGGGATGTGGGGTGGTGAGGCGCCTCCTTCCTCGGCGCGCCTACTAGGTCCTGACAAGCGACCCAGCATTCAACTGCATCGCGTTGTATCTTATATCCGCGGTCTGGGTTATCCTACAGACTGGGGATATGCGGTTCCGGATCGCAGTGCTCGCATCGGGAGTTGCCCCGAGGGTTGGTTTGCGATTTACTCGGAGTATCTGAAGTGCGGTTTGAAGTTCCCCTTGGATCCCATCTTATCGGGTATTTTGGAGATGGTTAGGTGTCCTCTCAGCTTTCTGTCTCCTTCGCTTATCTTTCACACCTGCGCCTTCAGGCTTATCTGCAAGCGCCTAGGCTACATCCCTTCATTTTCTATCTTCCGTAGCATATATGCCTTGGAGCGGGGTAATCATGGTTGGTCGGTCGTGAAGCGTGATAGTAAATACCAGGGACGGGTTTGCAAGGGATCGCCTAAGCTCCCTAGCAAATGGTATTGCTCTTACTTCTTTATTAGGCCGACTCCCGGTACTTGGCATGCACCGACTTCGGTGCCTCTCGAGACTCTGTGGGGTGAGGGTTCGGAAGAAACGTGGGCCAAGGATTTTACCCTTGAGAAGCCTGAGCGGGAACAGAAGCACCACATTCTTCGTGCGCCTCCCGTGGATTTTGGGAAAAAAGGGGAGAGAGCACGCGCCTTGGGAGAACTTTACGATCATGGTATACTTCTTTCGAATAATTTTATTCTATCTCCCAACTTATGGTATTTGCATAACTCTTTTTTTTGCAGATTTTGACTACTCGAGCCTGGCGAAGATGGCGAAGAAGACTCCTGGCGCCTCCGGAGTCAGGGCGCAGAAGGCGCCTAGCACCCCTGCCGAGCGAACTCCCCGCTCATCTGGTAAGGCGCCTGCCGACATCGAGGAGGCGTCTCCTCGATTGTTTCCTTCCTTGGGGTCCTGCGACCCTCTCCCAGAGAAGACGTTAGGCAAGCGCCATGCTTCGGCTGACTCTCCTGCTGCGGTTCCGAAGAAGAAGAACAAACCAAGTCTTGGGAGCATTGATGAGATATTGGCACCTCCTCGCTCGCGACGTGCCGTAAAGCCGAAGGAGCCTGTTCTAATCTCTCCTTCTGCTGCCCTCAATGCTCCAAACGCCTTTACTTCGGCCGTGGAGTTGAAGAACTTCCTGAAGTCTCCCCTCGACGAGGGTATCTCTCCTGCAGGCTCGGCGTGCCAGCACTTGTTCCAGGTATGCTCTTACACACCCTACTATTAGTGAATCATGCTTCGTTACTAATCGTTGTTGTTTCTTGCTTAGGCGATGCTTGATGTGGTTACGCTTTCTGACAAGAGTGCGGAGAATCGAGACCGCGCCCATAAAAACTTTTTGCTGACTTCTCAGTTGAAGACTGACAAGATCACTCTCCAAGGCATTAACTCTCGCCTGGAGGATGAGTTGGCGTCGGTGAAGCGGCAGCTTTCGGACGCCTTGGCTGCTGAGAGTGTCTCTGCTCGTGAAGAGAAGGAGAAGGAGCTGGCATTCCAGGCGAAGCGAATTGAGGCCTTGGAGAAGGAGCTGCTGGCAATGTCTGCCGCTAGGGGTCACCAGAAGGTAAGTTCTCTTGCTGGCTTTTGTTGCTGTCTCCCTTCATACGAGCTAAGCGCGTAAACCCTTTCTTTCAGGAGGAATTCAAGAAGAGGTTGATCAAGGAGCGTGAAGATGCCGTAGATGCCCACCTGTCATCAGCAGAGTTTCGCGAGTGGCAGCGGAACCTTCTGCTTGGAGTGAAGAAGAGGGCCTTCATCGGCATTCGCAAGAAGGTCCGCTCCGATAATCCTGGCATGAAGTGGGATACTCCGGAGGTCTGGCAGGCTATGGATGATTACTTCCTCTCCCTTGGTACGGATAACGAGCCTTCCGACTCGGACCCGTACCCCCTGGATGAGGGCGATTCTTCTGCCGACGACATGGAGGTTGACGTCGAGAGGGTTGGGGAAGAGGAAGTGGGTGACAACGTCGAAGCTGCCCTTGATGCTATTGCTGGTGCCGGGGGAGGTGATGGGGACATGGTTGCTGTCGACGGTCAGGGTGGTGCCTCAGATGGTGGTACTGATGGTGACTCTAGCTCGTCCGACAATCATTCGAGCAAGTCGGACTAGTAGAGTCGGGATGTTTTTCTTTTCCTCGTTTGTCTGGACTCTGTCAATTTCATGTATCTTCTGCTTATTTCTCCGTTGCATGTCTGTGGATGTTTAGCCTTTGGGCTGTTATTTTTAACAATGTTATCGGCAAGTTTTCCATTTTCTTGGACTTGTTGTGAATGTTGTTTTTGTTTCGCCATATATTCTTTTAAGAAGAAGTAACGCGTCTAGGCTTCTCCTCAACGGAGGAAGCAAGCTCTAGGTCTCTTCACACGCATTCTTGAGAAAGAAGTAACGTGTCTAGGCTTCTTCTCGACGTAGGAAGCGAGTTTTGGGTCTCACGTATTCTTGAAAAAGAAGTAACGTGTCTAGGCTTCTTCTCGACGAAGGAAGCAAGTTTTGGGTCTCCCATGCGTATTCTTGAAAAAGAAGTAACGCGTCTAGGCTTCTCCTCGACGGAGGAAGCGGGTTTGGGTGACCCCTTCTGCCGAGGCAGGCATTTTTGCGAGGGATATCAATTTTATCGCCTCTCATGGGGACTCGTACAACGAGCGCCCGATACTTGGATGAAAACCAAGTGTAAGCATTGGAGCTCCTCCGACGGTCTGCGGGAAGGCTATCTTGAGCCGTGTCCGATTTTTCTTACGTGTACTCCTGAAAAGGAGGTGACACGCTTGGGCTTCTTCTTGACGGAGAAACCGAGGTGGCGAAGACTCTACCTGCTGAGACAGGAACAACTTTGCTTTGCTGAATCTCCATTCCTTTGGCCAGATAGGGGATTACCTGGGGTACTGCCAGGGTGTGTCCCTTTACCCGAAAATTCCGAATATTACAAATTAAAACCGAACGAAAGGGACTCTATTAGGGTGTCTTTGGGTTACGCCCTTTTGAAAGCGTCCCTCTTCCCTACAAAAAATGTCTACCTTTGAAGTAAAGCAAAAAGAAAACAACACTTGAGTCTTCCTTAGGGTGTCTTCGGGTTACGCCTCTTTGAGAGCGCTCCTCCTCCCTACAAAATGTCAATCTTCCGATTACTCCTCCTGTGCCTCTTGCTCGCACACGTACTTTCTCAGATGCCTTGCGTTCCAGGTTTTGCTAACGCGTTCTGCTTCCATGGTGGCGAGCTTGAAAGTACTTGGTCCTATCACTTCCCTTACGACGAAAGGTCCCTCCCATTTAGCAGCCAACTTTCCATGATTGGGGTTAGGGCGAAATACCTTTCTCAACACAAGGTCTCCCTCTTCGATGTGATGGGGCTTCAGTTTTGAATTGTAGTATTTTGCCAGTTGCTCCTTGTCTTCTACCAGCTTCCGAAGTGCTCCTACCCTTCTCTCATCTAGCATGTCTAGTTCATGAGCCATGCTGACATTGTTTCCTTCGTTGAAATATTGAACACGCAGGGTGGGCAACGCAACTTCCGTGGGAGTCACCGCTTCCGCGCCAAAAGTTAGGGCGAATGGAGTTTCACCCGTAGAGCTCTTTGTGGTGGTGCGTAGTGCCCATAGTACATGGGGGAGTTCCTCTACCCAATTTCCTTTATGCTCTTGGAGACGCTTCTTGAGTCCTTGAAGTATGGTTTTGTTTGCTGCTTCCGCCTGTCCGTTCGCTTCTAGGTATGCCACGGATGAGAGCTTGAGCTGGATACTGTATTCTTGACAAAAGTCTGCGAAGGATGTGCAGTCAAACTGCTTGCCATGATCAGTGACGATGGAATTGGGAATGCCGAATCGCGCAAGTATGTTGTTAAAGACGAATCTTTCGACTTGTTTCGCCGTGATAGTGGCCAATGGCTCAGCCTCGATCCACTTCGTGAAGTAGTCTACTGCCACGATAAGGTATTTCCTTTTTCCCGAAGCTTTGGGGAAAGGTCCTACTAGGTCCATTCCCCATTGGGCAAAGGGCCAGGGGCTGACGTTTCCTTGCATTGCCGTAGCTGGGAGGTGGTGTTCTTTGGCATGGGTTTGGCATGCATGACATGCCATAGCGAGTTGCTTCGCATCATTTCTCATGGTTGGCCAGTAGTAACCTTGCAATTTAACCGTTCTTTCCAAGCTTCTCGTTCCCCCATGTCCACCACACACGCCCTCGTGAATCTCACGGAGAGCCCACTTTGCCTCAGCCTTTCCCAGACACCTAAGGTATACTCCTTCGTACGACCGTCGGTGTAGCTCCGAGCCGATGATGGTACAACGCGCCGCTCTCCTTCTTACTCCCGTGGTCTCTTTCGGATCTGTTGGAAGGGTATCGTTCATGAGGTACTCAACGATTGGCACCGTCCAATCCTGCTCTTCCTGACCGACATTAACACTATTCACCCCCATTCTAGGGGTGCTTGGGCTTTCCTTTTCGACAATTACATGTCGCTCCTCCTCAAAGTCAACAGCGGTAGCTAGCTTGGAAAGCGCATCTGCATGCGCGTTATCCCCTCGTGCTATATGGGATAGTTTCCAATCCTCGAAAACTTGTGCTCTCTTCTTTGCCTCTTCCACATAGCGCAGCAAACAATCTTCCTTGACTTCGAATTCTCCCAACACCTGTCGAACCACCAATGCGGAGTCAGAGAAAACATCTAGGCGTCTTGCCCCTAACTCCTCCGCAATGCGCATGCCGTTGATTAGTGCTTCGTATTCGGCCGCGTTGTTGGTCTTGAGTATCGAGAATCGCAAGGCTACTTCGTGTGTGACACCACCCGGTGTTTCCAAGACTATGCCGGCGCCTGCACCTGTCTTACTTGCCGCTCCATCAACGAACAGTTTCCATCTCCCTTCATCGGTTCCTGCAGGCTCGATCGTACCCTCTGCTACGAAGTCTGCCAGGATTTGAGCTTTGATGGAAGGGCGAGGAGCGTATTGTATATCAAACTCACTTAGCTCAACTGCCCATTTAGTTAAGCGTCCTGAAGCACTCGTACTATGCAGAATTCTTTTCATTGGTAGGTTGGTCAGTACGGTAACCGTGTGCCCTTGAAAATAGGGTCTCAGCTTTTGGGCAGCAGTTACCAATGCCAGGACTGCCTTCTCAATGATTGGGTACCTCCTTTCAGTTGGTAGGAGCGTTTTGTTGATGTAGTATACTGGCTGGTCCGCAAGAGTTTCAGAGTGGCGCCTGACGAGCACCGCACTGATAGCTACGTCTGATATGGCTATGTAAAGGAACAAACGCTCTCCCTCTTGCGGGGCCACAAGGATAGGGGGGTTCACCAGCAAAGTTTTCATCTCCTCGAATGCTTTCTCACATGCTTCCGTCCATTTGAACTTGGATTTTTTCTTTAGAGAATTGAAGAGGGGGGCGCACCTATCCGCTGACCTCGGAATGAATCTATTGAGCGCGGTGAGTTTACCTGCTAATCCCTGAACTTCCTTTACTGTCCTTGGTGACTTGAGTTCGGCAATTGCCTTTATCTGCTTCGGATTGGCCTCAATACCGCGGCGAGTGATCATGAAGCCTAAGAATTGACCCGCACCTGCCCCGAACACGCACTTGAGGGGGTTAAGCTTCAGATTGTGACGCCTCAGGTTCTCAAATGTCTCCCTTAAGTCGCTCAGGTGGTCACCCTCTTTCTTACTTTTGATTAACACATCATCCACGTATGCTTCCACATTTCGTCCTATCTGCCCTCCAAAGACCTTGTCTACCATTCTCTGATAGGTAGCGCCTGCATTCTTTAAGCCGAATGACATCATTATATAGCAATAGTTCCCGTATGGGGTCATGAAAGCTGTTTTTTCTTGATCCTCTTCGCTGAGGGGGATCTGGTGGTACCCTGAAAACATGTCAAGAAAGCTTAACATCTCATGATTTGAGGTGGCATCGACTAGCTGGTCAATCCTTGGCAGTGGATATGGGTCCTTCGGGCATGCTTTGTTCAGCGAGGTGAAGTCGATGCACATTCGCCATGTCCCATTGTGCTTCTTGACCAATACTGTGTTTGCCAACCATTTCGGGTATTGCACTTCTCTAATAAAACCTGCCTTAAGCAGCTTCTGTACCTCTTCCATCATGGCCACCCTCCTTGCCAACGATGCTCCCCTCCTTTTTTGTTGCACTGGTACGCTCTCTGGTTTGACGGAGAGTTTGTGTTCCATAAGATCCCTAGAGACACCTGGCATGTCTTCGGGGCTCCAAGCAAACAGATCAGCGTACTCCCTCAGCAGGTTGACCATTGGGAGACGCATGTGCTCTGGTAGATGGGCGGAGAGTCGGACAACCCGGCTCGGGTCGTCAGGGTCTAGTGGTAGTTCTATCTCTGAATCAACTGCTCCAGGGCGCGGTACTTCCGTCGGCCTAGCATCGATCGTATGTATTTTTGGCTTGTGAATGGTCGCCGCATAGCACGCTTTTGCTGTCTTCGCATCTCCCCTGGCTATCCCCATTCCCTGGGGCGTTTGGAATTTCATCGCTTGGTGGCAGGTTGACGCTACAGCTCCGAACCGAGCTAGGAAGGGCCTCCCTAGGATGGCATTATATGCGGACGGGCAGTCGGCAATGTGGAAGTCCACCGGGTGCGTGGCACTTGGTTCCTCGTCCCCTACCTTGACTCTTAAACGCGCAGTCCCAGTACCTTCACCTTTGCTCCAGAAAAGCCGACAAGTTGGGCTTCTGAGGCTTTCATGACCTCAGGAGGTGCTTGCATTTGGCGCCAGCAGGAATAGAACAGTATGTCGGCGGAGCTCCCACTATCTACCAGTACTCGGAACACCTTGTACCCTTCCACCTGTATGTTGATGACAAGGGTATTTTCAGACGGGCCCTCCGGGGGATAATCTTGTGACGTAAATGACAAGTCGGGACCCTCTTGCTTTGCGATCTTCATACACCATGTGTCACTTGCTTGCCCCTTGCGCTTCTTCTTTCGGTCGGGCTCCCCTCCTGCGATGGTTCTTATCTCTTTAACGTTTGGGTTAGGCCCCAGGCGCTCCTGTACTGGTGGTCTTGCGGCTGGAGAGCGACTGCGCTCCCGCGGGGACCGATTTCCTTGTTCTGCTTTCTGGAACATTTCTCTTACTCCTCCCCGATCAGAGATTATCTTAAGTGCTTTTTTGAAATAGTGGCAATCAACGGTGTTATGGGTGCGAGAGTTGTGATACTCGCAGTACATATCTGCTTGACCTCGAGGTTGGTTTGCATTCTCGCGGTTGGTTCGGTCTCGGCGAGGCTCTTGTGAATTTGCAAGAACGTCCCTTCTTACCCAGACATTGGGACGTCGGGCATCATCTCGTCGATCTGGACTCCTCCTTCTGGTTCTAGGCGCCTCGCCCCTCCCATTCTGAGCTGGGCGCCTGGACCCACTTCCTTGCTCCTCTTCCTTCGTCCCTAGCGCCTCCTCCATGAGGATTGCTTTTTGAATCTTTTCTTCTAACTCAGCCACCTGTCGTATCTCTCGTTTGGCTAGGGAGCGCCTTAGTTCTTCGTTAGTACTTGCATCCATTAAATTGGTGCGCATGAGTGGAGGGGTTAAGTCTTTGACGTCGGCCGCGACTTCCCACCATCGCCCCATGAAGTGCCTGAGGCTCTCCCCCTTCCTTTGTTTAAGATTGACAAGCGCACGAACCGTCAGCGTTTGTTTTTTTTGGCTTGCATACTTTGTTGTAAATAACAAAGCGAATTGAGAAAAACTCTGAATGATGCCCTCTGGGAGTGAGGAGTACCAACTACTGCATCCCCCGGTGAAGGTTGAGGGGAATGTCTTGCACAAAGCAGCGTCGGACGCATTGAGGAGTTGCATTTTGCGACAGAACGTACTTAGGTGATCTTCTGGGTCAGATTTTCCGTCGTATGAGGGTAGGCCGATGCTTGCGAAGTTTGATGGGATTGGTGTTTCGAGTACCCCCTTTGACAACGGCTGCTTAATAATTTGGGCACTCCTGTCTTCCGAGGCGCCGTAGTTAAGCCGAGCGTACTTCTCCATGTAGATGTCGGTGTCAGCTTCCATTGCGTCTTCATTTGGCAAGGCGCCCACACCCTCCCGTGGGGAGTTTGTGGGTGCCGCCTCAACCTCCTGCATCTTCCCTCGGAGGCGCCTCCTCTCTTCTATGGCTTCTTGGGGGTTCGGAGGCGCCTGGTCGTTGACCTTTGTTAGCGCCGTTAACGCGGTCATGACTTGGTCTAGTTGGCCTTGCATGCTTGCCATTTGAAGCGCTTGCTTTTTCCGAAGCTCCGCTAGTTGCTCCTCTAGGCGCTCGGCGCCTTCTCCGTCTCCTGGTGGGTCGTCGTCATCGGACACTTCTAAGCCTTGGATGGTGAGTGGTTGGGGGTTGATCGCCTCGCGCCCAACCACTTGCTTGAGAGGGGTCTTAGTTGGTACCGGACTCCTTTCTTCTCCCTTCTTTGAGTTGGAAGCGTCTTTCAAAGTCATGCTTGGCCCCACGGTGGGCGCCAATTGTTTGAGCCCGGGCGACTGAGCGTCACTCGGGTCCAAGGGGTTTGGGGTGTCAGCCATGACCTTGAAGGGGTAGGCGCCCCGCCTCGTCCGAAACAAGAAAAGAGAAGGAGTGTATAGAGAGAGGAAGTAGAGAGAAGTAGTAGTAAGAGTAGATTGATTGCCATTTATGAGGAGAGAACTCCTATTTATACACATTTGAGGGTTAGGTAGTGGTCTGGGCGCCTGCCAAGCCATAAATGCTCTGGTCGGGCGCCTCAGACTCTCTGACACTGTTCATAGTCCTTTTGGCAGAGGGTGTCCCCCTGCCCCTTGTCCTTGCTGATGTCAGGTGCCTGGGCTTGTCTCTTGTCCCCCAGCCTTGTCTTTTTCCTCTTGTCTTCTTCCCTTCTCCATGTCATTAGCCATGACAACTACACCTAAGCTTCCTTTCTCCATGTCATTAGCCATGGTATTAATTCCTTAGTCACTATGATACCCTATCATATTTAAATTTAAAAAAAAAAATTGTATTTAATATGGGTTTTTAATTCCCAATATAATTAATACACAAAAGGTAATTAATATATTCCTTTTTTCCATACCCAAAATACCCTTGGTTGTGAATCTAACAACCCCGTTAAGGGTTGTCACCGTATCCCGTCCCCCAAATTGTTGGTTCGTTCTCTCTCTCTTTGTAACTCATCAAGTTGAAGTGCAATAAAATCCCCTGTGTAAAAAAAAAAAATACACAGGCATTAGGGAGACGTGACCTCTTATATCACTTTGTGAGATGTGAACACCCATGCTTATAAATAGTTGCGAGCACCGTAGCGAAATTGGCTTTAGCACGTAGTACGATGGCCGAATTGGTTAAGGGGTCGTTTGGATTGAGTATTTGGGGATGTTATTTGAGGTCAAATAACACAAAATCTGTTATTTAACCCCAAATAACATGTTTGGCTGACAAAAAGTGGGATGTGTTATTTGGATGTAGTGTTTTGCCAAATAACAGGTTTGAGACCAAATAACACAAAAAGTGTTGTTTGCCAAATACTTGGGAGGGGGCAGGTATTTGCCAAATAACAAGTTTGAGACCAAGTATCACATACCAAATAACGGGGTCGTTTGGATTGAGTATTTGGGGGTGTTATTTGAGGTCAAATAACACAAAATCTGTTATTTAACCCCAAATAACATGTTTGGCTGACAAAAAGTGGGATGTGTTATTTGGATGTAGTGTTTTGTCAAATAACAGGTTTGAGACCAAATAACACAAAAAGTGTTGTTTGCCAAATACTTGGGAGGGGGCAGGTATTTGCCAAATAACAAGTTTGAGACCAAGTATCACATACCAAATAACAAGTTTTATATTATGTGGTATTTGTGTGGTAATTGGCCCCAAACAACAAGTTTGTCAAATACTCAATCCAAACGACCCCAACAAGTTTTATATTATGTGGTATTTGTGTGGTAATTGGCCCCAAACAACAAGTTTGTCAAATACTCAATCCAAACGACCTTTAAGTGTTTTATAAGGGTAAATACGTCTATTTCCTTTGATTGGGACTCCATGGGAAACGGTTCAAATGTTCAATCAACCAATCAAAAATGGAAAATGTGGGAAGTGGGTTCTACCTGTAAAACTTACTCAACACTCTTTCCCTCTCCGACTCCGACCATCTCCTGCTGCTTCTGCTCCGTCTCCCTAGAAAATCAAGCAGCGAATGGAACCAATGGCAGCGGAGCCGTCGTCTCCTTCCATAGTCGAAGTCAGAGAAGAGATTATGATCTCTCCGGTCGACGGTGAAGCAACCTCTACGCCGAGGATAGCCCATTTCCTGAAACCCTCCATCTCTTCATTCAAAGCAACGAGCTTTGAGTCCCCTCCATCCGATCTCTCAATAACCCCCTCGCGGCCGTTCGTTTCTTTTGCTGGTTGGAGGTACGGAGCAAGAAATTGGAAGTTGTGGGTGGAGAAAATGGCGGCAACCCACAAACCCACATGGGAGAAAGCCGGCATTTTTTATGCGGTGATGAACTCGGTCCACGAAATCAGAAGAGACGACGACTTGGTTTTCGGATTGGCGGAGAGATGGTGCTCAAAGACCAACTCATTCGTTTTGCCGTGGGGTGAAGCTACTGTGACATTGGAGGATATGGCGGTTCTGGGGTTCTCTGTATTAGGGTCCCCTGTTTTTCGCCCCATTGGAGAAACAGAGGAGCTGAAAGAGCTGGAACAGGGTCTTAGTATGGCGATGAAGGAGATCTCGCGATCGAAGGCTAGAAAGGCAGCAGTTGGTTGCTGGATACCGAAATTCAGAGATAGTGAGAGCTTAATCGAGCACGAAGCTTTTCTGGTGGCATGGCTGTCCAGGTACGTTTTTTCCAATACTCACGATTGCATAAGAAGGGAAGCTTTTCCGATAGCTATTCACCTTGCTAGGGGAATTAGAATTGCTTTGGCACCTGCTGTTCTCGCCAGTATTTATCGCGATTTGGGCATTTTGAAGCGAGAAATTGTCAATGAATCAAGAGGTTCTTCGTCTTCCGTTGTCAAACTCTGGTCACCATTTCAGCTAGTCCAGGTATGGGCTTGGGAGAGATTCCTTCAGGTTCAGCCGCAGCCTAACGACCTGAGCCGCGGCGAACCCAGATTAGCTCGATGGAGTTCCAAGAAGATAGAAAAAAGAGGCCAGGACAGGAGGATGATGTTGGACTCTGCTGCAGACACTTTCATCTGGCGTCCGTACACTCTGCCGGTCAGAAATTGGGAATTTCCCCACAAATTCTACGGCGAGAAGGAGAGATGGGTAACGCTCAAGTCTGGCTATGAGAACAACGACGACGATGATGATGTGGTGTGTTTTGCTCGATGCTTGAGGCCTTCATTTCTTGTTGGAATGGACACTGTAGAGCAGTATTTTCCTCATAGGGTTGCAATGCAGTTTGGGTTTGATCAAGGCATACCTGGATGTGTGGGTGAATCAAACAAGACTACTGATTGCTCTGATGATGCTTGGGGTGATTACAGTAGAGATTTAGATGGTGTAAGCTTGTATGTCCCGTCCCGGCTATTCGAGGCCGATGTAACTACCCTTTATCATCAATGGTGGAAACAGGCAGTTGTGGAATTGCGCCGAGGGGAGCTACTGAGTTTGTCAAAGCGGGACAAGGGATCGAAGAAGTTGATGGACAAGAAGGCTGGTGGTGGGAAGTTAACTTTGTCGAAGAAGGTTTCGAAGTATGAGGAGAAGAGAGGTCTAAAAACAGCAGCAGATGGTTCTGGCTCTAGGGGTCTTCTTAGTCAGAAAATCTCTGCAATGTCATATAAGAATGCAAAGAGAAAGAATGATGGTAACAATGGGTTGACTGACATCGACCGCCTTGTGAAACGGGTGAGGGCGCGGGCTTATGGTACCAGGGTTACTAAAGATGGTTCTCGTATTGATATTTTGGATCCATCACCGGTATCAGAAGCTAAGGTTGTGGGAAGGGATGATGATGATGAGGAGGAGGAAGATATGATGACAATTGGACAGTTGGTGAAAGCTAACTACAAGCATGGACATGCTGAGAAGATAATATATGGTGGGGATGCTCCCAGTTCGTCTCTCCGGTCAAGGAATATTGGAGGAGCTGCTGAAACTGTGTCGGCATTGATTGGGATCGAAAGGGAAGCAGCTGCTGAAAGTAGACAGAAGAATCATGGCTACCAGAATCATTTGGATCAGTCCTCGAATTGCCAGTTTTCAGTAGCACAGGATCAGACTCCTGGTGTAGGATCCAGTGATGTTTCGTCAGGTCAACTGCAATCCCTTTCCTTTTCAGCGGAGAGAGATGTGGTGGACTTGGTAAGTCCAGATAGAGAAGCAACGATGAAAACTGTGATGAAGATGGAGCCTTTTGAAGAAGTGATGAAGGAAGTTACAGCAGCAGCAGTTGCTGAAGTTGAGAACCAAAGTAATGAGTCTACTGTAAGCTTGTCTGGAGGAGCAGTGAACCTGGGCATCAGAAACAGCGAAGCGGGTGGTGGTGATTCCACGTTTGGATCGATGCTGAAACGGCTTGACACTCAGCTTAGTGGGCTGGAGAAGCAACTCGCTGTGTTGAAAGCAGCAAGAGTTGTTGGCAATTAATCCGGGGGAGTTGGAGTTCTAGCTTGGATGTTTGTCAGCATTTTGTTCTACTAAATTTGTATCAGCAAGGAAAATTCATCCTGATGATCATTTATATCCTACGTTCTAAACTACTTTCTTGCTTCATAGGATGCAATTACAACGTCTTGGTTCAGTTCAAGTTGGTGTAGTTGTAAATTGACGCTACACATTTAGAAAGCAATATCAACTGTAATTGCAAAAGAATTCGAATTGCTTATCATTGGAAATGGCAATATCACTCTGCATACATCCAACAAAACTATCTCCAACCAAACAGTATGTTCCTTTTAAGTAATATAAGGCTATACTGATAAACAATGAAGGAGAAAGGATAGGAACCAAAGCAACATAATCTATTTCAGCATTACAAAACCCAGTGAAACGAAATTTATTCCAGCAGAAGTGAAGTTTGTTCATGCTAAAACTAAAAACATCTGACAGCACAAACTGTTGAAACTTTTGCCAGGGAGAGTTGAAGTGCACTCTCCATCCGGCCTCTACCTGCTCACCAAGAAGCCTTTTTCACACCATTCAACATTCCTTGATTTGCCAGTGTGCGGAAGACGATACGAGACATTCTAAAGAACTCGTAAACACCGCGAGGGCGACCAGAGAAGACGCATCGGTTTCTGATTCGGGTGAAGGAGCTATTTCTCGGTAACTTGGACAGTTTAGCAGTGAGTTTCTCACGCAGTTCGCTTGGAAGTTCAGGGTCTCTGATAAATGCCTTGTAAAGGTTTCTCTTCAGCTCAAATTTCTCAGCCAGCAACCGCCGGTTGTGATCTTTTATACACTTTGGCTCGTCCTGCCACATCTTAACAGTCTCCAAATCTGAACAAAAACAACCGCAAAAGAAAAGCAGAGTCAATCACCCCCCACTTGGAACACAACATGCTTCATATGATGACAGACCAAGACTCGTTAAATAGATGAACATATCTATGCATTGCAGTTGTATCCATATTGAAATTCATTCCCAGATCACAATTTCAGTGGCATAGTGACTTCAGCTGGGAATCTTAGTTTTATCTATCCTTTATTCTAGCATATGCTTTTGCATCCAAGAAAATCTGCCTCCACAAATGACATCAAAACGGTCCCTGATTCGTTGAAAGACAAAAAGGGAATTGAGAAGACAAAAACTATGGTAATGTGAGAAATCAAAAGCCTGTGGCTGAGAATTTTAAGAATTCTAGAAGCCGAAATCATAAGCTTGTGTGTTTGCTTATCAAACCAAAAACAATGCTCCATGCGTTACGCCTCGCCTATATGTACAGCGACAGAAGCGAGATTTTGTTGGGACAAATAGTATTACTTACTGAATTCAAATGTTCTACATTGAACAAGTATTTACAGACAAGGGAAAGTACAATCAATGTTCGATTCTGAAAGTATCAACTACGTTCAGCTTAATGATGTTCCACAACTGTTGACAATTTTATCACATTTCATAGTCATCAACAGAGTATGAAGTTAACTTCCTCCCCGTCCTCCCTCGAACCTTTACATATTCAATAGCATCAAACAATGTCGACCCAGCAATCAACAACCTTGACATATTTGTTCGACGCCAAATATCTGACACTTAACATATACGAGCCAATCCAAAAAGTAGCGGAGCATATAGTACGGTCTATGGATACAAGAAAAAGAGAAACTGATGATTTAAACCGAGAAAATCACTTCAGATTCGGTAAAAAAGGAGAACTTGAACGCAGCGATACAGCAATCGCGGATACTACTGAAAACAAGAATGGAAAAGCAAACAGAGGGAAGTTCACAGCAAATGAGAGTTGCTACTTACGGTGGGGATCCGGCGCCGGCGATCGGAATAAAGTGAGCTAAGATCCCAACTTTCTGAGCTGAAAATCGTTCACGTGTGCTTCGAACTCTGCAACTTATTTGGTAATCGAATCCCTAAATTCACTCGAGGTCCAATCCAATCCAATCCATCTCAAGCAAAACGACAGCTCGTTTTGCGTTCTCAGAATAAAGCAAGTGAGTTGGGCCCGGATTGAGCCCAACAAACGCCCAAGCCCAACTCTACTCTGTGTTCCAGACGATTGCTCTGCGGGTCGCAATGTGGACCGCTGAAACTGCCCTGGATGGGTGCTCAAACTGGTCCAACCTTATGCTCGAGCCACCAGCAAAAAAAGTAGACTATTATTTCGATTTGCGGTTAACCACTAACCGCGCAGTTTCAGTGCGATTAGCGCTTTCACCGTGAAACCGCAACCGAATTCCTACCGTTAACTACAGGACTGGTTCCTGCCTATGCATAAACAATAGCACTTCCTAGAGTTCAAAAAGCACACTCCAAATTTTATCAGAGTAAAGTACATCTACTACATAGCACGGATCAAGAAATGAACCTTCAAAATTTCAGCTTTATTCTGCAGGCTGCAGCTACTTTCAGTATACAATATCTGGTGATATATCAAACTTATGAGGTTGGCTAACATCTACAATCAGTATGTTGGGGCGCTAGAAGGACGATACACAAACGGTCTGACGCCGGTGAGAATATCCGGACGGCTTGTTGTAACTGAACTTCAGTCCTTTGCTAGAAGGACCCAGTTGGTTGCAGTGCTCGTGGAAGCTGCTGATAGGTCTTGCCAGGCATGCATCCCAACGGTCCGCTTTCAGGCATGGTTTCTGCAACAGTGTACACCCCTTTAGCATTTGTGAATGCTTGATAGTTGACTACTTCTCCTGGCTTTGTTATGCACAGAACGGCTACTTCAGCACCTGTAGTTTTCAAGAGAGGTTCAAATATCAGCAGCAGCTCTCCATGTGAGAAGGAATTGCAGTAAAGAAGGTACAACTAACTCTAGTACAAGATTGTCTCCAAGCGCCGGCCAAAATCTGTTCTTTCATTCAGCCAAATTAATGACAAGTAGCGAGCAAAAAGGTTTTCAAGCAGCTAAGGAATCTAAATGCTTGCTATTTAGACGACATGATGCAAGAGACTTCAGTTTCGAGAGTGCCAGAAAGCATCTCGATCAAGTGCAAATCCACAAAGAACATGCTGCAATAAACAATAAACAAGATGATGATTTTGAAAGGGATGATCGAGAGAGGAAGATAAAGGTGATCAGTGATCACTTTACTCCATAGAATCCATCTACAACAAGAAGTCTGAGGGATGTTAACTCAGAATGAGAATGGCATTTGTGCATCCAGCTTTGCCAGAGTATCTAAATGCTCAACCTCAACAACAGTGGTGATAGTACTTCTGTGATCAACACAAATGATGAGATCACCCTTTCAAATCTCATCATTTCTGGAACATTTCAATGTACAAAAATGACAGCATTGCAGTAATCTTGCTCGTGAAAGGTTTGATTTTTGAACCCACTGAACCTCAAACAACACCACCCCTCTCCCTCATTAGAGATCTACTTTACAAAAACATGGTTAAACAGCTCAGTAGACACCAAACTTAAGAACCACAGATTGAAAGCAAATTTTGCATCAAACAAATCAGTGATTCGTTGAGCAGAGCTGCAAGCAACTGCTGTCGTCGGTGGGTAGACGATTTATGACTTTTATGTTCGTGACTCAGGTCAGGTGCTAAAACCTGGAAAAATATTGTGAAATTTTTGGGTAGCAGATAGAAATTATCATGAAATTGGTGCTGCAAACTGGTAAATTGATAGAGATGCAAAAAATTTAAAGCACATTATCAGAGCCTGGTTTCGATCCAGGGACCTGTGGGTTATGGGCCCACCACGCTTCCGCTGCGCCACTCTGATGAATTGATTATTCATTGCAAAGTCAATTATTCGTACAGTTCTCTGTAAAAGCTAATGAGAATTGAGACCATGGAACCGGCGAACAATCTTCCAGCGACGAGGAAAGCTTTGGCGAGAGAACGAAAATGAGACGGCGACCAGGAATCGGCGGCCTACAGACGGCTGCCAATGCTAGGGTTTGTTCCCCATTGATTGATTTTAGAGTTTGCATTTTATATCGTGCCGGTAGTTAATTGTTCTTAGTCATGTCCATGTTTCGATTTTTCTTTCTCCCCAATTGGGAACTTGCGAAGGATCAATATCGGCTCCTGGGTGAAAATGTGGCCAAGCTACGAACCGACCTTATGAAAGAGCAGCTCGCCACTTTCCGCTCTCAGCTGGAAGATTTTGCCCGCAAACACAAGGTAATGAATCTGCTCCTCAGTCGTCTATCTTGCTGTCTCTTGGTGGCAAAGGAGTCGACTTTGGATTCTGAGCAATCAGCATTTGCTAAAGCTTTGGTTTTTCTGAGTTAGGATATTGATCTGTTAATGGTGGATGGTTGAAGGTTATTGGTTAGAATTTTGTGCTTGGTTGTGGAAGAAGCTTCACTTTGTACAAAGATTTTTGTGTATCCCAATTGGTGACTGAGTTGTTCTTCTGTTAGCATATCATGGTAGTTAGAAGTTGTTCTTCTGCTCACCTCTTCATATTTCTTCAGTATATATGAAGATTATAGTTCAAGCAATTTTCATCCTCTGCCTCTTCTAGATACTAAGTTCTGGTGCGAATCATTCGTCTCTTCTCCGGATCCTCTTGAGATAGTATCTGCTTCTTGGGAAGACTTTACCTCGGCTGAATCCCTCTTACTATCTTCATCTTCAGAATCGTTCATTCAAATTAGTGCTTCTTAGCAGAACATACCAATGAAGCCATAGTCAAGTCATATTATTTTCATCATTTGTATGAGCTGTAGTGAGCTTGTCATTTCCGTTTCGCTCTGCAATAAAAGGGTTCAAGTTTTGGTGGGGGTCATCCATTTGCTTCCAAGTCTCGCTTGATGCAATAGAGAACCAACCAGCTCCCAGTTACCTGTTTAATTGCCTTACTGAGTCGGTGTTCTTCATGCTCTCAATCTCCTCCATTTTGCCCATTCATTTTTCTCTTCAAAACACAAAAAGACGGTGCAGCTCTTAATCTGAAGTGATATATTGCAGAATGACATTCGCAAGAACCCAACATTCCGGACACAATTCCATGATATGTGTGCTAAAGTAGGAGTGGATCCGTTGGCCTCAAATAAGGGATTCTGGGCAGAGCTGCTTGGAATTGGTGACTTCTATTATGAACTTGGTGAGTCTTCTACTTATATTTTTGTATTTATCCATGCAAACTATTGTTTTGATTGAAAGAGCAAGAGCCAAACAATGCATGGATGAGAAATCTCTGTTATCAGATTGTGTCATTAGGCAGTTGAACAACTAGAAATATGGGGATCTGATGTGGGCTGTACTATTTTTGCTAAGGCAGGGGTACAAATTGTTGAGATATGTTTAAACACGAGATCTCATAATGGAGGTCTGATAAACCTGCCAGAGCTCTGCAATCTACTTCGCCAGAGGAGGAAAGGTGATCGCGGAGCTGTGACTGAGGATGACTGCTTGCGTGCTATAAGTAAACTTAAGGTTTGTATTTAGGAATCAAGAGTTACCCTTATTTTGTTTCCCAACAACCTGTCTCGGTGAAATTTGCTTAACTGATTACTTTCCCAGGGATTGCGTCTTTGTTGTTGCCTGCCTAATTCTCTTATTAGTAAAAACTGCTTGAATATTTCAGGTAATGGGGAGTGGTTTCGAGGTTATATCTGTTGGCAAGAAGAAGTTGGTTCGGTCTGTGCCAACGGAACTGAACAAAGACCATAATGAAATTTTGGAATTGGCTCAGGTTCCATCTTCTGTGCCTCCTAACACTGCCACCATTTTCACCAGAACAGAAGTTTACACATTTATCTACACATTTTCCCCCTTAGGCGCAAGGCTTTGTAACTGTTGATGAGGTGGAAAGGCGCCTCTCTTGGACAACTGGTCGAGCCATTGACGCCTTGGATACACTTTTAGAGGTGAAGCTCCTGCTGCTTTTTACCACGTCATGCGTTCCAGAACTAGAATACAATTTGTTCACTCGCGATTCTTATTGACTGGTGCAGGAAGGGCTTGCCATGATCGACGACGGCCACAGGGATCGCAAGCGAAGATACTGGTTCCCCTGTGTCTCCTCCATCTCCTCTGCATTTGGGGACTGATATTTGAAGTGGTATCTTCCCTGGTCAATTTCAGTTTTGTTTCATGTTTCCAGTCCATGCTTGGATGCAAAATGTTGTTGATGTTGTACAAACAATTTCAACTTTGCTTATCTTAAAGCGAATCAGTACAGGATGCAGAAGAATGTATGGACTGTGGTAATATAGTAGAGCTATGCAACTACCAAAACATTTCATTCATTTTTTCCTAGTGCAACATTTGATTGTCTGATTGTGATCTCAGCCTCCTCCTCTTCTGTCCAGGCAGAGTTGGGGTCACATTCCAGGACCTAGGTTTTACCCCAAGCTGAAAGTAGTTGTTGTAAGCATGGTACCGGAGGCCGTATCGGGAAGATTAGCGGTAGGGTATTTTATAGTAAAATCGTGGTTTGATCGTAGTTCAACCGTAGTACTGTTAAATACCGCCTACCGATTTAGCATCTAATACTAGTATTTCGTGGTTGAACCGCCGGTATGGTACGGTTTCATGGACCTTGATAATAACGCAAGCAAAGGATTTTCAAAGGGTCCTGATGAATCAGAATGACCGTAACCCTATTGAACCGGCAACCCCAACTAACCCACTACCCGTTCCAACTTGTAGCATAATTGTTTTGCAACCCGACTAACTCGTAATTCAATTCAACCCAATCTCGGCCCGCCCGAACCTACCCATTGACATCCTGGTATCCTACTCGTCCCACATGTATTTGGTTGGTTGACACGCCATACAAGCAAAGAGGACATGCGGATATTTGAAAGAATCTTCTCCCAATTACGTGGCATATACCAAACCAAATGAAACTCCATTTTGGGGACATCTGATAAAACTAATAACCAAAAGAAGCAGCAACCACGGCCAAAGCTCCCCCAAATCAATCACTCGCTCCAAGAAGAAAAACCATTACCGATCCCGATCATTCACAAAGCCAGCCAGATATGCTGAAAGCTCAGCTCTTGTTCATGTATGATCCTTGAAAAGGGCAACCCGTTATCAGAACGATAACTAGGGAAAAGGGTAGAAATAGTTAGATTAGTTTTGTTCCTTTATCCAGAACACTCTTGCTTCGAGGAACCCACTTTCCGTCCTCGACCATGGAGCAATTTCCCGCGATGAAGCCCTTCGTAGTCTACTTCTTCTTGTTCCTCGTTTGCGCTACTCAAGCTATAGAAACCCCGTTTCACCCACGGGACGTGCTGCCGCTGTTACCCAAGGAAGTTTCCTGGCCGGTCCTTGATTATCTCAATGGGGCGGTGGATCTTCTCCCGACGTTTGTGGGTGCTGCCTCTTCTCCAGAAAACGCCGCGGTGTGGAAAGGCGCGTGCTTTTACGAGAACGAGGCTTGGATGGAGTTCCACAACAAGACTGGGAGCCAATTTGGCGGCGGTACCCTTCATCTTAAGGTGTGATTCTTCTGCTCTAAAAACTTGTCTTTTGGGTAAATGATTTTTGCCAGCCTCTTATTTACTTGTTCCTGATTCTAATGTTGTCTTGAATCGACTGAGTGTAATAGATGGGCGCAAAGTAATCATTTAGGGATTTGTATGCTTTTTTTAGTGATGTGATAAAGTTATTCTTACTTGCCAGAGTTGCTCTCCATAATTTTGGCTGATTTACTATTTCGATTTGCTCCCCTGGGTTCAGTCTACCTGTAGGTTTCTTTGGTGTTTGTTGTCCTGATTGTATGTTGTGTACCTTTGCCATGGCTGCATGATACTTGACTGTTTGTAATGTTCTAGAGGAGGATTGGTTCCAGGATCTCTTTTGGCAGTATCATCCTCAATTTCTAATCTTTTGAGCTGTATTGAAAACCAATTCAATATGAAGTCTTTATGAACTTGTTATTTGGTTGAGTGACCTATGCAGATCAGTAAAGCTCATAGCTGGACATGCATGGATCTTTATCTCTTCGCCACTCCATATCGCGTAACTTGGGATTACTATTTTGTTTCTCGGGAGCATACTCTGGAATTCGAAGAGTGGGAAGGAAGAGCGGAGTATGAGTATGTAAGTTCCATTCTTTTAGCTTAAATGAAAGATAAAAGGAGGGAAGGGGGTTATGGTACCAAGTGTACTGTTTTTTTCAATCATATTAATGGATGTATTCTTCATCATTGTATGAACAGGTGAAAAACAAGGGGGTCTCAATTTTTCTCATGCAAGCAGGGATGTTGGGAACTCTCAGTGCCCTATGGGATGTCTTCCCCTTATTCACTAATACCAAGTGGGGTGAGAATTCTAATCTTGCTTTCCTTAAGAAGCACATGGGTGCGAACTTTGAAGCCCGTCCTCTGCCCTGGGTCACCAACATCACTGTTGATGAGATTCACTCTGGAGACTTTCTTGCAATATCAAAGATCCGTGGGAGGTGGGGCGGATTTGAAACTTTGGAGAAGTGGGTCAGTGGAGCTTATGCTGGACACTCTGCTGTTTGCTTAAGGGATTCTGAAGGAAAATTATGGGTCGGTGAATCAGGACATGAGAACGAGGAGGTAATCATTGTTGAATTTCTAATACTCAAATTTTCTTTTGATGGAAGTGGCACTTCGACTATCTAATGGTGCCATTTCAGTGTCCAATTGGATGCCTTTAATGCTATTATCTCTTTCTCCCCTTTTGAAATTCTTGTACTTCTGAACTAGTTGAGCATTCCCTCCACCAGAGCATTTTTAACTTGCTAGTGATAGAAGAAGTTCTGTGAATCTTACCTTACAGACCTCCTTCTAATACTCATTCTGATGGTGTTTCCAAAATTATTTTATTGGCCATGGAACCGATCTTGGCCTGGCATATAGCAAAAGTTGGAGACCATTTTATTTGGTTTGGTGTGAGTATCCTTGATTACTGTGCGGATGGTGTGTCTTTTGTTGGTAGGGAGAAGATGTTGTTGCCATATTACCGTGGGAGGAATGGTGGGAGTTTGAACTGAATGAAGATGACTCCAATCCCCATATTGCTTTGCTTCCTCTACGCCCTGAAATCCGAGCCAAGTTCAATGAGACAGCTGCTTGGGAGTATGCATTAAGCATGGATGGCCAACCTTATGGATACCATAACTTGATATTTAGTTGGATAGACACTATCAATGGCAACTTTCCACCTCCACTTGATGCTCATCTGGTAAGAAAGACTTCCCACTTTCAAAATTTGTTTCTGATTTTATCTCCCATTTGCTTGAACACTCTACCTTATCATCTGAAAAACAGTTTGGTTCCGCGGTTTCTTTTTATTAACTCGATCTTTCTTCATTACAACTTACCGTCTTATCCTCCTTGTCTGGTCTTTATTGTGTGATATTAAATTTAAAATTGCATGACAATCTTGTTAAATTGCACCGTTAGATCTTGGAAATAGCAGAGGAAAATGTTTACTGTTGATTTTTCATGGTTATTGGGTCTGATACTTTTGCAGGTAGCTTCTGTTATGACAATTTGGAGTCAGATGCAACCTACTTATGCTGCAAACATGTGGAATGAAGCCTTGAACAAGCGACTTGGAACTGAGGTATCAACGCTATTAGCTTGTCCTGCTTGATTGTCTGGCCATGTTAGTGGCAGTTCCCTATTTATTAGTTTGGACTCAGCTTCTCTTTCTTCTTCTCTTCTTATCATACGGGCATCTGAACACTACAACTGCAACTTTTTATATGGTGTTGCTGTAAGCCTGTAATTGAGGATTATGATCGCTATATACATGGTCGAATGCAGGGGCTTGATTTACCAGCCATTATTGTAGAGTCCGAAAAGCGTGGTTCATCCTTTGGGGATTTGTTAACAATTCCGGAACAAGATGACTGGTTGTACTCGGATGGGAAGTCTACATCTTGTGTGGCTTTCATTCTTGAAATGTACAAAGAAGCAGGACTATTTGATCCATACTCTAGTGATATACAAGTCACCGAGTTCACGGTTAGTTTCACTTTCATCCATTTCCTGGTCTTGAATCATGGTAGTACTTAGGGACATTGTGTTGGAAGCATCTATCTAAATCCAAAGCTCAGTGAAGCCAAAGACTTGTTTATGTTCTTCAAGGAAGTTCAGTGGTGGAAGATTTTTGAACTACTGTTTTAATGATGCAGATCAAAGATGCTTACTCCCTCAACTTCTTTGAGAACAATGCAAGCCGTTTGCCATCCTGGTGCAATGATGGGGATGATGTGAAGCTGCCCTTTTGCCAGATCAAGGGGCAGTATCGAATGGAATTACCGGAATACAATACCATGGCTCCTTATCCCCACATGAACGAGAGGTGTCCTTCCCTTCCGCCAGACTACTTCAGGCCGCAGGATTGCTAAATCGGTCGTGATCAATCTCTCTCACTTCCTCTGGAAGTTATGACATGGCCAATGTCAGCGTAGACTGTGCTTGTTTGTCTGTCCGTGTAGTAGTAAAATTGGCAAATGCGGACTGCCTAGTACTGTTAGTGAAAGAACAGAAAGAAAAGACAAATGTAAAGAGCACGAAAGATGAAGGGTTGGTGTCACTTGTAAATATGCAGATCATTGTGTAAAGAGAAAGTCAGGGGTTACTGATGTTATGTTCTACTGTCCTAGTCTTAAGTTATTTGTGATCTTAATCAAGTAGTTAGCACTTTGATTTATCCTTTCCTTTGAATTCGTGGGTGTATGAAATTAGAGAAACAGTTTTTTCTCTGTGTTTAGATGGTGATGGCAGTATGAATGAGAGCAAGAAAATCTGTCATTTGCTCTACTCTTCAGGAAATACTTGCAGCTTTCTGTTTGCTCAAAACAATCAGAAGACTGACACAAAAAAGTTTGGTGACATTCTGTATGTTTGAATCTATGACAGTTTGGTCACTGCTTGCAGTTCCATAATCTGGCTGGGAGGGAGGATGATGAGAAATGGAAAGATAAAAAACAGTGACAGAAGTTCTGGTGATACAAGAGTTAGGAACCAAAATTCCTGTTCCTGGGCTCGATTTTGATAGGCAACCTCTTGGTTGGAACCGGCATTGAGCCGCGGCTAAACCGGTTATCCGCACATATCTTCCAGGTAAACTGAGTCACAATGTAATGGATAGTGACAAGGGTTTCAACCTTGGCAAACTCATATCCTGGGCATATCCAAGTACCAAACCACCATAATTTATGTTTGGGCGTCGAGAATAGTCTAATCCCGGAGAAAACAAAGCATACCTTCGAAGATTAGATAATAGTCTAATCCCGGTGAAAACAAAGCATACCGTCGAGAATAGTCTATAAAAAGCACATGTAGGATAAGATAATGATACAGATGTGTCAAACGAAGCTGCAGGGTGCTTTCAATACAGAGCTATCGCCAAATTCATAAATCTCGGTATGTATTTTGAGGTTAGTGTTGTAGCATGTCACGCGTGCTATTACTCGGCCTTGCTCGGAATGTGGTTGCCACCGGTTGCGACTTTGTAGAGATAAAATGCAGTCATGAGACCACTGCAAAGGTGGAAGCAAACATAAAGATTGTAAATGTGATGCCATAAACTTAGCAGATCCCACAGATGGCTTGTACAATATTTCAATATATAAACTATCAACATAGCTTTGCGTTGCAGAGTAATCAAACATCTAAGAGGTTGTCACAATGGCTAGGGGACTTGGCCAGTTCTAGCTATTGCAGCCACTGCAGGAGCCTGTTTTGATCGTTTCATTCCATCTTGTTCATCATCATTCATAAGCTGGCATTTTTCTTTACCACTGGACCCTAAATATATACCGAGTAGGCAACTTTTTCCTGAGTGGTTTGTAAAGACTAGCAATCTGGACATTTACAGTAACTTTTGTCCTAAAGGGATGGATTGAATTGAAAGAGGAAACAACAGTTTGTGCTAACAAGTTCCCTAATATCTCATTTTACAGAGATAATCAATGACAGCTACGGACGTCAAGTGCCACAAGAGCTCCACAATGATGCCGTGATCAGACTAAATAAATTGATGATCTTCAATAGTTTACTTGGCAAAATCTGCACATCTATTCCACAACTGGGGCTCAACACTTATCCACAATTGCACAATTGCTAATACTATATCTGCTGCCTCTTTTATCCTGAACTCCAACACTATGTTAATACAACTCCTTCCATGGCATGCTTAATTCTTCAGTTCATATACCCCACTCGAGGTTTATTTATGTATCCTGTGAATATCTTAAACTTGCTAAGGTATCCTGTGAATATTCAAAAACAAGGAGATAGCTACAGCATCCTGTGAATATCGACAACTATAGACTAGCTTCTATGCTCACACTACTAAAGTTTCTGAATAACTTGGAGAAGAAATCAGGAAGTAGTTATGTATTTTCTTGTTCGGTTAACACTACGATGACAGAGGCCATGAAATGATACATGCAAGTAATTGGAGATCTTAACATGTTATCCAACACCAACGATTTTGCAATCCTGAAGGATTCATCATACCTGATACCAGCAAGAAGACCAGCAGGCATGATCTTTGAAGTTTGCAGGTAGCGTTGCCCCATGATAAACGTCAAAGCAGCAGCACATACTGCATCAGTCCAAACCAAAATTGATCAGTAAGTACATTCGCCTCCGCGATATTCAATGCTATTAACAACCCATAGAGCAAGAACCATCATAGCTCTATACTGATTCTCTAACATAATAAGGTGCAGGTTGATTCACTACACCAATAGACAAGAGAGAAACAAACTACTAACACGGTCACACAGAAGAAGAAAAAAACAGATGATGTCTAGACCAGTTAATCATGGAGCAACCAAGCTCGAAGCGATGCCAAGGTCGAGATCATAGACATGGTAGCTGATCTATCTTGTATATGCGTGAAAGCAATGTAATTGGCCACAAAGAACAGAAGATCTCACAACATGCATCAAATGTAAGCAAATTGACTTGTTCAAGAAGATCGAAAGCTATTTCCTCAATGATTGAGCAAAACGAATACACCAGAGATCTTCACAACCAAGAAGATCGAAAGCAGAAATCAGACCCAACGAATTGCTCTTTGACCCCTTTTACTAGAAACCCAGAACCTCGCTCAAATCAAAACATATCGAGGATCCATCCAACACAAGGAAGCAGAACAAAACCAAACATGAAATCCAACAAAAGCAATGTGGAAAAAACAAAAAACAAAAAAAAAAGACAGAACAAGAGACAGTATAGAAGCGCGCACCAGTTTCAATGGCTAAAGCGAAGTAATTGTTCTTTCTCTTCTCGAAAGCTTTCAAGCTCAAATACCCAGCTAAGATAAGTAGAAACCCAGTCCCCGCGCCGCCGCCAAGCGACGCCACGCTCCCTTTCTTCAGATAACCCATCACTCCTCCCGCCACAAGAATCAGCCCGTACGGGATCGTGAAGCAGAAATCGTGCATTTCCCCCCCTTTTCTTTATCCCTTTCGCCGGTCGCCGGTCGCTCCTCCCCCCTTCTCTTTCAGACGCCTCAGAATTCGAAGTCTAACCTCGTACCCAGATCGAAGAAGAAGAAGAAGAAGAAGAAGAAGAAGAAGAAGAAATCGCCGCCCTTCTTCGCTTTTGCGCTCTGTTCAAATTGTGGAAATGTCAACAGAAAACAGAAGCGAGAGCTGTTATTAACTGTCACGGCGGTGGCGCGTGGAAATTTCGTTCAGGTCAACTGCTCCCCCTCTGCGCGTCTTTGAATTTCCACAACTACCCTCAACCTCGAAACGCCGTCGTTTCCTCGAGACGGAGGTTTTAGGCTCTGTCTCTTCTTCGAAACTGAAACTCGAAAATCAGCCGATGAACTCTACCGTCTGTTGCTCCAAATGCTAGGAAAGCTCCGTTCTTTCCCCGACAGAGTAGCCAGAATCACCAAATCTCCTCCCTACTCTTACATCTCTACTCTCTTCACTCACTCTCAATCGGAAGAACCATATGACCCGCCATTCTCCGTCATCTCCAAACCCGCGAAACCGCCCAAAAAGAAGCAACCGAAGTCTCAGGACAAGAAGAAGACCGCCACCATACCCGCCGAGCAGCCCAAGCTTCCGGTGAAATCCGACCTCCCTTTCGATTTCAGATACTCTTACTCCGAGTACAATCCGGCGGTGGAGCCAATTGGGTATCGAGAAAAGAGGAGGTTCTCGCCGTTCGGACCTCGTCGGCTGGACAGGGAATGGACGGGCACCGCTGCTCCGGCGGAATCGAATGTGGATGATCAGGAGCGGTACCTGGAGGAGAGGAATCGGGTGCTGGGTGACCCGCTTACGGCGGCGGAAGTGGAGGAGCTCGTCGAACGGTATAGGCACAGCGATTGTTCTCGCCAAATCAATCTGGGTAAGTGAGAAATGTTCTCTAGGGTTACTTGTTTCGAGTGCAAAGTTCAGAGCTTTTTGTGAGTTTATTGAACTAAGAATTGGGGGGATTCGATTGTTTTTGCCTTTACTTGTATAGGGAAAGGAGGGGTGACTCATAATATGCTAGATGATATCCACAACCATTGGAAGCGAGCTGAAGCCGTGAGAATCAAGTGCTTGGGAGTTCCAACGCTTGATATGGGCAATCTCTGCTTCCATCTCGAGGTACGAAGGACTTACAACAATCCATGAGTGGTGGTGTTTATAAGTATACTGTTGTTCTTTCTTCGGGAATGTTCAGAGAATTGTTGGGGTGATTTTTAGTCTATGGCATAGGACAAATCTGGTGGGAAGATCATATACCGCCACATCAATGTCCTGCTTTTGTACCGGGGGAGAAACTATGATCACAAGAGCCGTCCTCTTGTTCCCTTGATGCTCTGGAAGCCTTATCCCCCGATATACCCGAGGCTGGTCAAGAATGTCGCGGATGGGCTAACGTTTGAACAAACCAAAGAAATGAGGAACAGAGGCCTGAATTCTCATCCACTGATGAAGCTGAGTGAGTGACTGGTGTTGATCTTCCGTTCTTCTTGTCTGTGTTTCTTGATGATCTCAGATTGATTCGGTTTATGTTTCTAGCCAGGAATGGTGTGTACGTGAATGTAGCAGATAGGGTGAGGGAGGCATTTGCGACGGAAGACGTTGTGAGGCTTGATTGCACTCATGTGGGTACCAGTGACTGCAAAAGGATTGGTGTAAAGCTTAGGGTGAGGCTGGTTCCTTTTCCTTTCAGAGACGAGCTTATGATGGTTTTGTTTGAGCGAAGTAACTCGTTGCTGGTTACTGAGGGTTTTTCTTCCCTATGTATTGCAATGCAGGATTTGGTACCTTGTGTTCCAATTTTGGTCAAGGATGAACAGATTATACTCTGGAGGGGAACGATTGAGAATGAGCAGAGACATGACTCTCCACCTGTTTTAGCAGAGCCTTATGATTGTTGACATTGCAAGACAGCACTTCTGGTTTGTGACTCAGTGATCTGCTCCCATTTCATGTAACTGATGAGCCGAATTACAGCGATTGGCTGGTTTGGTTGTTGATCCAACGTTTCAGGATGTATACGTACGTTTATCCAAGACAATTTATGGATTGGGATGCAAATTTCTATGTATACATTATAAACAAGGGATGCAAAACCATCCATCAAAAGTGGAATGGTTTCCTTTTTTCATGGTTTCTCGACCAGCTCACCAAAAGTAACGGTCACAACAATAAAATTGCTTTTGTAATTGCAAAAAACATGATATCTCATCTTTTAATTGAAAATGCAAAATCAATATAAATACTCTTATGTTTCTTTATAATCGAGAAATCACATTAATAAGAAGCGGGTTGCAACAATCGAAGAATATTTACGTTTTTCTTTCTTTTTTGGTGCTTAAGTCACTAGACAAACTTACTCAATCCTAAACATGGAACTTAAAGATATATTAGGTGAAGGTGATGACATGGAAGATAAAAAAAAAAAAACCCAGTAGGAGAGAATCAAACAAAATTTAGAGTCCAAGAATATTCAACTAGTTTACATTTCTTTATTTTCATTTTTAGGCATTTAATTTAGTGGATAAAATCATTCGTTCACAAAAGCTTAGTAGAATAGTAGCATACGATCATGAGAAGTTGGTAATAATGAGAACTCAAAGATTTAGTTTATCTTTTTTTTTTTAGCTACTTAATTTAGATGATAGACTCACTATCTACTGAAAAATATAACTTAAAGATATATTGTAAGGATAAAATCACACATGAGAAGCGGGCAAGAATAAGAATCTAACAACACTTACTAAATTATATTTCCCGTCATATTTTAGGTATTTAATTCAGTTGACAAACTCACTAATTCATGAAACATTAAACTTAAATGTAATGAGTTATGCTAATGACATGAAAAAGATTTGTCTAATTTATGCTTCATTTTTCTTTGATGCGGTGGATAAATTCACTCATTCCTCAAACATGAAACCTAAGCAAATTCATAAAAAAAATAAATAAATAAATAAACAACAATTGTCTCAATTAAAGCATCTGAATTATAAATTGAAGTTCTAACTTACTATTATAAATTGAAGTTCTCACTCTAGTAAGTTATCTTATTTTTGAAGAACAATAGCAATTGAGATTCAAGCATCTGAATTATAAATTGAAGTTCTAACTTACTATTAAGCTTCCTATCAACTACCAAACTAAGTAAACCTTGTGTATGAGTACTTTTGGAGATGGGGCTGCATTATTCTCCACATAGCCACTCAATCAGTGGAGTATTTCATTTTTTCACATTATTCCTGATCACATATATCTTAATATGTATTTTAGGTAATCGAGCATGTGTTGTTTCTGTCCATTGCTTCAAATATATGATCGGACACTAGATTTACTTGATTAAGTTTTTCTCCAAAGTCTTGGTAATCCTTGATACATTTGAAACTTATGGCACAAAATAGGTATACAATTTTAGAAGTTTGGCATTTGGCACCCACATTAACATATTGAAAAATAATAATTTAAAGATAATACAATTTAATATCCAAACCTTTCATTTTAAACAATATAATAGCCAAATCTTTTCGAAAACAATCTAATATCCAAATCGTCAACCTTCCGTTCGTTTGACCGTTAGTTGACACTTCAAAAAAGCTTTGTTTAGGTGAAATTGTCACAATACAACTTTGTTTCTTGTTTTGGCATTGCAGATGACTGAATATTTAGATATTCTATACCATCATGGTGGAGTCATGGACTTCTCGGGTTTGGAACTACGATATGTTGGTGGTTTTTCAGAGAAGATATCCATGGATATTGATGAAATGTCGTACTTCAAACTTTTTTGAAGTGTCAACTAACGGTCAAACAGACAGAAAGTTGACGATTTGGATATTAGATTGTTTTCGAAAAGATTTGGTTATTATATTGTTTAAAATAAAAGGTTTGGATATTCAAAATGTATTTACCCTTTTAATTAAGTCTTGTGTCATTTTCAAGATCAAATAAAAAATGATAGCCTAACTTGTTTCACACTCATAGCTCCCATCTCCCCCGTCTGCCTTTCTTTATCTTCTGTCCCGTCGGTTGGGATGCTTTTTCTGCTCTATGACTTTTGTTTGACTTAGCCACTTAGGCATCCTCTTTGTAGAGAAAGGAGAGAGTTTGTGAGTGAGTTGGGGATATCAAGGCATTTCTTCACCACATGTTTTACCTAAGTCCTCCATCCCACTTTTTCTTTTCACCAACCAGATTAGTCAAGAGCAGAGAGGGTCAGAAGCAAATATGTTAAGGATCTCATCTCATCTCTTGCCCTACTCTCTCGCTCTATCTCTCATCTCAGAATTGAGATTGTTGCAAAGATGGTCTCTCTTTCTTCCTCTTCTCGCACATTTCTTCCTCTGTTCTCTCAAATCGCCACTCCGAGCGATCACCGAGGTAGTTCTTTTGGCCTTTTCTTAGGGTTATCATAAAAAATCTGTTGAGGATATGATTATGGTTGCTGAAAGGGTGTCTATGATATCTTCTTACAGGTTTGTTCATCATTTTTGGCCTCTCCGTGGAATAAAAGTGTCCGACCTCAGCAGATTTCCTTCTCTGGTAGCTTCCTCTCCGCAGAGCTCAAAAAATCGTGAAATCTAGGGTTTAATCTGCAAGCCTATTAAATAGGCCAAGAAACGGGGCGGGTAGAAGTAAAAATAACCCGCGTATCCGAATCGAGTAAAAGTTATGACATGAAATTTTAAAAAATATCAGAAAATATGAATATTGAGATAAAACCGAATTGATTGACAAAAGAGATAAATGAGTAAAAGGATACCTTGAGCGGATGATTTTGATGCCAAATAAATATTACAGCAACCGCAGTGAATAAACCACGTGAAACCATCTGCCGGAATAATCGCCGGCGGTCGCCGATGGTGGATCCAGGTCGGTTGCATTATAAATCTCGGGAAGACTCCGGGCAAGAAACCGAACAAAATAAAAATCTAGAGAGGAGATGGGTGTTAGTAATTAAGAGTATGGTAAGCTTACTTCTAGAGTCATAATCCACCTGAATCTTCAACGAATACCAATGAAGGATAAGTATTTACTCTTGATAATGATAAATCATCCCTAAAGATATTTTAAAGATATTTATATTTATTATTAATACTTGTGTTTCCCTTTATCCATTGTAACATAAGGTAACCATGTATAGCCGTCGTATTGTATTTTTTGTAGTATGAATTAACAAATTAATGAGAGATAAACACACAACATTAACAATCGGACTTTGATAGAATATTCTAATTATATCTTATGATTAGTGCCTACTATGACATAGTAATAGCTTGTGTTGATTGTGATGTTTTAGTAGTTTCAAATCATAGATTAATTCTTAAAGATACTATGTTAATTACCTCAAATTGTAAAGATTGTAATAATGTATATCTATCTTATTGTATATTTTGAAGTATAAATTAACAATATTAATGAGAGGAAAACAAACAACATTAACGATGGAGTTTGATAGTATATTGAAATTCTGAGTATATCTCGTAGTTAGTGTTTAATCTAATCTAGTAACAATGTGTGTTAGTTTTAATGCTACCACATTTCCGAATTAGATATTAGGAGACGAATAAGTAGTAGAGATAAAATTAGTTAGTAGCCTTGGGTGGTCTTAGTTCATTTTATAGTAATTTTCTTAATTTTTTTTAATAATAAACCAATAGACCTGTCAAACTAAGGTAATTCATGTTATTCTATGTTCAATTGTAAAACCATTTAATTCTGACTGAATTGCCCATGCAAATGAACCAAACCACTATTATGATCTGTTTTATGATTCCTTACCTTGTCATGTTCGCTAGAACTTTTTGTCCAGCGTACAACAGTGGAGTTAAATGCTATATGTGGAACAAAAAATGGGAAAAGCCAAACAGTCGTAGTGTTAATGTGTTGGTGTTGGTTTTAATTTCAAAGAAGGCCTACCAGCACAAAACTACCGACTACAGGTTACTATTGGAAAGACATATCGAAATAGTCCTATAACAAAAGGAAAGACATTATTGAATAGTGTTTGATGGACATATTGTCCATTTTGTTTCCAACTTTGCTGGTCACCAAGAGGCGTCAGCGACACCCTTTAAAATCTCAAGAGTTAAAGCAAGAGAGAAGGGAGAGGTAAGGAAAGATAGAGAGAAGGTGGAAGATCAATAAATGAGAAAACTATATAGCCATCAAAACACATGAAACCAAAACATTTTTTCATTGAAACTGATTTTTTCAGACTAGTGTGACAACTACTAAACTACATAATTTTACACAACAATTAGATCAAATTCATGATTCTGTCTTCGATCATACTTCTTTCCCATTCAAATACACCCGACTTCTCTATGTCTTGACATGATAAAGCCCACGATTCTAATGGTTTCTTCCCCAAGGCATTTGAGATAATCATGTTAAGCATCTGACATGCATGATATTCCTTCACCCTCTTCATCGAATCAATTTCTTCAGATAAAACATCCTTCCATGGTTGAAAGTATGACATGTTTAGAGAACAATAAACGCAAAGGGCACTCGTTAGGTTCATACACAACTTCCAGTCAAGTAGTAGGTACAGTAGTTGTATTTCCAACATGGCCAGAACACTAAGCACAATGTGGTCAAGAATGAATGGCTTACCATCTCCAACCTGGGTAGGCTTTAGGTGGAAAACAGACTTTTGAGCACAGTGATACCATGAGTGACTCGTCGGATGATACAACATCTTGTTCACAGTCAGTAGCCAATATGAACATTGTTCGACTCCTAATGTAAGTTATTCTCTATAAAATAAATATCTTGAAACCAGAATGTCCAGAGGGACACATACCTGAAATTTGAGAGGTATGGCAGAAAAGTAGAAGACAGAGTGCAGATATAGTTGATGGGGTTGCTAAGCAATCCATATCCATGCATAGCACCCTGTTGAAGGTAGAGTATTGCAGCAGCTAACGTCTCTTGAGAGTTGTTAAGTTTGCAGCTCCTCCTCCCTCCAGCCCTGACATATTCCAATAAAGACTGGAAATTTGATGTTGATCTAGATGAAAATTTACCGCTCATATCATGGAATTTGTAGGAGAGTTTTCCAAGAATCACAATAACAACAAGCCATCAGAGAAGTTTTAGTACAAAACACTCTTCAGATTCAGATTGTGCCTCCTTTAGTCCAATAATGACATTGGATTGTGATGCTTTGGAGTGAAGCTCTCGCCTTCTAGCGTCGGATGTCGGGGCAATGCTTCGTAGGACCAAGGACTGGGCCATATTATACTCGGTTTGATGAAGTCCGGTTAAGTATCAGTTTGATCTGGTATGGACCGAACATTTCCACACCCTGACTTCTCTGTCAATCCTAAAAAATTATAGTTCAGAAACACTAATATTAGTAAAATAATGATACAAATGTCCGCTACTCGCATGCCAAAAGCTAAGTCCTACATCACCGAGTTCCAATAAGACTAGCAATAGAGCTGAAGTGCATGCTAGGTTTTGCTATTTTGTCACCATTTCGAGGATGGCAATTGCCAATTGGCATGTGAGTTATTTACTTATTTTCTATAGTTATTTCAGGAAGATTTGTAGTAATATTTGGGACGCTTGAATATTTTTCTTAAGTATGAGTAGGGTTGTGCAACGTTTGGTTTGTAATGGGCTGCATCGGACTCCTAGCAACCACCCCCTACCAATGACGACCCACCACCTCCATCGCCGCCAGTTGTATTTCACAAGGCCTAAGCCTAATAGCACTCCAAATAATTAGAATGAATGGAAGGAACATTTTTCCCCCCATAATGGTCAGAGGTTTCGGGGAAGCACCTGAAAGTTAGCGCCGGTGGGGATATGTGAGGAGGGTTTCGTGGTTGCAGCCTTGCAGGTTAACTACAACATTGGGGTATTCCGTATTCCTAAGTTCTATTTCCCGGAGGTTCTTCGCACCAAATTTTGACAACATGAGGTCCAAAACGGCAAAGCGGAGGAGGGGTTCACAAGCGCCTTTCATGATGGCGTGACGAATGCCGTCGTCTTTGCAGTTTGCGTGTCGGACGTCGGTCATCAACCTTATCCTTTCTTGCTCCCTATTCGCTCTTCACAAAACTTAGGCGCAAGAGAACGACAACCAAGAGCATCTCATTTTGGATTCCTCACTCCTCCCATATGGATTCAACATCGACGTAGATTATTGTATACTCCTTTTCCCTTTTTGTTCAATTAGTGTTCATTTACTTTGCAATTAGTTTACCAAATTGATAGTCAGCGCTGTAAACATTGAACCAGATAAAACAAAAACAAAAATACAAGTTGTGCATTATGTTGTCTTCCAGCCCAGATACACTGTCGTTAGGCGGTTTCGGACCTCGTCAATTAGCCTTCTAACGAGTCCACCAACGAAGCCCAATAAGCTTTTACGAATGTTTGATTTTGGCCCAATGTTGTATTTCACAAGGCCTAAGCCTAATAGCACTCCAAATAATTAGGATGAATGGAAGGGACATTTTTTTTTTGGGAATGGTTAGAGGTTTGGGGAAGCACCTGAAAGTTAGTGCTGATGGGGATATGTGAGGAGGGTTTCGCGGTTGCAGCCTTGCAGGTTAACTACAGCATTGGGGTATTCTGTATTCCTAAACTCTATTTCCCAAAGGTTCTTCGAACCAAAGTTTGACAACATGAGATCCAAAACGCCAAAGCGGAGGAGGGGTTCACAAACACCAGATTTCACGCTGGCGTGCCTAATGCCGACGTCGTTGCGGTTCGCGTGTCGGACGTCGGTCATCAACCTTATCCTTTCTTGCTCCCTATTCGCTCTTTACCAAACTTAGGCGCAAGAGGACGACAACCAAGAGCATCTCATTTTGGATTCCCCACTCCTCCCATATGGATTCAACATCAACGCAGATTATTGTATACTCCTTTTCCCTTTTTGTTCAATCAGTGTTCATTTACTTTGCAATTATTTACTAAATTAAAAGTCAGTGCTGTAAACATTGAACCAGATAAAAGAAAAACAAAAACACAAGTTGTGCATTATGTTTTCCTCAACCTTCTAATTGAATCACCAACGTGGAGATATGTAATTGTATTCTCTATTTTTTCGTCAGTTCATTTTGATGGATATAGTTTGTGGTCTGTTGAACCGATTATGAATTGCTCACACAGTGCTCTTAAAAGCAGCTCATGCCAACTAAGATTTCGGGTGGGGAATCCTTAACTCCAACGCCTCGGCCCATGGGCTAGGATCATGTGACTAAGGGGGGTTTCCTTAGTCATGTGACTAAGTAAATCTCAACCCTTTAAGATCATTTAAATATGATGGTTGATATTAATCTACTTTAATGAAGGGTAATGTAGTAATTACATTACATTTTTTAGTTTCAATTATTAAATAATTTAATAAATCTCTTTGCCGGTAGGAAATTTGGCTCGTCCCATCCCTTCCACCATCCGCCGTTGCTTTTCGCGTGGGAGGAAGGAAGTGGGAACTTTTCAATTACCCACCTTGGTCACGGGGAGGGAGGGAGAGCGAGAGTGAGTTTCAGTGACGCTTTCTGGCAACGACTAAGGAGGCTTTCCGAAGATCGGAGACGGAGGATGGGAATTTTCCGGCGCCAGTGCTGGATTTGTGATGTTTGTCAACCTACTTTGTAATGTTTATAAGTCCGATTTATAATATTTCTATCAATTTTCCCTTGCATTGTTTGTCATTTTTATCTATTATGTTTGTAATGTTTATATGACAAATTTGTATATATTGTAATTTTTAATGTTTGTTAGTCTAGTTTGTATAGTTTATTTTATGATTTGTATACTTTGTATTCATTGATTTGTAATACAATTTTACCGATTTGTATTGTAAGTAGTGACATTTTGTACTGTTAGTATGTTTTGTAATGTTTGTCGATTTGTTTTGTAATGTTTGTAAGTTTTGTTATTTTTGTAATATTTGTCGGGTTATTTTGTAATATTTGTAAGCTTTATATTTTTTGTCCAACATGTTTGTCATTTTTGTCAACCATGTTTGTAATATTTTTATGTCTAGAAAACAACCTGGTAGACTGTTGGATGGATATCCTCTATATAGAGATGGAGCCTACAAAGTCAACCCAGGTGTTTTTCCATTTTGTAAGTTTTGTTAAGTTAGCTTGTCATTTTTGTCCACCATGTTTGTAATGTTTGTATGTTTAAAAAACAATCGGGTTGACTTTTGGACGAAGCCCCTCTATATAGGGATGGAGCCTCCAAAGTCAACCCAGTTGTTTTTTCGTTTTGTATGGTTTGTATTGTTTGTCGGTCTAGTTTGCACAGTTCGTATGTTTTGTATTGTTTGTAAATATGTTTGTATGTTTTGTCGTTTTAGTTTGTAATGTTTGTATATTTGTTTTGTTTATTCTGTTTACAAGTCCGGTTTGTATACTTCGTAATTTTCATAATACCCAAACTACCCCTATTATTAATCAAAAAGTCCTTCCCACTTTTTAACCGTCAGATTGGCGTGTCCAAATCTAAAGGTCAGGAGGGGGTTAGTCAAGTGACTAAGGACCCCCTCTTAGTCATGGGATCCCGCCCCCTCGGCCCACCGTGGTGTCAGTGCCCTGTAATTTCATAGCAACAAACTTGTTTGAACTCTCATGCAAAGTATGCAACAATGCTTGTCTATTTCTGATGTTTGAAGGGAAAGGTAGAGATATTCTACCTTAACACTGCAGAGACTGGACCATGAGGTTTCGCTGTCGCTGAGAACAAAAGACGTTCCCTGCATACTGTCAAGTGCATAAACGACCTAGTTATGCCCCTAAATAATGGTAGCTAAAGCTAATACAAACGCAACATATTGCGACGAAGATAAATGCAGAAAGCTAGCAACTGCACGAAATTGACTGTTAAGCCCACTACATCTCCATAAAAGGCATAATTGTCGGAATTATATGTGCATTTCTAATATACAAAGTATGTCAGCTTTATTACCATAACCGATTTGAAACGACAACACTAAAGGGCTAAATTTAGATGACCAAATCATGTGTGGACATGCCATGGGATGCCAAATTAGTATAAATAAATTCCTATTGAAGTTCTTGACTTTTCGTACGAGTTCAATTGATACGATGGATTTGTATTATTTTCTCAACATATAAAATTTTAACGCTTATCGACCCATTTGAAAGTTCTCCAAAGAAAGTCATTTGTCTCCATCACAACTAAGTAAACAACGAATCTTTTTAAGTATTGATACAACATTTTATTTAGATCGGAAAAGCTTTTACGCGTACTAATTTTCCGGCCAACAGGTTGGGTCCAAACTAGTTCAACCAAGGTGTCTGTCTCCACCTCTTCTTCCTCCCCCCCCCCCCCCCCCCCCCAATTCCACAAAAAAAGTAGAGAAGTAGTGAAAACGAGAGGATGAAGAGCGCACTCTGTTGATGTGAAGGAAGTTTGACTAATCGGGTCGAAACTGTTCCGAGCGATCATTGTTCGGACCGAAACGAACCAAACCATAATGTAATTCGGCTCGGAATCGATTGCGTATTTTTGCTCTTCCCGGCTGATTTTAATCATGTTTGATTCGGTTTCCCTCGTAACCGAACCGAGTACCAACCACTAACCCAGCCCACGGGCCACGTCTTTATCCCTTATCTGTCGTTAGTACTACTCCAACCCATTAACCAATCAACGTATTCCACGCGTGACGCGTCCCCCGACAACCGATTCTTCCCCGTATATAGTTTCGTCATCTTCTCATCGCCGTCTCGGTCGCCTTCAAACCTTTTCGCCCCTTTCTCTCCTCTGCGATTAGGGTTTCCGTAATCTGTTTCGTTACGCCTAGATCTCGCCCTTCCTTCCGATTAAGGCTATACGCGTCTCCGCCCTTCGCCCACCTGGAAAACATGATGCAGCAGCCGGGAGCTGGAGTCGCACCTCAGATGGCTGCGTCGGATCCGCAGTATCAGCAGCAACAGTGGATGATGCAGCAACAGCACCATCCGGTTCCTCCTCCGGCCGGATGGACTCCGCCACCTGTCCCGCCGCCGACTCAGTACGGTGCTCCCCAGCCCGCTGGTGCTGGTGCGGGGGCTGATGAGATCAAATCGTTGTGGATTGGGGATTTGCAGCCGTGGATGGACGAGACTTATCTTATTAGCACCTTTTCTGGCACTGGAGAGGTACTTCTATCTGGGTCCCCATAATAATTCGATTGCGGGTATGTAGTGTGGGGATTGGTAATTGCGGTAAACAATCACCCTGATAGGAAAAAAAATAATTCGATGGTATTTCCATTGGGTATGCGGACAAAACTGCTACTGACTACCTTTTCACTTTGGTTCGAAAGGTTGAATGTGGATGCCATTTCCCCTGAAACAAAGAGAGTTGGGTTGATTGTTGATATCAGTTACCGTGAGAATGAGAATCACAAATTCTTTGTCAAATATTTGCGTGATTGTTAATTGGGCTCTCCGGCTGTTTGAATTTGTTTCTAGTATGGGTTTCTGCAGTTGGCAAATGGAATTGTTGTGTTTTCCCCTGTTGTCGCAGTTGTAAGGTTGGGAACATTGAAATCTCCCGTTGATCATTAGTTTCTTTTGATATTATGCTTATGCAGGTTGTTTCTACTAAGGTTATCCGCAACAAGCAAACAAATTTGCCTGAGGGATATGGCTTTATAGAGTTTGTCAGTCATGCAGCAGCCGAGAGGATCTTGCAGACTTACAACGGGACCCCAATGCCAAACTGTGAGCAGAGTTTCCGGATGAATTGGGCTACCCTGGGTGCTGGTGAGAGGCGTCAGGATGATGGTCCGGAATATACCATTTTTGTTGGAGATTTGGCAGCCGATGTGAATGATTACCTGCTTCAAGAGACATTTAAGAATGTGTACTCCTCTGTGAAAGGGGCAAAAGTTGTCACTGATAGGGCCACTGGACGTTCCAAGGGATATGGGTTTGTGAGGTTTGGTGAGGAGGGTGACCAAATGCGGGCAATGGTTGAGATGAACGGCCAATACTGCTCCAGTAGGCCCATGCGGATCGGCCCTGCTGCTTCAAAAAAACCTGTTGCCCAACAATTTCAAACTGGTATGCTGTGTGTTATGTGAAAATGGCTTGATTGGCTACTGTACAAAATTTTCCTTGTTGATAAGTGTTCCTATTTGATTTTGATTGTTTATTTATGTGGCAATATTACACTCTGCTTTCCTTGTTTTTTAGACTCGATGTTCCACTGGATGAATGCTCATGGGTTGTCTTTTAGATTTGCCTTGATATTTTCGAAGTCTTCTCGATTACCAGTCCTTACAGTTATGCACTTGAGGATAGATGCAATATGAAAGACATTTCCTTCCAGTTGTAAGATTGGGCACATTTAGCTTGGTTAAAACATGCAAAAACTTATATGAAACTATGTTGTCTTAAAGCAGGACACCGAGAGGCTCTCATTTTCGGGGGCCTGGAACTGATTTCAGCTGAAATGATTCCACTTAAATGCGTGGCCTCATTTTAGGTCAGTTGTTTTGATTATGCCCCTAAATTAATTAAATTTCCTGTAGCATTTTGCTACATTCCCGAATTACTTTCCAGCACCTAATTTTCCTAGAATTTTAGGTCGAAGTATAAGCTTACTCCTTTCCAAGCATTGGTTTATTCCTTTCGTGCAATCTCCTTCCTTTTCTCCTTGCTTCAGTTATTTTACTTTCGTTTTGTCACCAGTTTTTCTTAAAATTTGCCTCGCATGTTACCTAGCTGAGTGTGGGCAGTATCTACTATCTATTTCTTGGTCACAAATGTCCAAACCCATGAATTAATATTGGAGATAGTTGATGGTTTATATTTGGTACCATTGCAGTTCATCTTGTTGCTTACATGCCGATATATCCTTTGTGAGAGCAACAACAAAGCCTTTGTCCTTTATTGTTAAGATAGGATCTACTTGTGTCGCATCTTGCAATATCTTAGTGCCATGAGTATCTCTCAGCAGTATTCCATGTCATGAGTTGTTTTTTCCCCAGCATCCAATTTAATCCTTCCCATTCTTGTTACTGATGGCATGTATTGTAAGAGAGCTAAAGGAAATAGGTCTAATCAGTAATTTTTTATTGAGATTTGCATTGTATGGAATTGGGCTGCTGCATCCATGTCGTTTTCTTCATTCACCTTTTCTGCACTATAATTCACAGAATGTTTGCCATCAGTTGATATTATGTCTTTGCAACAATGAAGAAAGCTACCCATGTTTATACTGTCTGGCACATGTGGGAAGATAGAGATTGGGCTAGGAATAACCCCAGATGATCCTTCCTACTCAAGCCATCTCTTTGGATGCCTTTATTTATGGAACTGATTCTCGTTTTAGGGGATTATCTTCTTGATTAATGATTCCATAATGTTACAGCTGTGGTCTTTTTGTGTGGGGCCTTTCTATCAGTTGTAGAAGTATTTTAATCTGACTGGGCAAAATCATGTTGGTATGGTAGTCGTTTCTATCCATTTAACTCCCTTATTCAGGTGAGACCTTGGCGAGCTGTGTGTTTTTCGGTATAGTATGTTCATGTGCGAGGTTGTTTTCTACTTTTCAGTTTTCTGTTGTTCAATGTTGTTGTTTCTTTCCATATGTTCTTCTGTGTGTTGTACCTAATCCATTCCCCCTGCTTTATATATATGATAGTTGTGCTTTAATGTGAAATTGTAGTTGTATGATTGTTACCCTAGCTGCCTGAATGCTAGCTCTTTGAGGTCATCTATTAGTTTACGCATATTTTTCGTTTGCAGCTACTTACCAGAATGCTCAAGGGAGTCAGGGCGAGAATGATCCAAATAACACTACTGTGGGTAGCTTTTTTTATATTTCCTGTTTGTACCAGTGTTAGTGGACATGGCATATGAATCCTTGCGGTTGTCTTGCAGATATTTGTTGGTGCTCTGGATCCCAGTGTATCAGATGATGTTTTGAGATCAGTATTTGGTAAATATGGTGAGTTAGTCCATGTGAAAATTCCTCCTGGGAAGCGTTGTGGATTTGTTCAGTTTGCTAATAGGTAAATACCATGATTGCTACACCCTTTAACACCATCTGCTGAATTCTTCGTTCTGATGTTCTGTTATCCTTGTCTCTAGATCCTCTGCAGAGCAAGCACTACAGATGTTGAATGGAACTCAGTTAGCTGGACAGAGTATCCGACTATCTTGGGGACGTAGCCCGTCGAACAAGCAGGTTAATAAACGCCTTCAATTCTTGCGTTTTACTTGATTCATGCATTCCGCCAGTATTAGTTGCAATGATAGTTAATTAAATATGGTGCCCTGACATACGAATTAAATACGGCTTTAGACTGGTATTAATTGCATTTTAACCAACCATGGTTACAATCATTGATATTTCCCAGGCTCAACCAGAGCAGAACCAGTGGAACGGCGGTGGTGGATATTACGGATATGCTCAAGGATATGATGCAGCAGCAGCATATGGTTATGCAGCCGCTCCACAAGATCCTAGCATGTACTATGGAGGTTATCCTGGCTATGGAAACTACCAGCAGCCAGGAGCTTACCAACAGCCGGGACAGGTTTATCAGCAGCCACAGCAGGTATAGTAGGCCTTGCTACTTTAATTTCTTGCTCTGGCTTAGCATTCCTTTGTCTGGTCGGTTATATAACTCGTATTTCACTTTCGCAGTGATTTCTAAACCACCGTTTGGCATCCATTGCCAAACTCAGAGCAGAGAGGACCATCTGCGGGGCTTTGCCGTGGCTATGGATGTGAGGTCCTTGCGTTTCACCAATTGACAGTGTCCCTATTGGGTTGGCGCTGGGCTTTCGTGCTGCTGCTTTCTATTAGAGGCTGTTAGGTTCTTTACGACGATGATCAGTGTACTGTGCAGATACTGTGTTGTAATGCCTTGATGTTTGTGGAGGTTGTGTACTGCCCCCTAAAGGATTGTTTGCTTTCTACTTTGTGGAATTCTGTTTAACTGCGTCAATGTCTATCATGGCATGTCTTCATACTCCTAGCAAATTGGTAATCATGCTCCTTTCTCATTCTCGTCAAATTGATGGAGTAGTGAGGTTTCTGATCGCTAATCTCATGAACTAGTTTCAAGATGTGGAATGTTGATTGGTGCCGAAAGCTGAGGAACGATCATTACCATGGAACTGTGGTCTTCTTAAGATCAATGAGGTTATGCATGGTAACATTGTACCCTGTTTGTCGATTTAGCCAGCATTTGTAAAGTTGCAGTCGCAATCTTAACCAGAGTTGCAAAGTTGCCTATCTGTTATTGGTGCATGGCGTCCAAAAGCTTCAGTTCCAGAGCTTCTTGCTCCGCTAGAGAAATGGAGTCGTCTAGTACACTTTCTTTCTTTCCTCTAGTTTCACCATCATCATCATTACCACAATATATTCGATTCAGTATAGTTTGGTCTGATGCGGTCTATTACGGACCAAACGTTGCACACCCCTATCCATACTTAAGGGGGAAAAAAGGATTCTAGCGTCCCAATCTTCAACCACCAGGTCTCCTACGACGATCACAGTCCTTTCACTACTGGTGTTGGACTCCTGGCCACCGCTAGTTGTGACTAGCAATCCCACCAAGTTGTCCGTCTCCACCTCTTCTTCTTCTTCCTCCTCCTCCTCCTCCTCCGACGCACCACCTTTATTGCCATAGAGAAAGTATAGAAGTAGTGAAAATGAGAGGACGAAGAGTGTTGCGCTCCGTTGATGTGAAGGATGTTCGGCTAATTGATCTAAACTATTCTGAACCCAGCATTGCTCGTATCGAAATTAATCAAACCAAAATGCAATTCGGCTCGAAATTGATTGCATATTTATGCTCTTTCGGTTGATTTCAATCATATGTTTGGTTCGGTTTTTTAGGGAGTCGGACCGAGTACCAACCGCTAATCCAGCCCATAAACTTGTAAGCCCACGTTCCTTATCCCTTATCTGCCGTTAGCGCTACCCCAACCCACTAACCAATCAACGTATTCCACGCGTGATGCGTACCCCGACAACCAATTCTTCCCCCGTATAAATCAAAGTATCGTCATCTTCTCCTCGCAGTCTCGGTCTCCTTCAAACATTTTCGCTCCTTTCTCTCCTCTGGGATTAGGGTTTCCCAATCTGTTTCGTTACTCGTAGATCTCGCCCTTCCTTCCGATTAAGGCTATACGCTTCCTCCGCCCTTCGCCCACCTGGAAAACATGATGCAGCAGCCGGGAGCTGGAGTCGCACCTCAGATGGCTGCGTCGGATCCGCAGTATCAGCAGCAACAGTGGATGATGCAGCAACAGCAACAGCACCATCCGGTTCCTCCTCCGGCCGGATGGACTCCTCCACCTGTCCCTCCGCCGACGCAGTACGGTCTTCCCCAGTCCGCTGGTGCGGGTGCGGGGGCTGACGACATCAAGTCGTTGTGGATTGGGGATTTGCAGCCATGGATGGACGAGACTTACCTTATTAGCACCTTTTCTGGCACTGGAGAGGTACTTCTATCTGGGTCCCCGTAATAATTAGATTGCCTTTAGGTTGACCTACGGGTAGTGTGTGGTGATTGGTAATTGAGGTAAACAATCATACTGATTGGAGAATATAATTGGATGGTTTTTGCATTGGGCGTGCGGGCAAAAATGATACTGGCTACCTTTTTCACTTTGGTTAATAAGCTTTGATTGTGAATGCCATTTCCCGTTGAACCAAAGAGATGTGGGTTGATTGTTGATATATGGTACCGTGAGAATCAGAATCTAGAGTAAAAAAATTGCGTAATTGCTATGTAGGCTCTTCGATCGTTTTGAATTTGTTTTTCTAGTGTGGCTTTCTGCAGTTGGGAAATTGAATTGTTGTGTTTTCCCCTGTTCTCGCAGTTGTAAAGTTGGGGAACATTTAAGTCTGCCGTTGCTCATTAGTTTCTTGTGATGTTATGCTTATGCAGGTTGTTTCTGCTAAGGTTATCCGCAACAAGCAAACAAATTTGCCTGAGGGATATGGCTTTATAGAGTTTGTCAGTCATGCAGCAGCCGAGAGGATCTTGCAGACTTACAACGGGACCCCGATGCCAAACTGTGAGCAGAGTTTCCGGATGAATTGGGCTACCCTAGGTGCTGGTGAGAGGCGTCAGGATGATGGTCCGGAATATACCATTTTTGTTGGAGATTTGGCAGCTGATGTGAATGATTACCTGCTTCAAGAGACATTTAAGAATGTGTACTCCTCTGTGAAAGGGGCAAAAGTTGTCACTGATAGGGCCACTGGACGTTCCAAGGGATATGGGTTTGTGAGGTTTGGTGAGGAGGGTGACCAAATGCGGGCAATGGTTGAGATGAACGGCCAATACTGCTCCAGTAGGCCCATGCGGATTGGCCCTGCTGCTTCAAAAAAACCTGTTGGCCAGCAATTTCAAACTGGTATGTTACATGTTATATGCAAATGGCTAGATTGGTAAATGTGCAAAGTGTTCCTTGTTGATAAGTATCCGTATTTGATTTTGATTGTTTCTTTATGTGGCAATATTACGCTCTGCTTTCCTTGTTTTTTAGACCCGATGTTGCACTGGATGAATGCTCATGGGTTATGCCTTTTAGATTTGCCTTGATATTCTCGAAGTCTTCTCGATTACAAGTCCTTTCAGTTATGCACTTGAGGATAGAAGCAATATGAAAAGTCATTTCCTTCCAGTTGTAAGACTGGGCACATTTAGCTAAAACATGCAAAAACTTATATAAAACTATGTTGTCTTAAAGCAGGGCACCAAGAGGCTCTCTTTTTCGGGGGCCTGGAACTGATTTCAGCTGAAATGATTCCACTTAAATGCGTGGCCTCATTTTAGGTCAGTGGTTTTGTTCATGTCCGTAAATTAATTAAATTTCCTGTGGCATTTTGCTACATTCCCGAATTACTTTCCAGCACCTAATTTTCCCAGAATTTTTGGTCGAAGTTTAAGTTTACGCCTTTCCAAGCATCAATTTGTTCCTTTTATGCAAGATCCTTTCTTTTTCCCCTTGCTTCAATTATTTTTTAATACTTCCATTTTGTCACTTTTTCTTAAAATTTGCCTCATATCGTACCTAGCGGAGTTTGTGTAGTAAATTTCCTGGTCACAAATGTCCGAACCCATGAATTTATTGTAGAGAGTTGATGGTTTAGGTGTGGTATCATTGAAGTTCATCTGCTTGCTTGTTACTACTTATTACATTCTGATATATCCTTTTGTGATAGCACCAACCAAGCCTGTGTTCTCTATCTTTAAGATAGTATCTACATGTGTTGCATCTTGCGAGATCTGAGTGCCATAAGTATCCCTCAGCAGTATTCCATGTCATGAGTTGTTTTTTTCCCAGCATCTAATCAAATCCTCCCATTGTTAGAGAGCTAAAGTAAATAAGTTTTTCTAATCTGTAAATTTTCGTTTAGATTTGCATTGTACTGAATTGGGTCACTGTGTTCAAGTTGTTTTCTTCTTTCACCTGCTCTGCGTTATAATTCACAGAATGGTTGTCATCAGTTGGTATTCTGTTTTGCAATGATGAAGGGAGCTACCCATGTTTGAACTGTCTGACACATGGGGGAAGGTAGAGATTGGGCTAGGAATATCACCAGACGATCCTTCCTAATCAAGCTATCTCTTTTGATGCCTTTATACACGGAACTAATTTTTGTTTTAGGACATTATCTTCTTGGGCTAGGAATGCCCCCAGATGATCCTTCCTACTCAAGCCATCTGTTTTGATGCCTTGATACATGGAATTCTCGGTTTTGGGCATTGTTTTCTTGGTTACTGATTCCATAATGTTGCTATGTGTAAAGATTTGTTGCAAATTGATGGATGTCAGCAAAAGCTACTTGCAAAGCTTATTGTACGCAGTTTGAGTGGTTTGTATTGCCCTGTCGATATTACAGCCATGGTCTTTTTGTGTGGGAGTTTCTGTCACTGGTAGAAGTATTTTAATAGAATTGAGCAAATTCATGATGGTGTGGATGTCGATTCTATCCATATAACCACTTATTCAGGTTAGACCCTTGCGGGCTGCGTGTTTCTTGGTATAGTATGTTCATGTGCGAGGTTGTTTCCCACTTTTTCTGTTATTGAATGCTGGTGTCCCTGCTTTATGTATGTGGTAGTTGTGCTTTAAAATCAAAGTTGCGTGATTGTTATCCTAGCTGCCTGAATGCTAGCTCTGTGAGGTCATCTATTAGTTTACGCATATTTGTCATTTGCAGCTACTTACCAGAATGCTCAAGGGAGTCAGGGCGAGAATGATCCAAATAACACTACTGTGGGTAGCTTTTTTTTATTTCCTGTCCGTACCAGTGTTAGTGGACATGGCATATGAATCCTTGCGGTTGTCTTGCAGATATTTGTTGGTGCTCTGGATCCCAGTGTATCGGATGATGTTTTGAGATCAGTATTTGGTAAATATGGTGAGTTAGTCCATGTGAAAATTCCTCCTGGGAAGCGTTGTGGATTTGTTCAGTTTGCTAATAGGTACGTATCATGATTGCTACACCCTTTAAGGCCATCTGCGGAATTCCGTGTTCTGATGTTCTGTTATCCTTGTCTCTAGATCCTCTGCAGAGCAAGCACTACAGATGTTGAATGGAACTCAGTTAGCCGGACAGAGTATCCGACTATCTTGGGGACGTAGCCCGTCGAACAAGCAGGTTAATAAATGCCTTCAATTCTTGCGTTTTACGTGATTCAGACATTCCGCTGGCATTAGTTGTAATAATAGTTAATTAAATATGGTGCCCTGACATACGAATTAAATACTGATTTAGTATGTGTCCTAAAGAATGTGGAAAATGAGATGGTTCAGTAATAGTATGGTAGCTTAAGTTTTTTATGCATAAATACGTTATATACGAGCAGTAGACTGGCATTAATTGCATTTTAACTAACCATGGTTACTATCATTGATATTTCCCAGGCTCAACCAGAGCAGAACCAGTGGAACGGCGGTGGTGGATATTACGGATATGCTCAAGGATATGATGCAGCAGCAGCAGCAGCTTATGGTTATGCAGCCACTCCACAAGATCCTAGCATGTACTATGGAGGTTATCCTGGCTATGGAAACTACCAGCAGCCTGGAGCTTACCAACAGCCGGGACAGGTTTATCAGCAGCCACAGCAGGTGTAGTGTGCTTTGCTACTTTAGTTTCTTGCTCTGGCTCAGCATTCCTTTGTCTGGATGGTTATAACTCCTCGTATTTCACTTTCGCAGTGACTAAACCACTGTTTGGCATCTATTGCCAAGCTCAAGAGCGGAGAGGACCAGCTGGGAGGCTTTGCCGTGGGCTATGGATATGAGGTCCTTGCGTTTCACCAACTGACCGAATCCCTTGTGGGTTGGCGTTGAGCTTTCGTGCTGTTTCGTTTTATCAGAGTTTAGGTTTTTGACGATGATCAGTGTACTGTGCAGATACTGGGTTGTAATGCCGTGATGTTTGTGGAGGTTGTGCACTGCCCCTAAAGGATTATTTACTCTGTACTTTGTGGAATTCTGTTCGACTGTATCAATGTCTTCCCTGGGGGGATGTCTTCGTACTCCTCGCAAATTGTTAATCGTGATCCCACTCATTTTTCGTCAGATTGACATAGTGAGGTTTTGTGATTGCTAAATCTCATAAACTATATACAAAGGTGTGGAATGATGATCGTTGAAGATAGTCGGGGAACGATCATTACCATGGAACTGTGTATCCTGTTCATCGATTTAGCAAGCATTTGTGAGGTTGCAGAATAACATATCACATCGAAACTAAGATTACACGAGCAATAGAATTCTCTAACTTCTGTACTTTCCCATGTGTCGCATCTTAGACTTGAGAAGCATATCATAAGATAAACAGGAGCATCTAACATGAAATGCACAACACTAGCAACATCAATCAATAATATAATTAGTACGCGGAAACGAAAAGAATGGGCAAAAGACAGTGCAGGCTTCCTTTCACAAAATTGCCAGCCACACTCTTAATCTGAGTTACAAAATAGCCTATCTGTTATTGGTGCATGGCATCCAACAGCTTCAGTGCCAGAGCTTCTTGCTCCGCTAGGGAAATGGAGTCGTCTAGTACACTTGCTTTCTTTCCTCTAGTTTCACCACCATCATCGTCATCATTATCACTATTGAAGTAGATCTTCGATCTTTTCGGTTTCCTTCCATTTGTTCCTTCATCTCCCCCTGATCCAGAGAGGTCCTCATCGCTACCTTCTTCTTCATCCCCAAGTCCTCTCTTCAACTTCATCTTCTCCTTAACTCGCTTGTCTCTCCGACGTTGACGGTCAAGAACCTTGTCTACCTTGTCCACTTTCATCAGCTCTTCCCTCATCTTTTTATAATACTCGTCCCTCTTGTCTGCGCGAAGAGAAAAATAAAGGAGTGATGGAGTAATGGAACCACCTTCAGAAAGCAAGCCAGTTGGATATTCTGCTACTATATAAGTTGCTATTGACGGATAAGCTGCCATGCAGGCGATTGTCTAGTGAGACGATGAGCCATTACATAGTTAACGTGGCTTCATTCAAGAATACACACAGTGTCAGTGTGACTAGTTGACGAATAGAATTTACCTTTATCAAGCAAAGACAAATCATCATCATTGTTTGCTCCAGCCACCCTTGCTAGTGGAGGAAGTGTATTCCCTTGCTCATCAAAGACCACCCTCGTTCCAACTGGTCTGTGGATGTTGATCTTCAACTTCTTCTTCTTCTTAGAAATACGGGTTGGAAGCCTACACAACACAACATCCAGAGGCAATGTAAGGCAAAACGTATCACAATAGATGGTTGCCAGCCATAACGACTAAGTCCAGACATCAAATGGAGCAAATGTAGCTGGATGGCACTCTAAATAGAGCAGATAAAAAGAGACAGGCAGTAAGGATTAAGACTGAAGTACACTGCATCTCCAAATTCCACTGATTTCTCAATGCCCTCATTTTCGGTCTGCTTAGAAAGAAGAAGATCCTTTTCCACGTCCTCATCCTGAGAGTCATTTAGGTTCAGTAACTCAGCTGGTAAGTCCAAGTTTTCCTCTCTTAACTTGTTGGTTTCTGCCTTTTGTCTCTTTGTCTCTGCTGGAGGCTCCCCTCCAGAAGTTTTCAGTTCAAGGACAGAAGATTCTCCAACCGACAGCCGTTTGCCTTTCAGTTTTTTCACAAAACGGATATTAGGCGTGAGAGGCAGACCCATTGAAGCTGCAAATTCGTCACTGGGTAATTTCTCCACATCAAACACAGTTTTATCCTTCTGAATGTATATACACCGCATGTATCTTATGAAGGCCTTTGCAGCCAGCTCCTGCAGTTCAGAATGCTTCACCAACAAAGATGAGAGCAGTCCAGACACTGGTTGTAGCCTTTTCATGTTCGGCTGAAATTTGATAAACCATGAAAGCATGTTCAGTAACATAAAAAAAGATCTCCCTATGTTTTGGCAGTTGATCGTATTGCAAACAGAATGAGCAAAACTGCCTCAGTCATAAGAAAGAGTCTGTTGACCTTTATAACTTGTATGGGAACTTTGGCTGCTTTCAACTTATCAATCATTTTCATTTCTGATGGCGTCAAAAACAGAACAGATCTCCCTCCAGACAGGTATCTCGCAGTACGACCAACTCTGTGTATGTAGGATTCAACATCTTCTGGACAATCCGCCTGAAAAACAATGTAAAATATTCTGAGCAAGAAAACAAGTGACTAGCAAAAGCACTGTTATTGTCAGGGATTCAAAATCTTGCCCACCTGTACAACCCAGTCAACTGCTTTGTTGAAATCAAGACCTCTAGCAGCCACATCCGTGCAAAAGAGAACTGATCGCTGTTCGCAGAATTGGGAATAGATATTTATCCTTCTCTCCTGCTTCATCCTCCCGTGCAGGCATTTTAGCGGAATTCCGGGCCGCAACTTCTTAAATGCTTCAAAAACAAATTTCACCTAAAATCAAGGAAATTATCAACGGCAGGACAAACTTTCAGGTAATGAAAGAAAAAAAAAATACTCCAATTATATGATGCTTGTCTATAGATAAAAAAACACGGCAGAGTGCACAATATGTACCTGTTTGCAGGTAGAAAGAAAAACGAGAATTTTGGAGTTGAGATGTGCCTTAACAAAACTCCATAACATATCCAGCTTTTGGTCCAAAGGAACAGTCATAACTGTCTGCTGCAGACGACTAGGAGTAGCACTCTCGGCCTTTTCATGAACACTAATGTACTCTGGGTTCTTCAAACTGAGCCTTGCAAGATCCTGAACAGACTTCGTCTGTGTTGCGGAGAAAAGCATTGTTTGTCTATGCTTAGGAAGCTGTGAAACAATTGCGTTCAAAGATTTCTTGAAACCAACATCGAGAATACGGTCTGCCTCGTCCAGGACCAAAATCTGTTTTCCAAACCAAGAGAATTACACTCAAATTAACTATAGATGACATGATCTGTCAACAGGAACACTTATAAAAAAACTAAGCATACAGGAAACCCAAATTCTATACAAAGACCTGAGGTTGGCAGACAAGAATTGAAACTAAGCAAATGTGATAACCAAATAAAAGAGATTTCACCCGCACTCTTCATCTAACTTCACATAGTAGAACCTAGTATGAATACTTTATGAGCACACATTGATCATTTGAAGACTCAATCTACTGCCAAAGGAGCAGGAGAGGGATTTGGAAGCTAACTGCACATTAAACCTGAAACGAAGCACATCAAAATTTCGAAGAAAATCCACTCATTAACTAAGTGCAATGTACTGACCTGAAGTTGAGAACACTCGAAGTTGGGCGTCTCATCCATGTGCTGAAGAAGCCGGCCAGGGGTACAAACAAGTATGTTCAGCTCATTAACACGCTCCTTCTCCATCTCAACATCCTTCCGGCCACCAATCAACAGTCCAGCACTGAAGTTGTGAAATTTACCAACAGTTTTCAGAACATCAAACAGCTGACCAGCCAATTCCCTAGTTGGGGAGATTATAATGCTCCCCACTCCATCCTCAGGACCCCACCTCTCCTTGTGTAACTTCTCCACTACCTGCGATCAAATTGCCCCGAGTAAGCATAAACACAAAACCTCCAACCCCATTAGTAAACCCCGAAAAGGGTCCGGTAAAAACCCATCAAACACGCCGGAATTACTCACAGGGATAACAAAAGCCAAGGTTTTGCCAGACCCAGTTTTGGCAGCACCAAGGACATCCCTCCCACAGAGCGCATGGGGCAGGGAAGCTCTCTGAATCTCGGTCATATTCACGTATCCAGCCTTCTTCAGCGCGTCCATCGTCTTCTTCGATAGCGGCAATTCGCTGAACTTCGTCGCCGCGGAATAAGCAGAGAAACTGCCGTCGTGGAGGCGTCCGACCGGTGCATTGTCCGGCAGCGGCTTGAGAGCAAGAGGGTTGGAACTGGAGTCTGGTTTCTGGGACTCAATCCACTCGTTCAATAGGGAGATTTCATCCAGCTCCGCTGACCGCCGCTCCTTTCGATCTGCCTTGGACTTGGACTTAGACTTGGGCTTGTTTCCCATGGCCTTTGCTTGTAAGCAAGAAAGGATCTAGCGAGAGTGGTGAATGTAGGGTGAAACCCAGGAATAGTAGAAAAGGGCAAATTTTAGAGCTTTTTGGCACGCAATTTGTGCAGAGCAGCGGACAGGGGAGGTCGGGGTTTAGGGTTTATGGAAATGGGTTCGCGGCTCTGTTGTTCTTCGTTGGCTAAAGAACGGCTGTCAATTTTCTTTTTTCCTGTCTATATTCCCTCCTAATTTTTAACCTAAATACTGGACCACTAATAAAAAAGAACCAGACCCCAAAAAAGGGGAAAACGCAAGTCGTTCCCATAATTGCCATTTTGCACAAACCTTCGATTGAGGCTCCACTCGCGCTTCTCTCATCTCTGTTCGTTCGTTTCCCCAGTTTCAGTTCTTTCAGAAAAAAAAAAAAAACAAAGCCCAAATTGTCGATTTCATAGATCCGCTCTAACCAAAAGTTTTCTTCCCTTCCTTTTGCTTCCCAGTTACCACAATTTTGGTTACGCGCTTGTTTGTTGATTGTGGGAAAGAAACCCCAACCTCCCCTGTTTCTGTCCCCGTCTCTTGCTCTCGAAAGGCTTTTGATTTGGCAACTTCGGCGGGTAGAGCGAAACATGGGTTGCCCCAATAGACGAGAATCTGATCAAGCTGATCCGTGCGTGAGCGACGCCTTGTTGATTGCTACTATGTGTATCATTGGTCTCCCTGTCGATGTGCATGTTAGGGATGGCTCCGTCTACTCCGGAATCTTCCACACTGCCTATGGTGATAAGGAATATGGTGCGCGCTTCTGCCTTTTCTTTTGCTTTCTTGCCATATCTTTGGTGGTGCGGGGTGTAATTTCTCATCAGAATTGAAGCATTGCTGGGTTGTTGTGTTTCGGGGGGGATTTCATCTGGGTTTACTGTATTATTATTTGTTGGGGACTTGGGGTGGGGATGTGCATTCATCTTGTAAGATTGGAATTCTTTTATTTTTGTTTTGGGTTGATCGGTTGCTGTGTTTGTATGAGCAAGTAAAGTTAGGTCATTCTCCTGCTGGCTTGATTGTTTACTTTCTGCAAATGTGTCTTGAATCGGACAAGTTTAGATGGAGCGTGAGAATTCCTATTGCTTGACTGCCAGAATGTGTTTTTCTCTATCGTAGGGGTTGTGCTGAAACAGGCGAAGTTGACTAAGAAGGGAAACTGCAACGTAAATGTGAGCGTTGGGGGTATGGTAGAGACTCTTATAATCTTTTCCAGCGACCTTGTTCAAGTTGTTGCCAAGGTATGTCACCATGCTGTTTCAGAAATCTGCTGTACTTATTTCTTATGTATAGTGATTTGCTGATTAGTCTGATGAACTTCTGGTGTCATATCTGCAGGGGGTTTTACACCCAGCAGAGGGCATAAACTGTAAGCTTACAGATTGCAACGTTGAAGCTGCTGTAACCAATGGCTCTTCAGAGGTTTCAGTTAAGGAGGCAAAGCAATCTGAAATTTTCTCTGGGGATAGGCAAATAACTGAGCAAAGCAGGTACTTCTCATTTGCCTGTAGCTTGGTTCATGAGGACCTGACATATTGAAAAGGATGTTATTGCATATTGATATATGCTGCTACTGTGGATTTCAACTAGCAAAGTACTTTTATGAGGTCCCATACTGAAGGCCCCTGGTTTATTTCATGGAAATACTATGCTAGTGAAACCTTCTTCATATTGAAAGGTTGTCTTTGACTCTTAAAAGTATGGAGAAGCTATATACAAAAGGCAAAATCAAACACTCATTCCATACATGCTTTCTATGGATACTACGCAATGGTGACAGCCAACAACTGAAACATGCATTTGATGGCCTTGCTTTGTCCAGAAACTGTTATCATCCTGGGCCATCCTGTCCATGACATGACTGTTGTTTACTCTATCATGTTTAAGAGAAGTGCTTCATTTGTATTGCATAGTAGTGGATAAGTTGTTGTTCCTAGCGCCCCTCTATGACATTTCTGCGAATCTTTGAGACTCTTGTCAAATTTTGCTGCAGACAGATTGGAGATGCATTGGCTCTGGTGCCAGAGGGACAGTGCAAACAAAAGCTTGGGTTTCAAGCCAAAAAGAGTGTATGAAAATTCCAACCAATTTGTTTTCTTAGATAGGATCTGAACTCTTGTGAAAGTGGAGATAATTTATGAACTAATTATCTATCATGGTAACTCTGGGCCTGCGTGTGCAGGGTGATGAAATTCAATGCTCAGCCACAGCATGTAAGTTAACTGGAAAAAACAGCGCCTGAATTTCCTTAAAGTGAATGTTTCATAATTAATGGTTTCCCATGACATTGCGGAGCATCTGTCTCAACTCAATTGCCAATACAGTGGTTATTCTGTTATTGTGGGTTACTTGAGCCATTATAATTCTTACCCCTGACGTTTAGTCTATGTTATTCTTTATGCTGTCTATGCAGTGGGTTCCTTCCATACAGAAGTCAGACCTCTTGAGGGTGGATACCTATCAACGAAAATCTTGCCTAATGGAGGGTGTCTAGAACCTACTCCTGCACTTGGTAAGCTAGCCAATGGATTCTGTGATAGGCCTGCATCTGCAGATTCCACCTCTGCTAGTGGCACTTCTTCAGGGGTTTCTGTTGCTTCAGATCCTGTGTCACGGCATAATTCCTTAACGACATCTTCTGATGTACCATCTCCACAAAGTTCAGAATCCAGTAAAAGCTCTAAGGTAAATATTGATAGCTTATAGCGCATTGAATAAAGCATTAAATTTGTTTTTGTTTCTTTTAATATTGAAAGCGAGTAATATTCTGGGGCATGGTATAAACTTGTACTTCAGTTTCAGTTTGCATTCTTCTAATAGAGCTGATAATTGTGGCGATTGCTGATCGAGTATGTTATCTGTTATTGTGTTTTAGGAGTTTAAGCTCAATCCTGGGGCCAAGATTTTTTGTCCCTCTTTTGCAAGTTCTGCGTCAGCACCTTCTCCTGCAGTACCAGCACTTGGTGGAATGGCTTACATGCCAAGCAGCTCCCCCATATTACCTATTCCTGCTCCTCAACCTGAAGTCAGCATTGGCCCTTTTGCACCTCGGCCTTCTGTCCCTGCTAAGATTTCTCCATTTAGTAACTTGATAGCTGGAAATGGTGGCAACAACTCACAATTTTCACATCCTGTATGTTCCAAATATACTTGCATCTCTTTCATTCCCTTGTTGTTCTTTTTCTCAGACATGTTACATCTCAAGTTCTCAAAACCTTCACAAATAAAAAAGGCTTCTTGATCTTGGATGTACCTCTTAACTTGAACTGGCCTAGTGTAAAGTCCCGACTGTTTTGTATGAGAAATGCATAGATTGGATATGTGTTGGTCAAAACTGAATCAGAAAAAGAGGGGGGGGGGGGGGGGGGGGGGGGGGGGGGGGGGGGGGGTTACTCAGTAGGCTTCATCATAGAATGTATATGCAAATGTTTGGGCGGTTTTGTGCTAATTGCAGAACTTCTATCTTGACAGATTGTTGGCCACATGGGAAGCCGGACACCACCACTGAGATATGCTGGTCAGTATCACACTATACCTACTGGACCTGCATATGTGCCCCCAAATTCTCCTCCTGTAAGCAAAATGCAAATCTCCTCTAGTGTGACATTCATTTCATCAATAACTCTCCCAAAATTGATTATTGAATATTTATTCACTAGATGCTTTTGTACAGTTGATTATTTATTCTAATTCATTCAATTTACCTGCTTTTGTTTCTACAGCTAATGGTTGGACGGTTGGGGCAGCAGCTTGTCTATGTGCAGCCAGTTGCCCATGTAAGACCCACTCTCTGCCCTTGGGATTGTCAATTATTGTTTTATTGTCATTTATTTTTACAAGCTTGTAGGAGCATGCTTTGTAGTTGGACTAGCTAGCCAGTCATATGACTCATATTATAATACATCATGAAGTAAATTGGTGCATCTGCCTACTAGATTCTAGCTGTTGGTGCTGTCAAATTGAACATAGTCAGTTCAGTGATCTGCTTCGGCTCCCTTCTTTGCTATCATGCTGAATTTAGATGTTATGAACCAAGACTCCAGGCAAAGACATGGAAGTACTGATGGTACCCTTCTTTTAGCTATTGACAAACCAATTGCATCCGTCACTTTACAATGTAATACTCAAACTTCCAAAACCTTACCCATGTCCTTAGACCTGAACGATGACCTAAACACACCTCTAAACTACATCAAATTTAAAGAGAATGCCAGCAACACACCAACCCACGAACCCATTGAAGCTCGACTCATATGCCCACATTTCTATTTATCAACATGTTTCCTGTGTTTGTTGTGTGCATACTCCTCGATATGAAATATGCGGTCTAAACGTGCAACCCATGAGGTTACCCCTTCATAACCTGCATATCAACTTATTTTACTGGGTTTCTAACTTAAATTCAACTTATTACATTAGTCGAGGATTGCTTTTACAGCTTCTTGAAGTCTTTCCACCCTATCAATATCCCAGAACATCTGCATTCAGTTCTCTGACTTTGTTTTCATATTAATAATAGGATTTACTTCAGAGTACTGGAGGTATGTCGCAGATGCCAGTACGTCCCTTGATTGGTCCTCACCAGGTTCAATATCCCAAACACCAAGGTATGTGCGCCCAGGGAATATGTATATGTTAATATTCTGACCACTAGTATTGATCAATGATCAACTGCAGTTTCAGTAATTCTTCCGCTTCTAGGACAAATTCTACTATTTGTGACGCATTTCCCCCACTTGTTGGCCCTGTTGGTTTGGAAGCTGTATGGCTCGGGGTTCTTATGCTTGTTGGATATCCCATTTGTGAAATGCAGGGAATGCAGTAGTCAGTGGTCAGGGAATGCCAATCTGTATGCCGCCTCCATTTGTGGGTGGAGTGCAGCAACCATTTACAATGCCAGGCCACATCCCACTCTTGCCACCTCCAATCCCTGCAAATCGTCACATTCCTGTTCCATCATCCAACCCTCTCTTTGGCACCAAGTTCCCATGAACATTCAGCCACTGGCTTCCCAATTCTTTGTATCAGACAATAAGAAATTTTGATCATAGAGTCTACAGTTCATAGGTAGCACAAAATGTTTTTTTCTTCTTCTTCATTTTTATCAACTGTGAAAGGGGAAATGGTAAAGAGGGTAAAAAGAAATGCAACTTTCTCTGCATTTGGAGATGTCGGGCTTTTTTTTATTGTGGGATCAATTTTGTTAGACTTGTTGTCAAGTTTACCGTAAGACGAGAAATACAGGTTGGTTGGATTTTGGTGATAGGATTTTGTTGATAGTTAAATTGATAAGTTGTCATCAATGCATACAATTGCTTAAAAAAAAATAAAGCTATCGATGCATGCATAGTAATATACTTGTACATAAGAAATTAGTAATATACTTGTACATAAGAAAATTGAGAGTTGCAGGCACACCGTCGTCAAGACTTTCCATTGTCACCTCTTAGTAAATGCATAACCTCGCTAGTTGTGGTTTCTATAATGGATTCCTCGGTAGATTCTTGGTCCACGACTGTATTGGATGATGGATTGGATTAAAAAAAAGTAATTGTATGCGTGCATAATAATATACTTGTACATAAAAAAATTAAGAGTTGTAGGCACACCGTCGTCAAGACTTTCCATTGTTACCTCTCAGTAAATGCATAACCTCGCTAGTTGTGGTGTCTATAATGGATTCCTCGGTAGATTCTTGTTCCCCGACTCTATTGGATGATGGATTGGATGAGTGTGCAGTCTTATCTCCTTTCATGGAGTGTTGAGGCGTGATAAAAACAACGAATATTCACACAAACAATCAAATATGAAGTGGAGAAGTGGTAAAATTAGGCTTATTAAAACTCCATATATAAAATTTAAGTAAAGTGATCATCATCATAATGCAAACTCTCTTTGCTACTTTGTTAAGTTTAAATCTTCAATCCGATTTCCTTTCAAAAAAACTTATTTTCAATCCGAAAGGATTCGTTCTCAAGCATTACTAACTATAGAATTCGAGACAAGGGAAAATAGTGGTAATTTTGTTATATTTTGGGTATTCAAATTATCGTTTGCTCCTCATTGACATCTTCAATTTCCTAATAAAAGAAACCGAAAGTAGATTTATTTTAGAAAAGTTATCATTTGGCTAGCATTTTACATTTGTTACGTACTCATGAATATTCTTGAGTAGAAGATTAGTGCTTGTAGAATTGAAAAATACTATGAAATTGAACGCAAAGAAAGGTGGGAAATTTGTGTGTAATTCCGACGAGATTGAAAGTTTAAAATTAGAAATCGGATGACACATCGCCACTATGTCGTCCTTGGGCCTTCGGTCAGATTTATTGTTCAAAGCCCGTGGTCAAGATAAAAACGTTTCTTTCATTTTCCTAACCTCAATTCATTGCACTTCTACCTTCAAATTTTTTTATTTATTTTGGAAGAGTTACTTTCAATTAAATCCCTAGAATTCTGATCTCATTTGTTCTTGTCAAAGTTCGAAGAAAATTGGTACAGATAATTTACAGGCAAACAAGAGAAGGGCTAAAGCATCTCTCGGGTAGAATCGTCTCGCGCTCAACGATCCAACAGGCACTCCATCCGGTAGATGTCCCCAGCCAGCAGGCGAATCGCCCGATTCCGTTTCTCTACCTTTCCGTTCAATTCTTCTTCCCAGGGCGCTTCCTTCTTCGCCGGATTCTCATCGTGTCCGTGAAACAGGTAAAGAAATGACGTTGCATTGCATGTTCTGCACATCCGGGGTAGGTCGTCCTTGTATTCCATGTCGTAATTTCTTACTTTTGGGTCCATTTCACTTTTGTAATTTCGTGTGGGTTGTTGATGAGACGGTCGAAGAGTTAAAGTTCGGATTTTGAATATTGGGTATGCTTGGTCTTTGATTAGAAATGATGTTTTGCATTCTATCATTGGAGAGTTTCCATCTTTCTGTGTAAACTGATGTTATGAAATCAAATTAAGCTGGATGTTCCTGCTGCTGCTGTTCTGGTATCTTTTGTTATTGAATCGGGCAGCAATGTTCCAAGGCTGTGTCCTCATTGTTTCTTCCTCTTGACTCCCTTGGTTTCCTGTTCAGGTAGTGCATCTGTAGCATCTGCTGACCTGGCCTTTAGTCTTGACGGAATTGGACAGAATTCTGTCACCCCTTGGCAGGCAGAATTGTGGGGTGTTTATTGGTGTATGCTATCGACCGTGCTAGTCAACGAAAATGAGTGTGATTGGTTTTGATATTGGTAACGAGAACTGTGTTATTGCTGTGGTAAAACAAAGGGGCATTGACGTGTTGTTGAATGATGAATCAAATCGTGAAACACCGTCTGTGGTTTGTTTTGGGGAGAAACAGAGGTTCCTTGGATCAGCAGGTGCCTCTTCTGCTATGATGAACCCAAGGTCTACTGTAACACAAGTAAAGAGATTGATTGGAAGGAGGTTTAAGGATCCTGAAGTTCAAACGGACCTGAAAATATTCCCATTTGACACGTCAGAAGCAAAGGATGGTGGCATTTTGATTAATTTGAAATACTTGGGTGAAACACATTCATTTGCCCCTGTTCAAATTTTGGCAATGTTATTTTCACATCTGAAAGACGTGGCGGAGAAGAACTTGGAAATGCCGGTTGTAGACTGTGTGATAGGAATACCATCATACTTCACGGATTTGCAGAGACGGGCATATTTGGATGCTGCTAAAATTGCAGGTTTGAAGCCTTTGAGACTGATGCATGACTGCACTGCAACTGCACTTAGTTATGGTATCTATAAAACAGATTTTTCTAGTACGGGGCCAACTTATGTGGCGTTTATTGACATTGGTCACTGTGATACTCAGGTGTCTATTGTATCATTTGAGGTTGGGCATATGAGAATAGTATCACATGCTTTTGAAAGCAACTTGGGTGGGAGGGACTTTGATGAGGTTTTGTTTGGTTATTTTGTGGCTCAGTTTAAGGAGCAGTACAAGATAGATGTAAATTCTAATATCAGGGCTTGTATAAGGTTAAGAGCAGCATGTGAAAAGTTGAAGAAGGTTCTAAGTGCAAACTCAGAGGCACCCTTAAACATTGAATGCTTGATGGATGAAAAGGATGTTAAAGGTTTCATCAAGAGGGAAGAATTTGAGAGGCTGTCGTCAGGTTTGCTGGATAGAGTTGGTATTCCTTGCAAGAAAGCTTTAGCTGATGCAACCATCACTGTGGGAAAGATTCACTCAGTCGAGCTTGTGGGATCTGGATCTAGAATACCAGCAATTGCTAAGCTAATAACTTCTTTATTTGGAAGAGAACCCAGTCGGACATTGAATGCAAGTGAATGTGTGGCTCGTGGGTGTGCTCTGCAATGTGCAATGCTTAGTCCTGTATTTCGTGTAAGAGAATATGATGTAAGTACTAAGTACTTTTCATATTAGTTTGATACCTTGTAGTTTTCCTGTTCCAAAAGTTGCATTCACTTGCTCATATTGGCTGTTAGTGTTGACTGCCAAATTCTTGCTTCTTCTCCCATTTTTTTCTGTGAGTGGATTGTGTTCTTCTTTAATGCTTAGGTACCAATGCATTTCAATTCTGTGTTATTACTGTAGCCTTTGATATATTCATTTCATCATAGACTCAGTCTCCTTGTATTTCCCCTGAACCCACCCCCCCAAACTAACACGAGAAATCGCAAAACGGACTATGGACATGTTTTGCTTGTATAGTATGCTCGTTCAACGACAGTTAAGGAACTTCTAGCTGTGTGGTATGCAGGTTCAAGATTCAAATCCTTTCTCCATAGGGTTCTCATCAGACGAAGGCCCAATTCGCACACCCTCATCAAATGGCATATTATTTCCTAGAGGCCTATCCATTCCAAGTACCAAAGTCTTGACATTTCAAAGGAGTAGTCAGTTTCACTTGGATGCTTTCTATGCCGATCCGAATGAACTTCCAGCGGGTGTCTCTTCCCGGATATGTACTTTTACGGTAAGCCTTCTTTTCGTTAATGTTGAGGAGATGGGGAAACTCCTTGGTCTGAAATTAGTTTCTTCTGCCTTCTCATAAAGATTTGGTTACTGATTCGGACTCCCATTGCATATAGTTCTTGCCTTGTATCTTTTGGTTTCATAATGATAACTATGTGCTCGGGGTGTTTACTTTGTCTTTTTCCGTCAATGATGCAAGATTTGTGTTTATGTTTCTGTTTTTGCTAAACACACCAGTCTTCGATTCAATGTTCATGCTGGTGCTTTTAGGCTTCGAAATGCCAAAGAGAGAATCATGCTGTGTTAAGAATATTGTAACTAGGCGTGTCCATAAGTCTACCCTTTGAAGCCTTTTCGTGATGGCTTCCATATGTTTGGAAAGCCAATTATGGATAGACATTTAGGAAATGAGAGTATTTTCCCATCTTTGATTGAGATGTAAGGATTCAGATAGTTAAGAAGAGTCACTGGGACTGAATTATGTTTCAGTTAGTTAGGAAGAGTCTCCAGACACTCCCTAGGGACATTTCTGTCTGCCTCAAAATCTGATTGGAGAACGAACATTCAGCTTTTTGGACGCTTGCCGAGGGAGGAGATACAAGAAACACCTCTAGCTGTTAAGTGCATGGATTCAGATCAAACTTCCATTAGACGTATGGTGAGATGGTGGTTAGGCACATATGAGATCTGTTAGTAACAAGAAGCCACTTTCTGATGTCTGTTGAGGGGTTTGTTTGATACACAATGCTTCCCACTTTCTTTTTTGTGCTTCCACTATAAATATTACTTGCCATTGATTTTGCACCTTAGACTTCTCATTCTCACGGATGGTTCCTTTGTCGATTACTGGTGCTCTGAAATTCTCTATGTAGATTGGTCCTTTACAAGGCTCCAATAGTGATAAGGCAAGGGTTAAGGTTAAAATCCAGCTAAACCTCCATGGTATCATCACTGTTGAGGCAGCTATGGTAAATAACAACCACTTTCATGCAATCTTTCAATGATTAATTTGTATCTTAAGATCTGATAAATAATTGAACTTTAACATGCTTATATTTGAAGGTTGTTAGTGGTGATGGTGATGACGTTAGTATGCAGTCCCCATCTTCCGATGCTTCAGTAAGTTCATTCACATTATATAATTTATTTTTCAATTGATTAATCATCCCCTATGTTTATGAACACATCTAAGGTCCTTTTTTTTTTAATTGAGGCCAACAGGAAGTGTTCTTCTATTTGGCCTTTTGCATAGGTCATAGTGTGTTGACTTGATCTACTAGGCGTTGGAGTAAATGATGACAACAACTGTTTCTGCAGGCTGATGGTTCGAGAGATAGAGGCAACCGTAGGATCGAGATACCAGTGAGTGAAACTGTGTATGGTGGAATGACAATGGCTCAGCTTTCAGAAGCCCATGAGAGGGAACTTCAACTCACCCAACAGGACAGAACTGTGGAACAAGCCAAGGAAAAGAAGAATGCATTGGAGTCGTATGTCTATGAGATGCGTAATAAGGTACACATTGATCGGTGTAAGAATATACAGTTCAACAAAAGGGTGGAGGTCATTCTGAATTTATGTGCATGTTTAGGAGAACTATTGGTGTATTTTGGTTTGGAGCTTTTTTCGATTCACGGATTTTGAAGATTGATAATGTGTGACGTGCAGCTTTTTAACACATTGCGGAGCTTTGCTAGTGATGAGGAAAGGGAGGGAATTTCAAGGAGCCTACAAGAGACGGAGGAATGGCTTTATGGAGATGGAGATGATGAAACTGAGAATGCGTACACGACAAAGATGCAGGACTTGAAGCAGGTAATCCTGTTTTTCTTCAAACTTTGCCCTCTCAAAGTTCTCTTTTGGCTGACTTTTTGTACCTCGAATTTCCATTAGTTGGTGGATCCAGTTGAGAACCGATACAAAGACGAGGAAGCTAGAGCATATGCCACAAGAGAACTGCTCAATTCCATTGCAGAGTTTCGAGCTTCATCAGAGTCTCTTCCGAATGAGGACAGAGAACTGGTACTATAACATAATAGACGAGACTTGCTCACTTGAACGGAAAACTTGACCAATTCATTACTGGAATCATCTGTGGGTCTCCTGATTTTGCAGATGATGCACGAGTGCAATAAAACAGAACAATGGCTGAGAACAAGAACAGAGGAACAAGAATCCAAGCCCAAAGACATTGACCCCGTGTTATCGTCCAGGGATGTCAAGCACCAAGCAGAGTACCTTAACTCGTAAATTTCCATTTCATCCAAATTTCTATTCCGGATGACCAGCGGTTTGTCATTTTAATTAATCTTGATTGATTTTTCAGGACATGGAAGCAGATACTAAGAAAGAGGGCTTCACCAGCTAATTCAGGAGACAGCAAGGGTTCAGATCGGTAAAAGCAGCAATGGTCAAAGCAATGGAAGATTCTGGCAGACAGCAGTTTCCCATTAACAGGATAAAACCATTCCACATTGTGATACTGATCCTTGAAATTTTTGCATATTTTCAAAGATATAGAGCTTAGAGAAAGAAAAAACAAAAACATGAAAGAATCCAAGGAAAATTAGCCCGTAGAAGATGTCATCTCTTTACCAGTTTCTGCAGCAACTCGTTACTGCAAATCCACAGCAGATCGTAAAAACCAAGTGTCGCCGAGTGAAGCCATGGCAGTTAACCTGGAGTTTGCACGTTCTATTGGTTTCATTGTGCACAGAATCACTAAGGAACTTGGATTTGTATGATGTAGAATCTACAGACATTGTGCCGATTGATTCTTTGAAAACTTGAGTGATTTTGTGTGCTCTCAATTTATCTGTCTTCTTGCCCATTTGTGGACAACTCTATAAACAAATGACATCACTGAAAAGTTTCCGACTTTCTGGAGACAGGAAATTATGAGTATGGGAATGGAAAGAGAATCGAATTGGATGCAACATAGTTCCCCAAGCTTCAAGCTTTCTCTCTCTTGCAGGTGGCTTTCTTTCTAGTCTTTCTGTATCCTCCACTATCCTGCGGACATTCAGAAAATGAGAGAAGCAAGGGAGAACACATAAACCAAGCAAAAAGAAAGAAGTCTTCTGAGACTTACCCTTTTGAAATATCTGTATGCAGCTTGCCCAGTAAGCTCCTGACCGTTTCTGGAGACATAAACCTGCAGCGGGAGGGAGAGACTTACGAATCGCGAGCAGCACAAGAAAGCTTGAGAACATGAAGGGAAACTCGTGGAATATACCTTTCTTCCTTCTGGAGATGTAAACCAATGACCAGCAGCAGCTTGACCACCTGCCTGAACTCGTCGTTTACCGGCATCCTTTGGGAGACCAGCACTGGTTCTAGGGTTCACCCAACCTTGAGAAGCAGCTCCTTTAGCATCGGATTTCCTGGCTCTCTTTCTTCCTTTGCTTGTTGATCCCTTGTCCATGTTGCTTCCGCCAGTTCCCTTGTCTTGAGGGGTTCCCCCAAATTGACTCCTGAAATGATCGAGCAACAAAAACAATCAAATTGATCACACAATATGCTCTACAGCAGAAAATATGAACGAGCTGTGTAGAGCAGTGAGTTTACATACATGTAGTCAATAACTGATTCACTTGGCAGCAGATTCCCTCGGGCTTTAACCACGCCAAGGGGGAAGAAATGGGGCAACCGGTCGCGTACTAAGCTCCTAATCCTGGCATCATCGTTGAAGAAATAGTGATGGGCTGGAGGAAGAGGGTCATCTACGTTCCAGCATTGCTCAAACTCCCCCATGGCATTTCGATTCGGATCATGACCTGCTCTGGTACTTACACTCCCTTGAGTTTCACGTCTATTCGCGGCTGCATCCTTATCTTTAACAGACTGGAAGTACTCGTTGCAGAACTCATCTAAAGCAGGTGTTGCAATCCGAACATTCTGCATCGGACTGAAGTCCTTCCACAGGTCCTCGATCCTTCGATTGTTCCCTGATGATTTTCCACTATGCTCAGCGGATTGTGACCCGACACGTTCAGGTTTTCTGTTCACGTTATTGCCAATGAGAGTAGGCTCGTCGTCAGAATCAATCAGCTGAAATCTTCTGAGAGGACTGGTAGTCAGCTTGGGGAACACCAACCCACTCTGGCCCGTCTCTAAGCTTGATGAAGCTGGTGTCTTGAAAGCCAGCCCCTTTCCCTTTGCCACTGACGACTGCCTTGATGATTGACCGGTTAGTACTCCGGATCCACGAAGCGTAACTTTTGAACCACTACTGCATACAGAGTTGTGCTGTCTTGACGGAAGCAAATCTGCAATTCGCAATTTTGAAGAAAACCCTAATCTCTTCCCCCAATTGAGATGCTAATGGTCTGATTCCCAATTCAACCTAGGGTTCTAATTTCAACAAGTGAATAGTAGTAATAAGGATAAAAGCTTGGAAATTTACCTGCGACAAAATCGTCGTCGTCGGAAGAGAAATCTTCAATATCATCGTCGGCATTCACATAGGGAATGGAACTCTTTTCCGTTCTCAGCTCCTTAATTGCAGGTCCTCCTCGCCTCAGGCGCTTGAGGATTGTGTGACGCGAAAACGGAGGCGTCGTCAGCTTGGCCTCCCCATTTTGTTGCTCGTCCTCGGAATCCATGGCGACGGAAGCTTCGAAAGCCCTGTCTTCATCGTGTTCTTCGGGCGGTAGTCGGCAGCTGCTCGTCGGCCGGGGAGGCGACGGTGGAGGGATTTCCGGTTCAGGCTCGGCGTCGAAATCGAGGTCGAAGCCGAGGGAGAAGGACGGAGGTTCGATATCGGCCATTTTCGATTGCTACGGCGGGAGCCGGGAGGAGAGTAAGCGGGTTAGTGAGCGACGGAGGTCGGAGAGAGCTAAAAAGAAATGGTTTTCGATTTTTGAAATTGGAGCCAAATCCATTTTTCGATCATTTTCCCTCCTCTGTTTCTTTTATCATGAGTAGTAGCGACGACGGAGGTGGGGAAGCGGAGTCTGAATTTGGGCCGTCCAAAGCAATTGGGTCAGCCCAATTTTGACTGGGCCGACCGATTGAATGATCCAAGACCCACATTGTGCAATTTGTGTGTGGCCTTCTGTGTGTTTTTTTTAATAAAAGATAATCATTGATATAAGCAATCGAAAGTTACATCGTGGAAACAAGCCAAGTCCGAAAATCAATATGCCGACTCATAGTCGGGTACAAGAGAAAAGGCATTTCTAACCACCAAATGGGCTACCCTATTGTTACGCCGACCTACAAATCGAATAGTCAAACCAGGATGGGGTCTGAAAATAGTATCCTATCTCTTCAAGTACGGCCCCCACCCGGTTATCTCTAGTATCTACCTTGTTGATCTTATCGATGAGCACTTTAGCATCCCCTCCCAACCTGACCTCCAAGAAGCCGAGCTCCAGACACCAAACAACAGCCTCCCTAAGTACAAGCCTTCTGTGTTCAACCATGATGGGAGTTAAGAATTTTTCATTAGTGACTACGCAGCTCATTATGATTCGACAAACCCTATCTAAAAATGTCAATTTTTTTTATTTAGTGGACAAATGCATGTTAAAGTAGTACAAATTATATTCCTTTTCATACAAAATTAAATTTCAATATAATATTTTACAATAATATTAATTAATTTATATTATGGATCATGGACTTAGGTATAGAAAACTAGCAACGTCTCTCTCTGGCAGACCACATGCCCGAGCTCACGTGCACCAGGCGGAAAGCGCGCGCTTTCCCCCCATCATTCTCTCCGAAACGACGTCGCATCGCCTTCCTTCCGACACCGCAGCGAATCCAATGATTTTTGCTACAGAACAAAAATGGAAAACATGAAACTAAATAGAAATACGACGAAAAAATTACAGTAAAAAAAGAAGAAAAAAAAAATAATGAGCAATAATACTATCGTACACCTCCCGAGCTCAGAGAAACAAACGCTTCCTTAACCTTTCTCTTTCTCTCTCTCGCTATCTGGATCACAAAGCTCCCTGCTTTACAACTTTCCCCACTTCCAGACACACATATCATCACGAACCTCGCGACCCATTTAGCTTCTCTCTCTCTCTATCTAAAGCTCTGATCTTTTGGGCCGTGCTTTTTTCGGGTGTCGGGTCAATGGCTGATTGTGCCGGGCAGCAGTAATGAAGGTCACCCCGGGGAGACCGCATTCGTCGGCGGCGGTAGTGGGGGCTTCGATTCTTAGTTCCAAGGGGTTTAATCAGAACCCGCATCAGCAAATCCCCGATTCAGATCTCGTCAGGCCGACACGGCGCAGGACCCGGGGCCTGACCCGGTTGAAGCGGGTCGCCCCTTCGGTCGGGCGGCGGAGCCGACCCGAGACGCCGTTGTTGAAATGGAAGGTTGAGGAGGGCGGAGCGAGGAATGGTGGGGATAAGGAGGGTGGAGATGATGATGCTGCGGATGAGGATGAGGAGAAACAGGGGAATGGTAAAGAGGAGGGTAGGAGAGGGAGGAGCAAGAGAAGCAGTGGGAGCTCTGTTTCTGCCAGGAAGCTAGCTGCTGGGTTGTGGAGGTTGCAGTCGCCGGAGAAGGCGGTCGGCGGTGGTGGGGAGCGGAGGAGGAAGGATGGGTTCGGATTTCAGGTTAGATTGCGAAATGTGATTCCTTTTTTTTTTTTGTTTTTGGTTTTTGTTTCATTGTGTGTTGTTTTTTCATTTGGTATGTTCTGTGCTAGAGGATTTGTGTGGCGTTATTATGTTGGAGGAATTTTGGAGTGATATGAGTTTAGGGCGTATTGAAGGGAATGATTCTGTGAGATTTGGAGTAAATGAGTGTAAATTGTTGAATGCAATATGGTTTGTAGGTTGGCTTACCTCTCAAGTTTTCGCCATTGACTTCTTTTGTGGTAAAGGTTTGCTGGTGCTCTGATTTTGGTTATTCCTATAGGCTATAGTTGATTGTTCTCATCTAAAAGGTTGAATACTTTATGATACTATCAAACCGAGTAATTGATTTGTCTCTATTGACATTTAATTTTGTGGATTTTTGTGATAATGGTTCTGCTGATAGGATCTCATTGATTCATTGATCATAATGTACTATGATCTCCTCAGCATGCTATATTGCTGAAATCTGTACCCTTTTGCCCTTTCTATCTTTATCCTCGTACCGGATCCAACTGAGCATGTTCGAACTTGTTCAGTCATACCTTCCCGGGATTTGTTTTAGAAAAACTTTGAGAAGGCTTTTTTTGCTGACCTTGTCTCCAGGAGATCAGGAGTTTTGTTATTGTTAGGTTTTTTGGTGGCTATAATCCATTTGTTCACTCGTTGGGGTTTCTTTCAATGAATCGCATTCTCAAGGTTTTCTTCATCTCCTTGTGTTTGTTGTCTCTTGTAGCCAGGGGCTGCTCATCCTGGTGCGGTACCCCATCGAACTGAGAAAGTTTATGGTTCTGATTTGAAGGATCCATTGCATAGCCCTACTTCCGGCTCTGCTATGACGAACCGGTTCTTGTGTAAGGTGGGGTTAGTTCTGGAGGTTTCATATTTGCTATACTTAACTATTGTGTTTCTTTCCCAATACGGATGACAGTGGGAAATGTGATCTTGTTGCCCTGCTCACTCAAATGAGCATAATTTTGGATGGTTTCCTTTCGACATATTGATGTGCTGCAATCGCCAAAGATTATCTGCAGAAAAAGTCATGATCATTTGTTCTAGTTTTAGTGGCCGAACCGTTTGATTTAGCAATGCATATCCTATACCATGAGTTATGAATTATTTTATCTTAACATGTATGAAAAATTAATGCGGAAGTTTAATTTACTTAAGTCTACATGCACAACAAATTAAATCTAACAGGTGAGTTGTTGACTGTTCGGCAATTAAGTTGAACACTGTGTGAATTTCGGTTTCATGTACTTAATTTGACATTAGCATTAAGCAGAAGGCACAATATCATCAGTGCTGGAGTCATGTAGGAAGAAGGCATAGTAATAATATATGAACAAGAACTTAATGCTGCTTAGGAAAATCTTCTTGTATGTAGGACTACCTAGATATCTATTCTCTCGAGTACAATACAATTTAAGCTTGGGACTGATATGCTAGTGCTTACCTATCCAGGGAGATTTGATTTTCTTTATTCAGTTATTACCTTTGGCCTTGTCTTCCATCTGTCTAACAGTGTAGCTGTTTTTGGTTCTTTGTTGTTAGCTTGAACCTTCTTTCCAGTTCTCCAACTCTGCAATGGAGGGAAAAACCAAGTGGGATCCAGTCTGCTTCGAAACACCAGATGAGGTACGCCAGATCTACAGCCACATGAAACGTCTTGATCAACAAGTTAGCGCTGTCTCAATGGTTTCCGCCCTCGAATCCGAGCTCGAGCAGGCTCGAACACGCATCCATGAACTGGAAACTGAACGACGGTCCTCGAAAAAGAAACTTGAGCACTTCCTAAAGAAAGTCAGCGAGGAAAGAGCTGCATGGAGGAGCAGAGAGCACGAGAAAATCCGTGCATTCATCGATGACATCAAGTCAGACCTAAGCCGCGAGAGGAAAAACAGACAGAGATTGGAGATTCTTAACTCGAAGCTAGTTAACGAGCTGGCTGATGCAAAGGTATCCGGGAAGCGACTGATGCAGGACTATGAAAAGGAAAGAAAGGGTCGGGAGTTGATCGAGGAAGTGTGCGACGAGCTCGCTAAAGAAATTGGGGATGACAAAGCTGAAATTGAAGCAATAAAGAGGGAGTCAATGAAGCTGCGTGAAGAAGTTGACGATGAGAGGAAGATGCTGCAGATGGCCGAGGTTTGGCGTGAAGAACGCGTTCAGATGAAGCTGGTCGATGCCAAAGTGGCTCTCGAGGAGAAGTATTCTCAGATGAATAAGCTTGTAGCAGATTTGGAAAGCTTTTTAAGGTCGAGAGGTGCTGCAATTTCAGAAGTTAGACAAGTGGAGTCTTTAATGCAGGCTGCAGCCGCCATTAATATCGAAGTGGTGAAGGAATTCACATACGAGCCCTCTAACCCAGACGATATATTTGCTGTTCTTGAGGAAGTCAATTCTGGTGAGCCAAATGATGAGAGAGACATTGAGCACTGTTCGACTGCTTTCAGTCCTGCTAGTCATTGCAATGGCTATGTGATTAATCAGAATGAGGAGATAGAAGAAGATGAAAGCGGGTGGGAGACGGTGAGCCATCTCGAGGATCAAGGCTCGAGTTTCTCCCCCGATGGAAGTGTTCCATCTGTCAATAAGATTCACAGGGATAGTAACGTGTCAGGGAGCGGTACAGAATGGGAAGAAGACAACATCTGCAAGGATGCCCATATTGCAGAAGAAATCAGTGAGATTTGTTCTTTGCCGAACAATAGGCAGGCGAAAAAGGTATCTGCAATTGCAAGGCTGTGGAAGTCTGGCAGTAATGGGGAGAACTACAAGATCATATCAGTTGATGGAATGAATGGTAGGTTCTCCAATGGAAGGAAATCAAGTGCAGGGATGGTATCGCCAGATAGGGGTTCTGGCAAAGATGGAGGAGGAAGTTTTAGCCCTTCTGATTTTGTAGGTCAATGGAGTTCATCACCCGAGTCGGGGAACCCCCACATAACTAGAGGAATGAAAGGATGCATCGAATGGCCGCGAGGCACCTTGCAGAAGCACAATTTAAAGTCGAAGCTTTTGGAAGGAAGGATGCAGAGCCAGAAACTCCAACTGCGCCATGTACTGAAGCAGAAGATCTAGAGGTTAGGAGATGCCCCCCAAGAAAAGGAAGCACTTGCTTGATCATGTACCAATTTCTGTAACTGTAAGAGCCTATTGATCCAAATAGTTCAGAGTTTATATCTTTATGGGCGTATAGAGCCCTTGTTGTTGATCAGTTTGTTGTATATGCCCAAGGGGATAAAAATTCAGCTTCATTTTCATTTTGGACCAAGGTTTCTTTTGGTATACAAGTGGAATTTCGTATTTGCTTTCTGGAAAATATTCACTGCTTGGTCACACTACAGATGTATTAAAGAACTTTTGAACATCTATTTGTAGTGAATCATGTCTTCAAATCATTGAGCTACAACACGAAAGTTGAAAGAAGTTTGCAATTCAATTCTTGGATACTGAAGAATCCAATACACTGTGGTTCAAAGAAAATAACAGTAGTTCCACGGGAGATCTTTGTCATTTATATTCTTGGAAGTTGACATGCCCAGTAGCTTGTGCATGCTCCACGGCTTCCTGAACATTGACATTCAAGTAAAGAACATATAAGTCGACACAATCTAAGCCAGTGCAGTTGAAGAACGAAAAGCAATTGCAGTAGACGGGTTACTAAGAAGAAGCAAGTACCTTCTGACCGATAACACCAATTTGGCATACGCCACACCTTAGTGTGAAGTTTGCAGTGTCCGTGTAGCTTCTTTTCCTGCCAAGTATGGAAGTTTCTTTATCAGCAGGATGAAACCTGTCTTGGAAAGAAAGGAAAACATGTATTCCCTTGATCAAAGTACATCAGATACGAAGCACTACCTTTGTTGATCCTTAACAAGATTAAGAGCAAGCCCCTCAATAGGCCCAATTGTCCTGTCCCTTTGGACTAGAAATATGGTCTGATCAAACTCCTCGGGAGCTTCCTCAACTGGTGACATCTGTTTATGGGCAAATGGCAAGAGAAGCAACCAATAAGGAGGTATACATTTTTAAGTCAGTATCTAGCTTTCTAACTGCTTGGCGAAATCTGAATATAATCAAAATCATCAGGTGGAAGATGAAAGAGGAGACATACAGCTAAAGCATCATAGTGGAGACCATCATAGATGAGCATCACTCTTTCAGAGTACTTCTTGTCCTGTTAACATAAAAAAAATAAAAAAAAGATCGAAAAATCAAATTTGGCAATTCAGAGGATAACTACTATTAACTCAAGACTAAAGTAATCATAACACTACTTACCTGACCGTATAAATCACATCGAGTGGTTTGAATGTCATATGCTGCAATTTCACGTCCGTAATAATCGGCCAATATTGCAAGCTCAATGGCACCTTCACGTGAGAAGGAAGAGAATGTACATGAAAAAGGGATATTGCTCTAGCTTGACAGGTAAGGAACAGTTACATGCATGTTATATTTTTCATATGCTTTTGTTATAAACAAGTATGAATTGGCTACGAAGAGGGTGGACAGAAACTAACCCATTCAATCACAATTAGAAGCTAATGCATTTAGAGAATTTGATCCCAATCATCCAGTTCATAATAGAAGGATGGCCAAAAAGACATCTAGGATGGGTTCAGAAGCGGAACATGGAACATTGATTTTCACATGGTAGGCAAACAATTTATGGTTAAGGGATATAGATGCAACAAACTTTGAACCGTCTATAAGTGATTTTGTACATTAATAATCAGGAGCTGCTCTATGTATTGTCATAGAACAAGGTTCAATGTAGATTTTCTACAGAATGGGATGACGGTCATTAGGGTATTAAGCAGGTTTGTAAAACCTTCTATCGGTTTTTGCTCACGGATATGGTTGTTTATATACTTTGCTCATTTTGAAATAAGCATTTCACTAAGTTCTCCGGTAAGAGTTCTCAGGATGTAAGCAGCACAGGTAAATGAAATTGCTTATGGGATATTCTCTCAACCAGACTACAGGAAACAAGCAAACATACCTCCCCACTTCTCCGAATCAAGAATCCATGCACAATATTCTTGATTTGGTTTTCCAAGGAATGCTTCATTGTACTTTACTGGATCACTTGCCACTGTTGCAGCTATAACCTTCAAGGGAATCACAATCAAACATAAGATCAGTAAACCAATACTTTGAAAGGTATAAGAGATGGAACAAAGCGCTTTTGAACTCATCAAAGCAAAGGCAATGAGAGCATCCATGCTTAGCTAGTCAACAGGACAATGCCCACCAATTCTTATCATGCAATATCATTGTTGATTCATTGTCAATCTAACTTCTGAAAAGTGACAACATATATACTACAAAATGCTTGAATCCCTCAATCAATCTCACTTCATTTTGTAAGCCAGTCTACATAAAGAACAGGAATTTGGCATGGTTGGATGGTGCAACAGTTTTCTGATTAAAAATTATTCAGATCGGTAATCAAGTATTCACGCACTAAGCATAAGAGTAATCTATGATCGACATGCTAGTCTACCTAAGAAATTCATCGTGCATGTTTAAGTTTGGTATATATATATATTCGATTTAACATTAATTTCGTACCAGTAATCAAGAGGCAGTTTATGCCAACAAACACTACTGTTTTCTTCAATTTAACATTTATCAAATTTAGTAAAAAATGGAACGCGGGAACAAAGCCTACATAAACCAAAGAGATTAGATGAGAACCTGTCTAAGCTCAGGAGCTTTATTTTTGTTGTGGTCCATAACATATCTGCATGTGAAATTTTGTCCAAACAGGCATAGTGCAAAAAGGATGAGAAAACCATCCCGACAAAGTAACGATAAACAATGTATGAAGCAAACATATAGACCAGAAGAACTGTACCCAACGGCATTGAAGAGGCAAGAATTGTCCGAGGGAATGACCCTTCTCACAACAGTTCCGTCCATTACCTAGCAAACTACAATCCCTGAAAATTTTGCATGAACCGCTTAGAAGGAAGGCTGCTAACCAATTCAGCTGGCAAGTCTACGTATCAAGAAGCTCATGGCAATAGAATTGCAGTCGTAAATGGTGGCAGTAGACTAAAAAAAACATAACATGCTTGCCTGCTTGAAAAGAGAAAGTTCAAGGCTTTTGGAGAATCCAGCCTCTGGGAATTGAACAATTCAACAAGAGACAATTGCGTGACAATAGGTATAACGGTAAGAAATCAAGCATAGCTAGAATGGTGAAGCGGCTACACAGCAATCGAAACAAAATGGAAAAGAACGCAAATCACATTTCACCAACCAAAACCTCCAAACCGACAGCAATACAGTTGACATACCACAAAATGAAGAACTAAGCAGAGCTCCAGAGAAGCACAAGCAAAAGGAGGAGAAGCAAATTCCAGGTAAAGGCGACCAAAACCCAGAAGCCTTTTAATAACAAGAAACAAATGGCTAAATATGCAGATCTATCCACCAGAAACGAACCCAGATAAGGAAAACCGGAGATTACTGAAGGAATCGAGTGAGACCCACCAGAGGCAGAGAGGGAAGGAGGCAGGGGGCGGAAGACTTGCTGGTTGCTGTTGCTTGACGAAGGAAGGAAGAAAGAAAAGAAAAATGAAGAATTGCAAGAGATATATCTAATCTGGCTTCTGGGTGTCGTTAGTTGGCGTGCCGAATGTTTGAAATCAAAACCTTTTAAAAAAGTTGCCAAATTCGGATGCCGCTCTTGCGTTTCATTCTTCATCTTCTTCATTTGTCCCTTTCTCATCACCATTCATTTCTCTGTCGTCAGCCTTGGGCTAACTAGACGAATTCCTAATTAATTTGATTTGAAGAGAATTTCACTTGTCCGGAAGAGAATATGAAATTCGAATTGAATCGTTATTTTATCTCGTTTTTGAATTAATTCAACAAAAACAATCGGGTCAAAATCATATTTCAAAGAAGCTTATTCATAATGTCGTTTTTTCGCTGGTGAATTGGATGGAAATATTATCATTACGTTAATAACAATTATGATTTATATGGTATAAAAAAAATTTAGCATAAAAGTGGAAGGAATTATTGAAGATGCAATATTACAAGAATGAAAGAAATGTCCGACAATGAGACGTCGGTTAGATAATTTGACCCAATTGTCACGACTCATATGGATATTGGGTTAGACCCAAATGCACTTTCAATGATTTTGGACAGAGTCTTCGTGTGCTTCGTTTTGAGCGAGATCGAGAAAGAGCGGCGTAGCAAATATCATTTTCTTCTTTTGGGTATCCATTGATCCGTGTCCAATTCACGTCCAAACTAAAAAGTTGAGAATGAGTTTTCCCCAAAAGTTCATTGCTTAATCTTCCACTTATTTTTACGTCGAAATGACGATACAATGGCCTTCCAAAACGAAATACCAAAGGACACTACATAATAGCCATGCCTCAAGAATCAAGACGGAATCACGATTATACATTTGGACAAGTATACATGATTCACTCAATAAAGCAAGTGAAGTTCCAAAATTAGTTACCAAGAATCGTAGAATCTCGGGCAGAGGTCGAGTAGTCTAGATCTGTACATATAATTCGACAAAGTTATCGACTTAGCACGACAGTATCTGAGGTGCAGGTAAGGGAGCATTAAGGCAAAACATGGAGGGCTTGTATCAAAGAACAAGAAGCAAATCCTTATGATCAGGCTGGCCATCAATCAAAGTTCATCATCTGCAGCTTTAATCCCTGAGGCTACAGCAGGCGTGTAATGCAGGAAACCCTACATATCAATTTATCATATCACACAACAGACCCAACAAATGACTACTACCTGCTTAATTTGCCGTCGCCACAAGTGCGTTCCACTTTCAATACACAAGCCATGAATTTGTCAGCGTGCATTCCAGTGCCAGATTTTCATTGCAGATGCAATGATCGATTGCAGTGAAACATACGGATTAAACAGTCGGAAAATCTCATTTCAAACAAAATGAAATAAGAATACATTACGACGTCTCTCTATGTGGCTATCTAGACATGGCTAACTACATTCAGGACAAGTTTATAGTAAAAGACCAAAGAGGTTGCAAAACAGAACAAAATTCTCGAGCAATTAGATAGAAGCAACGCATCAGTGAGCTGCTTAATATGTTTAAGTGCGAGGAAACAGTTATTTAGTGAGCAGGCTCGATATGTCTCCTATAATCCTGCAAGGGGAATAAGGAAAAATTTCCCCTTACTTTCCTACTCTCTCATTATTATTACTAATGCATGCCCAGTCACTTTCATTTCCACCAGTGCATAACTAACCCTAGCAGGGACTGACAATCGGAAGCAATTACCAGCTATTCAGGGAGGTGTTACTGGCTTGTTATCGTTCTGAGCCCAGCAGCTGCGGCTTCCATCATATGCAACTCGCAATTCCTCGTACTTTGGTATTGAAGTCGGCCAGCAGGAGAACTCAGCCTGGAAAAGTCTCCAAAATCCTGGGTAATTGTGAACACCAGCAAACAACTCCAGCTCTCCACCCGTCTTCAAATTGCAGGACAGCACATCGTGCGTCTTCATCTTACGGGGTGGGGGGAATTGGGGAGGATAGGAACTATTGCAGCAACGAGTGAAGAAGACAACTTCCGGCTTCCCTGGATGGAGGGTAGGTGGACCACAAGAATCATTTTCATGTGACCTTGATCCCTTCACCAACCCTGCACATAGTTTCCTCCAAGTTTTGCGGTCTTCTTCCAGCCTCCAAACAGTCAAGGCAAATGGTGAAAGACCCAGTTCAGGATTCTTTTCCCGTAAGAATATGTGCATAGCACCTTGTGAGACGGACATATGCAGGTCCAGTTTCACACCACCTGATGGAGCATCAATGGCAGAGGGAGGTATATCGGGACGGAAAGGATCGAAAGCAAAAACTACAAGCTTCAACAAAGGGATAGGACCTGGATCCTGGACAAGATCAAGCCAAAACAACTCCCCGTTGCAAGAAAGCATGTCGTTTGACGAGCGTCCAAATCTATCATCGATAACAAGAGCTTCCTTCGTCCATTCCCGAGACTCCGAACAAAACACGTTCAGTTTTAAGGAGAATGGGTCTTCTTTGTACACAAACACCACGCGGAACCGATACTCCGAAGAATAAACAAAGACTTGGTCATCTCCTAGATCGAGATTATTAGAAATGCGGGATTCACAGACTAACCTTGTACACACTGGACGACAATTAGCTGCCAATTCAGGCGCTAAAGGAAGTGCGGCCCATTGCTTCGTGAACGGATTGCAGATGAAGTACAATCTGTACCAATCGCTACTGTTGTTACTGTAAAACCCGCACAAAACCAAGTCCTTGTAGGAATCCAGAACCAAGAAACTGATTTGGGCAACAAAACTCATGCGTGGTAGAAAGCTCTCGATGATCGATTGGGAGTCGTCTGAGCTGAGAAGCAGGGGAGGTTGTTGGTTCCTGCTCCGGTGGTGAGAAATGAAACGGCGGTTGAAGCGGGGACTGGAGATGAGGGACCTCCATCCCTTGCAGACGGCTTTGCATCGGCAGGAGTATCTAGGGTTCGGTAGGCGAGTCAGAATTTCGACGAGGAGATCGTCCCCGAGCGTACGGATCTTCGGAGGAGCGTTTGGCTCTGTCGAAGGGATCCGGCATCGTTTCCCGGAGCTGCAAGGCACAAAACGTGAGCTTGGCAGCCGACCGGAAGCGGAGGAGGTGCTGTTATCGGCCGACATGGAAGTAGGCAAATAGAAGGAAGGAAGATAAATCCCTAATTTTTTACTGATCGAAATCTGTAATTTTACTTTGTTGGTGAAAAGTGAAAACTGAAAAGAGGGTTGCCATTTTTCGTGTTTTGCTTTAAAAGTTTCTGGGCCGCTTCTATTGATGGGTTGGGCTGTCAAACAAAGAAGCCCAATTGTTTGTTGGGTAACATGAGCTGCGGTTAGGATGGCAATGGGTCGGGTCGGGTAGGGTTTTGCCAAACCCAAAACCAAACCCATGGGTTTATTCATGAAAAAAATCCGGGCTAAAACCCACCGGATTTGAAAAATTCAAACCCAACCCGCTGGGTATCCGCGGGTTCATGAGTACCCACGGGTTTTTGTCGTAAAAAATTTACAATAACAAGTTCTTATCAAAATTAAAGTCAAATATTAATCTCTCAATACAAATTATCCATATATAAAACACCATTCTAGAAATTCAAGCAAATCACAAATTAATTATACAAATTGTTCAACACCAATCTAGAAAACTCAAGAAAATTGAAGCAAATCACAAATTATCCATAAATAACATGATTAAAAAACTTCTTCCTTTCAATTAATTTTTTATTCACTCTCCACTCGATAACATCAACTTCATTCTACATAAATAAGACTAGTTGTTTTGAATATTAAATATACCGAGAAAATGAATTATATGGGTGTGGGCTGGTACCCATGGGTCGGGTTTACCTAAACCCAAACCCAACCCAACCCAATGAATAGTGAACGGGTTTAAACCCAAAACCGACCCAAAATCCGTCAACACGGATTTTACTCGCGTTGACCGGATTGGGTCGGGTGAGTACTCGTGGGTTCGGGTTTTGTTGCCATCCCTAGCTGCGGTCAATCATGATGGATGGTAGTATAGGTTTCGTCAGTTTTGAAGGTACTTTTTAGTTTTGGTCTTGGCTTCATATGGAATGACATTTTCATTATCGAGCTTTTAGTTTTTTCTGATGCGATTTATTGGTGTCTAACTCATAATAAGCTCTTTGTGATGCGATTAATTGGTGTCTAACTCATAATTTTCTTGTTGTTAATTTGCGTAGTGATTGTCAATCCTTGATATGTCGCGGTCGGGAGAAAGAAACGACCCATAACTTAGGAGGAGCCACCTTGAAGGAAGTTCGAATACTATTTGATGCATTTACGTTTTTTCTTGGGTTATAGGACTACCATTTTTTTTTTATTGTAAAGGCTTATTCTTTCTTAGGTTGATCCTTACCAACTCATTCATACAATTGGTTGAATAGAAGCATTGCATTCTAGCAAGAATCAAACGTGGAGTAGATCAGCTAATCGATTGCATCTACCCAGACTAATAGAGTACCAACAGCAAGTTCATGCCATATCGATTCATCATTAAACAACAGACGCAAGGTTGTCAAACCGGTTTATGCCAGTGTGCCGGTTTAACAAGTAGAATGGTTCGACCGGTGGTATATACCGGTTTGTGCCGGTTCATGCTGGTTAATATTACAAATAATTTACAAATACTGATATTTAAGCACGACATTTAACGTCAATACCTAAATATTTGTACTTGAATCCAACAAATAACATCAACATTTAACTTTTTAACACATAAAATAAATAATAAATTACTTTTTATCAAATAAATTCACTAATATAAGATCATTTAACTTAGAGATTCATATATCGATCATGCCGGTCATACCGATTTTATGATCGGTACAGGTTCAACCAGTGGTACGCCGGCCGGCGTGACAACCATTACAGACGCAACAAATGACCACTGGCTGCTTAAAACACTATCACAAGAGCGCTCCACAGACTCAGCCATAGTAAGCTCCGAGTTATTATTTTGCTCTCACTTCCAATGTACAACTACAGGGATGTTAGCGTGCACTCCAGTGGCAGATTTTCGACAGCCAATGCACGATCCGGTGACACTAGTAAAAGAAACGGATTAAACTGTCTAGAAATCTCATTCAAACGTCAAAAGCACGAAACTGCAGATAACAAGTGGTGCTTCCATCACAGATTCAACTCTCACCCGAGTGTTGTACCATAAATTTTTTTACAGGGACGGTCTACCTCTCTATTGAATCACAACAAACTGGACAACGGTTTTGTGGCCACAGATATTCAAGAGGGTTGCGCAACTGAAAACGCCTAGTGATCAATTGACATCTATTGAGACCCCTCCCCGTTCTCTCTTATTGTTAAGTTCTAGCTTCTAAGACTACATTCAAGTTTGTTTTACCTAGACAGGCTGAGCCTCGATCTTCTGAGGAAGTTCGGCAATGCACTCGATTTCAATCCTGGCATTCAAGGGCAATGCTGCTACCTGATATGTTGATCGAGCTGGGAATGGAGCAGGGAAGTCTGCAAACAGAAAGAGAAGAACGTAAATTTTTCTCTACAACGATGTGACCGTATTCTCCTGCTAAGTTCTCGAGTAAGTTGTTGGAAATGTCTCTAATTAAGTCATGGGGTTGCATGCTTCATAAGAGATCGAACTCAAAGTTCCAAGCCAAGAAGAAACAGAAACAATGGAACCATTTATCCCATATAGTGGAGTAAGCTGTTTGCCACAGTAGATATAGTGCTATTAACTAGGTAAGCAGTCACAAAGGGCTTCATATGAACTGCCTGGAAATATCAGCATCAGCCTGTAGGCTGCAGCGCAAGCGCCTCATGCATAATTATATACTTACATTTTGCATAGATCTCGTTCACTTTCTTGAAGTCGCCCAAGTCAGCCAACCTGCGACGAAAACAAAATACAATAAGAAGCAAGAATCGAAAAAAGAAGAAAGGCTTATGGGCAAAACCGAACAAAATACAGAGGAACCATTTACATGATAGTTGTCTTGACGACTGAGGAATAGTCCCCGCCACTAGCTTTTAGAATCTCTCCCATGTTCTTGAGGATCTGTTAGTGCCATGCCAGTGAAAGAATCAAGCAACATTAGAACAAGCAAGCACAACATCCCAGCGTGTATGTAGAAACACCCTCTAAAACAAAAGGGGAGGCATCTTTACCTGCTCCGTCTGACCCTCGACATCCTCGGAGACGAATTTCCCAGTCTGAACAAAGAGGGAAACAAGATTAGAGACCAAATATTATTCCAAGACCATTTCCTGGAAGTACGAAACAAGAGAAGAGTTCAAATGACATGGATATGATACCTCTGGAATGAGGCCTAAAACCCCAGAAACAAACACAAGGTTGTTGACTTTGATAGCTTGAGAATAAGGGCCAAGAGCGGCCGGCGCCTTTTCAGTCTTGACAGCCTCTTTTTTGGCTGCAACAATCGGAGAACAAACTGTGACCAATCTCAAGCGACAATGAAGTATGATGAACCCTAAGCTGCAAACACTAAAAGGTAGACACTCGGACAGAAGGGGGAAAAAAAATCAAACAAGGGAAGAATTAAACTAAATGGGTAGAGATCGGTGTCGTCCCTCTTCAACAACCAGCAAAGCCCAGTTAACTAAACATCAGCATCGCCATTACAATAGACAGCAAATACAAAGTCGGAGCAGGGGGAGTACAAAATAGGGTTCAGTTCAGTAGAGATGATACAATTGACGAGAGACCCTACTGGGAAAGCAGGAAATGGAAACGGGAGAGATAAAGAGAATTACAGGGGAGGGTGAAGGTGGACATGGAAGCGAAAGGAGAGGAAGAGCGGCAGAGGGTGGCGGTGGAGCCGACAAAAACACCGCCGATGGCGAATTGGGGATGACGGAATGGGAGGTTGATGAATGCTGGGATGTGGAATGGCTTGAAAGCGATCGTCCAGCTCGACATTTTCTGCCGATTTATCTCCTCTCCTTCTGTTGTTTTTTCCTTCTTCTTTTTTTACCTCTCTCTCTCTCCCAACTGATGGTAACTGAAGAATTTGCAGCGGCGAGAGAACTAGAGGAGCAACTCTCCAAAGTTTTTGCATTAAAAAAAAGTCTGCATTTCTCTTATTAATTAATTAATTAATTATTGTTTTTGGGCTTTCATTTCTTTTTGTGGCCCAATTCTGAGCTTTGTCGTTTTGGTTGTGGTTGGTAAGAGAGAAGGTGGGTGGCACTGGCACGCTAACAGTTTTTACACGTGCTGGTGTTGCTATGCATATGTCCGTTATTGGAGAAGTTTGGGCCGTTACAAATCAGGCTCAGCCCATGATTCTGTTCCAAGCCGCTTGGCCCAATATCTCTTGAATTATTTCATTTTATGAAGGCCCAAATGTATTACATCTCCAATTTTGATTTTTGATAATAAAGGCCTTTTAGGCTATAGTTATGAATATCCTTTTAATAATTTACTTTTATGTTTCATATTTGTCACCCAAACTTTTTTTATGTTTTGTAAAACATAAGAGACGCTATTTTGTACATTCGGTTACCACTATTTTTCAGGACCTCGACAATACTAGGTTCAATTAGGATTTCACATTTTTTTTTATGAAGATAGCCAGCACTATATTAGGAGAAAGCACACCAAAATCTTCCTTGTATGTCTGAACAAGGTCTACTTCAAACTCATGCTCAACCTCGTTAGTAAAGCCTCTCTAAATAAGGATTTTTTTCCAGACCAACCACTAGGTCCATTCACAATTTTGCAAACCTAAGCACCACTTCGACGATAGAGGGAAGATTTCACTTTGATTCCAAAAGACCGATTAAAGGCTCGGGTTTTTTCGACGTAGGATGTTCAAGGGAGCGGTGAAAATGCCTAGAGGTTAGAAAGAAGACCAACGGCAAAAGCACACACCAAGGACGCACGCCATCTAGGTCTTTCAAGCCGGAGGCAGTCGATCCAACAGACCGTGACTACACATTTTCTCTTTCGAATGGAGACATAATCTTTGATGATGTGGTTAACAAATGATTTTCTCGTGATCTTTTTGACGCAGTGAGTCGTTTAAAGTGATAATTTTACCGTTTTAAATACTTTTTAAGTATAACAACAGCACCCTTAAAACTTATACACCCCTGTATATCCCATTTCCCCCTCACTTTCCAATTATGCAACTGGAAGGAAGATTACAAGTGATGATCAAAGTTGTCATCAGTAGTACACAAGTCAGTCGTCCTGCACATAGGACATGAGCCATTTCTAACCAGCCATTTATCAAGACAGTCCAAATGGAAACAATGGCCACAACTCGGCACTTTTCTCATCACCTCTCCTTCCTCCACATCCTGCAAGCAGATCGAGCAGCAGCAGAGTAATTGGCTGCTGCTTCTTGAGAATGAGAATTGAGGCAGACTCTGTATGCAGTGCTCGGGCAAGCCAGAAGCAGCAGTGGTGTCGTAGATGTCAGCAGCCATTTCTCTGTAAGTAGCTTCCATGGCTCTCATCTGAAACTGGTAAGCTTTCAGCACTGCTGGGCCTACCCATTCCATGAAAACCTTTCCATTCACCACGCTGTTCAGTAACGCCACCTGCATCACGGGTGTGAAAAGTGATGGATTGTTGGATGACAACAAAGAATTGGTGGCATTTGATCTTTGGTGATAAAGTGTGTAAATGCATAGAGCAGTGAAGGAATCTTTCAATGTGTGTATATAGTTAATGTATAGTTAGTGACAACGATATATACCCACTCGCCACTAGGGCTGTTAAATTCGGTCGCGGTTTAAACCAGATATGAACCATTTATCTACACGCCTTTACCGATTACCCTTTAACGGTTGCAAACCCGATATGTTGCTGGAAACATTTCGGTTGAAATCGAGAAAACCCTGATAACAGGTTTCTGTTACCGTGATGGTTAGGGGCTTATAAGTTTACAGAAACCGAAAAAGATCGATAATCCCTCTTAAATGTTTCGGTTCTGATAGAACTGCTAATCGTTTCAGATTTCTTAACTTTTCATCTTAATAGTTCCGTTAGCCAAATCGGACCGAACCGGCGGCGCTTCTAGCCGGTATTCATCACAGTCATGGTTGTCACGCCGGCCGGCGTGCCACCGGTTGTACCGGGTTCAACCGGTACCGGTCATAAAACCGTCGAAGTAAGATGACCTTATTTTAGAGAATTTAATTGATAAAAATTATTTTATTATTTATTTTATGAGTATAAAAGTTAAATATTGATGTTATTTGTTGGATTCAAGTATAAATGTTTAGGTATTGACGTTAAATGTCATGTTTACATATGAGTATTTATAATTTTATCTGTAATATTGACCGTCATGAACCGGCACAAACCAGTATGTGCCACCGGTTGAACCATTCCACTTGCTAAACCGGCACACTCGCATACACCGGTTTGACAACCTTATTCACAGCACTAGCTGGCACACTTCAATCCATCTAGTCACCAGCAAGCAAGTGGCTGCATGCTCTCCCACTCACATGTCTACTTAAAAATGGGGACACCCATATGTATGGATGTCACACTCATATTCCCTGTTTTAGGGCATGCCTAAAAATGGAACCATATAATTATTGTGTTTCCATATGGCAAAAAGCCATCAAATATACACAATATGACATCAAATAGGAGCCCCCCACCATGAATTTCCCTCTCTATAGAAATATCAAATTGGACCCAGAAAAATATAAGAACAGATATTAAATAGGGCAGTGATTGATTGCAGAGTTGCTGCTCATAAATGGATGATGCATGCATGGTGGCCCAGTAGTCACTAGCTACTTCATTCATTCATCATGACATTTACAAAGAATGGGCTATATATATATCCACGTATTTTTGGCGTATTTATGTTTATTTACGTTATTTTTATTGTTATTTATTCACGTAATCGTGCTGATTATTTATGCAAACAATAATGATTATTCACGCAATAAAGCAAATTATTATTTATTCACATCGTTGTAAAATCAATCTTCTAAAATTAAAATATATAAAAATCAATGGATGTTTACACAAAATATGGTGGGCCACAAGCCCACAACCCTAGGGATGGCAATGAGTCGGGTTGGGCGCGGATAGTGCATATCCGTTACCCTACCCAAAGTAGTTCGGGTTTTACCCATACCCATACCCGCATAAGAAATGGGTAAAAAATCAAAACCGTGCCCATACCCGTTCGGATTTCGGGTATCCACGATTATCCATGGGTAATAATTTCTCTTTATAACTCCAACCAATATGTTAACATTCACACATATTCTCACATTACATAAAAGGAAAAGTACGACAATAATTCACTAGAATGAAGAAAATTAATTTAAACAACACGATTTCATGAAAATATTATATTTATATGCTAAATATAAAATATATTAGAAAAAATGATTATTTATATACAAATCATATGCATGTGTATTATAATCGGGCGGGTTCGGGTTGGATAGTGAAAAAACCATGTCCATCCATTACCCGCAATATTCAGGTTCGGGTTTTACCCGTACCCACAAAAAGTCCTTAGGTTTTGGATTTTACCCTACTCGATTAGATCGGATTCGAGTGGATATCCACGTTACGGATATTTTTGCCATCCCTACACAACCCTGATTCGCAAACATCATCGCATGATCCATTGTGTAATGAAAAAGGATGGGCGACACTAAAATGTCACAATACCTATTTCACGCATTCTATGTAAATTCGTGCTTATTTCTGTCGTATTGTTATTTATTCAAGTAATAGTGGTGATTATACACACAAATAATAAAAATTATTTAGGCAACCTAGTGTTTTATTCGAGCATTTTTTTTATTCATACCCGTTTTAAAATTAATTTTGAAATATACCAAAATACACGTCATTGTGTAGATTATAATCATTCAACTCATTTTTACAAAAAGAAAAAATGTTAAGGATTCCATTTGCGTGAATAATCATAACTCTTGCGTAAAGAAGTACCGAATTATGTGAATAACCATCAAATGACGTGAAGGAACGACAAAAATTGTGGTGAATTTGGCGTTGTTACTCTTTGGGTGGTAGATAACATACCTTGGACAATGGCTCGCCGTCGGCAATGGACTCGAGGAGTTGAACAGAGGTGATGGCGCCTGCCACCGCACCGATGATGGAGCCACGGAGGAACCCCGTCTCCGTCGTCTGACCCTTCATCGCTCCGACCACCGTTCCCACCGCAGCTCCTCCTGCTCGCATTTTATTTAATTAATTGACTCCACAATATATACGGCAATGTGAAAGCTCTCTATGTGACTGTTGACAATGAATTCCAATTGGTTCTTTGTTTTTAGGGTTAGGTTGTGTATATATGATAAATACCAAAACCGGGGTTGCTGAGTTTAGTAAGAGCTTGCAAGTTGCAACTCATTGACTAATTTGACACACATTCATGCATGCCCCACTTCCTTCAATTAAGATATTTTGGACTTGGGTGGAAAATTTCGCTGTGTTGTTATCATTTTAGGCGTAAATACACGCATCTTCATTTATCGCGATTTCGATCGAACTCTGCACCGATCTAAATGGAGACTGGTGTTCAACCAGCATCTCGATTTCAACCGGTATACAAGAGATCGAGATAAACGGAACAAAAAAAACGAAGACGAGCGAGAGAGAGAGATTGTAAAATACCTAATGCGATGATGCAGGTGAATGAAGCGAGGAGAATGCTGGTCAACAACGGTGGGATGCTAACCAGGAGGCTTTCGAGTCGAGGCTCCATCGTCGTCAACCCTCCAAAAGAGCACAAAGAGGCTGCAGCTTCTTTGCACTTGGTGCACAACTTGTTCATCTCTCCCAACCACCTCTGAAATATCACCATTATCACCACCATGGATGTCTTCTTTTTCTTTTGTCTATGTGGAGAAATGGAGGTGATGAGAGTTTGAGAGAGAGGAAAGGTGGAATGGGAGGAGGCGTATTTATAAGCTAGAAAACAAGAGAGAGGCTGCGGTCTTGTGGGTATTTATTGTTTTGATCATAAAGTGTTTGCTGATGATAATGACAATAAGCAGTGTAATTAGTTATGTGAAGACAAGCCAATAACTATGGAGGCCCCGCCGCCGGCTAGGATATGACGCCAATATGGACGTCCAAATTCGTATTAATTGCACCTCTAAGAGACTAAGACCACCGCGACGTCGACGACGACGAGGAGGCCTCGAGGACCTAGTTTAGCTAGCTTTCCATTTTCTAGGAGATCCATCTAGCTTCCCAAGTTAACATATTGATTGGGTTCGATCCAACTGTCTGAGGGGTTGGGTTGGTTCAGTTCGTCTACAAGGTTAGTTTAGAGTTGGATCATCTTTTAGTTATGTCAGGGTCGGGTAGGATTGGGTCAATTTAGGGTTGTATGACTTTTTGGTCATACGACGAATAGCAGCAATTAATGATTTGAAATCTAGAGAGGATATGGTACCTGCAGTTTTGACCTATTTGTAATGTTTTAAGAGTTTAGATACTATAATGTGAGGAAAAAAATATAAAGATATCATAACATGATTTAACCACCAAAATATTTGACCCGTAATTAAAAACAGGGTAATGTCTATTTTTTTTATATCTAAAGTTGTTTCAGATTCTTTTATATTATCCAAACCTATTAAAATGCTATTAATTAGTCAAATCTTTCAACATGTATTAAAAATATCAACTGTGTTCAACTAGAATAAATCAATTCAACAGCAAATAAACAGCAAAACCATAACAAGCAGCTCATCCGCCACAATCAGACAATTGAACGGGCTTTGTGCCATTCAGTTTGAGCCTTTGTATAATGAATGGGTTTAGCGGGTACCCATGTTACCCAAACGAGTATTTGCGGGTAACCCGCGGGTACCCATTGTAGTAATGTACAATCCCAAACCTCATCCGTTAATAATATTGCGAGTATTATGGAAACCCGTAACCCTCAAAATACGGGACGGGTACAGGTATACCCAAATACCCGTTACCTGTTGCCCACCCCTAAATCCTCGAGGTCGAGCACACTACTCCTCACGGCAGAGTCCGCTGCCATCAATTTGCCAGCACCAGAATCATCCACCGTCAGATTTACTCTTCTTGGACTTCTCCCTTTCTTTCTCCTTCAGATCCGAAATAAGTATTGGGCGTCCAGAATCATTGCCTGCATTTTGTTGTTTGACAGTCCAATTGAAGAGGAGGTCGCCGAGGATCCCTCCCAGGATTTGTGTTCGCCGCCATCGAAGGAGCTCAAAGATGGGCAGGTTGAGGGTTGGCGGCTATGGTATAGGGTTGTGGGGGAGTGGGCTTAGGATTATGTTGTTATTGGGTGGGCTGAGATGAGAGATTGGGCTGTGAGGCTCGGCTTGGCAGTATGTTCGGTATTTTGGTCGGGTAATCGGAATTCAGGTTCGATCGGCATACTCTGGTTTCCGAAATATAGATTTTTGCCTTTCGAATTCCGAACCGAGGTTATATTTTTCCGATGTCGGCTCGAGTTTGTTTGGTTCAGCTCAGTTCGGGTGATCGAAATTCGGGTTCGATCGGCATACTCTGGTTTCGGAAATATAGATTTTTGCCTTTCGAATTCCGAACCGAAGTTGTATCTTTTGAGTAGATTTTTTGAACGAAAAAGACCGGTCGATACGTCTCGAACATTGAAAAAAGAAGAAGAGATGCAATGCAATAATAGACTGATGATTGAATCTGAGACGACGCTATCTAAGCCGACATGGATCTTCCTCCCTTTGAATTTCTTGTAACCAAATCGCTACTTCTGGAAACCAAATAGGAAGAAAGCAATTAATAATGAGTACTGCAGCTGCAATCAATTAAGCACCGCCACCAGATATCAATCCGTCCCTTGTTTTCTCGATCGATCATGTTCATCGATCTCGCAGTTTCTTTGGACTCGCGTGGGAGCCGGAACTACAATAGGTTCTCGTAGATTCGCAAAATCAGATCTAATGGTTATTATTGAGAAATCATCGATCTAACCTACTCGTTCGAAAACGCATTCTTGTTGACGATCGATCATTGGCAGGGGTGACCGTTCGGTTATCGGTTAAACCGATAACCGGCCGGTTATCCACTAACTGGTAACCGAACTATCCATCCACGGCTCAAGTTTATAGGATTTTATTTTATTTCTATTTTATCGAATATAAGCCCCAGAGTATGACCGAACAACAAATATATATCACCGACAATACTAAAGAACGGTATCCATGTGCAACTGGATTCCTGGTGAAAGCGCCTTTTTTGTCACGAATTGGGCAACTCTGAAAAAGCTCCGAGGAGCAAAATGGCACACAACTGACACAAGGGCGAGAAGAGAGAAAATGAACTTCCCTTGGAATGCAAAAACTTCCTCGATGCAGCATCCCTAATGTTGGTTAAGAATCTCTGCACAAGTAAGAAAAATATTATACGTAAGACACTATATCATAGTATCACGAGGAACAAGTAGTTTAGTTATAAAAATATAAGTAATGCCATAATGAAATTTACCAAAAGTAATAAATTTTTTTTACCAAAAGTAAAAGAGATAGTTTCATCGCCTGAGAAGCCAACGAAATCAGTCGAATATCCTTCTGCATTATTTGCGGCTTAATCAAATCGGACCAGCACATCTTCACTATGAAAGGTTATTTCATTGAGCCATTGTCGGAATTTCAGATACAACAACAAAATAGATGTAAAGAGGAAACATAAGTGAAACAAATAAAAGAGTCATAGAAAATAAAATAGTCAAAATACTAACAAATGAGACCTCTAGCTCAAATAAAGGTAAAAAAAAAGAAGAGAATATTAATACACAAATAGCCATTTAAATTCTAAATTATAGTACAACAAGCCACAAAGCAAAAAAGAATAATCAATCAGCTGGTGTATAAACCGTTTGATTTGCATTCAAGTTTCACCTTATGTGAAGGTCGGCGGCCCCAAAGTTTACTTATGTGGTACCCGTCGAAGAGCTTTTTTTCCATATTTTTTGTTCCTGCCAGATACGAGTAATCAACACACATTGTTTATAAGAAGTATGTTCCACACGCTGATTGCTTAACTAATCTAGGATACTCGCTCTTTGTTGGTCCCCACACTATTCTAGCACCTGACAGTGCAATTTCTTACTGTCTCCTGAGCCATGAAGTTACTACGGTTCAAACAACCCGTTTTATTATTGAATAAATTTTGGACGCCCTTTAAACACTATATCATAGTATCACGAGGAACAAGTAGTTTAGTTATAAAAATATAAGTAATGCCATAATGAAATTTACCAAAAGTAATGAGATAGTTTCATCACCTGAGAAGCCAAAGAAATCAGTCGAATATCCTTGCGCATTATTTGCGGCTTAATCAAATCGGACCAGCACATCTTCACTATGAAAGGTTATTTCATTGAGCCATTGTCGGAATTTCAGATACAACAACAAAATAGATGTAAAGAGGCAACATAAGTGAAACAAATAAAAGAGTCATCGAAAATAAAATAGTCAAAATACTAACAAATGAGACCTCTGGCTCAAATAAAGGTAAAACAAAAAAAAAAGAATATTAATACACAAATAGCCATTTTAATTCTAAATTACAATACAACAAGCCACAAAGCAAAAAAGAATAATCAATCAGTTGGTGTATAAACCGTTTGATTTGCATTCGAGTTTCACCTTATGTGAAGGCCGGCGACCCCAAAGTTTACTTATGTGGTACCCGTTGAAGAGCTTTTTTCATATTTTTTGTTCCTACCAGATACGAGTAATCAACACACATTGTTTATAAGAAGTATGTTCCACACGCTGATTGCTTAACTAATCTAGGATACTCGCTCTTTGTTGGTTCCCACACTATTCTAGCACCTGACAGTGCAATTTCTTACCGTCTCCTGAGCCGGGTTGGATCCGGTCTTTAAGCCTCATTATTTAAGGAGGTTCTTAAACCATTTTTATTGACTGATACTAGATTAGGTAGTTAATGAGGGGTTAGTAGTTAATAGTTAGTTAGAATAAATAAGATATTATGAAAATATAATTAATATTACTCATTAATGATTCGCTTTCTCTCTCCCCCTTGATCTTCTCCATAACCCTCTCTCTCCACTACAATTAAAAGGAAATTCGAAATTAATTTAATCAAATATTATTATTTAATATTTAATAAATTCGAACTTAATATTTTTTATTTTTAAATGAAAATTGAAAATTAAAAATATATGCTCTCTCTCACTTCGTGGCAACTTGCAGTACAGTATTAACATTTTGCAATGACATTATCAACATTTATGAAATGAATCGTTATTATTATACCTCATCATTATTAACGACTTCAATATACTTATCAATTCTTTACAATTACATTATTAACAATTTTGTATCAATTGTTACTGTTTTATAGTTTCGTCATCAACGCCTATGAATGAATCATTAAAGTTATGTAACATAGTCATTAACAGTTTGAATAACAATATCATTGATTTACAACATCTTTAATAATAATGATTCACATTTTCACATCATGTTTATAACTATCTAGTCATGGCCTCTTCCAATGATTTCTAATGACATTATTAACGTTTTATGATAAATTAATATTGCTTTACATTATCATTCTCAATGATCATAAAACACAATACTAATTTTCAACATCTTGGGTACTTGTGACATAGTGCACCTGTGTGATTCAGTCAAACAAACATTGTCGAGAAAAATATTAGCACAAGCAAACCAACATTCACGCCTCAACACCAAACTTTTAATAACAATACAATAAATCATTGATAACAAAAAGTATTTCGTTAAAAATAAACACAAAACATCAATGTAAAAATGTACGACTTCAACATTATAAATGACATCAAACTTTTAATAAAGATACTAAAAACCATTAATATCGAATCAAGTCACTGATAAGGAAATAGATTTTTGTAATATAAAAATATTAATAATATTCCGATGCAATGTTTAATGTCAAATAGCACTAAAAATGCATTAATAAGTAACATGTGTTTAATAGATAATACATCCAAAAACTTTGATAATGATAGCAACTAATGATTGTTAAGTACCTTATTATATATTATTAACATCTTATTTTCAAACAATGATAATGCTTATACACGCCTATTAATAATGACACCAACTACGTTACTAACTTAGACTGAAAGATTAATAACCATAGTTATATCATTAAACGTAAATTCACTTTTGATAATGTCATAAACAAATGAATATCTAACAAGTATGCTTCTTGATAATGACATTTGACAAAGTTACAAACATAAACGAAAAAATATTAATAATTCAAATCACCAAACATAAGAAATCTTACAAATGAATTAAATTTTTGCTAATGGTTGTATTGTGTTTGGAAAAAAAAAATATTGATAATAGCACTTCAAATTATTATAAATCATTGCGAACCAAATTGATAATACGATGTAATAGTAAATAAACTTCAAGTACCAACAAATTGAAAACACAATTTCACTTTTGCTAATGTTACAAACAAAACATAGCATAAAAAGTTAATAATGTCATATAAATTTATTAAAAAACATGTCGAACAACATTAATAATAGCACAAACGAATACCTAACAACGAAAAATCTCAAACACATGCAATAAAAAGTCCTAATGATGATTCAATTTATAAATATTGATAATGTCATTACAAAATGTTAATACTTAATACTAATCGGAAGTTGCCAAGAGAGAGGCATATATTTTAAATTTAAAATTTCTATTTTAGAAAACGAAAATTATTAAATTCGGATTTTAATAAATATTGAATCAAATTAATTTCATATTTCTTTTTAATTATAATGTAGAGAGGGTTATGGAGAAAATCATGGGAGGAGAGAGAAAGAGAATCATTAATTAATTATATTAATTTTAATTATATTTGCATAATCCTTAACTACATATTAACTACTAACCTCATTAACTATCTAATCCACAATCAGCCAATAGGAAGACTTTAAGATTTTCCGTAAAAAATGAGCCTTAAGGACTTGAACTCAAGCCCTCCTGAGCCATGAAGTTACTACGGTTCAAACAACCCGTTTTATTATTGAATAAATGTTAGACGCCCTTTAAACACTATATCATAGTATCACGAGGAACAAGTAGTTTAGTTATAAAAATATAAGTAATGCCATAATTAAATTTACCAAAAAGTAATAATTTTTTTTACCAAAAGTAAATGAGATCGTTTCATCACCTGAGAAGCCAACGAAATCAGTCGAATATCCTTGCGCATTATTTGCGGCTTAATCAAATCGAACCAGCACATCTTCACTATGAAAGGTTATTTCATTGAGCCATTGTCGGAATTCAGACACAACAACAAAATAGATGTAAAGAGGCAACATAAGTGAAACAAATAAAAGAGTACGAAAATAAAATAGTCAAAATACTAACAAATGAGACCTCTAGCTCAAATAAAGGTAAAAAAAAAAAGAATATTAATACACAAATAGCCATTTAAATTCTAAATTACAATACAACAAGCCACAAAGCAAAAAAGAATAATCAATCAGTTGGTGTATAAACCGTTTGATTTGCATTCGAGTTTCACCTTATGTGAAGGCCGGCGACCCCAAAGTTTACTTATGTGGTACCCGTCGAAGAGCTTTTTTCATATTTTTTGTTCCTACCAGATACGAGTAATCAATAGGAATGGCAATGGGGCAGGTGCGGGGCGGGTATCTCGATACCCATACCCGCCTCATGTCAGGTCGGGTAATTTATCACGGGGCGCGGGTCGGGGCAGGTCGACCCATTGGGTATGTAATTTATGTGAAAAACATTAGAAATATTCGTTCTTTTCATTGAAAGACCAAGAAAGAAACCATAATATGATAAAATGTAGTTAAATTATTGAAGAAATTGAGGTTTTCACTTATTTACAACTTTATTATAGCTAAAATATAATGTAATAAGAAGAAAATCTTAAGTAATTTAACTAATATTATATGTAATTTAGGCAAGAACGGGTCGAGAATGGGGCGGGTCAGGGCAGGTCGGGTCGATGAGAGGTACCCATGCCCGCCCCGCCCCAAAACAGGTCAAACAGGTCGGGTAAATTGGGTCAGGTCGAAATTGCCATCCCTAGTAATCAACACACATTGTTTATAAGAAGTATGTTCCACACGCTGATTGCTTGACTAATCTAGGATACTCGCTCTTTGTTGGTTCCCACACTATTCTAGCACCTGACAGTGCAATTTCTTACCGTCTCCTGAGCCATGAAGTTACTACGGTTCAAACAATCCGTTTTATTATTGAATAAATGTTGGACGCCCTTTAAACACTATATCATAGTATCACGAGGAACAAGTAGTTTAGTTATAAAAATATAAGTAATGCCATAATGAAATTTACCAAAAAGTAATAATTTTTTTACCAAAAGTAAATGAGATCGTTTCATCACCTGAGAAGCCAACGAAATCAGTCGAATATCCTTGCGCATTATTTGCGGCTTAATCAAATCGGACCAGCACATCTTCACTATGAAAGGTTATTTCATTGAGCCATTGTCGGAATTTAGATACAACAACAAAATAGATGTAAAAGAGCCAATATAAGTGAAACAAATAAAAGAGTCATCGAAAATAAAATAGTCAAAATACTAACAAATGAGACCTCTAGCTCAAATAAAGGTAAAACAAAAAAAATATTAATACACAAATAGCCATTTAAATTCTAAATTACAATACAGCAAGCCACAAAGCAAAAAAGAATAATCAATCAGTTGGTGTATAAACTGTTTGATTTGCATTAGAGTTTCACCTTTTGTGAAGGCCGACGACCCCAAAGTTTACTTATGTGGTACCCGTCAAAGAGCTTTTTTCATATTTTTTGTTCCTACCAAATACGAGTAATAAACACACATTGTTTATAAGAAGTATGTTCCACACGCTGATTGCTTAACTAATCTAGGCTACTCTCTCTTCGTTGGTTCCCACACTATTATAGCACCTGACAGTGCAATTTCTTACCGACTTCCGAGGGGTTTTTTCCATAATTATTGTGATTAAAAAAATCGAAATGCAGTGGTTGAAAAAATAATTCCCAATCTATTGTCTCTAAACCGGAATTGGGGCGCACGCGCCCCAATTGGGTTCTCCAACAGAGAAAAATCCTAATATGGGTGTCCGCGCCCCAATTTAACACGACAACTGCCAAAAGACAAATTGGGGCGGCAAAAAGCCCAATTGGGGCACGCGTGCCCCAATTGGGTTTGTTGCCGCCCCAATTAGTCTTTTTTCGCCCAGATACATATGTACAGCTTGTATCGTCTTCTTCCTCCATATTTCCCCAATTAAGTCGCAGGGAAACTCCATCTAAAGCCTACTGGAAATCACCCCATCCATTAACCCGTATGAAATCGCCTCCCTTTATCGATTGCCCAAACCCGTCAGAAATCAACTTCTCTCCAACTCTCCTTGTTCATTCCGCCGACCATGGAAGGTGAAGAGGTTGACGGTGGAGGAGGGCACCACGTCGACAATCCCGACCGAGGTGGCCGAATGAGAGGCAGAGGTTTTCCCCAAATTAGACCTAAGCTTGTTTCCGTTTGTTTTGCCTGTTGGTCTATTCTGGGACGTTGGGAAAATTGTACGTTGAAAAGCAAATTGGGGCGAGAATAAGTCCAATTGGGGCGTATTCTCGCTCCAATTGGCTTATTGACGCCTCATTTATTTATATTTGTTGTGTACAGGCATGCGCGCCCAAATTAGGCTTTCTACCCAACAAAATGCCCAATTGGGACGCACGCGCCTCAATTACGGTTTAGACACAGTAGATTGGAAAATATTTTTTCAACCACTACATTTTGGATAATTTTTTTTAAATCGCAATAATTATGGAAAAAACCCACTCCTGAGCCATGAAGTTACTACGGTTCAAATAATCCATTTTTATTATTGAATAAATGTTGGACGCCCTTTTAAACGCTCCATCGTTGGTCGTTAGGAGACGAGCCATCCAAAACTCCGCGTTTCACTTAATCATCTTATTCTCATTGGTGTAATGGTAAAAATCATGCTCTTGCCCTTTTTTTTTTATAACAAAAATCATGCTCTTGCCTCTTGGTCTTGGTATTTTCATTGCTTTGTTCCTCAGTTAATACCCCAGCGGCCACAGGGATTGAGGGAGACGCTCGGGGAGCGATTCCAATTCGTGAATTTCGTTTGCTTCCGTGTTGCTGTAGTGTAGTTGCTGCCGGCGCCAATCGCTGTAGCGCGGGAGCGAGCGGTTGGCGGGAGAGAGAGAGAGGATGGTGATTACGGCGAGGTGGAGATGAATTGAAGAGGAACTGCGATGCTGCTCCGGCCATCGGCGGCCGATTTGACGCGTGATTGGAAGATTAATGGAGCGGGAAGAGTAAAAGGGAAATGAGTGGATGCGATTACTCTAACGTAGCGACTCTATCCGATAGACGCGTCCGCTGACTAGCGTCTTCTTAAAAGGGTTTACTACAAACTGAACTGGTAAACCTATCTCCTCTTTCATTCCCCACTCCCTGCTCATTCACCCATAGCTGAAAGTCGCGAGCTTGTGATCAATTCCTGAAGATTCTGAATTGGTTCTCGGGTAAGACCCTAGATCTTAAATTTCACTGAGGTGGTTTGTGTTTACCGTCTGTTGAGGTTTTTGTTGGTAACAGACACTTTTTTCTTGTGTGCATTGGCTGGAAAAGAACGGAACAAATGTTGTCTGGTTTACTGGCTGTGTGTTTTCTAGAGGTGTATATGATCTGGTCTAGTTTCGTGACCTAATTTTGCTGCTTGTTTCATCTGTAGAAGAGGATGGAGCTTACCGGGTCGAATGCTATCGCTTCGTCATCCTGTTCCCCACATCCTCTTCCAGTGGTAGAGTATGAGGTTTTCTTGAGCTTTAGAGGTCCCGACGTGCGCACGACTTTCGCAGATTTCCTCTATAGACTCCTGGATCGTCCCAAGATACGGACCTTTCTCGACGATGAGGAGCTTCGCAAGGGGGAGATGATTTCCCCTTCTCTCGTCAAGGCAATCGGGGAGTCCAGAATATACATCCCGATCCTTTCCCCAGGTTATGCATCTAGCAAATGGTGCCTCCAGGAGCTAGCTCTGATGGTGGAACGATACAAGCAAGATGAAGGTAGCCACATCATATTGCCCATTTTCTATTTGATGGAGCCTAGAGATGTGCGACATTGTAAGGGTTCCTATGAGGAAGCATTGGAACAACATAGATTAAAGTATGGTGAAGAAACCATTAGGGTCTGGAAGGATGCACTCGAGGAGGTCGGGCAAATGACTGGGTGGCGTGTAACCGAATCAGATAGGTAATGTAGCTTCTCTGTGTTTACAGTTCATGAACTTGGCTGGATGTGTTTGGTTGATGTTGGAGACTACATGTGAAATCACCCGTGTATCTGCGGATGACTTACAAACTTGTGTTTAATTTCTAGACAGGGAGTAGTGGCAGAAAGCGTGTTCTCTGAGGTGTGGTCACACATAAAGGGGAATTACACATTATTGACGAATGAGCTGATTGGAATCGATTCTCACGTAAACCATGTGATGGAGTTGCTAAAATCAGATTTTGAAGGCGGCATCAATGTCGTTGGCATTCATGGTATGGGCGGTATCGGTAAGACCACTATTGCCAAAGCCGTCTATAACAAGGTCTTCACACAATTCGAACATCATTGTTTTCTAGAAGATGTACGAGAAACACTATCGTTGAAGAATGATGGTGTTACAACTCTGCAAAGTAAGATTATTTCTAGCATCTTAAGAGATGATCACATGGTTAGAGATGCTAGTCAAGGAATCCACATTATAACAAATAGAGTATGCCCCCGCAAGGTTCTCATTGTTCTTGATAATGTGGATGATCGGTTTGAGTTTGGGCAAATCTTAGGTGAAGTAAGAAAATTTTCTCCTGAAAGTAGATTTATCATCACAACAAGAGATAAAAGGGTGTTGGAGTTGCTTCAAGTATCTAAGTTGTATGAACCTAGTGGGATGAGTCATGACCACTCCCTTCAACTACTTCGAAGACATGCTTTTAGAATGGATAACCCCCTAGAAGACAAGACTACTTTGTGCGAAGAGTTTGTAAAAGTTGCTGGGGGACTTCCTTTGGCTCTTGAAGTTATAGGGTCTCTTTTGTTTCGTAGAGATAGAAAATTCTGGGAGGCGAAGTTGATAGAACTAAAGAGAATTCCTCCCACCAAGGTGCAAGAGAGATTGAAAATAAGTTATGATGAGTTGAGTGGTAGTGAAAAAACAAATTTTTCTTGACATTTCTTGTGTTTTTATCGGAGAAAATAAGGAATTGCCTTTCTATATGTGGAGTGATTGTAATTTTAATCCGGAAAGTGGAATTAGTACTCTTATTTTGAGGTCCTTGTTAAAGGTGGACGTGGATAACAAGTTTTGGATGCATGACCATGTACGAGACATTGGGAGAATGATAGTTCGTGAAGAAGATGAACAACATCCTTGGAAGCGCACAAGAATATGGTCCAACGAGGATGCTGTAGATATGTTAAAAAATGGAGAGGTATTACGTTTCCAGTACTCCATTTTTGTTTCTGGTGCATACAAGAATTCGATAGCAAATTTTTTGAAAATGTCACTTTTAGGTTATGAACCACAATGTTTTATAAATTTCTGGCAACGAATGTTTCTATACACGCATGCTACAAAGTTGTTCTTAACTATACAGGTACAATATTACTTGACATTTTGTATATTATTAATTTCTTGATGTTCAAATTCGTAAGATTATTGGTTGTTCCTTATGGTATTCTCCCACCTCATTTCCCTTTTCCTATATTATTTTGATTGCTCAAGATAGGATATAAAATTTTTGTGTGTATGATTTCATTTTAGCAGGGAGCCGACCTGGTGGAAGTTCTTAAAGTTGACATGCGTTATGAGGATTTTGAACTCATGGAGAAGGAATTTCGGAACTTGTCAAAGTTGAGATATCTCGAAGTGCACTCTGGAAGGCTGACTGGAGATTTCAAGAATATTCTTCCGAATCTACGTTGGTTGCGTCTTCATTATTGCCGTTCAATCCCTATCAATATCAATATAACGAGATTGGCAGTTCTTGATCTGAGATTCTGCCCTGTGCGAGATGACTGGAGATGCTGGGATAAAATCAAGGTTATTACCATTCCTACTTCATTTCATGTTTATGAAGATTAAATTTATGTCTTTGTAATATCAGATGGCCATGGGTGGGAATTGGTCAAAATGATCTATTTTGGACATTGAATCTGACATTGGAGATTTTGATGAGAGATTTTCGGTTCTTTAATACTTCTATCATTAACGAATAATGAGATGATCCATTTCTAACCATCTACAATATAAAATCTAACATTCATACGTTATAACATTTTTTAGGAGTATAAATCTATGTTAACATCGCATCTAGTTTAACAATTATCCTTATAACATGTTTTGCCATTGGCGTATTGTCATGATCCAGGCGGCACACAGGCTGAAAGCTATAGATGTATCGTTCTGCGACCAAGTGACAAAAGTCCCGAATTTGTTCGGATGTCCATGTCTCCAACGGATAAATTTCCTGGGTTGCGGGAACATGGGCGGGGAACTTCACATTGGCGATTTGAAGGGTCTGAGAGTGCTAAACATTGCCAGGACGAAGATAACGAAGTTAATAGGTGGCTTTGGAAGGCTTCAAAATCTGCAAGAGATCAATGTAGGATATTCGCGCTTGAGAGAAATTCCTACTAGCATTGGTAAACTTTCCTCCCTCAAGATCTTGGTGCTAGACAGGCTTGACATTGAAGTACCAAAACTCCCCACGAGTTTAAAAGGGCTATCCCTCTCATCACCTAGGGTTCCCAATCTTTTGGAGCTCAAGGACTTGGAGTGGCTACATTGGAGTCGTGCACTTTTGATTCCTGGGGACATGTGGAAGCTGTCCAAGTTGAAGGATTTGGAGTTGTGGCAGGTTGAGTGCAGGAAGAATGCCTTTGTTCTTCACCAAGAATCAGTTGATCTCAACGACCAGAATCATTGTTCTCTACGGCGTCGTACGAGAACCCTTATTTTATCCTCGCCTACCCTTCCATCATCTCTAAATACCCTATCGATCTCAGGTTATCAACTTGTGCCTTTAGAGAGACTACCAAACCTTGTGAATCAGAGTAACTTGACGTACTTGGATTTGTCGGAGATTGGGGTACATGAGATCGCTGGTCTGGGAGAGCTGAGAATGCTGGAGAACTTCGACTTACGGGATGCTTCAAATCTAATTGATCTTGATGGCCTCCAACATCTAAAGCTTCTGAAGGAACTGCGTGTGTATCGTTGTGATGTACTGAGAAAACTGCCCAGCTTGTCAAATTTGACCAAGTTACAGACGCTCAAGATCTTTCGTTGTCCACTCCTCTCTGAAATTCATGGGCTTAGCGAACTGGCGGAACTATCCACTCTACGGATCATTGAGTGTCGTAAGTTGACTGGGGTGATGGGGATTGACAAATTGGAGTCATTGCAAGTAATGAAGATTCGTGATTGCTCTTCCATTGAGAAGCTGCCTGATGTATCTGCTTTGGAGCATTTGCGGGAGTTGAAAATCACGGGATGCAATCAGTTGACTGAGGTGATGGGGGTTGACAAATTGGAGTCGTTGCAAGAATTGACGATAACTAATTGCGTGTCGATTAAGAAGCTCCCTGATCTATCTACTTTGAAGCTCTTGCGAGAGTTGACAATAAGAGGATGCAATCAGTTGCCAGAAGTTGTGGGGATTGAGCGATTGAAGTCATTGCAATTATTGGAGATTACTGATTGCGCTTCGATTGAGAAGCTGTCTGATCTATCTGCTTTGGAGCACTTGCGGGAGTTGAAAATTACGGGATGCAATCAGTTGACTGAGGTGATAGGGCTTGGTAAATTGGAGTCATTGCGAGAATTGACGATTACTGATTGCGCTTTGATTAAGAAGCTTCCCGATCTATCTGCTTTGGAGCACTTGTGGGCGTTGACAATTATCAGATGCAATCAGTTGCCAGAAGTTGCGGGGATTGAGCGATTAAAGTCATTGGAATTATTGGAGCTTACTGAATGCACTTCGATTGAGAAGCTGCCTGGTCTATCTGCTTTGGAGCACTTACGGAACTTGAAGATTACTGGATGCAATCAGTTGACTGAGGTGATAGGGCTCGATAAATTGGAGTCATTGCAAGCATTGAGGATTACTGATTGCGCTTCGATTAAGAAGCTGCCTGATCTGTTTGCATTGGAGCACTTGCGCGAGTTGAAAATTACTGGATGCAATCAGTTGACAGAAGTTACGGGGATTGAGAGATTGAAGTGGTCAAGATATTTTACGATAGACGAAAGGCTGAAGAAGCAAAAGAGATTGGAGCATGAGAGATGGGAGCTGTTGCATAGGGCTAACAATTCACGCCCAAAGAAGTGGTCCAGATTCCGTAGCTGCTGGGGAGTTTGTCGCAAAGACAGTGATATCATATCGTTATAGACAACATGTTGGGGAGGGGATTTGTCGGAGTATTTGAATGAAGCTGATGGAAGAAAAAACTCCAGAAATTTCTGCCAAGTCCAAACACTTGAAGACTGTAAAGCTTAAGCGCTTCGTTTGATTTCGTGAACTTGAGGGCATGAAGACTGCAGGGAAGATCTGATAGTTTATGTGAATGATGGGTTCTGGTTCCATGTTTGCTTTCTTGCTATGCAGAGTGTTTGGGTTCTCTAGCTACTACTTAGTGGTTGTGATAATTTAGGCTAATGAATGACGATAAGTATATTTGCTGAATGACATTTTGTTGGCTGCGGAATGCTGCAATTAGGGCTCTTGATGAAACAGAATGGAGCGGTCGGATTATTCTTCTGGAGAAATCAAAGTCCCATTGAAGCTCTGATACTGATGTTGTTCCCTTTATCTGCTGACATACTTCTGCTGCTTCGTTCTTTTGTTACAGACATCTGTTGATTCTATGATTGCTCTGTCCATCTCTTTCCATCGTAACTTGTAAAAGAAGCTAACAAAAGGTGATGGGATCATGGTTATGCTTCTGGTTGTGAGGGTTAAAAACGAATATCGAACACATTAGGTCGTTCTCATTTGTCATGTAGGACATTGATACAATCGATGAAGGCATCGTTTAAAATTCGAAGGGTACATATTAGTTATTCATGTCTGCAAACGGCGGAGGGCATTTGCCGATTCCAAAGAGCGAAAAAAGAAGAATTGTGCACACTCTGCAGCATGTAGTGGTATTGATAACCAAAATTTCCAGTTTGTGAGGCAAGTTGCAGCAGTATACATGCTCCATGAGAAGGAGAACCAAATGCAACAAGGTGCTCATTTCACCTTTACACTTGCAAATAGCGAGAAAACGAATCACTTACAATCCTCTTCCAGCTTGTTTTCTTGTCAAACGTAAATCTGCTGAAACAACAGATTTCTTTTTAAAAATCCGACTTATATATTCACATTGCTGATGATTCTTGCTTCTCAAAACAACCCAAATCGAAAGCCCCGCAAATCTATCGAAGGAGGGAGGAGGTGTGTCTCAAGTTCTATGCTTTCAGCTGTTTCAAAGGTCATATGCATTCATTCAGGTTCCTGAATGAGGATGAAACTTTCCCCTGTCCTGATATCCATTTTGGTGGGCAGATATTCCCATGGCGCTGGAGAATGATAAGGCAGCCACCCGTGTGGTGGATTCAGAAAAGCTTGGCCTGATTAGGTGTCCCACTTCTCATCATAGCACAGAACTCTTCATAATTGATTCTACCGTCCTGCAAATTACACCGATAGTCCTTTCAGCGCTAGTGTAACTATTTGAGGTACGGGGTAAGGAGAAGTGCTCTTGAAATAGAGATCAACTTACATTATCGGTGTCTACTTCAGCTATGATTTCTCTGATAGTTTCATCATCAGCTATACCATAGTCCTTCATGGCCATCTCTAGCTCATCTTTAGTGATAAATCTGCAAACACATGATAAAATCATTAGGTTCTGCTCTCAATTCAAGATTCTTCAGAGGCACAATGTCAAATAATTTTCAGAAACAGAGACGTACCCACTGCTGTCCTTGTCGAAATATTGGAAGGCTTTGAAAAGATGTTCATCTCTTTCTAATCTATGTCTGTGCATGGTAGCCGTGATGAATTCAATGTAATCAATCGTCCCGTTTCCATCGACGTCAGCCTGAAATTTCAGAACCGAGTCTAAGTTAGTTATCCATGAGCACATTATCACCTAAAGAAGTTACAGATGCAGTTTTAGATGGTGAATTTTCTTACAGCCTCCATGAGCTGCTTCACTTCTACTTCTGTGAGCTTCGATCCAAGGCGAGCCAACCCTGACTTCAGTTCTTCATAGGTGATCGTGCCACTATTGTCAGTATCAATATTGGCAAACATTGACTTCAGACCTTGGATTTCTTCTTTGGAAAGGTTTTCAGCGATGACCTGTAGAAGAGTTTTAAGCAGTATCATAAACTGGACCCACATGATTTCTTGAGCTTCTTCTTTGGCAAATATCTTTTAGCCTATACCTTCAAGGCCAGTTTCTTGAGCTTGTTCATTGCTCTGAATTGCTTCATCCTCGAAAGAACTGCACTGTCTATTGGCTTATCTGAAGCTTCTCCACCTTCCTTAAGCCAGGGATGATCTGTATCAGCAAACAGAAATCCAAAACAACTGTTGGTTAATCCCAACATTCACAATTACAAAAGCGGGAAAAAACCTCGGAGAGAAAGAAAAATCCATACCAAGTACTTGAGCAGCAGTAATTCGTCTCTTAGGATCCTGGGTTAGCATTTTCTGAACCAGGTCTTTTGCACCACTTGAGATAACCGGCCAGGGGTGACTTTCGAAATCAATGTCACCTTGCAATATGGCGTCAAATATGCCCTTCTCATTCTCTGAATACAATCGTCAAATCGAACCACAATAATTCAGTAAGTCCACAACAAAACTCAAAATCAGGTTCCTCCTCCAGCTAGTTAGAAGTGAAAAGATAGAAGAGGCAAGTTCACCATTATAACCACAATCAAGCAGACATATATGAAGAACTCATCATTTTACCTGCCCAAAATGGAGGCACACCACTTAGCAAGATATAGAGTATAACCCCAGCACTCCATACATCTGTTTCCTTGCCATATCTGCGCCTCAATACTTCAGGAGCAACATAATACGCGCTCCCAACTATATCCCGATACACTTTCCCTGCACGGTGTAATACACAGGTTTCATCAGCTGCAATGCCACATCCTGATTACTATCATACAGGCATGGAATGACTAGGTTTCAGTTTTCATGAGTCATGACCAATACTGGAGTGCTACAAAGCTTGGAACTTTCCAAGGAAAGAAAGCAAACATTGATTGTTTTTATCTAGCTATTAAACAGAATCATGAAGCCAACCATTCAACTATTTTTAGCTAATTTTTTCAGAACCCAAAAAAGGCAAATACTGAAAAACCTCACAACATATAAGCACCTGGAATTCATAAAAAGGAAAGATCATAAAGACTCAGCTAAATCGGAGAAATATAGACCAAGGAAAATATCTTACCTTCTTCAATGAACACGGAGAGGCCGAAATCAGTAGCCTTGAGAAGGGCAGTATTGTTATCTTTACTAGACAGCAGGAAATTCTCAGGCTTAAGATCCCTATGCATCACACCCATGAAATGGCAAATATGCACCACATTCACAATCGACCTGCAAATCCCAGCAGCCTCCTTCTCACTGTAATGACCCTTGGCGATAATCCGATCGAACAGCTCCCCGCCGGCGCACAGCTCCATCACCAGATGAACCGTCTGCTTATCCTCGTAAGCCCCCTTGAATTCAACAATATTGGGCTGCCCGCTGAGATGCTGCATTATCTGAATCTCCCTCTTCATATCCTCCTTATCATTCTTCGTCACCAGCTTCCTCTTGGAAATCGACTTGCAGGCGTACTGCTTCCCCGTCGAATTTTCGATGCAGAGGTAAGTAACCCCGAATTGGCCCCGACCCAGTTCTTTCCCGATCGTGTAGTGGAGCTTGACGTCCTCGTAGGCCTTCCCGAGGATCGTGTCGGGCCGCCGGGCCGGCTTCGGGCTCGGGGGAGCGAGGAAACCCGGTTTCTTCCGGAGCGGAGACTGCGGAGGGATCGCATAGCCGCCGGCTGAGTCTCCGGCGGTAGCCGGAGGAGGTTTAGACGCATAATTGTTGTAATCCGTAGGAGGCAGGTCTCGAGATTTGGGATGGTAGTGATTCTGATTATTATGATTCTCATTAGGGTTGTAGCGGAAAGCCTCGCCGCCTCTGCCGCCTTTGCTTACGCAGTGACCCATCTAAAACCAACCCAGCTGCTGATAGGTTATCAAAATTCTGGATCAGAGGCGGAGAAGAAAAGATGGCGTCAGGGGTTTGAATTGAATTGAATTTGGGGAGGTGGGTTTTGATCAGAGAAACAAAGATTCAGAGGTGAGGTAAGAGTAAAGACAGAGAAAGGAAACCAAGGAAACAAGAAACTCCAAAATAGATTAGATAATTAGGCAAAATAATTGGAGGAAGAGTAAAAGAGAGAGCGACCCAGAAGAGGAATTGAAGGGGGAAAGAGGTGGGAGACGATAAAGACGACAGCTTTGAGATCAATCAAGCAAGTTTAGCAGGCGGATCGATTAAAGAAACAGTTTCTTATTGTGGCGGAGATATATAATGGAAGCGAAGTGGAGGGGGGGATTTCGTTGCTTTTTAATTTGGGGAAGCAAGCAAGCAAGGAAGGAGTGTGAAACTGTGATGTGAAGAGGAGAGAAAGCAACCGATCGAGGAGACGGAGTTGGTCAACTCTCAAAAGTTTGGACTCCGTTTGGTAAAATTGGTGTTTGGATCAAACTCTTACCTGATTTCCCAGCTAATATCTTACTATTTTTCAGATTAAATATCAGGATTAGGATGATAATTACTTGTTTGCACTGAAATTCATTCACGATCACGGCAGGAAAGCGCGGGAAGAAGCTTCCTTGTTTCTTCTTCTTCTTCTACTCTGTTTTTTTCTTGTGTTCTTTTCAGCTTGTGCCTTGTGGTAAGGGAAACAGAGGGGGGGAAAAGGCGGCAAGATTGTGGGGTCCACTCAAACAATATATAAATCACCCGCCAGTCCAGGCCAAATCAGGTCAGCGATTGGATCACAGCTGTCTGGGACACGTGGCGAGATGGGTGGTTTTCCTGGTTTAGGTTTTCTCGTTGGGTGATTACGCGGCTTGAAAGCGGGAGCTGAGCTGGGCCTGGCTGGTTTGCGTACAAGGATGAGAAAACGTGTGGGGTGGCGAAGTGGGCCGGCCACTCGTTTTTGTTGGGCCAAGTGGGGTGGAATCGGTTCTTTTTGCTGGTCATTGACCGGTTTGGTTATTGTTTCTGGCATTGCCCAACCCGACCTACATTTTCTGGTTGTTTTGCTTGCAGTTTATTGTTATGCATTAAGAAACTAAACATAATCTGTTTGGTTTCATTATTTCCAGTTGGTTATGGAACCGTTCATTGAAGTTCCCCGTTGAAGATGCGACGCACACTGGACTAGTTTAGTAGAAAGATACATGTGGTTCAACCCACTCTCTAGAATTCTACTTACTAATTTTTTTATAGTGGGAATTGAAAAAAAATCCACAGAATAGGGATGACAATTTGAATCTATCTCGTCGAGTGCTACCTTATCTGATTTGTGATGAAGCGCGAGTGTTACTCAATCAGCAGTAGCGTGGTGCAAGGCATGAATATCTACTATCGACCCGCCTCATCGCTTTTCTGGACCGTTCTATCTCAATTGTTACAACATATTCATATTTATCCTATTTTAGCCTTTCTTCAACTAGTTAGACTTAACTGGCTCCTAATATGTGTATTCCAACTTCTCGGTCTGGACCATAAACCGTATATATAAATCTGAACCAGACCGCATATTTCTACTAATTAAACTCAATTACCCATTCTATTATCATTATTTTTCATTCAAAAAGTTTTTTTTGTTGTCGTTTTATCATAAAAAGTAAAATTTTGCGTACATTTTTTTTCCACATAACATATAAAAGTGGGTCGACTGACCTTGTCACGTACCCGCTTGAGTATTACCTCTCCCGACTCGCATTTGGTGTGAGACGACTATAGAGACTGAGATACCCACCCTGACCCGCTCATTCGCCATATCCACCCCAGAAGCTGCATTGTGATCATCAATCCCTTCACCGTTGCTTGGTACGTTACTAAAAAAAACCCTAATGGCTATAAGCTCTCAATGATTCTTATGTACAATATCTCGACTTAAATTCTTAATACATTACTATAAACGGTGAAAGGGATTGGTTTGTATTTATTGGTTTGTAACACAAGTGTACCAATTTGTATTGTAAGTAGTGGTATTCTGTACGGTTTGTTGGTTTTTTTTAATGTTTGTAAGCTTTGGTATTTTGTAATGTTTGCTGATTTCATTTGTAATGTTTGTAAGTTTTGATTTTTTTTCCCCCATCATGTTTGTAATGTGTTTATGTCTAAAAATTAACCTAGTTGTCTATTGGACAAAAGTCCTCTATATAGAGATGAAGCTTCCAAAGTCAACTCGATTGTTTTTCCATTTGTATGGTTTGTCGGTCTAGTTTGTAATTTTTTCCACCATTTTTGTAATGTTTGTATGTCTAAAAAACAACTGGTTAACTTTGGGACAGTGCCAATCTATATAGGGATGAAGCCTCCAAAGTCAACTTGGTTGTTTTTCCATTTTTTATTATTTGTATTGTTTGTCGGTCTACTTTGTATTGTTTGTATAGTCCGTACGTTTTGTATTGTTTGTAAATCTGTTTGTATGGTTTGTCGCTCTAGTTTGTATTGATTGTGTGGTTTGTACTGTTTGTAAGTCCACTCTGTATACTTCGTAATTTTTCATAATACCCACACTACCCCTGTCATTAATTAAAAGGGTATTCCCACTTTTACCATCAGATTGGTGTGACCAGATCTAAGAGCTGGGAGAGTCTTAGTTAAGTGACTAAACACGGCCTTAGTCATCGTATCCGCCATCTATGGATGAATGGTTAAACCACCGTTAAATCACGATTTGATAAAAACTAACTTATCATCAATGCAGTCAAAAGCGCGATTCTATCTAGAAGCGGAAAAGGGGTAAAATCGTAAAGCGTAGAATCAAAGCGTAAAAGCGTAAGTTTTTTACGCATACTGAAAAATAACTAGAAATCTATGAAGTAGGACATATGCTATGCAAAATATGAATGCACAGAATTTAGATAAGTCAATAAATACATGCGATTCATGCCTAAAGTAGAACAACTTATAGCATCTTAATAATAAGTTTGTAAACATAAATTTTAACAATAAACCACTTTTCCCACTATGCTAATGAATTTGGGAAAAGTCTAGCTGGTGAATTAGATTACTCTATTGAAGTTGAGAATGCCTCCAAGTACCTTATATGTATCTTTTAATCTCAAATGTATCATATTGTTGGTGATTTACTTTTAAAATATACATTTTATAATTAATTTCATGAAAAGAATACTAATTTAGTGAGCTAAAAGCGTAAAAACGTAAAGCGTTTTGGAGAACTGGAAGCGTAAAACCGTAAGCTTTTAAGCTTTAAAGCGCAATTTAGTCCGATTTTATACACTTAAGTTTTTATATGGAAAAGAAAGCGTTTTGGCGACCTAAAAGCGTAAAATCGTAAGTTTTTAAGTTTTAAAGCGCGATTTTGACTGCATTGCTTATCATTACTTTTTTTCTGTATAATCTTCAATATAGTACTATGGTTTCACAATCCTTCAATACGAGGCGAAATATGTCAGGACGGGCAACTCTGAATAGGGATGGCAACAAAACCCGAACCCACGAGTACCCACCCGACGACCCAACCCGGTCAACGCGGGTAAAATCCGTGTTGACGGGTTTTGAGCCGGGTTCGAGTTTAAACCCGCTACACTATTCACCGGGTCGGGTTGAGTTTGGATTTAGATAAACCCGCCCCATGGGTACCCGCCCACACACATATAATTACTTTCCCCATATATTTAATATTCTAAATAATATTTTCTTAAACAACTAATATTCTTTATGTTTGTGGAGACATGTATAATTTGTTCTTTCTAATTGTTTAGAATGAAGTTGATATTATGAAGTGGAGAGTGAAGAAACTTAGTTGACGAGGAAGAAGCTTTCAATTAATATTATTGTTTATAGATGTTTATCTTTAAATTTGAACAATTTGTATTGATCATTTGCGGTTTGCTTGTATGCTCTATATTGGTGTTTTTTGTATGAATAATTTGTATGAGAAAATTGATGTTAAACTTTTATTTTGAAAGAAACTTGTTATTGTAAATTTTTTACCACAAAAACTCACGGGTACCCATGAACCCGCGGATACCCAACGGGTTGGGTTGGGTTTGAGTTTTTCAAACCCAGCGGGTTTTACCCCGAATTTTTTTAGCAGATAAACCCATGGGTTTGGGTTTGACAAAACCCGCCCCAACCCGACCCATTGCCGTCCCTCTCCAGTTATAGCCTACAAAAAGAACTCTCCAGTTCTCCACGCGTTTTACTATGTACAAACACCAAACTTCAAAGTTCAAACACAAGAAGAAGACCAAAAATAAACTGAAGTGGAGACAGCAAGAGCTGTTGCGGGAACAATACCATTGAGTATTGAGACAACCAAGAACTGCACAGTAACAACACAGCACGAGCACAGGAGCGATGGCGGATCTACTTGCTCTGCTTCACGTCCTTCTCAACTTCATGGATTGTCCACTGCAAATTCTCCAATTTCTACAGCACACACAGTTACCGCGTTAGAATTCTCCGGCTTGGAAGGAATGATGGTTTATTTGCATGGGAAAACCAATGCACTGCACGAGACAGTTCCTATAGTTGCAAAAAATCGGAGAATGGTTAGCATTTTTACCCTGACTATCTCCTGGTATTGTCTTGCAATCGTGTCAAATTGGGGGTCGACGCCCAGATACTCGTGAAGGCGTGTGGCCTGGAAAACAAAGAGGTTGAAATTCATATTAGATTGGGTTTTAGGAACCAGAAGCAAATGATTCAGGGAAACCTGAAAATTGTGCAGGCTACAGGTAAAGAAGGCAAGCAAAATTATGCAAAGTTCTGCATGACTTCCACTGCTGGGCAAGGACAGTGGTAATGAGACTAACCGCTTTATTATATGCAAGAGAAGCCTCCTCGGTAGCCTCGATAAGATATTTCCTGAAACAAGAGCAAAGGGGTTTGATATGCTTAATGAGATGAAATCTACCAAGTCACTTCATGCATGTATCTTGAAGAATCACAGAGGTCAATGCCAAACACCTTATTTTGTGGAGCGCTGGTATTGACTCCTGAGTGTAAGTCTCCAGTAGTAGAACATGCTCCAGAACCCTGTAGTTATCATGCATCTCAAGGAGTTAAACAAGGGATTGCACATCTTATCAATACTAGGAAGTCTAACATCTCTAAAAGCGTATTGCGGCAAAGAAAAACAAAATCTGATTTGATCGAGTTTTATGTCTTCTAACAGCTAAGCGCATTGGTCAGCTTCTCTGTTGTAACAGGCCATAATAAACGGAAAAAGTGTCAACAAACCTTAGCTTTGCGTCCATTGTCTCACACCTCTTGCACAACCAAGTTGTTTGTAGTTCATCCTGTACAACAATAAGAGTTCATAGAAATCAAACCAAATAGGCAGATAATAGGTTTTTGTTACAGAAACAGCTGTCAAACTGTCTTTTATTTTAATTGAACTTCAAACCGTATCTCAGTGAAGACATTTCATGAAAATTATGAATAGATCAGTGCTTACATATTTGTGTTGGTGTTGCAACTTCAAATCTTTGACAAGCTTAATGAGCACCCCAAGGATCTGCTCTAAGACCTTCACAAGAAGAAATCACTAGACAGGTTAACATCTTTAGTACAAAGGCAACAAGAAAACAAGCAGCAATTAGAGCAATATTAGTGCATAGATTACTGCGTCCATAATCAAAGAGAACATGGATCTCAGAAAAAGATTATCTGAGCAAATGCAGACGTACATTGTAATATTCAGCAAATTTTCTATCAGCGGAATAGAGGTCCACCCTCAGAGCTCCTTCTTCCCTTTCAATTTCCTCAGTTATCAACTTCACCCTGCTGACAGTAAAATATCATAGTTAAAGCGTGTACCATATCATGATGTCGTGTTCAAATGAAACACACTAGAAGCTTGCAGCAGTTCATGGCCTCCAAGCCAGTTGTGCACCTTTAAACAGGTCATCCAGTGGCCCAAAACTTAGAAAAGAAACAACTCAGGATACTAACGGCAACAGAGTGATTCAAACCTCTCTGGAAGCCAGGCTGTTGAATTTTGAGCAGCAGATGCAGAATCTGCACCCGGAAAAATAAATTGAAGGGGATATGAGTTTGCACACCCACACACACACACATGCATACACCTAATTGGATAAAAGGAATACGAGTTGCATTACACTAAGGGACGATTCCTATAACATCCCTCACTAATGCAGTTAACATAACTGACCAGATGTGACAAAAGATACATGAATGATGACCAAAAACAGATCTTTGGGGAGTACTGAAACCTGAGCAAGACAGTATAGAGAAGGGGGAGAAGAGATTAGGGATTGTAATCTCGATATGTACCAATATCATCAACAAAAGCATCAGCTAACTTATCACATTTGTCCTTCAAACGGGTCTCAATCTCACAGGACAAAGACATCTGGAATTCAGTCATGTCCTGAAGAGTTCAAATTCTCCAATAATGAAAAGTGTACATAAAGGTAATCAGAATCTATCATTCAATTCCAGAGGTAAGACTCTCTTTCTCAAATTTCGCACAGTCCACAATAACTTACCATCATTAATGGCATTTGTTGGAGCTGAGTTTGCCATAGATATGCTGGGGTGATGCCAAGATACTGATTGGCTAAGCCACCAACTCCAGGATCCAATGAATCACCAACACTTGGAGAAAAGCCACTGCCCATTGCACCTGCGCTGTTTGTGGTACTATTTGGATAATAAAGTGAATTAGAGCTTGAGCTGATTGTGGCACTGGTACCAGTACTGTCTAGGGAGCTTCGTGACATCACACTCCATTTTTCAATTTCTTCCTCATGAACCTCACCATCTTTTGATATAAGAGGAAGCCTTAGTTTCTGAGCTGCTTCTGCAACAACCAATCGATGCTCTAGTGTCTCATAAACCTGTGATGTATAGAAAAGATGTTAATTTATGCTAAAGATCCTAATATCAGGACCTCGTATTCTCTGAAACTATGTCTTAGGAAATGTAAACAAGCAATCGAGAACTATAATTCGATATAAGAATATGAAATGATCCTTAAAGTGAAGCATTCCAATTCAGAAATAAAACAGGAAAACTCTAAATATGAGAACCTGGGAATGGCTCTTCAAGCTAAGCTGTGGATATAGGACGTCTAGAATGCCTCCAAGACCAAGGCTTGACACAGCCTGCTGATACTCTTCCACCATAGCAGATGCTTCGGAGTAAATTGCCTGAATTCCCACCAAGAGCAACAAAATCAAGAAGTAAAAACTTATTAGAGAAGAACACTCATCAAATTATCGATACGTGGCGGCAAATCGAAATCTCCCTATTTTCTGAACACAATAGAATGGCGAACGAGCAATGTACCATACCATAGCTTCCAAGTAACGCAATCTTTCTCTCTCCATCTCTTCTCTCGCCTGCCAACAATTGACAACATTCACTATCCAAATCTACCAGAATTTCCACCGATTGAACGACACAGAATCAACCCATCATTGGATTCTCAATCTGAAAGCGGTCACTTCTTGTTCTTTCCCTCCTAAAACTGAGTTGTTCTCTTCGCAAGTACGCCATAAAAGAGAAGTTTAGAGAACTGAAGAAAACGACGGGGAAGAGAGAAGTACGAGTTGAAGGTCATAGTAGGCGGATTTGGAGACGAGAGATCCATCGGGAGCCAAGCAGTGGCGCTCCAACTGATCGATCACCTGAGCCACATCCGCCGGCAGATTCTGGCTCCCCACTCCTCCTTGCAGCGCCTTCACCATTGGATCGGAACCCTAAACGCTTTGCTTTCGTGTCACTGGAAGCTCCGGCCAGCCGTCGCCGCCTCTGCTGCGACTGCGAGCGAGTAGGAAATTCAAAACTTTGGGGATTAAATTTGAAGTTAACGACCACTTCAAAATTACATCAATACCCTTCTCAAGATACTAAGTTCGACGATAAATTCTAAAGTAGTCCCTTAACTTTGATGTTACGCACATTCAACCACAAGATTATTATATTTTTATCTTTTTTTTTCAATATTAAGCAGAAAGGATCCCACATTCTGACGGCGGCATTCCAAATTCTCCACCGGAGCTTCCCTACCAGTTTCCTTCTTCTTCTTCTTCTTCTTCTTCTTCGGTCTGAGGGAAGCTTTGATGGAAAAACGTAAACCTACGGAGGAAACCGTATCAGCGTCGTTGAAGAAGCTTGATTTGAGTTCGACCGCTTCCAATCCCAATTCCTCTCGTTCCATTTCAACCCTTCAATCCTCCAGTAAGTTCTCTTCTCGCCAGCATATACCTGCTATTGAATTGGAGAACTTCACAGCCGCCAAATTCAGAACTTTCAATTGGAATCACTAGTTATATGCTTGCTTCCTCGAATGATTGCCTTCACAGGATTTCGTAGGGAGAAGGGAAGGCCTCCAAGCTTGGTGAGCTTGTGCGTCGGAGTTCTAGGCAGGCACCTGGAGGATGTAATTGGAGAATTGAGGGAGATTTCTGTGGGATTTCCCGCTCACATTAAGGTGTGGTGTCTTGCACTGGGTTACTTGATTGCTAGGTTAAAGCTAGCCACGTTCACAATTCAACAAATTATCGTCAATTTTGGGCTGGAATATGAATTTACAATCTTTTGCATTGCAGCTTGCGATTGTAGCGATTGCCCGGAGGCGGAAATTGTTGAATGATGATCTGATCCTTTCTTTAGTCGACAGTTCCTGGGAAATTCTTGACATTTCCGGGTCAGATGTTACCGATACCTGTTTGGCTGAAGTTTCCAAAATATGCAGTCGAATCAGGGCTGTAGATATAAGGTGTGTGGTAGGCTAAAGCTTCTATTGTGTACTTATTGAGAAATGGGCAAGTTGACATTGCTGCACTAGGTTTACAAAATCATCACATTGGTGGCTAGCATGCATCTTCTTTCTATTTGTTGATGGTTTTCACATTCTGTAATCTGTATGGTTCATTGATGGTTTCCCTTATGTATGTGGTTTATATTTCAAATAGGAACTCTTTCATTTTGCAGCCGGTGTTTTCAGATTACCCCTGCTGGTGTCTCTGAACTAGTACAACACTGCAAGTTGTTGAACACATTGAGATGGGGGTATGTTTTCTTCTCTTCCTTAAACACGATGAATAAGTGACATTGACCGTTCATGCTCCTTTGAAGTTCATTGTACACTGAGAATCCAGCCCTAGATAATACCCTTTTGGTTTGCTGTTCAAATGGGCTTTCCATGTGGTTGATTGTCATATATTTTCTTCCTGCATTGTTACACTTAAGCTAGTTAGGGGTTGAGGTTTTTGACTAGGTTACTACAAACTATAACAGGATTGAACCAAAGTTAATGTTGCAGAGGATGCCCAAGGAGCAATTACACTGCGCGTCGTAGTTTGGGTACACTGAAGCCAGAGCTAATTGACCTGGAGGGAGATTCCTGGGAGGAACTGGATGCTGCAGAAATTGCTCATGGTGCTGAATCCCTTCGGTGGCTTCTTTGGGTAGGGACTTGCTATGTACCTATTTTTCATCCTTCGTTACAGTTTCGCGTTCTCCTAGCTTTGGGGAGCATTCACCTTTGCTAATGCCTGAAATAGGTTGAAGCCGCTGCACTGCTTGTCTATCTTTTGCTTAACTGAAGTTCCATTTCTCCTGTTCTGTTCTACAGCCAATGATTGATAAAGATTCACAAGAAACGCTAGCCACCGAGTGCCCACGCATCATAGTCAATCCCAAGCCCTCGCCTTTAGGATTCCGTGGACTTGATGTCCCAATTGAAGCACACGCAGATACTGCATTGGACGATTCAGTTGTGAAGGATATTAGTCCCACCACATGGGCTGTAGGTGGATTCGCGCCAAGGTCTATTTCGCCATGCATTTCAGGCACTCCCGGGATAGAGCTGTCGATGGCGGAAAGATTCAGGCTTGCATTTCTTGATAGAGACACGAGGTTGGCCCCTAAGCGAGCAAAGAACGCCAGGCAACGTCAGCGTCGTGCTGAGAGGGAGATGTTGATGAGTAGCACGAATGCCAAGGCTATAGCTCTGGCCTCCAAAGCCACCAAATCATTCCATGGTTAAACCTAAAAGCAAACAAGCATCTACACAAACATCGGCCAGCCTCGCACTGTTGTATTTTTGGTTTGGAAGGTGTAACATACGTACATATTTCTGTAGTATACCAGACTTTGAACAAGAAAGGTTATCTTTCGGGCCTTTTGGCAGTCAGCCTGTGAATTGAGAAGATTTGCAGCACTCATTTGAACAAGCTCACAAATGTATCAGATTGAGATATCACTTCTCTTTTCAGATTTGAGAGATCTAAACAGTGAAATAACTTGCGACTGAACCATTTCCACTCAAAATGCTGAAGCTCATACATTGTTACATATCACAGTTTGTCTGTGTCCTTGCTGTAACTCCAGGAATGGGATTCAGAAAACATGCCGACTGAAACTATTGAATATGCACAACGATGAGCACGCACTTAAAACGAAAAGCACTCAATTGTCTCTGGAAAAGCACTCTTTCCCATCTTGGCGTGTGGTACCAGTAGTTCTGTTTAGGTGTATGTAAAGTGGAATAACCGCTGGAAGTTGCTATGTTCATATTATTGTTTACTGTCGACCAAGTTTCTTAGGACATAAGGCAGGATCCCTCCATGATCAAAGTAGGCCAATTCTACCTGCACAGTTATCAGTTGATTCTTCTGTTAGTCACAATGTACATTTTGCCAAGACTTCGAAAGGGTATCTGCTGGGTTATCCGAGTCATCGTACCTCTGTGTCAAAGCGAGTTGTGCAAGTGAAAGATTTACCGCTATCTGTTGTAACGGTAACATCCTGCCCAGGCTTCAGTTCACTGATCTTCTTTGGAAGGTCAATGGTGTAGCGTTCACGACCAGTCAGTCCTAACGTGTCTGCATCCTCACCAGGCTTGAAACACAGGGGGATTATCCCCATGCCAACCAGATTGCTCCTGTGAATTCTTTCAAAACTCTTGGCAATTACTGCTTTCACTCCCTGAACAACAAAGGCCGAAAGGTTTAACTCAAGGCTGACACAGCAGGCGGAACTTGACGATGATATGTTAACTTACCAGCAGCTTTGGACCCTTAGCAGCCCAATCCCGAGAGCTACCACTCCCATATTCTGCGCCAGCTATCACTACGGTCTCCTCCCCAGCTTCCATATACCTCTGTAATTCAACAGCAAGTTTAAGAACGGACCCAAAAATAAAATGAAAGCTTTCATGCTTTTATAATAATAACTCACCATCGCTACATCGAACACATGAAGCTTCTCTCCAGTTGGAATGTGAACTGTCATCGGCCCTACTTCATTCACGAGCCTGTTCACAAGGCGAATATTCGCGAAGGTTCCCCTTGCCATTACTTCATCATTGCCACGACGGCTGCCATAAGAATTGAAGTCCTTTGGATCTACACCACGCTCTCTAAGGAACCGAGCAGCAGGGCTTTCTTTGTGGATACTGCCTGCAGGAGAGATGTGATCGGTAGTTACACTGTCACCAAACTTGAGCAAGCAATAAGCATTCTTCACTCCATGAGGACCAGGTGGTTCCATGGTCATATCCTTGAAGTATGGTGGCTCGTGAATGTATGTAGACTTTGGATCCCAAGAGTAAAGAATTGAAGCAGGGATGCTGAGCTGATTCCACATGGGGTTGCCGTTTGTGATGGCTTCATAAGTGCTCCTGAACATATCTGGTAGCACACTGGATTGCACAACCTGGGATGATTAAGGTGTCAGATGCTTATTCTTGGACATTTTGATCTCGCATAATCTCATTACTATATAAGAATCTTGCAAAACAACTACCTCTGCAATTTCTTCATTACTAGGCCAGATGTCCCTGAAGAACACATCTTTGCCGCCCTTCCCTGTTCCGATCGGCTCCTTCTCAAAGTCGATATCAACCTGAAATTAGACAATCGACAACACGGATAACATTATTCGAAATTATAACTTGAGATGGTGCAGTCAATATTTGGAAATTAATCACTATGTGGCATAGCCTGCTGGAACTTCCATACCGTGCCTGCGAGGGCATAGGCAACAACTAGTGGAGGAGAAGCTAGATAATTAGCTCTTGTCAATGGATGAATCCGCCCTTCAAAATTACGATTCCCAGAGAGTACAGCTGCAGCTATGATGTCTGCAGAAGGACACAAACATAGTTTCAGAGAAACGCCGTATAGGCAAGACAAAAATGAAAAAAGACATGAGTCCGGGAAGGACTGCCAGCAAAACTGAACAAGAGAATCTATTAGAGAAGTCCAACCATCAGAAGAAAATGTTACTCAAAAGATAAGAAGCCATACCATTGTTTGAAATGGCAGAAGCTACTGAATCATCAAGCTCTCCAGAATTTCCAATACAAGTGGTGCAACCATAGCCAACATGCTGAAAGCCTTGCTCATCCAAGTATTTCTGCAATCCACTGCACACACCAAATCCCAGAATCATTCATTAAAAGGCTAAAAAGGATCCAAAGGAAATTAAACACAATTGTAGATTAGTTTCACACCTTCTCTGCAAATATTTTGTGACTACTCCAGACCCTGGAGCAAGACTAGTTTTAATCCATGGCTTAACCTAGAAAATCAGAGTTAGCAAATGGCCATTTCCTGAAAAAACAAATGTTTAGGTCACACCGCATATTTGGTAGGCTCAAATTCAAGCTAACCTGTAACCCAAGTTCACAAGCTTTCTTCGCGACCAGACCAGCTCCAAGCATAACACTAGGGTTTGATGTGTTTGTACAACTTGTGATAGCTGCAATGACAATACTTCCATGTGCAAGTTCAGCAGGTTGTCCATGAAATGAGAACTTCGCCACTTTATAATGTTCTTCATCAGGTATACCAAATCCCTGTATGGGAAAAAAAATCAATGACCAACAAGACTAAAAAAGCCAGGAGTAACAGAAGCAGTAATGGATTATCAATCTTAGAACCAAGTTCCCACTCAGCAATGGTAATCAACTGACTCAGGATGCTTAATGATATGACATCCAACTCCAAACAACCAAGACTCACACAAGAACTGGAGAACGTAATGTAAATAATATTGCAGAAGGATCAACTCCACCTTGAACCCAACTGGGTTGCCAAGACATGCCCGCCAGTCAAGCTTCATATCTTTCAAAGGTACACGGTCATGAGGTCTGTCACATTCACGGAAAGTGGTCCTTAATCATGTGAAAAAATATACCATTGGAACAGGATAAGCAGGAACACAAGCAGCACAACATACCTCTTTGGTCCTGAAACACAAGGCTCAACTTCTGCAAGGTCCAATTGCATGTATGATGAGTACGACCTCTCTTGTGCAGGCTGTTTGATACGAATAGTTCATCCAGTTCATATACATGATATACAAAGGTCATATTTGATTTCTCAGAATGGATAGATCAAGTACTTCACCTCATTGTAGTCAACAAACATATTGTTGGCGCGCAGGTATTGTTCTATCATAGCCACCTAAATTGCAAAGCAAAAGAAAATCACTCACTACAATAACTCAAGCACAGCAGAAAATCTGACCTAGTGAAGAAATCTTACCGTGTCATCACTTCTTCCAGTCAGTTTCAGATATTCTAGTGTGACATGATCAACAGGGAAGAAACCCATTGTTGCTCCATACTCAGGAGACATATTTGCAATTGTAGCCCTATCAGCCAACGATAGTCTACTCATGCCATCACCTGTGGCAATGTGCAAATTAATTTGATTGAATTTAAAAATCTCATGATAGAAATTAACTTGTGTATTTTATTACATTGTCATTACCATAGAACTCCACAAACTTCCCAACAACACCATGCTTCCTCAGCATTTGAGTCACCGTCAAAACCAAGTCAGTTGCTGTGACTCCATCACGTAATTCACCAGACAATTTGAAACCAACAACACCAGGGAGCACCATACTCATGGGCTGTTAAGTTCAAGAAAGCAGCAGAAGAAGCAGAGTGAACCAAAGATAAAACCGAAGCATATACAAATCTGCATAGCAAGAAAAACGCAAACTGTCTTGGAGAACAAAGGGGTAGCCGGGGTGACTATGATCAAGTGATTCAAGTTCCAAAAGATAGATCATTTTAGCATTCGGTTGGTAACTTATTCAGGTGTCGATTGGGCGAAGAAAGTGTGGAGACCATTTGCAAACTAAAATGTGAAGTAAAGGATTACAAGGCTGATGAAAATGAAATATGGTCAAACAGGGATACCCAAGATACACTATATGGTCCATATATATTGCACAATACAGAACACGAATGTTTGAATATGGCATGTTTTAGGTTGCACAAATGGACTCACCAGGCACTTCCGGACAAAATTCTAAAAGGAAGTCCTCAACATGTACATTTACACACATAGGAAACTACCTGCCCAAGCATTGTTGCTTCTGCTTCGATTCCTCCAACTCCCCAGCCAGCAACTCCTAAACCATCAATCATAGTCGTATGTGAGTCTGTCCCAACAACACTATCAGGGTACAGAAGTCCTTCGGTGTTAAAGACTACACGTCCAAGGTATTCCAAATTAACCTTCAGAGTCAATAAAGAGCAAACATATAAGAAGACAGAAGACTTAAGGAGGAGGGATGAAAGAAAAATAAAGTGACGACATATGTTGCATCCACCACTAGAGCAGAGGTTTGGAGCAAACATTGGATTCTACAAGGATCTATTGGAACTCAATGAAAACTTATTATATACAAGTTATGCTTAAGCCTCAATGCCCCTGACAACTACTCCGTTGCCTTACCTGGTGAACAATTCCAGAACCAGGAGGAACAACAAGCATGTTCTGAAAAGCAGATGCGCCCCATTTGAGGAAAGCAAATCTCTCCCTATTTCTCCTAAACTCATGTTCCATGTTTGTTTGCACAGCATTCTCAGTCCGCGCAACATCAACCTGAACAGAATGATCAACTACAAGGTCCACTGGAACCTGTACAGCAAGTATGACCACATTAGCAGTCTATGGACTCACCAAGTCTCTAGCTTCGATAGTTTATGACAGTCACATAACAGTAACTTGATTCCAGTAAAAATGTGTTCAACCAAAAGGCAGAAAGATTACAGACCAATGGATTGATCTTTTTAGGATCACTGCCAAGATTCTTCATAGCATCCCTCATGCATGCCAGGTCAACCACAGCTGGCACTCCAGTGAAATCCTGGTTAATGCAAAAACAAGCATTAGGAGCGAATCACATATCTAGAATATAAAACCACTTCATCGTTTTCTTTAGTTGGAATTAGCTGGTGAACCGCTGAGTTAATGGGACTAAACCTGTAGCAGCACTCGAGCAGGTTTAAAGGGGATTTCGACATTCTTCGGCGACGTATTCTCCCAATCAATAATCTTCTCAACATCCTCTTTAGTAACTTGGAATTCATCACAGTTCCTGATTGCAGATTCCAGAAGAATTCTGATAGAGTATGGAAGCCTGTCTGTAATGTCAACAAAGAAAGCACCATTACCTTCCCAATCAAGTATCAGAAACAATGTGGCTAAACAAATCTTAACCTACAAGGAAGTATCGGAAACACTAGCGCAGAAGCTTATTGCCACATACCAATTCTCGGATCATTCAGAGCAGGTAAGCTGTAGAATTTCCCAAACTCTCCGCCCCCAGCCTTGGGAAGGGAAGTCAATAAACCTTTAAAAGGATTCTCAGTAGCTGCAGAATACGACAAACGCATTAGGGCTTTCAAACGGCCTGTTATCATTACCCAAAGCACAATGACGGAAACAACGAAGCAGGAAAGTGACATACCCATAGTGGAAACGGACTTCTGAAGCCGATCAACGAAAGGGGAAGTCGCCGGCGCCTGAGCTCGGAGGCTCAAAGGAGATCGCCAATCGACTCCATGGCTCCACCGCTGAGCAGGACAGCACCGGAATGACCGCAACCCCGACGAGAAGCTCAGTGACCGAGCCTTCTGTAACTGGCTACCGAACGAGACAGAGGAAGAAGAACGAGAAACAAACGATTCGGTTGAGGAAGCGGAAGAACGGAGAGGCTTGGAAGTGGCGGGGAACCTGCAGGAAGCGGCGAGGCGAGAGCGGAGAAGAGATGGAGAACAAGGCGCCGAAGTGGATATGTGGATGGGCATGGCTGCCGGCCGCCCCAGAGAACGGGAATCGGGTTCAGAAGCAGAAGGTTTCAGAAGAACCCACAAGAAATTTGGAAGGAGAAGTGTGGCGGAAGTTCTTCTGAGCTGAAGACTAGTAGAGGATGGAATGGAAGTGAGGAAGGTTGTGGAAGAAGCAGGAAGAAAATGGCGGTTTTGGTTCTGCAAGAAAAAAAAAAAACAAATTGCTGGCGTGGGGTTTTAAGTTGCTTTGGGGTTTTGGTGATGGAACTGTGGCCGTTGGATTGGATTACAATGCTTTTGAATCGTAGGGTTGAAAGTTCGGGAGCACAGTGCTAACTCTGAACCAGGCCGTATGCTAACGATCCCCGCTCGCCACATATTTCTTCGTCTTCTTCAGTTCTTTTTTTTTCTTTCGTTCTCTTAGGTCTTAAGAAATTAGGTTTAGCTAGGATAGAAATCGAAACGCTTTCAGTTGTAGGCTGCAGCATGGAGTACGACGACGGCATCCGGTCGCAAATCGATTGGAGAATCGCCGATGAATCGCCTCCCGAATGGATTGGAATTGACAATTTACATCAGGGGAATCAAGAGATCGAGACCCACTTGATGCGAGACGATGAACCTGCTGCCGGCGATCCCCAATTCGCCGACGATTTCGTCGCTCAGTTTCTCGTTGATTTCCCTCCCGATTCCTCTTCCGGCGGCGACCCAGATTTTCATCCTGATTCCTCTTCTTCTCACCGCCACGGCACCCCTGATTCCTCCGACAAGGACAACGACGCTGCTCTCGCAGCAGCACCCGTTGAAATCGGAAACGCTCCTAATGATCCCGTCTTGAAGAAGCGGCAGAGGTGCGTACTGTTATTTCCTGCCTTAATTCGCGTGCTGTTTTGCCCAAGTATGTAGAATCGAATTCGATGAGTGGTGGGCTCCCTTCTTTTCCAGGCAGCTGAGGAACAGGGATGCGGCGATGAGATCTAGGGAGAGGAAGAAGGAGTATGTGAAAGATCTGGAGGCTAAGAGCAAGTATCTGGAATGGGAATGCAGGAGACTGGGGCGGTTGCTACAGTGCTGCGTTGCTGAGAATCAAGCTCTAAGATTCAGTTTGCACAATGGAAGTGGTGCAGCGTTTGGTGCTGCCTCGGCCAAGCAGGAGTCTGCTGTGCTCTTGTTGGGTATGTCTTCTTCCTTCGTGTACTTCATAGTTCATACTATAGACTTATTGAATTCCACCAGAGTTGAAAAGAATCAAACTTTGAACTGCTTCATACAATTTATTACACGCACCTGTGGAGTGATCAGGGTCTTGTGGCGTTTTTCTATGGGCGCTCTGTTGAAGATTTTAACTTTATAGTTTTGGCTAGGAGTTGATGAATGAACACATCGAGCACCTGTTTGCTGCCCATTTCACCAGATGATTTGATAATACTTTGTGGGTTTCTATCTTGGTATGCAACTGCATTGGCAAAATGACATTTGGGCCGGTTGTTGTTGTGTTCTGCAGAATCCCTGCTGTTGGGTTCCCTGCTTTGGTTCCTGGGCACCATTTGCCTGTTCCGTCTACCAACGAGAGCGCTCCTGTCGTGCGTTCCACTGGAACAGCCGGCGCCACGAGAAGGGGTGACTCCAAGAGGAGGAGGAAGAAGTAAGATGATGATGTCCATACTGCAACTTGGCGAGCCAAGAGGCAGGAGATGCAGGGCCTCGCGGACTAGGATGAAAGAAGACCTGAAATACTCATTTTCCTCATGTAGTTGTGGATAGTTTTGTAAAGTGTAAGGAGTAAACAGACAGAAACCTTTCTGGTATTTCACCCGTAGTATCTGTCAACAGTCAAACGTTAGTATGTCTTAATCTATGCTGAGCTCTGGTTCGTTCGTTCAATAATTCAAGATTGGTAGTTATGTCTACTGGATGTGCATTGTATGCTCCACTCGGTGGTGCATCAATATTGGGTTGGGTTGAACACAGAACAAATGCTAACTACCCAACAAACAGTGAACAACGATAGATCGTCATCTCATCTTTACTAAGTGCTGAGTTTTGTGTTGCAAAGTGCAGAACTACAACTGTATAGCCCCCGCAGGATTAAGAATATCGACTAGCCAAGTGCTTGCTGATGCATTGGCGAGTCCTTGGAGTCTCTGTGATCAGTGGTATTAAGGGTTGACATTGTTTCGTACTTCATTAGCATTCTCCGAAACCATGTCAATCGTAATACGAGAAAGTAAAAGACACAAGAATTTAACGTAGTTTTCCTGAATATCAGGACTGGTAAGTAAAAGACACAAGGATTTAACGTGGTTTTCCTGAATATCAGGACTAGTCCACGGAAGAGATAGAAATCTCCAAGAGCAATTCTTATTCTGGTCAGTTCTGTATAGTTCACTATATTACATATTGATACCTCAATTTAATATTCTAACAGCTGTGAGCATTTTCATTCTCGATGACTAGATTTTGACACTTTTGTTTTAGGCCGTGTATGCAAGTGTATTGAGTGAATAGAAACTGTGTATCATTTCTTCATGCTTGTGCTGTATACAACGAGTTGTTACTTGTTAGGTCTAACTATTATCTGGAATCAGTTAAGCACAATAGCAGCCGATGGTTTGAACAGCTCTGTTTCGAGGTGTGGGTTCTCAATGCGCCATGGTTTGACACTCATTGCTGCAATTGATTTAGGTTGTCCCAGGTCACATCTCAATTAGTGAAAATTTATTATTGCTTACTGGTAATCAGGAATATATGATTCAATAGGATATAAACTAATTATGCAAGTCAGATACATTGTACAACCTCCGTGTTCATCTTATCCACATGGGAAGATGATAATTTATCGGTTATAATAGCTAATTATGCATAACAACTAAGGTTGTTAACTTGGTTTAGCAATTTGGCTCGGTCGAGCAATTGGGTTGTGTTAAAGTTAATTGTGTAGGTATCAATCTGTAATTAGCCATGATAGTCTAATGTAATTAGGTTTAGGGTTATCTCCTATAAAGGGTTCGGCCAACACTCCTTGTACGTTTAACGAGTATAGTGAAACCTCTTGAAGAGCACAGCCTCTTCCGTGGATTAGTCATGTACATCAGGGATACCACGTTAAATCTCGTGTATTCTCTATTGTATTCTTAATTATTTACATGGTATCAGAGCCTCTGCTCTAAAAGATTAGTATGTTCTTCTTGCGGGTTTGTTGATGTCGCGTTTGGGGTCTCCTTGCGTTCGTCGATCTGTGTTTGGTGGCGAAGGAGTTTTTGTGCTGCAGCTTGGGCTGCTCGTATTCTTTTTGCCTGCTCTGTGTATTTCTCCGTTCGGCTGGGTTTTTTGCTCTCTTGTTGGAGAACTTTTGTTGGCCAGTGGTGATTTATGGATCTCTCGAAGCTGGCCTCGGTCACAATCAAGTTTGATGGCCAAAATTTTTCGATATGGGAATTTCAGTTTTGAAACTTTGTGGCGAGTCAGCGTCTTCTTCATATTTTGACAGGTGAATTGAAGGAGCCGGGGCCTGATGTTGCTGCCAAGGATGCGGCGGACTGGCATGCTGACAATGCGCAGCTGATAACTTGGCTCGTGGCAGCGGTTGACATTCCCACCGCCCTTAGTCTTCGTCGCTTCCGGACTGCTCATGAGATGTGGACTCACATCTGTACGACATATTCTCAGAATACTGCGTCTTATCAATTTGAATTGGAAGGTGAGATATCGTGGATTTCCCAAGGCGATCGTGATGTTCGTAGCTATTATCAGGAATGCCTAAATCTGTGGACCGAGTACGATATGCTGACTGTCTCACTGGTTCCCACTGCTGCCGCCACGGCTGTTCAGGCTGAAAGAGCTCGAACTCGTGCTCTCCAATTTTTAGCCAAACTCCGGCCGGTGTTTGAACCTATTCGGGCTACTTTGATTCATCGGAATACCACTTATATTGATGTCGTGGTGGCTGAGTTAACGAGGGAAGAGACACATCTTAAGAGCCAGCCTCAAACTGATCACGCTAGCCCTCAGTCTGATCCGGCGTTTGTTGTTGGGCGTCAGACAGTGGCTTCTCGGCCAACGTCGGGTTCCTCCTCGTCCGCGGATTCGTCGTCCACTGGTGGGGGTTATGTGCTTCTTCTGTCGTGAGCCTGGGAGATTAATTGACGGTGACTAATGATGAAATAATTTGTAAAGTTGGTGATCAATAAGAAAGAAAAGTAACTCAAACGACAAAAATGAAAGATTTATATATAATTTAAGTGATCAAACGTGTAATTTAGCCATAATAACCGTTAGTAAAAAACCACGTGGCGCTGCAACAGTGGCCACTTAGCCAGTGAGAAAAACTCCGAAAGGGCACTTTCTGCCGGAAAAAAACGGTCACGTGCTTGAATTATGGAAGTCGCGCGTCGCCACCCCCTGATTCCCGCCATTACCATTTTTCGAAACCCTAATCGTTTGCTTCCCCTAAACGCCACCGCTCCTCATTTCATTTTTTCCCGCTCCCCTAACGCTCCTTTTCCCTCCCACAAGCCATTGGATAAATCCCCAAAACCCTATCACCACTTTCCTTCCCCAATCCATCCATCGCCTCCTCTTCTCCTTCTTCCTCCAATCGTCCTCCGACAATGGTGGGAATCTCCCGATCTCCAAAACCCAGCCACTGCTGCTTCCAGCGTTACCTCAAGCCCGGCGCCCTCGCCCGTCTCCGGGACTCCAAAATCAGCGCCGCCAGATCTCTCCGACCCAAGTCTCCTCCTCCGCGTCTTCCTGAATCGGAGCACCACTCCCCTCCATCGGTTCCCTCACCGGACGGCGTCCCCTGCTTTTTCGGCAAGCTGTACGGCCCTCGATCCCTTACCAGGAAGAAACTCGTCGCCGCTAGATCTGTCTTGTTCGCCGCCGGTTTGGCTGCTTCCGATCCGGTTCCGGAGCCGGCTAATGGCGCCGCGGATAATATTAGTAGTAGCAGTAGTAATGGGTCTTTGATTAGTGTATTGAGTAGCGATGTAGTTGTTGCTGCTCATTGATTGGAAGTAGAGATTGGGGGGGATTAGCATTGAATCCCCCTTTTTCCTTTGTTGTAATTTCATTATAAATACAGTTTTCTTGCTAGCCTTTCCTAGTAAATGATGCGCAATAAAGGGGTTAGATTCATGACAGTTTGAAATTGTTTTTAGGGTTTTGACATCTTGGAATGGGAAATTTTGCACTTGTGATTCTCCATTTACTCCTATCGGACCCGTTCGTTCTGTGCAATTCGATTGAGGGTTCAATGATCAGGGCATTAGGGCAGGGGGTGATCGTTTTGCTTTTCAGAACTGTGAAATCTGGATCAACTCGCTGTTCATGTGTATCTAATTTCATATATTGTTGGATCTCTCCAGTGTTCAACAGCTCATGGAACATTAGGGTTTGGGGAAGGTCAAATCTTGAATTGAAATGTGGTTGTGGCAAATCTTCTCAGCTTTATGTGCAGAAGTGGAGAAGATAATACTAACCCTTACTGCATAATTACGAAGTTAACTTGGTCATTATTCGTAAACCCTATTTGGTATGATTGGTATTAGCAGTTTAGAACCAAGCCTGACTGCTGTTATCAGTTATGCTGTGGTTTCATTCAATTGCACGTTGGTGGTTACTTGATACAAGCTGATGAGGTAATTGCATTTATCCCTTTTATTGCATATTGGTGGTTAGCCAAAGAGGGAAATTATCATGTGTTTGTGATGCTTGCAAAAGGGGATCTCCCACTAGTAATGGCTGGACAATTTGAGCAGGTCAAGTAAGCATATGCATGAGAAGTAGAAGAATCTGTTGTTTCTGCAACTTTGGAGGGTGTTGGACGGGAGGGTTGTTCTTCTCAACGATTGGTGTTGCCACTCTTTACTACTTTGGTTATGGTTATGGTTATGGTTATGGTTATGGTGAAAACGATTTGCAAGGAGGAAATTCCATGCACGGCTTGAAGTTTATGTTTGCTTTCAACAGTTCGTGGCAAGGAATGCGGAGTATAGGCACAACACAGGTTTCTCATTTCCTTCTCCCTGGATATGAACGATGCTGTCTTTCACTTCTGCTTGTGTCCCTTTGTTTCCTTGCTATGCTAATTGCTAAGTGATTTATCAATCTAGTCATTGCAGCATTAAAGCGCTTATTATTTGTGAAGTGGAATAAGGATATGGACCGAAAAGCGTCTGGCTAACTAAGCAAGGTGCTGATGCCTTCTCAGCTGTCCAGTTTTGCGAAAAATGGAGATCCTGAATCTGGTGCCTGTGGGACGAGAAGCATCTGATCTCCTTTTTTCACTACTTCCTTCAATCGTGAGCATTGGTAAACTAGTCTCTCATGGTTTGAATGATAGCTTCTACCTCATTAGCGCATGACCTTTCACGTTGCATCTTGAAATATATGCTCCAAATATCAGCACTGGTGGTAGTAATCATCATCATTCCATAATGATGAGTGCAGAGCTTGACGACAGTGACGGATGATAATAATATTTACCCTCTTACTATGGATTTTTTTACTCCCGTAAGCGAACAGGAATGCTGTTTGTGTTTCTGAAGATATGGCCAAGGGTTGGACAAGACGTTTGCTGGGACAAGGGTTCAAAACAGTATATCATGTAGAAGAGATTCAGACGGCATTTGGTGAATGAATGCGCTCAGAAAGAAAGAGTTCAAGGAAACAAACGGGTGGTGGTTCTTTGTAGCAGCAGTCGCTGCTTCCTTTGTCTCATTTGGGGATGTACGTTGAAGGGAAGGGAACCAAGGAAAAGATCTATCAGCGGTCGAAAACACAGGCCAATGTGACTGAAAGTCGTGGCATTTTTGTTTGGATTCTCAACTTTCAGACCTCGTAAGTGTGCATTATTGATGGGACTTGGAATCACGCCCCCAACTCGCAAGCTGCCACTGATTGATCAACAGGTTTTTGTTCGTTGTTTACTTATTATAAAATCAACAGCACGTAGGTGGCTGTTTGCAGTCACAGTTTGTTGACTCGGCGGCAGCAATTGCATTGCATGTGATTGGCTAGCCGCTGCTGCAAGTTCTGTACAAGAAGTAGAAGCCAACTTCACTTTTGTCTCTCAAAATTACTTTTTACTCTTGAAAACCATTTGCAAATTGCAATGCAAGTGCAACTTAGGCCTTGTTTGGAGGTTGAAGCCTCTGATTCTAAACATTGTATTATGAGTATATGTGTATTTATGAAGAATACAACATTTTTTTACTTGTTTTCATCACATAATACATGATATATTCATACTACATAGAAATGATGTATACTTAATCACACTTTTTTGGTAAGATTTAGTATCCATAGTTTATTCATGTAATAATCCATGCATCCTTCTCTGTTTTCCAAACAAAACATCTTTAAACCCACACATTCTTAGTATACACAGAATCTTAATACACACATTCTTGGTGTATCTTAATACACTATTACCGAAATCAAAGGCTCCAAACGACCCCTTACCATAAGAGAACTTCCCCATATTATCAAAGTTATAAAAATACACCCGTTTGGACAGTTTCACTGCAATGTGTAGCGATCTAGATACCAATTCATGGGAAATCGAAGTGAACCATTCAAAACACGATCAGCTAAGCAAACTGATCTCGAACCTGCCTGGATTAAGGTAAACCAAAGCAATCTATCCACAGATCGCTCGAAACTCCAACGATCTACACTTAACATATGTCGAAATTTCAACAGGCAATAACTTTGCATTTAGTTAGCTTATTGTAGTTTATTATTATTATTATTTTATTTTGCACCATTTCAACAGATCGTAACTCTGCGTTTGATTATCATATTGAATATTTCTCAATAATTCGGATTATTTATGCCAAATTCTTCACAGAACTAGTTATGCTCATTTGACTCCCACTCTCAAACAATCCTTCGCACAAGTGGAGGATTCAATTCATCGTGACATTACTACAGAAAACCAAAGATTAAAACAAAAATCACTAGATCAGAGGCAGAGGCACCCCACCAGTCACCACCCAAGCCACTAAGCTAGCCACCATTTTTCTTGATTTGCCATGAAACCCATCTCCCCCACCACATCACACCACCATCCTTCCTTTCTAGCTTCTTTTTGTTCCCATATACATCTCTTTTTTTTTTTTTTTTTTTGTTTATTTAATTTCCCCAATCAAGTTGTTGTCTTCATATATGGGATGGTGATTGAACTCCTGCCAGTAAAAGACATTCATACATATGCACACACAGACACAGCCAATCACCCTGTTAGCTATTCCTCCTGGAAAGTGATATCACCAGGATCCAGCTCTGCTCTGATCTGCCCTCCCCCTGTTTCTTACATTACTTTCTGAAAAAAGTAATTTCGGGTTACTAGTTTTGTTTGGAGGTGGGTTGTTTTATAATTTAAAGGGGATTGTATACTGTGTTAATTCTCAAGGGTCCATTGAAAGCAAAAGCCAGCACAAATAGACAGAAACCCCTCTCCCTCCGCCATCATAATATAATCCCAAGAGCAGAGGAGACTAGCAAAACAGAGCAGAGCAGATCTCTCTCTCTTTCTCTCTGAACCCCTTTAAACCCAGGTCAGGGATCGATACTCTGTTATTCTAGAATTCCTTTTCTGCTCTTCAAACCCGTCGCTTTCTTCGTTACTTTTCTCATCTCTTTCTGTTATGCGCTGAATTGAATATACCACCATGTTGCAGATATCTCGAATTGGGGGGGAATTCCGAATTCCAGGCCCAAAGTTCGATTCTTTTTATCGAACCCCTGAAAGATTGGTGCTTCCTGATCCAACCCAAGGTAGATTCCTGCTACCTACCCAATTCCCCGCCTCTGTTTTCCAGTGTTGACGCTGACGCGCGTAGTTGGTTCAGGAAATTCGTCGAATGGGTGGTAGGCATGACTCGGATTGGCAAGGGAACGGGGTTTGGAGATCTCTGAGCGACGGCGATTACTACGAGCAAGATGTTTGGGATGTGCTGCGACACAACAGCAAAACCAACTCCATTCAGCAGCACTCTGCTCCGCTCCCCTACAGAAACTTCCCCTCCGCCGCCAGAATGATCCCCATTGCCGGCGGCGGCAGCGACAACGACGCCTCGAAGCTGTTGGTACAGCAGTCGGCGCCAGTCAACATCCCTGACTGGTCCAAGATCAGCGGCAAAAATCAGCCCAGTAAGAGCTCCAAGAAGCCATGGATGGGCTCCGATGACGACGACGATGGAGAGCGCGAGGACGAGGAGGAGGAGGACAAAATGGACGGTGGTGATGACAGCCATATGGAGCCGCCGCACGAGATGATCTCGAGGAGGATGGCGAGGTCCCAGATTTCGTCCTTCTCTGTGTTGGAAGGTGTTGGGAGGAAGCTCAAGGGGAGAGATCTTAGCAAAGTCAGGAACGCCATTTTGACCAGAACAGGTTTTCTGGAATCCCCCTGAGATTGAGAAATCAATCAATGAATCTGGTCATTCTTTACAAATTGGGAGGATTTTTTTCTTCTACAGGATCTGCTGTGGCGTCTAATTTATGGAAACGTGTGAAGAAGATTGTAGATTTGAAGGGGGATTTTAATTAGGTTTTAGGAAATCTAGCTGTTTCTGGTCAGGATTTCATCATCAGGATTCAGGTGGCTTCTTCTGTCATTATTTTTGTTCAAGTTCCTCTGTTTCTTCCGTCAGGATTTTGAATGAACGATTATACAACCTCAGTTTTTAATTTAAGATTGTTGGGATTGTTCGATTTGAGATTGTTTGTTTCTTTTCCTTCTAATTTTGTTCTCTGAAAAGGTACGTTTTCTACAGAAAAGAAGGGATAAAAGTGACACTTCCACTAAAAGGTGAGTTTCTTTTCAATTACCGCAAACACAATGACCTATACCGGAAGATTGTAATTTACGATGTATCAATTTCGTCAATATATGTATAGTACAATGCATACGTTAATCGCAGTACAACAAATTTAATAATTGGAGAAACCAACCAACCTAAAGAACCCAAACAACGAGCAAAAGTAAATCTAAGATTCATCCAATCCAAGGTATGCAAGTTTTCCCAGTTAAGGAAGAACATTGATTATAATTTATACATGAAGATGGAAAGTGGAGGAAGAGTGTTGGGAGAATTCCAGCACGTGTGCCACGTGGTTATTGATCATGAATGAATAAAAAAATAAAAAAGAAATGACAGCCAATTTCGGCTTTTCTTCCGCTGCTGGTACATCTGAACTTTCATGTACTAAACGTAGAACTTAACATCGTACTGTGTAGCACAAGTTTTGGGCCACGTTTTTGTTTCTTTTACTGCACCATAATAATTCGTCGGCTGCCCTTCGAGAAGGGGGAAATGCAGAAGAAATAAGGAACCGATGTTTTAATGTTTTTTACTGGCAGAATCGTTCTATTTTTTAACACTAGCTTTTTACCCGGTCCGTTGGCCGGGTAATATTTGTATAAATTGATTATTAAAAATCTAATTTTTGGATTGTTTTGGCATTTGGAAGTTTGTCATTTTATTTATGTTTGAGTAATTTTGGATATTATTTTGTAATTTTGAACATATTTGGATGAGTATTTTCTCATTAAGCAAATACATAACACAATTTTGTCAAACCCTAATCTCCTCTCCCTCTCTTTTAATCTCGACCGAACTCTCTCTCTTTCTTCACCATCATTGTCGTTGGTCACCCTTGGCCGTGACCCTCTTCCCCCTTCGTCCCTCTCTTTCCCTCGTAAATATATAATTTTCAATTCCCTATCGATCTTAATCTCAGAACTCTAGACGCAAGACTCCTAGATCCGAGGTTTCTTACACTGATAGTCAGACATGTCCTATTTTAATAAAAAAAAAGTTCAATCCAAATGTCACTTGACCAATTTGTTTGATTTCTTTAGTGTGTGGTGTTCTCATAATAGTGTGTACAGATACATAATAATAATTGTATGAAATATGACATTGATCGTAAGAACATTAATAATATAACTTCCTTGGAATATGAAGCTCGTAAAACCTTACTGAATAGTAATTTTCATATTGAACTCAACTAATTTCACAGAACATGTTTGAATGTGATTAGGTGGGTAAAATTCGTAACTATATGTAACTAAATAAATTATTAACTCTTAATGGATTTGAAGCTCCCATTGAAGGTAGATTAGGCTAGTGGAGTTTTTGGTTGTTGATGATCAAAGCTCATTGTTGTCATATTTCCAGAATCCGTATCAGGCATGAAAGTTGCCGTGTTGAATGTTGATACAGTGTTAGCATTCCAATGAACATAAGAGTTGAACATTCCAATGAACCAACATGATGGTAATCTAATAATTGTTGTTCTTGGTACCAACCACATAAGAGTTAATTCATGATGGAATTAGTAGCAGTAAATAATTGAGCAAGCATGAAAAAGGAAGGAACTATGTAGTGGGTTCTATTTAACTGGATTAATGGAGGCAGCGGCCGGTAATGGTGCGGCAGGACTCGAACGGCTAATGGTAATCGGAGGGAGTCTTGAAGGGGCAGTCTCTTACGTCGTTGGAACGGAGAATGGCAGCTCTCCTCCGTCTGTCGGACAATTTAACGGCGACAGGGGAGGTTGAGTGAGTTCGTCTTGTTGGTGGTAGTTGGGGTCGAAGATGAAGAGATGACGGGGCCAACTTAGGTCTGGAATGTGATGAGAGGTCTACTCCTAGGCGTCCCTGCTATTAACGGGCACAAAATGGATGGCCGACGACGTCTCCTTCAATGATAAACTCCATCGCTGCAAGTTTGGAAATTAGGGCGAATAGCAGATGCGGTGTCGGGGGGTATGGTTTTAGAGGGAGGATGAGAGGGAGTGGATAGTTAGTCATCGGAGAAGAGCCAGTAGCCGGCGGTTACGCGTCACAGATTCGCAGGTCGGGATACGGAGGAGATGAAGAAGGCGAGCCGGCATTTTGGGGTGTTAGATTTTTTTTCTTCTTTAGAGTTATTTTTTTTTTATGGAAGACGGTTTTTCCTTAGATCCATTGTGATTGGTTTAAACCCCTGCTGACGTGGAGGCTTGAGGGGCCGGTAAATTTGAATCCGTGAAGCTGTTTTTTGGAAAAGTCTGATTGATGATTCCAGGCTAAAACATATACTGCCAGAATCTTTAGTTTCAAGGATTTTGATTGGTTTTCTGCTTTCTGATACCAATATTACTGATATTAGTTTGCAATTATATATATAAAATGATCTCTCCAATCATATAAATAGTCTTTCAACTCTCGAATCTGTAGTTTAAATGACTTTTTGGCTTCGTCTCTCCCATTCTCACTAAACCCTTTCACAATCCTGTTAATGGGCATATGCTAATCGAACAAACCGTTGATCTCAAAGTCCTCTGTAGTCGAATGTTGTAGGCACAGATCTTGGGCACCCAGATTAACGTAACAAGATAGAGTTTAGAAAGAGATTTAGATTGATTTAGAAGAGAATTGGGGCAGAATTGAATGATTCAGAATTGGGATTGGGGTTCTTGAAAGAGACTGGAGAGAAGAGGGATAATTCTAACGATACTTTGATTAGTTTTTTCATTCATATCCCTAAAGTACATTATATAGACGCTGACCAGAAACTCTAATCGACTAAACCTAATAAAATACTAAACTACCCTTTAACCCCTAATCATACCCGCAACATCGAAACCTCATAGAACCATTGACCCGCGATCAAACAAGTTTAATAGCATTCATTGTAAATTTCGAACAACTCGCGAGCCAATTGCATTCATGCACATTCTATTGGTTCTAACGAGAAAACAAATACAAGTTTGACATCGAATTATAATCATACGACCAACCTATTATTGAACGGGTGGGTCGGTTGTGATAGCAAACTCAACCGACCCATCCAACTACATGAAATAAGCATCATATATGTAGCATTTTCACCATAATTTTCGTGCACAATGCACTTTCTAAAACCAACAAGAACTTTTCAAGTACATGCAATTGGCTCGCGAGAACTTTCTAAAACCAACAAGAACTTTTCAAGTACAGTGGTTGTCACGCCGGCCGACGTACCACTGGTTGAACTTGGTTCAACCTGTATCGGACATAAAATCGGTATGACACCACCGGTATGACCGGCATGATCGATATACGAGTCTCTAAGTAAAATGATCTTATATTAGTGAATTTATTTGATAAAAAGTAATTTATTATTTATTTTATGTGTTAAAAAGTTAAATGTTGATGTTATTTGTTGGATTCAAGTCCAAATATTTAGGTATTGACGTTAAATGTCGTGCTTAAATATGAGTATTTGTAAATTATTTGTAATATTAACCGGCATGAACCGGCACAAACCGGTATGTACCACCAATCGAACCATTCCACTTGCTAAACCGGCACACTGGCACAAACCGGTTTGACAACCTTGAATTTACACACCTAATACATAATGAACTAATCAGTCATCCTTAATCTTCTATCATGCTCCGAAGTTAACATAAGGCTAGCAATAGGCTCCACTTTTTCTCGATTAAAACCTTTCAACTCATTCAAACCCAACTCTCTTAGCTCACCAACCTTTCTCTCCAACCATCTTCTTCCTCCTCTTCCAACCCTTTTCGCTGCTACAATCCCTCGAATCATCCCCACATACACTCCATATCTCCTTAACCTCTCGATCTCCTCTTCCCCTCCCCCACCCAATATCGCCCCACACGCGCCAGCACACGCGTGGATCTCACCTTCCTTCTTCTTGCACACCCGCTCCACCCACTCCTCGTCGTCGCCGCCGCTGCCGTCGATCATCTCAATCTCGTTGTACCGCGCCTCCACCATACCGTGTGAGCCGGATGCACGTGCGATCTCGATAATCGCACGTAACACCCGACTGCTCGACTCGGCTCGAGTTGTTGGGTTGGAGTGGTCGGGCTCGGACCTCGCCAACAACTCGAACCCAAAAGGGGTCAACCCATCTCCCGTCAGCAGCTCGATGTTGGGCCCGAAATTAGGCCCATCCGTCCTGGGCCGAGACGACAGGAGTCCCTCGTGGGCCGAGGCAGCTGCGTGGACGAGACGCAAGGCCGACCCAGCTGCCACGGCCTGGTCCCGGCTGCCGCCGACGAGCTCGCAGGCGAGGAGGCACAGCGCCGGCGCGGTGGTTTCCGGGGCGGAGAAGGTGAGGTGGCGCATGGGCTCGGAGACGGCGAGCGGGTGGCGGATCTGAATGGCCCGCTCGAGATGGGCCTGGATGTCGGCGTTTGCGGAGGCCCAATAGTCAGGAGACGATCGTAGTGGCAGCGACAACGACGTCGTTGTTGGTGGTCCCGATATTGTGATGGTGGGCCTGCCGGGGAACAGACGACGGTGGTTGACGGACGGCGTCAGGGGCTTGCTGGGGAGAAGAGCTCCGGTGGCCATGGACATGGGAAAGTAAGTTTTGTATATCTCTCTCGAGGGAAAGCAAGTTTTGTAGAATTCTCTATTGGTTCGTGGATTCAAAGGTTGTTTGGCTGATGTATTTATTGGAGGAGGCGCAGTGTAATGAAATAATACACGTTTACGATTTTGAAATAGTACAGGGGGAAATTGACGAGTCACTTATCAGTTGTGTTTCCCATATGGATCACGAGTTGGAATCCACTAGATCCAATGTAGGGTCCAGATCGGGTCAGTAACTGATGGGTCAGTAACTCATCAGTAACATCTTCCATGGTCCCCACGTGTCAGTCATTTTTTTCATTTAAATTAAATGTAAAAAGGGCAGTACGGTAAAATTGCACTTTCTCCTATTTATTGTTGAGGCTGACTTTTGACCGTACCACATCAGCGCCTCCTTCTCTCTACTCGCAAAACATTTAATTTTCCTTCCCTTAATCTTTAACGGACGATTTCTCACTCGTTTCTAAATTTAATTTTTTTGCACAGTTAGATCAGATTAATTGTGCTCTTCAAAATGATATCCACTTTGATATTTTTTGAACACAAAAAAATTTGCCAGTTATTACCAGTCTATACCATATGGTATTGACTATACCATATGATATTGACTGGTATTAAATAAGAGCATACCATATGGTATGAAAATTTTTGCCACATGAATATATATTTCGTTACTACCATATGGTATAGTGTGGTAATATCAATATATATTTCGTTACCACCCAATACCATATGGTATAGTGTGATAATATCAATATATATTTCGTTACCCAATACCATATGGTATAGAGTGGTAATACAAATATATATTTCGTTACCACCCAATACCATATGGTATAGTGTGGTAATGTCAATATATATTTCGTTACCACCCAATACCATATGGTATAGAGTGGTAATACCAATATATATTTCGTTACCACCCAATACCATATGATATAGAGTGGTAATACCATATGGTATAAAGTGGTAATACCAATATATATTTCGTTACCTAAAAAAAAGGGGAAAAAACAAAAGGAGGGAGAGAAAAAAAACTTGTCTTAAGTCTCATCTCATTTCGTCCGCAACCAAAGAACACCAAACGCCAAAAAAAGGAGAAATATCGAAATTAAAGCCAACGAGTTGATGAAGAGAAGAAACGCAATTAAAGAGGGTGACTTCAATTTTTATTCGTCGATTGCTAGAGAAAAAAATGAAGATGGAAGAGAGCAGATCTAGATTTGAAAAGGAGATTGTGAGAGAAAAAGTAAGAGAGAAGGAATAGAGAAAGAGAAAGGATCTGGAAAGAGATTGGAAAAAAGGAAGAGAGAAGGAAGAAAGTAGAGTTACAAAGAAAATATTATTCTCTCTCTTTCATTGAAAAGTCAGTCATTTAAATGCGGAATAAATAAATAAAAAATTAAAAATACAAAAACGGACAAAAATGCCCCCTCCCCACCCCCGCGTCCAGCCAACCACACGATTGCTCCATCCCCCAGATTTACGGCTCCCGTGTATTTACTGATAGGTCAGTAACCAGTGGTTACTGACCCTATCCCAAACCTCCAATGTATAACTGTACTCATCGTATTGGTAAACAATATTGTATTCCACATTGGATAATGCGATGGCAATTTTGATATAATCCGTTTCACCCAATTTGTTTGACCTATTTTGACGCGTAAACAGGGCAGGGGAGAGCATGGACACTCTGTCGAGCTGACCTGACCTGATCTGATCTAACCTAACATCAAAACATGCCTCATTCTCGATATCTTTGTATAAATTACATGTAATTTAAGTAAAAATACTCAGAATGGTACGTTTATTATGTAATTTAGGTTTGTGCATTTTGTGCTATTTGATCATCATGTGGGAGGCTCGAATTCTGCGGCATACAATATGGAGGGACTGTATATATATTCTAAGAAGTTGGGTCTGAACTGTACATCATGTGCAGATATATATATGCTCAATCAATCACATGATCATATGCTTTCCAAACTTTTAGGCTGTGTATCAATATAAAGTTATCAACTATTGGTTCGATAATCAATATCAGCAGTTAGATTAGGTAATAGGTATAAATATAGAACTGTGAGTCTGTCACAATACTACTTGCATGTGAGGTGAAACTGGGCCAACTCCAGCTCCGACCCTAGAACTATCTTAAAATACCCAGTTTTATAGGGTCAATAGTACAAACTTGGTCTGCTTCGGTCCTATCCTGTTTGAGCTAGTTGAGTCGGGTCAGGCCAACCTGCTTGCTGGACTCGGCCAAAATTTACGAAGCAATATTTGAAAATTGACATTCTGATATCCCAAAATTATGTTTTTCTTACAATTTAGTACACGGACTTCATTTTTTCTACAAACAGGTTCAAATTTTTTGGTGACAACTGACAACATTACGTCGAACATGTCCAATCTTTTGGTATGAGAAATTTCAAATCACTAATTGTTCCTATATATAGTCATAGGGTAAAAAATGACTCGATTCCTATGTTGACCCGACCTAGTACCTACCCAACTCTTAAAGAATAAAAAAATGAATTCATCCTAAACTGACCTTGTAAATAAACTGGCACAGCTCGATCTTCACGGTCGGACCTAAGCCGGGCCGGGCCGGCCAAACCAGTTGATATCTAGGGCCAAACTTACAACCCTAGCTACATGCAGCTGTCGTTTTACAAAAATCATCATTTTGATTACTCACATGCTGCAATTTCAGCCTTTTAGCACAAGCATGGCATATGATAATTGGAGCCATGCGTTTGGCAGGTGCTCATGCATGTGTGTTTTGGCAACTAGGACAGCTCCTCTAATGTGGTGCTGCTGATCATGAGTGGGAGCTTGAGAGACAGTTATGATCAATTATGACACTCCAGATTTCGTTGGTTCTTTAACGCTCATCATCACCAGCCTACAGTAACGTCTACTTTGTGAGAAACAAAAGGAAGTGCCGACATTGGAAGGAAGAAAAAAAACTGTTTTTGGTTAACGGATCTATCGACGTTTAGAACATGATTCTCAAATCAACGAATTCTAACCTTTAGAGACAAATTTATATTCATTTAGATGGATTCTGTTTGAGCCAAGTTCCTTTCCTCCAAGCTCCGACGTTCTTCTTCCACGCCGTGCGCCTCCTTTCTTACTTCTCCGAGCCCTGAAGCGCCCAACACCCTACACACAAAGCGCATAGCAGACCTGGGTGATCCGTTAGCATTCCAACGCTCAAATGAGACATTCTCGCTAGAGAGAGAAGTAAGAGAAGTTTAGAGAGAGAAGTCTCAACCTGAGTAAATGAGGTTCACCAACTGTCCTATTTATACCCGAAACCCTGCCGACCGTTGCCCCCCCCCCCCCCCCAAATCCGCCCTACGTCATCACTTCATTAAATGCAACATACTATCACATTGTCAAGCGCCTCGACCCATCTGACACCGCGTTCAGAGGTTCGAGGCGCGTGACATCATTTGTTGCGCCCTCCGTACGCTTTCGACCGTTATGCTTTTTTGTCCTTATGGGCTTGGTGTCGGAACCCGGCCCCACTCCAAGTCTGCCCTTCTGCCCCCATTGGGCCAGATTTTCCCACTGTTGTGCCTATATTTCGGGCCGAGCTTGGCTCTCTGAGCCTCTTTACTGGGTCTTTTCATGCCCCCAACATATTCCTCTGGAGCCGGAGATTGAAGAACGAATGACAAAACCTGCTTCATTTGGTCGGCGTGGAAAGGAGCTAGGAGGAGGAATCGGGAATGATAGGAAAGTTCGAATTTGGGGGGGACGATAAGAAGGAAAGAAGACGACAGAGAAAAAAAAAAGAGAAGACAGAAATGAACATGAGGAGAAAGGAAATATGAATTTTTTTATTATTATAATTGTGGCGGTCTCGAAATTTCTCGTTCTCAATTTCATTTTAGACGCATGATTGTGCCAAAATCCTATATGATAATGGATTATGCTATGATCTCTCGTAAAATCTCTTTTACAAACAACCCATAATCTATCTACACAATAAATAAAAGCCAAATGAGAAAACTTGAAGATCCATTTTAAATTTCTTGCATCTAGAGTGAAAGTAGGAAGGATATTTTGGTCTTCACAATTACTTTATTTTATTACATTAAAATACCAATTACTAGGATTCGAACCATGACCACTTTAAAGAAAAACAAATATCATAACCAATCACACTAAGTACATTTGTTATATCTTTTTAAATTAAAAACATATAATCGCAGAGAGGAAAAAACCCTTTCCCATTTCAAATTCTCTGCTCCAGGAGCGTTTGTAGGAAGGGTAGAATAGGGAGTGTCAATTTTTTTCTTTTTCCTTTGTGGAACGGGCCAACTTACCGTACACATGCGGATTTAAACGGGTCCAGGAGTGTCAATTTTTTTCTTTAAGTCCTTTTATTTCTCAGTGGTGGTAAAATATATATGAAAAGGCAAAAACAATACTCCTTTTTATTGCTAAAAAGAAAAAAATTTAACAATAAACTAATGTATGGATTCTAATGGGCTAACCGCTAATCATAAAATAAAAGAGTTGAATGGGCCTGACCTACACAGGATTTGCCCATCAAGTAAAACAAATGAATATCATGGGTTTGCCATTCTAAAACAAGCTATTTTCTCTGGCATAATATATATTTTTATACTATTATTTTATATCTTAGTGGCTAAAATATAATGTATTTTAAAGTTATTCAATGGTTCAACCTCGACCAACCCAATTAGTCCAATTTTTATCATTTCAAATATATATTATGTAATTATTTGATATAATAATGATTAAATTATAGTGTATATTATAGGGAATCGTTTGGTACTTGTTAGTAAAAAACTAAACAAAAAGATCTATTTGGTTATTTTTAACATTAAAACGATCCTAAGCATTTTAAGTTTCCTTTCGAAATTCCATAGTTTTATTCCCGAATCAGTGATGTGCAAATGGCGAATTGCAGTCATCTCTTTTCTTTCATTATTTTTTATTTTCAAATAGAAAGTTTAAAAGTAAAGAATAATTAGAGTTTGGCATGGGTCGGTCAAACATGCCGAATTTCAAGTTTTGGCCCGTTTTGATCAAGTCTAATTTATAATCACATGGTTCCCTGATACCCGATAAAAATCTCAATCCAAACCAGTTTGGCAGGTGAGTCCGTGTTTACCACCATTTTCTAGGGATACTGGAACGTTGGTTCCTATCCCAAATCGTGTTGTTCATTCTTGATTTCTTTAGATTTTATCATGGTTTGGCAAAAAACCAGAAAGCACAATGATGACAAGATGAAAGTTTTATAAATCAAATTAATCGTCCAACGGGCCGACTAAAAGCTAGCAACGATTGTGAGATGCTCATTTCCCGAAAACCGGCAGGATAGGCGATTTTTAATTCGATTTTCTGGAATTCGGTTTCTATAAAACTTACTCCACCTCATCATATTACCAGAAACAATATTGTTTCACAAGGTAATAGGTACTTAATTTTGGTTCAAAAGACTGATTTTTGATTCGTTGCATCATTCATGTCTCTTTCTTACTAAAATTCACTATTTTTATCACATGTTTCCAAAAAAAAAAAAAAAAAAAATTATACAACAATAAACTACACACCCCATTACATTATCAAATTTCATACCTCACCTTCCTCCGGCCAAATGGCCGGGCTCACGCTAGTTGTATTTGGAAGACAAGAAAATATGTGTAGATAAACCACCAATCGTTTTAAAATTTTACTGTAAACTTAGGAGTCTTGATTAATTATTATAACACTTCGCCCACTCAATAATGGAAACCTATACCATACAGATGGATTGTAAAAGAAAGAAAGTTTAAGACACATGCATGGGTCCTCCATGTCGACTAGCCAACCAAATACCAAAATGTGTTGGAAACAAAAGCAAATGGAGTGTTTCAACAAACAAAAAAAAAAAACTTGAGTGAGTTTTTTAGTAAATAAATGGACTCAAATTGCATCATATTCTACATTCAAAATCAATAAGGATTTGGAAAACCTATGCAAAATCGTAGAATGCCTAATAGCAAAGTATAAGATCATATGCAAGAACATAATGCAACTAATAAGCAAGGAAATGCCCACGACTAGTCGAATAATAAGCACAATTAATACCCTTCGGATAAACATAGGAAATTTCCTAACAATGGCGCCATTGATCTTACCCATCTCCGTATTGCAGCAGTTAGACTACACATCATGATTCCAACTCAACATGTACTCGAGAGAGTCCTACAACAAATTTCAACTCAACCCTGATGATAGAGAAAATCTCACAATGTTTCGTATGATCTCGAATCAGGCTACCTAAGGCGGGCAATGCATGACCTACAACAATAGAGCTCTAAACTAGTATGAAGTGAGGAAAAATAGTTTCGGGGGCTTATTTGTGAGTTCATTATAATGTAGGGTCAAAAAACATACTAACCGAAAACGGGGAGGGAAAATGGCCCTTTTGGCGATTCAGTTTATAATATTCTCTTTCTTTTCCACCACCACCGTCAGCGTCTCTTTCTTTCTCTTCTCTGTGCTACTGCTGCTAACTCCTAATAAAATCAAATCTCGCGCACCGACAGTCAGACGGGAACTTCTGAACTCTGAGAGACGCAACCAGACAGAGTTTCGCGTAAAGGAAATTCGCCCTGTTAGCTGTTGCAGAGAGAGAGAGAGAGATAGAGAGAGAGAAGGAGGGGGTGGAGAGAGCACCCGCCAACCATCTCTGCATACGTCTCTGTTCTTCTTTGTCTGGGTTGGATCTTCGTTTTCCGGAATCTGGAGAGGGCTTCAGTTCTGGGTTTCGATATTTCATCTGGGTAATTGAGTTTCTAGTAAAAGGAGAAATCTTTGGATCTGGGTTCGGGTCAACTCAGTCAACAGTTGGCTCAGCGACGACTTAATTGACATGAATTCCTTCTCAATCTGAAGCTTTGTGAAATATTTTTTGCCTCGCAAAGTTTCGGAGTTTTAGAAGCAAAAACATGAGTTGGAAGAACAGAGGATTCGAGCAAAATTCGAAGAGTGTGGTGTCAAGGAAATGGTCTCTGCTCCTTTGCATTGGCTGTTTCTGCGCAGGGATGCTCTTCTCAGACAGGTAAAGTTTCTTCTTTTTTCGGAATTGAAGCTTTCTGCTACTTCTGAATTAGGCATCTCGCCGAAATCGGAAATGGGGTACTGGGTAATTTTGATTTTTTAATCATGGTTCTGTTTCTAAATTTGGTCCACCTCTGGTTGCTTTAATGGCTGTTTTCTTAATTTGTTTCTGATCATTGCATCTGTTTTGACTTCTTCAAGCAATTAATGTGAGATGCCTGCAGTTCTTAAAGAAAGAAATTATGATTCAACTATGATGGCTGGTGGAATCTTTCTTTTTTCATCTGTAATCATTTCAGGCCTCTGGTTTCCAATTTTACACAGTGACACTTTGGTTAGAATTTAGATCTGAAGCTCCCTTTTTTATATTTATATGCTCAATTCTATTAAAAATGCGGTTTCTTTGCTTGGAGATGTTGCTCTGCAATTCAGATACGACGAACACATAAATTTGGGGTGCCAATTCTGGCTTGGCGTCTTTTCTGCCATTTCTTTTGACTTATATTCTATTATTATCGTTCAAAAAAGTGAGGCTTTAACTTCCGTGGTATTTCCCTACAAGCAATGTGCTAGGCGGTTGGCATGATGCATTCTTGTGTTAACAGTTTGCCAGTAAAGCTTCACTTGAAAGACAGCAGTCGAAAGCAACATCCCACTTGAAATTTCTTAAGCTAATTAGGCATTCTGGAAATGAATACTTTGCTAATTAGTATCTTGGCGGCAGAATGTGGTCTGTGCCGGAGGTTAACGACGTGTCAAGTACAAAGATGGTTGAAGATGAGAAGCTCAATGTCGTCGCAGAAGGATGTGCCCCTCAAAATGTGAGTTTATATCCCATATATTTGAAGATGATGTCATGCATTTTTGTACAATGGATTTATATATTACTGCATGCTTAGTATTTCTGGGTTTGCTGTTTTGTTTCCACTTCAGAAGGATGTACATCATGAGTCCAAGGACATAATGGGGGAAGTTTCAAAGACACACCATGCCATACAGTAAGCTAGTATTCGAGTTCTTATGTTTCTGAATTCCTTGGTTGGTGGCGGATAATAATCAATAGCATGTTTCCCTTCACACAGTACTCTGGATAAAACTATTGCTAGTCTGGAGATGGAATTGGCTGCCGCTAGGGCTGCACATGAGTCCACACTAAGTGGTTCTCCCGTATCAGACAATTCGAAAGCCTCGCAATCAACAGGGAAACGGAAGTATCTGATGGTTGTAGGCATAAACACTGCTTTCAGTAGCAGAAAACGAAGAGATTCGGTTCGTGCAACTTGGTTGCCTCAAGGTCAGCTGAATGATGGGTTTCGATAACACCTATTTCTGCACATCCTTTATGGTACTGTATGTCAATTTCTTTATTTGATTATTTCACTTCTCCCTGTGTTTTCAAAAGGTGATAAGAGGAAGAAGCTGGAAGAAGAGAAGGGCATCATAATGCGCTTTGTCATTGGTCACAGGTGGGTGCCACAGACCTCCTACCTTGTTTTCCAATTAGTTCTTCCTTGAATTGGTTGCTCACACAGCTTCTCTCAATGCTTTTCACTTTATCCCGGCTATTCCCTTACTGTGAAACTATATCTGAACGTCCATGTGTTAGTGTTGTGGACTTGTGGTATATGATCCATGATTGAACCTCTCCCAACAACTCGAGTTATTGGGACTAACTGGTTCTTGACATGGTATCAGAGCCTTCATGTTAGTGTTGTGGACTTGTGGTATATGATCCACGATTGAATCTCACCCAACAACTCGAGTTATTGGGATCAACTGGTTCATGACACCATGAAGTTCCTATGAATCAAGTGAAATTAAGGATTCTTGCGAACCACGTTGTAAATGGAATTTGATATGCTTTTTCCTCTGCTCTTTGGCTTTTGATTCTAGTGCGACAGCTGGTGGAATCCTTGACCGAGCCATTGAAGCAGAAGACAGGAAGCATGGTGACTTCTTGAGATTGGTAATATTCTTATTCCTTCATTTTCTTTTCATCTATCTTCTCTGTAATACTCTGCCATGCTGATACAGAAAATTTGTTAACTCATCGTGCCACATTTTCTGTGAGAGCAGGAGCACGTTGAAGGTTACCTCGAACTATCGGCAAAGACAAAGACATACTTCACCACTGCAGTTGCATTGTGGGATGCAGATTTCTATGTTAAAGTTGACGATGATATCCACGTCAATATAGGTAATTTGTGTTGGGCAGCTATGGTCCTGTTTCCTTTTCTTTCACTTCGCTATCATCTTAACTGAAGTCTATCCAACATACTGTTGCAGCTACACTAGGAGCAACTTTAAGCAGCCACCGATTAAAACCCAGAGTTTACATAGGATGTATGAAGTCTGGCCCGGTCCTGGCACAAAAGTAAGTTGAGGAGCAATTTAGTTGCTCTTCATTTTCCCAACGTATACGGAGCACACGGTAACATGATTTCTTTTACTTTGTTGGATTCAACAGGGGAGTGAAATACCATGAACCTGAGTATTGGAAATTCGGCGAGGAAGGGAACAAGTACTTCCGTCATGCCACTGGACAAATATATGCCCTTTCAAATGACTTGGCTACATATATATCAATCAACCAGTAAGTTCCCTTTTTTTAGACCTTAGCAAGGGCATATCGACAATTTAGAGGACAATCTGAGTCAGCCTAGGTTAACTTTTTGTTCATCGTGTGGTTGTGATTGTGTAGGCATGTACTGCACAAGTACACAAACGAAGATGTCTCGCTTGGGTCATGGTTGATAGGGTTGGATGTGGAGCATATCGATGACAGGAGACTCTGCTGTGGCACCCCACCTGGTAGAACCCCTCTTTACCACTGTCCTTTCTCTGTGTTTTTTTTTCCTGTTTCGTGCAAAGCAAGTAAACGTAGAACCCACATAACACGAACCTTTTATCCAGATTGCGAGTGGAAGGCTCAAGCAGGAAATGTGTGTGTTGCCTCCTTCGATTGGACTTGCAGTGGAATCTGCAAATCTGTCGAGAGGATGAAGGAGGTCCACCGACGCTGTGGGGAAGGTGAGAATGCATTGTGGAGTGCACAACGTTGAAAGACAACATGACCTGTTCTTCCTAACTCAGGAGGAATACCCAGGAAAGAAAAATGAGGCCTTGATGCTCTCTGTGGGGTGTGGATATGACCCTTATGGGGAATGTGTTTGTTTCTTCACATATATGAAGAGAAGAGTTACTGAGTGGGATCTGATCCATTTTAGGCAAGGGCAGAAAACCCATTAGCAGTTTGGAGGGAAAGTAATAGTCTGCAATTGTTTGATTCTTTTTGTACATGGTTGAAAGGGGGGCCATTTTGTAAGTTTTGCCAAGCATGGCTAAGTACTATACTCGTGAATAAGTGCCAGAAATGGAGCTAGCAAGCTCTACTTACCTTTTGCTTTTCCAATCCAGCCATAAGCGTTTGTTTCTAAAGCATCGCCTTCTTTCTTTCCTTCTCATCATTGATGATGATACACAGAGTTCATCTTGAGATGGTCATTCTTATTAGCCTTTGCGAGTTGTCCATCTTTTGGCCCCGGTTCTGAAAGCTCAACTCTTTTCTAGATGTTCTAGTTAAGTGGTGTTCTTACCGCGTATTAATAGTAATCCGTGACTTAGAGTGTCGATCGTTCATAAGCGAATAAGTGAAACAATCATCAAGACGGGTAAGGTAATCGGCTACAGAGTTTGGCCTTGATTAGAAACAGAGGTAAGAATACCCAAAACGTAGCTTTCCTAATTCATAACCTCACTTGGGAAAGCAACACCTCTTCAACAGATTGAAGACAATGAAAACTAAAAACAAAGAAAGGAAAAGAAATGAAGGAGAAAACTACAGGACCCAACAAAATTCAAAGCAGTGTGTGAAATCAAATGGCATGCTCTCAAGCTAATCAATTCTCCACCAACAAAACACAGCCACAGGTGCTAAATTCTCCACCAAAAGAAGAAGAAAAATCGAAAACAGAGTATTCATTCTTAAAATATTGAAGCATGGGGGACTGCTGTGAAGGAAAGGGAAGAAAGAAGTATTAAGGGTCATTGAGTACAGACCCATTACTTCTTCTCCCCACTACTTTCAGGAAAAAAAATTCCTCCACCACTACTACCAACAACAACAACAACCCCATCACTCTCTTCTTCTAACTCACACCTCCACTATAAATATTTGAACTTCTCTGTTCTTGTCTCTCCCTCCCCCATCTCAATCTCCAAACGCAGAACAAAATCCATTCAGGTGAGTGAGTTGTTACAGAAGAGAGAACAACATGGCTCCTAGGTTGAAGCTGGTGGATTCATCTCTGAGACTCACAGCAATTCCCCTGAGTGTTGCAACACTCTGCCTCACTGTCACAAACCACCAGGACAACACCGATTTAGGCCCTGTTGCCTACAAAAACATCCAAGGCCTCGATTACATGGCTTGGATCAGTGGGATATGTGCTGCTTATGCACTGTTTGCTGCTCTGACCATTTGGTTCATCAAATGCTCTGCCTCCAAACCCTGGCTCTTCTTCCTCTTTGACCAGGTACCCATTTTTGCCTTCTGCATTGTCTTTCTATGTCGTTTCTTTAACCTGATTGGGGTGTTTTGGGAATTCAATGTTGAAGATGATAACGTATCTAATGGTGACATCCGGAGCTGGAGTGTCGGAGATAGTGTACTTGGCTTACTACGGCGACCGGACGGTGTCGTGGAGTGAAGCCTGCCGCTCCTATCCCAGCTTCTGCAGCAGAATGAAGCTTGCTGTGATTCTCCATGCTTTGGCTCTCTTCTGCTTCATTGCTTTCACTGTCATCTCTGCTTACAGAGCCTTCAGCTTGTTTGAACCTCCTTCCCTTGCTTCTTCCAAGGAAGTTGAAGAAGCAGATAACACAACTGCCAGAGCTGCTGCTGCCTGATTTTAACTTTTTACTGTAAGATAGAATTGTTGTGCGGGTGTGATCTTGTTCTTGTTGAAGTACAGGGATTTAGAAAGTTGCAAACTTTTCCCCCCCTTCGTTTTACTGATCTTCTGCAGCTCCTAAATGCTAAACTGTTCTCACTTTGAGAAATTTGTACTTTTGCTGGTCTGTGTGTTCATACTTGTTACCTGCCATTGATGAGCTATTTAGCAGGTAGCAGCTCTCTGTTACTGTTACAGAAAACCATGGTTGTGAAAAGTAAGGAAAGGAAGTCCTCATTAATACATGTTACCAGCCTACCTAACTCAACCATTCAACTGCCAACCAGAAAGAAGGAATTAATTGAAGTATGGATGTAATGTTAATGTGAATGTATGATGTTGCTTCTCAGCCACAAGCCCACAAGAGCAGCTCTGTCCCATCCCATCCTACTGGAAAGTGGGAAGCAGGCAGAATTCTCAATCATCTTTGCCAGAAAATGAATGATATGCCTATACACCAATCTCTCAACTAAGCAGAATTCTCATTTTGCTACATCCAGATACTATGGTGACCGTTTTGTTGCCTTGGGTGACAATTTTGGTCAATTACTTGCACCTAAAACTAATTGGCTTATCGCCTAGCGTTTTGTGGTGGGTCGTATGACGATTTGAATGGAGAACGGGATGAACGATTGGTGCAAAACTCGTCGACATTATATAGCTAATCATAGACATGTCTGTAATGTAGTAAATCCATAATGCATGCTTTGTATATCTAACTAATCATATTTCATGTCACTTCTATAGTATGTCTTTTGTTGTCCAACTCTCCAATCTAAAATCTAGAAATCCTAACATAAGCAATGGCGTGCAAATGAAAGAATAACTAAAAAATTAGTAATTTACATCATTACATTCGTAAAAATATATGGTTATCATTATCTAAAATATGGATTATTCGGCATTAAAAAATTTATTTGATTTATACATATGATTTTTTTTCTAAACCATATTGAAACAAGAATATTACTTTCGATAAATTTTACATTAGGTACTAAGAAGTTTGGAGTATCTGATTAATGAATTTGGGTATTCGATCCCTATCGATATCTCTTACATTACAACAACACAAGACGGACGAGAGTTCCCTTCCCCAAATTTGTAGGAAACTTACATCCTCAACGTATTAGCAAATTCCTCAAAAAGACTTACAAAGGATAAAAAGAAGAATGACCACGATTACAACATTTAATTACAAACCCCAACTCTCAACTTTCATAACAAATCTCTGGCAAGTTATCCCAGGAATAAGTCTCTAGTGGGGGCCTATCTGGGTCCGTAGTTGTTGTCCTCGTCGTGGTTGTTGTTGGAAGAAAGGAAAACATGTGTTGGAGATCAAAATTGATGTGATCCTCTGTTGTCACAACTGAAGATGGTTCATTGGAGGTTGTCTGATCCCTAATGCCACCACTGACGTTATCTCTGCAAAATTGATTATCATTTTTTCTGATCTGATTGTCGTCTAGGAACTTGTTCACCTCCTCATTCTCTCCTTTTCGTTCCCCACAGTTGGAAAACTTGTTGGTGGTGGTGGTGGTGGTGTAGCCATGAACATCACTAGCATTCCTCTGCATCACATAATTGTCCCTCTGCATCATCAAATTTGGATTAGCCTCTTTCCAAAGATCCTCCAACAATCCTCCATAGGCACCACCAGCACTATTTGCTGTCGGTGTTGCTAGCAAGATGTTATTATTGTTGTTGTTCCCTCTTTTTTCCATATCAATTTTCCTATTAAATTGACCATGATGGAGTATACTAGTATTGACATCATTCCCATGAGGGTGTTGTGATAAAATTTGGTTTGAAGAGAGCTCTGGTTGGTGAGACATTGAAGCTAGAAGTGAGCACATCTCCTCATTCTCCTTCTGCATCTCCTTGTGGAACCCACTATTGTTGTTGTCAAGTACGCTGGAGAGGATATTAAGATGGTTTTGGTTATGAGAATTTTCTATATGTGCAACATTATTAGAGGAAATGTTGGGATGGGGAGGACGAGGTGGCGCCGCTGATAGATTTGCAAATGAGACTGGAAAATTATGTGGGTGAGCATTGTTATTACTATTGGTGTTGTTAGACTCGTCGCCTGCAGTTGCTGTAGAGTTGACAATGTCACCACAAGAGGCAAATCGCTTGAAGCGATTAGGGGATTGGAGGATAGGAGTTGGGCGTGGGAAGGAGAAGTCAAGGAGAGCGAGAGTTGGGATGTGGTGATGGTGAGAAGAAGAAATAGGGGATGCATTGTTGGCTACTGAGGGGGAAGGAAGTGGGGAGAGATGGGTTGGGGTGGTCGAAGCTGAAGGATGATCATGGTTCTGGGTTTGAAAAATGAATGGAGATTGAGTTGGGGTTGTGGGAGTAGAGTTGGGATGATGATTGTGTTGTTGTTGAGAGTAGTCAAAAAGTGGTAAGGTTTGGAAGACATTGTGAGAGTCAGATGGTTGTGGAGCAAAGGGTTGGTGGTGGTAAGGATGAAGAGCTTGTGGGGCTCCTGCAGTTGGCGATAAAAGTTGATAAGGTTGGAAGGAGAAAGTGGTGATCGGACTTGTCGGTGTCGCAAAAGATTTAAGTTGATTATATTGGTGGTGGTGATGTGGATCCGATTGGAAGTGTTGTTGTCGTGGAGGTTGGATATTTGGAGGGTAAAGAGGGAGTCCTTGTCGTTGGTGCCTCTTTATTCTTGTGTTCCAGTAGTTCTTAATCTCATTGTCTGTTCTTCCTGGAAGCTACATATCCCCATGCATGAGAAGGAAACAAAAATAGAGCAATAAGAACATAGGAAAAGCATAGCATTATGAAGAAACAAGAGTAAGGGCAGGGGAAATGAAAAGTCATACCAAGCTAGCCATGCGAGCCCATTTGTTGCCCATCTTAGCATGTAGCTCAATAATGAGTATTTCCTCTTCAGGTGTGAATGAACCCTTCTTGAGATTTGGTCGAAGGTGATTAGCCCAACGAAGGCGACAACTCTTCCCACAACGGTTAAGTCCTGAATTCCTTTGTACTGCATTCCAGTTCCCTTCACCGTGTTTCCTCACGTATTCAAATAGAATTGCATCTTCCTCCGTTGTCCAAGGTCCTTTCTTTAAGGGTCTTTCTCTCCCACCCCCACTAACGTTTACAACATTATTATTAATCCCCCTCCCATCAGTTATAGAATTTCCAGCCGGATGTGGATTCCCTCCTCCGTTAATATTGTGATGGTAATGAGCAACAATGTCATCACCAAACCCTAAGACATTTAAATATGCATTACCATCACCTCCATTGCTACCTCCTCCTCCGTCGCCACCGCCGTTTGTTGAAGATCCAGAGGATCCACCATCACCATTGGTTGTTGATATCATCTTGAAAGTAGAAAGATAATACTCCACAACCCAACAATGATATATCTTCCTCTCTTCTTGGTGGGTTCCTAATGCAACCCAACAAGAAAAAGGAATTTAAGAAACCCTCCAAGGCTTCTTCCTCTTTTCTTCCTTCCTTCAATTGTTCCTCAAGAAGTGGAGTTACATCTTCTTAAGAGATTCAACCACAAATTTCTCATTCACGCCATTGAAGGTAACAATGTAAAAAAGATTCAATATGTCCATTAACTCCATCGAATCCCAAAAAAAAATCCCTCCTTTGTTGGTCCTTATTTTTTCCCCTTACTTTTTTCTAGGTTGAGATGAAGGTGGAGGTGGGGGACACTTTTCTTCCTTCCCGGGGTGATGGTTGAGAAACTAGGAAATTTGATCGCCGACCGGGAAGAGGAAGAGATGGGACGGTGGACGCCGGTGGAGGATGAGATTAATTGAGGACCCACGAGAAATTATGAGTAGAGGGATCAGAAAGGTATAAAGAGAAGTTGTAGAAGAAAGGACGAGACCGAAGAGAGAAACATGGAGATGGGTGCGGCGACAACTTCTCAACGGTTTCTAACAGTTAACACAAAATATGATTTAGTATGGTGTTGCCACTTTATACACCATCGATTATTTTTGTAAGGCTAATTTTTGTCCCCTGATTGAGCTTCTCCGGGCAACTGCTCTGCGTGAAGAAAAAAAAAAACAAAGTTTGGGAGAGCCTAAGAGCAAAATTGTTGCCGGAGGATCACGACGATGCCCAAATTAAAGTGTGGTCTTTTTGTTTTTGTTTAATGGTGTCATAATAAGGACCCTGTTTTGAGAGACGAAATTTTATTTATTTATTGTGGTTTTCCATGAGGTGAGGGAGTCTAGGTGGAAACAAAATCCTCCAAAACTTAATTAGACTTTGTGATTTTTCATGGATGACATAAGTGTGAATTAGGAAAATTATTTGAGTTGTCTAAATATAAAAGGTTCTTTGATGAAAATTTTGAAGGGAAAAAGAATGGAAATTCATGGAGTATACATTTACTAAAATTTTGAAGGCATGCAAGGAACAAAAATAGATATTTAGGAAAAAAGTTGTAGGATAAATAGATTTACTGGTATTATTGGCATATTCTGAATAAAAAAATTGGGGGAGTATACATATGTTGAAATTTGAATATATATATATATATATATGGTGCCTTCTACGGTACCCCGAGTGAAATTTAGTGTATCACATACCTTGAGTATGAAAACACTATCTAGACCTTGAATTAGCAGAATTTTTGGGCTTGTACTATACCCTAACCCTTAATGAGTGAACTCTAGGTCCTAATTATTATCTAAATCATAAACTATAAACTCTAAGATGGAACATTCATTTTTGCCTATATTTTGACGAATCATAGCCGTCGATTATTGTTTCTAATTAAATTGATCTTGGGGTATAAGATTTAGAGACCTAAGACATTGATTTTGATCTTTAAGGGTTAGAGCATAGTATAATGTCCAAAAGATCAATCAATTCAAACTCTAGATAGTGTTTTCATACTCAAGGTATGTGATACCCTGGATTTCACCCTGGCTACCGCAGAACTCGCCATATATATATTTATTAGAGATGTTTTTCATTGTAACAAAGAAATTATGGAAGTTCTGAGTTCAAATCTAAAATGCGGGTAGCTTAAGGTTCTATTTGCATATTTAATAAGGTCTTTCTTCACTAAAAACCAATAAAATTATGGTATAGTTACTCTGTTGGAGGATTGTTATGTAACTTTTACTTTCGTGCAGTGCTTTTAGTAAGTAGTTGTGAATAGGGTTTATGAAATACTAGTATAAAAGAGACTTTTTTTTTAATGTTAGTTGCGAGGATTGAAATATCGTACCGAAAACGTTAGCGGTAGGTTATTTTATGTTAAAATCGTGATTTAATCATGGTTCAATCGTATTATACCGCTAAATATCTCCTGCCAGTTTTGCTTCCGGTAGGAGATTTTTGAGATCGAACCCTCGGTACGGTACGATATTTTAATCCTTGGTTGGTTGGCCGTTTCATTAATACGAAACAGGTGTATAGAGTTTTCCAACACTGAAAGAAAGGATAAAATCCTCAACCTTATGTCTTGGACGTGCCTCCGCCGGGGAACGATGAGGACATCAGACAAATTCTCCAGGCACCAGCAGCTTCACTAGGCTGATTTATCACCGATGACAAAGGGAAGAAAAGCAAAACCATCGATAAGGAGAACCATTCCTAGAGGAAGCTCATAGCTTCACCTTCACAACAAGTAAATTAATGTGTCTCTCCCAGCCCGGGCTATGGACAGATGGGAGACGACCAAATCACTGCAATTTGAGCAATCGGCTGGATGTCATCCTCAGACCTCAAGTGTGACATCCTTGCTCACAAGCTCTTTAATCTTCAATCAAGAAAACAATGTTCAAGCATCTCCGACTCATCTTCATTTAAGATGAAGCATGTGGAGGTAGATGGTGAACCAGAGAGGAGCAAGCGAACCGACAAAAATTGGGCCCCTCAAACACCTACTAGAGAGCCATCGACACATATTTAGGATCTGGTCGGGGAGCAAAAGCATCTCCTCGGGAAGACTGGAACAACATCATCACAAGGATGGAGAAAACACATACATGAAAGGAGAAGAAGATGAAGCAAATCTATATGCAGGAACCCGAACAAAAAAAGTTCGAAAAAAATTGGAGAGTAACAAAGGAGAGGGAAGGAAATATCGGATCAGAGGAGAGCTAAGGATCCAGCAACAAAAAGAGGGCTTGAGGGCTACCGCCGATCCCAAATAGGAAATCGACGACATCCCCCTTTCATATCTGTATTTGAAATTTAGTGAGAAGGGAGAGGAAGGGAATGGTAGACAGTGAAGCTAGCCAACAGATTGATGCTATTAACACAATGTTACGAAAATTAGTATAAAAGAGACGATGAATTGTCAGCGAGCACAAGAGAGTACAGAAAAAATCAAAACTGAGATATGATAGTAAGTGTTAGTCATCACATGTTGTTTCAATTAAACTAGCTTTATCGTCGGCATGTTGGTCGGGCGAGTTTAGCGTCTTATCTTATCTGTCAGATAATTCACAATTATATTTTAATTATTTCAAGTCTTTTCAAACCATTTATGTTTTCACACTTCATTTTCATGAACTTTTTTTTTGGTAGGACTCATGAACATATCGGTGGCATCTTGATGTCAAGTTAATGAGATCGTAAGTAAGTAAATTTTTGTTTCTCAACTAAGCAAATACAGCAGGATGAGCAATGCTCCCATCCAGTATCTCGAGCAGCCCTCGTCCCTTAACGAAAAAATCCGGAACTGAAATTCCCACACAACATAGCTGCTTGCGTCCAATCGAATAGAGACATGCTTCCTAAATCCATAGGCTCTGATATCATGTGAACAACTCGAATCGTAAACAAGCAACACCTCATGAGCCTGTCAGGGAAACAGTATGGAGAAAACGGATTGAAGGCGTGATTTTGATCACTCTCCTTAGAGTGTTTATTTGCCCCCACTACTTAGTTGCTGGTAGGATTTAGGCAAACCACCCCCAAGAGTCCCTCCAATCAAAGTCAGAAAGCAACACCTTTCGTGACTTCTATGTTTGTGTTTTTGGAGAAGGAAAAAACGAGGAGAAGAAGGTGAACGTTGGACGAAAAGTTCGGCTGCAGAAGACTTTTTATAGTGAAAACTGCAGTTCCCTTCCGAAGGGTTACGTCGTTTCACAAAAGTCAAAATCAAATAATTATCCGGATTAATTAATTAAAATAATTCCGGTAATTAATTAGCCAAAAATTCAAATTCAAACGCGTAGTACAATTTAATTTGTCACTAACCACTTTATTCAATAACTAAAGTGGAAAGCAAACTTAAAAACAACTTGCACTTTTCTTCTCCCACCAATGTGGTATTTCCTTTACTCTTTGACTACTCTAACAGAGCCTACTCTACATGGACTATGCTGCGATTAACAAGTCTAACCCAACCCATTGTCATCCCTGCTGCCTGCCCTGGCTAATCTGTCGATGTAGTTTTCCTTATGGAAATGGTTCATTAAATGGTTTCGCAGCAAGAACTGGAGGACAGCAACGTTTCTGGTGTCGTGTACAGATCCACACGTTTTTGTTTCTGTTTGCCCTCCACAAGGAAAACGCATGGTGGTAGCCTGAAACAGCAATTGCCAATTTCAACAAGTCAAAACAAAATAAACCATTGTCCAATTGCTCTGTTCATTGCCCGGCCGTCCCTTCTTGACCGCCCTTCCTCTATAACAATTCCAATAAACAAAAAAAAAAAACTGTTTCTCTGTTTTCCCTTTTCCCCCTTCCGTTTGTTTATTCTTTTCCCCCTATATATATACAGAATAAGCTTTCCCTGTTTTGTCTCGTTTTGTTTCTTGAGAAAAACAGAGAATCCCTCCCCTGTTTTTGCTCTGTTCTTGATCGTGGGGTTTTTTTCTTTTTGGTAGAGATGGCCGTGCCGTCGTTGTCAAGCATCTTTCGCGGCGGGCATCATCGTCCGGCTGCCGAGAATAATCATCACCCACCGGCGGCGCCGCCACCCTCAAACTACGTGTGCGAGGGGGACGTTTGTTATCTGAGAAAAGAGAGTCAGGGGAGCAGCCAGAGCCAGAGCCAGAGCCGGAAATCCTCCGCCGGCAAGGGGAAGCCGCCGAAGGAGCCGGCCGTCGTTTGCTTCTCAATGTTTCCTCGCCGGATTCGCCTGGGGAAGGCTCCCACCTTGTAAGCTTCAATTCCTATATATATATAGATGTAATACGGAATTGAGGTGTGACTCTGAGGATCACATTCGTCGGAAAGTTAGAGGCTTCAGCTTTTATTCATCGGAAAGAAATGAATTTAAAATTTGATTGTATTGTTATATGTTTGTAGTTTCTGTATTGTTCTTATTCGTTGGTAAAGGAAACAGCTGCCGTTTGTATATATAATATACAGTGCTGATTTGCTCTTTGTAATAATGAATCTTTATCGCGTGTCGTGTGAACGACAGCCTTCAACTTTTTTCCTTTAGAAAAAGAGAGAGGCTATTGTTCCAACAAAATAGGCAGAAGACAATAAAAACACGATTATAAAAAAGACCATTGCACGTTAAAAGATTCATTACATGAAGGGGGAAATGAAAAGGATTATCCTATCTAAATTTACGTTAAAAAGGTATTAGTGTCTGATGCAGGAAAGACTTTGAATCAAAATACTTAGGGGTCGTTTGCTTCAAGGATTTGGTACCAAAAAACCAACTATTAAGGATTTAGGTACAATCCGTTGTTTGCTTGCACCTTTTTTGGAGACCAAATCCGTGAGGCCCACGGATTTTAAGGGTCCAAATCCGTGGACCCCACGGACTTATAAATCCCACATGTTGATGTGGGATTTGGAATATGGCATAAATCCTTGATGAGATTTTACCCATATACCCTCATGCACTTTTAATATTACAAGGTTGCCATCAAATTTAACTATTATACATTATAATTAACAATAAATGAATAATATAAACGTTCAATTAATGTGCAAACATGAGTTAGATTTTTTATATCATTTCTTGTGTTCTAGTTTTCTTTGACCTTTTCATGGAACGTGTAATTCTTTGTTCTCCCGATTCTAATATATGTTGTTATATGTTACTTTTGAAAAGGAGGACAAAGAATTGGTAATTGATTATGTTACGTTAAAAGTTAAAACGGAATTTTCTCGTTTATTATTATTGTCCATATGGCAACATTATGCTTTTTAGTATGTATTGCCCTTGTTTTGTGTACATATCATAAACATGTCAAACATATAGAAAATGATAGTAAGGTAATTTTGAAGTTTTGTCCTTGTTTTGTGTACATATCATAAACATGTCAAACATATAGAAAAGGGCAGTAATGTAATTTTTGACTTCAAGTAGTAAATCTCACACCTTTAAATCCATGATAAAAACATCCCAACAAACAAAGGATTGTTACAAATCCATGATGCCTCAAATCCTTGATAAATCCTTGGGTTTTTAAATTATAAAACCCTCATTTTGAAATCCATGAAGCAAACGACCCCTTAATAGCATGGCGATACATTTATACAAAACTTCTACCCCAAGCACACGCAATGGAGCCGTAGACAGTCAAGTGAATTCCAATACACGAAATACACAAAATAATTTGATCTATGGACAGCATCGTTGTGGTAAAAGGCCAACTCTCCATCATCTTTCTTTGGCTGAGTGACATGTATTTTCACGGTGCTCATTTTTCCAATTATGAAGCATGGCTAAGTGATCCTACTCACATTGGACCTAGCGCCCAAGTGGTTTGGCCAATAGTGGGGATTAATCAGGTAAGCATGAGGGGTTACAATCATTACGGCAACTATATGGACTCAACAACAGAACAAGTACGTATAATTATGTAAAACATATCTAGTTCAGAATAGCGCGCAAAGCATTGTACATAATGAACAGTCTGATTCGCTTCTCAAGGTGTGTAAACCGAACGAACCATAGGTATGTCGGGGAAATGGTTAGTTGCAGCTTCCTCTTTTCAGGATATGGGGAGGAAGCTGCATTTTATGAATGCATTCAAATCGTATTCACAACGAAAGGAAGAAATTTGAAGCCAAATCAGTAAACTAAGCATCTAGACAAATCCATCAACCTGTGCCAAATGTACAAGCCAAATTCCTAAGCTGCTGCTACTGCTCCCTCTAACTATTCTTCCCTAAATAATCAATACATGGAAACCCAATTCCTAACTCAGAATTCAAATTCGGTCCACCCTCTCAATCGACTAGGCTTCCAAACTCTCTTTTAGATCAAACTTCTAACATTATGTACTTTTCTCCTGAGAAAAGCTGGGGAGGGGGGAAAGAAACAGGTAGTTCTTTAAAACACAATCAAGTGCTTTCTCAACATCACTTCACTTCACTTCTCCTGTCCCAACTGCAAAACCCTTTTACCTTTTTGTACATGTGACCTTCTGCATCATCATCACCATCATGAATTGGAAGATTTCATATTAATCTCCTGGCAGCCAAACTTTAGCTAATGAACACCGTGGAATGGATCTTCTTGAACAAAGGTGTGAGGGGGGAACAGCTTGCAGATGCAGCCCAATCTCCCACCAGGGTGGATTGTGTCACTGGTTCGGTTTGAACGCTATCCTTTTCTTGTTTTGTTTCAGAGCTGTAATGCCAGGTCGGGCTGCTGTGAATCAACCATGACACCTGAAGACTGTTTCGCCGGTGATCCTGGCGACTGGAAACCGATGTTCAAGTCCGGTGACAGCGTGTGTGTCTCCTGCTTTTGGCTAGTAGTAGGCTGGGACTCAGACGGTAGCCCAGTTTGTCCTCGCCATGGGGAGGACATCATTTGCAATCGAGATAGATCAGCAGCTACAAACTGGGGAGAAAACATCATTGGTCTCCCGCCTTGCACCTGTCCTTCACCTCCTCCGGGGAAAGGAGGCGGTCTCATGAAAGCTTGAAACGGGAATTTCTTCTCAGCCTGCTGGAACTGCTGCTGCACCCCTGCTGCTGGGAAAGGAAGCTTCCCTTGGAACATTCGTGGGGGGAGTTGCCATGTTGGGTTGTACAGTGATTCTGCAGAAATCTGACCGTTTGTGTTGCTAGAAGAATGGTCTGCAGCTGGGGGCTTGAAGCCTCCCCCGGCAGTGCCTATCGACATCCATGCTCTGGCAGCAGTTGCAGCCGCATTGCTGTTGTCGCTCCTTGAAGCCGGTGGAGCCTCACCAGCTGAGGACTGACCACCTGAACTAGGTTGTTGATGCTTTTGAGCCCTTTCAGCTGCTGATATTCTCATTGCCTCCACTGGGTCTGTGAGAACCACTCCTGGTGCCCTCGGAGGATAGTGTAGTCCTCCATGGCCCATCTGATTCCTTCCAATGTAACCCATTTGGCCAAAACCATCAGATGATGCAGTCACTGATCTACCATTGTTTACTAAACTACCGCTAGTGTTTCTCCCATTTGGAAACCCTGGGGGAACATGCTCGTAACTGTCCAGCTGCTTACAAGGTAGGGACTGTGGCATACCAACCTCTGTCCTCGACACTTCCCTTGGCTTTGGACTATCTGTTCTTGGCGGCACTTCCTTTGGCTTTGGACTTTCTGTTCTTCGTGGCACTTCCGTCGGCTTTGGACTCTCTGTTCTTGGTGGCACTTCCCTCGGCTTTGGACTCTCTGTTCTTCGTGGCACCTCCCTCGGCTTTGGACTATCTGTTCTTGGTGGCACTTCCCTTGGCTTTGGACTTTCTGTTCTTGACGGTGCTTCCCACACCTTTGAAGGCGCCATTCCAGAACTCTTCGGAAGTTGCTTTTCACCAACTTCACCATCATTTTGGTAGTTTGAAGGAGGCAAGTTCAGTTCAACCTGCTTGGGAGCCCTATTCTGTGTCTCGGCATAGTTCCAGGGAGAAATAGTTTGTCGCGGATGAGTGACATTGACTGCAGCAAATGGCTTGGTTGCGGCAGAGGAAAACAATGAGTTTTTAACTTCAGCCACACTGCAGGTTGGACGGAACACTGTGTGCTTTACTTGTGATGTAGTCCCTCTAGCTGGTGGAGGTTGAGCGGCTGGAACTGCAGTTGCATCAGGACCGTTTAGTCCATCCACAACAGCTTTAACCTTGGGCAACAACACTTCATTGTCTCTAGGAGAACGTGTTTCAATCATTAGCACTGGGGTTGTGACTGGCTCATATTCTCCCACCCATCCTCTACCAAACTTGCACCCAGGTGGTAAAGCCTGCTCAATCCTGTGAGCTGCCACTTTCCAAGCTAATGGTCCGAGGGTTGCAGCAAAGCGAGCCATGCTCCTTGCATAGGAATATTCTGCGTGAAGCCCAACCTGATCAAAGAAAATGAAAGGAAGCATTAGTATTAGCTCCCACCCACTTAAGTAAAAATGGTGCAGCTTCCTAGTTACATACAGCAACCAGCTGCCTGAGTTCATCCTCGAATGTTGTGAATATCGTGTCTGGTCTCTCAACAGGTTGACTGCATATGTTATATGTTGCACGACGGTTGTCATCAAAGACAGACAGTCTCTTTCCAATCTTGGGCCAAGGACCCTTCCCTGCAGAAGCGTGGAGTCAAAGCAATTAGGAAACCAATGCCAACATTACAGAACAAAATAGTCGACTGCACAACCACCTATATCCTAAATATATGTAAACCGCAGAGAGCAATTCAAGTTACATACCTGATGATAGTTCTTCAAGTTTTTCCAGATTATTATCCACCAGAGACAAGCTGCCTTCTACAAGAGCATCCACATTACAAGGCCTCTCACAAGCACCAGCCAAAACACCATTAGGACCATTCTGCACCTCACCAGCATTAGCAAGAGTGGCACCTGAAGAGAAATCAGACCCAACAGGTTCCTGTATCGCCCTACTGAGAGGCTTCTTCATTTGCTTCTTGCCCGAGAAGTTGGACTTCGTTTTCTGTTCAGACTTCCGCTCCTTCTCAGAGCGTTCAATGCCAACCCTTAACTTCTCAAACTTTTTGTGTGCCAATTCTTGGATGGCCCGTGCCTTTTGGAAACAACAGGAAACAGAATTAGCACAGATTTAGACACGAGATGTAAAAAATGCGACAGAAAAATTATTTTGTACCTGTTTGTGGTATACGGTGTCTGATGAATTATATTTCATTGCATTAGAGCAAATTAGAAGTACGTCACTCTGCAGTCAAAGGAAAACCTGAATGATCAATATGCATAAAACTTTCTTTTCATCATCTCTCTTAATCAATACAACTTATGGCTTAACTATATGATGAATTTCACTCAATAAATCAAATTCGCAGAATGCAGAGCCTCCTTATATATAAACGATTTACATGAATTTTTTTAACTCAATCACTCAAATCTCTTAGAGTAGGCACAGAATAGTAATAGGCATCAACCGATAACACTAGAAGCACATTTTTAAGTTAAGCCATACAATGACCACAAACATAAATTTATTCACACAACAAACTGGCTAAAGGAGTTCAAGCCTCTAGATAAGTCAACCTGCCCATCATGTTTTCATCCTAGGACTCTCTGACCTCTACCAACAGGCAACAACCACACAGGAAAGAGCATATCTGGAGTCAATGCTCCCATTCTGAGGTAAGAGACACGAGAAACAAGATGTCTGCATTTTATCTTCAACAATATTTTGCACCAAACAAAGCTGCTCCAACATGTATCACAATCAACAATGACTTGCAATAACGCCCATTGCAGCTTAGATGCAAAGCAGAATGTTCCAAATAAGTTAACATGATATACAGCAGAATGATGCCTACAGGCTACAACAGCCACGATCATAGTCTGTGGACAGAGCAAGAATCAAACACGACATCATTATTCTCTGTCTATATACAGATCAATAGATCTAACAACGGTCAAGTCCTAAGGTGGCATCTCTCTAACCTTCTGAAATCAACAATTGTCCAGTTCCGAAAAGATCAAGAAAGGAACAAAAAGAAACCTTAGTTTCAAATTGACGGTGATAAGAGTATTCAAACCTCAGACAGAAGTGAAAGGCAAAACGAAACCTTTGACAATTCACACTATAATTAGAGTTTCATGCGATACCAGCTGGCACATGTAGAGCAGAGAAGTGAACGTAAGGAACACACCTCAAATTGTTCCAACGTGGAGTACGAGCCATTTCCCAGCTTCTTCCGTACTGTGGCAAAGTCCATTGGGTGATCAACCACATCGAGATAATCCGGAAGCTGTAACAACCACACTAACACATTAGGCTCGGCCAATTCTCTACCATCAATATACCAATCACCAGGAAACCAAGAATGTCAAACATCACAAACCTCCTCGAGATCCACAGGTTCAGAGTACACGCCATATGTGTCCTTCCTACCACAATGTAGAGCACAAAACCATGATTAGCCATCATCAGCTCATCAACCCCATTTACCATTACAGAATCGTGAGAACGACAACCCGATAGGGAAACAGAGAATCGAAATTGTTGTAACCTACTTTTGAAGCTTGTGCAGAACCAAATCCAGCACTTTCTTATCAGGCAAGGGATAAGAATCCAGGCGATCAGAGGGCGTTCCTGAAACAAACCCCCAAAAAACCAACAGAGGTAAGAAAATCTCCGTTGCAGCTCAACCCATCAGAACTCCAGCCAGCTCGACCAGGACACTGAAGGGGGAAAAACAAACCTGGCACCGAGTCCGGCAAACCTTTATCATCCGTTTCCCTTTCCTGCCATAAGAACCAAAAGTGAGGAGGAACCCACAATGAGCACAATGACTGCAGCAAGGAAATGTGGCGAGGCAGGGAACAAAGATAGAGACAGCTGAGTAAAGCAGACAAACGTATATGACAGAGAGGATTAAGATATTTAGAAAGACAATGCAGGTGGTGGGTAGTGAGGGAAAGAGAGAGTTGTGGGGGAGAGCGCATGATCAGATTCTGCTGGCCAGAGAAGTAATTATAGTTATTTGTTTTTTGACAGTTGACCACCTAACCGTTATTATCCCCTCCCTCCGACACAGAAACAGAGAGAGAGAAGCAGAGGGTGGCGCGCCGCGGCGGACGGATGGGAAGGCGAAGGAAGGAAGGAAGGAAGAAAGAAAGGGAGCAGTAATGTAATATATTACGTCTGGACCAATTAGAGATTTCTGCACCAGCGATTTGCGCTGAGCTGAGGTGGACATTCCCCTTTTCTTTCTATTCTCGGTTCTCCCCCAAAATCCCCATTTCCGATTGTCCCCCCAAAACCCTATTTCCTCGCATTCATTGCTGCTCCTCGATTACGGCCGCCTGAAATCAGATGCGTACAATCGGGGGGAAACGAAGGCGAATTCAAACGGATAGGATTACTCCGCGGCATACCTCTTGGCCGTCGTTATCGTCTTCTTCCTCGTCGTCGTTTCCCTGATCATTCCCATCACTCCTGTCTACCTCCTCAGCTTCACTCTCTCCACCGCCGCGGCCGTTGATTCGCCTCTTCTTCTTCAACGGCTTCCTCTCCCCCTCGCCGTCGCCGCCATCCTCATCCGAGGAAGACGCGGTCCCGGCGCGCGCGTGAGATGCACGCGCCGGCCTGCCGCGGCGGCGGCTGCTGCCGTTCTGGATTTGACTTTGGTCGTTGTTGTGGAGCTTGAGCACCAGCTCGAGCTTCTTCTCTTTCCTCCGCTCATCTTCTTCTTCTTCTTCGTCGTCCTCCTCCTCCTCGGGCTCGGGGACTTCCTCTTCTTCCTCATCCTCCGCCTGCTGCTCCTCGTACTCGTCCAGGTAATCGTCGAAGTCGATGAAGTTGTTGTACCTCACATTCCGGCGGCGGAGGCTCCGCCGCCGCTCGGAATCGGTGGCGCCGGAGGAAGGATGAGCAGCAGCAGCAGCAGAGCGGCGGGCTAGATCCGCCTTGGATGGCCGCCCTTTCTTCTTCCGCTTCTCGATCTGTCCCATCTCCCACCCACACCTTCGAGCTTCCTTCCCCTTTCTCTCTCTCTCTCTCTAGACCGTCGTGATAGATTATCTCTCTTTATTTTATCTTTTTATTTTTTCTCCTTTTTTCTTCTTCTGCAGCTCGCACTCAGTTCTTCTTTCTCTCTCTCTCTCTCTATCACTTGTTTTGGGGTTCCATTAATTCTCCACTCAGCCTTTCTCATGGGTTGGCCTTTTTTTCTTCAGAGGGACAGGGAGAGACGCCGAAGCTGGCTCCGAGCCTCCAGGTTCGGTGACCGAATGGGGTATTTAAATGATTGATATTTTTTTTACTCTGGTTACTGTACTCGCTTTTACTTTTCTTTTTTCTAGTTATTTTCTATTTTATTTCCTACTTTCTGGTACAACGGCGTGAGCTGGGGGGGGAGACGGCGTTAGCCAAGGTGCTGCCCGGTTTGCCCGGAGGGTACGTGGCAATTGTGGTTTTGTCTGCTGCCCTGCCCCGTTTGTCCATTTTTTCCTCTTTCCCCATGCCCATAATTTATTCGGCGCGTGGGGCTCAGTTTCCCTTCGCCTGTTTGTTTTTATTATTCAGAAAATTCCAAATTTTGAAATTTGAAAATGGAAAAAAAAAAAAAATGTTACTCTAATCAGGATGGCTTTTACTTAAATCCAGATGGTGCTTAACTATAATGTGATGGTGGAGTTGTGGAATACGTGGGGTGGGATTTGTTTGTAGAAATAATATCCTCCTGATTGCAACGATCGTGGATTCAATAGTACAAAGATGATTTAACAAAGAATGGACGTCCAGTTATGTCTCAAAATTATTTTTCGAAATAAATTGATGACTCCAGTATTTTCACATTGCATCGATCGACAAGTAATCGTGGACTTGATAGGACTGAAGAAGTTGTTTATTTTTCACGGTCGTTATGTGATTGCAACGGGTGGACGATAATTAGGGATCACAAGGATTGACATCTTATAAGCCCCTCCACATTTGGAACAATTAGTTCTTGGTATGTTGTAATTTTAAGTTTCTCATTTCTTCATACCCATCAAAATGAACTTCTCTGAAATCATCTACCCAAATATTGTTCTATCATCGCGAGGTTCTACTTCATCACGATTTTAGTGGAGGCGAATGTGTTGAATCATGTTTATCGGGCGAATCAATGTATTTTTATGAGATAATACTCACCATCGCAGTCTATATCGATATAATACGCGATAAGATGGAACCAATACAAATGTTGACAAAGCCGATAAATTTTTTTACCCCGTGATCTAAATTGCTTGTGATGTAACACGAAAAGTGAACGAGTTGGTTGATCATCGAAAGGGTCGGATCCGCCCATATTAGAATGGAAAGATTTGCTCCATATATGAAGTCCACCTAGAAATCTCGAACAGAAAGTCTTAAAAAAACAGCTGTGAAAAGGCCCGCACACAAAAACAACACCATGTATAAAAAGAAAACTCATGCAAAGGGAAGGGAAGGAAAGGAAAAGAGCACTCCGCTTTGGGAAAAAGTTTGTGTGGAGTGGAGATAACTGTTGTCAAATGTGGATCGCTGATATTACGATTGATCCAACAACCCAATTTCCGTATCTACAACAAAAATATGATCATCCATTTTTTCTCCACGGATACGGGATCGTCCTCATCGGTCCACAATCACTTGCAGAACAGTGATCGAACAGGGAGAAGTTAGAGTGTTAACTTCACAAGAGTTAGCACGTCGTACTAATTACTCTAATCGCCATCCATTATTTTAAGTGGAATCATTATTTGATAAAAAAAATGGCTTATTTAGTATTTCAAAAAAATTAAAATGAATTAAACTATAAATTATCTTTCCTCTCTCCCGTTTTTGTTAGCTAGCGACTTTTGACCAGTTTTTTTTTTTTTACTAAATCCATTACTGCTTCAATTAGTAGTGATTTTGGCCTATAGTAGTGATTTTCATGGTTAGTAGTAGTGATTTAAGAATTTTTAATCAATAGTGATGGATGCTTTTGGAAGTTTCTTAATCAATAGTGATGGATGCTTTTGGAAGCTGAAAGCAGTGTTTTTACTTTTGACAATATTCGGCAGTGATTTTCATGTAACTAGTAGCGATTTAACATATTCTAATTTGTAATAATTGATTGTAAAAAGCACTACCAACTAAAAAAACTACTATAATTATGCAAACCACTATTAAAATTTGATGAAATCAATGCGTAAAAATCACTAACACATAATTACTACCTACAAATTACTACTACCCTAATGATCACTCATAAGTAACATTCAATTGTAGCATATGAGAAATTTGGGTCGCCAACTTCACTTGAATCAAAAAATAAATACAAATTGCGGTGAGCGTGGATCGAACACGCGACCTTCAGATCTTCAGTCTGACGCTCTCCCAACTGAGCTATCCCCGCCTGTTGATATTGATTGCTCGTAGACCTATATATTCATTGTTACTAACAAATGGGAACCTCCTACTTCTCCAAGTTCTCCATCGTAGTCGCAACAACATTTCGGCTACTACAACTCCTCCGCCGCCCAGAAACAGAGCACCCCACTTCTCATTGATGCTTTCTTTGATATCCTCTGGGAAATAAGGCCTCGTTTGGAACCTCCGATTTCAGACGTTGTATTCTCGTTATACATGTATTCTATAGAATGCAATGTTTTTTGACTTGATGTAATAACAACATGCATGTATTCATAATCCATAAATGACGTATAGTAAATCTTACATTTTTTGTGAGATTTTAGTATTCAAAGTTCATTTAAACTATAATCCACGCGTTCTTTTATGGTTTCCAAACAATGAATTTTCAAAACCACACTTTCTTAGCATACACATAATCTTTAATACACACATTCTTGTAATACATCATTTCCAAAATCAAAGGTTTCAAACGACCCCTATCAATATGGAGAACATAGAGAAGGCATAACACATAATACAACGTATTGCAACTTGCAAAGATTAAAGCTAATCATGTGTTGTTTGACAGGATACATCCCACGGAGGCAAGATATCGATAATTGATCGGCAAGTGATGGATGTTATCGTTGATGCTCGACAGGGAAACAATGCGGTCTAGTTCAAATTTGGCCATATATATGGTGCATGGTTCATATCAAAAGATGGAGTACAAATCACAAATTAGGGTAAATAATAGACAGTCCAAATCAAACCACGCCTGGTGAGGTATGGTTGGATCAGGTTGAGCAAAAATGAACAATTTTATGGCCCACCTTACCCAAAATCCAACCAAGAATACAGAAAAATCTAATTTTTGGTTTAAACCTAAATTTCACAACGCATCCATAATTAATTTTATACCCTAAATCGAACTAAATAGCAAAGTCACAAAGTTAGACCAACCCAACTTCCACCACGATGCCATAAATCGTCTCCATCCTTTAAGAGAGTATGATATGTGAATGAAGAATGAGATGAGATTCATAATTATGGTTGAGACTTGAGTCTCGTTGAGGACTAGGGCAAGTGGGTTGCTAGTATGAATTTGTAAGTGGGTTGGGTCCACACGATCTGATCGATTCAATAGATTGTGGTTTGGGCCATACCAGATCATAAGATCAAACATCTCATAACATAAATCGGGACCAAACCAAACTACCTTTAACGATCTACAACCATAGTCAAATTGTACCATTCGATTTGATTCATAATTTTACAAACAGTTTGATATATTTTCCCAGAAGTTCTTAGAAGTACGTGGGACCCATGAAAGTGAGGCAATTAGTTTCCACGTAATTAGCTTGTCAATTCATGCAAGGTCCACTAGTATTCTAATTTTCAGACAGAAGCCAGAAACTAACCAAAAGTTGGTATAGAGTGTTATAATAATATAGTTATTAGGCCAGTAGTGGAGGCTGAAGTTGTAGCATGCAATGGACTAGTAGAAAAAGAGTTCAATTGACAGACAAATTGGCCTATTAGCTCAGCTGGTTAGAGCGTCGTGCTAATAACGCGAAGGTCACAGGTTCGAGACCTGTATGGGCCAGGTTTTTTCGACTATTTTTCATTTTCTGTGAGACCATTTTTTTCGACTATTTTCCATTTTTCTGTGAGACCATTAATCATATATGTTGAGTCCTTGTGAATGTAAGGTCATTCGTTTGTTTTTTTAGAGCCCAAAAACTTTCTATAATTAAGCTACTCCTCCTTGCGGAACCATTAATCATATATGTTGAGTCTAATCCAACGAGTAGCTATATTGTCACGTTTTCCTCATTTCCTCAGTCCTCCCTAATACGAGGAAGCAAAGATATAACAATCCTATCTATCTGTCTATCTATCGACAATTAACTGCATATATGGTAATTTGAACAACGAACCACCTTGCTTTTTGTGAAGTCGACGAAATTTCTAAACAACCTACTATGTTGTAGTACAGGCATGATGGTCGCTAACTCTGTTACGATAAATGACACATTCAACCAAATCCACCGAAAATCCCGTTTGAAAAGTAAAAACCGAAACCCCCCGAGCTAATCGCCCTCCACTATATTTCCTTACGTTTTACTCACTTCACTCTCAACCTATATAAAGCCTTCAACAAACTAATCTAGCTAATTGACTAGTTTATTTATGGCATCATTAGCCATGGCGTCTTCCCTTTCTGCTTCTTCATTTCGATTGTATATGGACCTCCGTCGACTCTCATCGCTGTTCATGACGACGATGGTGGTGGCGGTGATGACGAGCTGCTCGGAGGGTCAAATGGTCCCGGCGGCGTTCGTGTTTGGTGACTCGGTGGTGGACGTCGGGAACAACAACCACCTCCTCTTCTCGATAGCCAAATCCAATTACCCACACTACGGTGTCGATTTTGCGTATAGCGAACCCACCGGACGCTTCTCCAACGGCAAGATCCCTTCCGATTTGGTCGGTACGTACGTTTGACATTTATTTATTTATGCATGTATATTTGACTATTATAAACTATTTAAAGAACTTTTTATTATAACCTAAATGACTCAAAAATGATTTTCAACATAAAATATGAAAATATAAAAGAACAGTCGAAATTGAGCTAGTTGGATTTTTTTTTTTGAAAATTATATTTTTATAATTTACTTTAATTGTAAAAATAAAATAAAATTTATCTTTTCTGATTTATATTAAAACACACAAAGAAAATGTCATACCTTATAATTGTTGGTTTTGTACTTAAATCGTGGTTGAATCATAGTTCAACTGTTTCGTGTTGCTAAAGATGCCTATCATTTGAAATATCCGGCATCCAATATTTACAGTCCGACAAGCCGATACTGTAGGGTGGCATAACTCCAATGTATATGGTAATAACAATTATGCGTGAATTTTATATTATTAATTGGGTCAACAATTAAGGTTTATAATGCAGCTGAAAAACTTGGCCTGCCATCCCCGCCGCCGTATTTATCGATCAGGCACATCTGGCAGAACATTAACAAGAATGTGTCTAAGCTCGGGTTCGGGTTCGGGTCCATCCCCTTGACCGGTTTGAACTTCGCTTCCGCTGGTTGCGGTGTGTTGAAGAACACTGGATCCATTTTCGTAAGTTGGAATCTTCTGTTTGTTTTAGCAAGTCTGAGGCCATAATGTTATGTTGTGATTAGGTTTTTGACTTGAGCAGGGGGTTCACATTTCGCTGGAGGAGCAAGTTGATTACTATGCCAAGGTCTACTCCACTCTGTTGAAGCTCCGAGGGTACGACCGGACCGAAAACATAGTGAGCAAAGCCTTGTTCCTGGTGGTGATCGGCAGCAACGACATGCTCAACTACTACGATTCCGACAGTCTTCGCGAGAAGTTCGCCCCCCAAGATCGTTCCAACCAGACAGCCTCCAAGCTCGTAGAGCTGCTCGAGGTACCCTGACCAAGGCTCGACCCAGTGTGCTCCCAGTGTGCTTGCTCGATTCATAGTTGTCTAAACTTCCGGTTTAAAAAAAATGTGGACAGAGGTTATACGCGTATGGAGCTCGTAGATTCGCCCTCACAGGGCTCCCTGCGCTCGGATGTGCTCCTGCAAGAAGGCTCCATGTCAAGAATCAAGAGTGCGACGAGGAGTTGAATTCCATGTGTGATGCGTACAACCGAATGCTCAAGCCAATGCTGCAACAGTTCAAATCCAAGCACAAGGGTGTCAGCTACACGTACTTCGACGCCTATACTTTCTTCCTAGATGTCATCAACAATGCATCTCACTATGGTTTGGCATCATCAACTTTCATCTCTAGTTTTTTCTTTCGTTTCGTCGAATGACAAGATCGAAAAAATCGAATGGTTTTACCTATCACGGTATTTTTCTCCTTCAATGTTTCAGGATTTAGTGAGACCAAGGCTGCATGTTGTGGGGTTGGAGAATTGGAAGCTGAATTCCTTTGCACTCCCTTCTCGGACTATTGCGAGGACAGAAACAAGTACATGTTCTTTGACAGGATTCATCCCACAGAGGCGATGTACCGCCACGTGGTGGATGCCATTATCGACGGTCCGTCGAAATACGTAGCACCGATGAACATCAGGAAATTAGTTTCTGGGCATGCTTCTTAGAGCAGAGGAAGAAAACCAGCAGAAGGAAGCTAGCTAGGCTAGTAGTTTTAGTTTAGGGTTATCAGAGTTTAGAGAGACTGTTGTTGCAAATGCATGCATGTAACTGTAAGTCCAAAGGTTGTATGTAAGTTGCCACATGCAGACACATTGTTTTAAGTCCTAAAAATATTGGGTTTATGCTGGAAGGTGACAAGATTTTCTAGTTGATGAGCAATGGGAAATATGAACCACGATTCATTCACTTCGCCGAAGGTTTTCGAGACAAGAAATGGGTATAATAAAAAAAACTGTGTAGTTAAAAAGGCAGTTTATAACAGCCTGTTTGCTGGGATATAGAAGCCAATAAGATGAGAGGATACCTTTGACCCGCCGCTATCAGTCACTAGAAGGAGATCTCCTTGAAGAAGAGGTTGAGATCGCCATTGTTAACATCAAACGCCAACATCTTGTCCAGGGCATCCTGGGTAAAACATCAAACCCGCTGAGATTCGGACAACCGAAGACTAAATCTCACAGAATGAATGATTTACTATCAATCTGGAGCTACCTTGTACAACTGATCTTGAGCAGATATACTGTCGCTGCACAATCGCTCCACAGAGGTGCTCTCCATGGCAGATTCCAGTATGAGTGCTGCCCTCCTTACAATTTCTTCGGGAACACCTACAGTGACGAAGCGGTCAGGTGTAACTGAAAATCCCAAATTCAGTGATATTGACCTACAAACATGTTCTCAACGTTCTATGGACATGTCCTGCTCCGTTGAGGTGTCTTGCCTCATGCAGACTGTCCCAGGAAACCTACTGAAGTGGAAGTTTTCTCGCTAAGTTGTTAAGTTGCTAAGTTTTAACTCACCAGCAAGAAAAGCACAGTGCAGTCCTGCAAAAAGAAGCACAGTCCGTGTCATTAAAAGATCGAAGCATGTATGATTATGGTACATATTGAATACACTCACCGTAGCTAAGATGTGCATGTCCTGGAACTAGCCTGGAAACACATTTTAAGTCAATTATACTTCAGAACATCCTCGACACTTCTGCCAGAAACATAATAATTGAAAAAATACACAGGCTGAAGGCACTAGGGCGTGATTTTGTTACATAATCATAATTTTATAGAAAATTTAGCGCACTCTTTCTATGAGAATCCAACAACCTAACAAAATTGACATATGTGATAAGACAATCACGCCGCCAGAGGCTCTCTAATGCAAATCTCAATTTTCAAAACAGTCTTCTGAGCAATGTGCTATACAGCTCTGTCTAAATGTGGCAGGAAGTCTACAGGATTTTATATTACCTGTACAGGAAAACAATGTCCTCAGAACCCACAGAGTTGTCGTCAGGCCTCAACACGCTCATGGTGTAAAACTTCACCCTCTCAGACTGCATGTTAAAAGGGTTACACATCTCAATTGTACAGTATGAAAGCAATTAGAGGGGACAATTTTACATTCTGGAAGCTACTCAGCATGAGTTTATACCTCTGGCAAGCAACTCTGATTGAATAGCTCGCTCAAGTGAGTGCACACCAGAACCTGTTAACGTGCATCCAAAACCCAGAATTATTTAGGTGAACAGTTAATTAACTTGTATCTTGTCTATCTCTGCTTCTAATATTACAGTCTGATTGTGCTGCAGCTCAAATTTAGTGCAACCTTTTAGGCTCAATCAAAACTTGGTTATTGTATTGTCACCACAAGGTGGAATTTGAAGATGATCATAGAGTTTAGAAATGAGAAGTCACAATCAATTTAACAGATAAATCCTTGGAGAACTTGGGAAACATTGTGAGGCAGAGCACAGGGACTGCAAGAGAATTATATAAATCTAAGTCAACTCATCTAAGTTGCTACATAGTGGCAATTATTTATATTTACCAAAGAAAATGGGTTCGGCAAACAATTTGGGAGTGTTTATCAACATAACTAGCATTCAAATGATGGTTTCATCATTGCCATGCAACTGAGGGTTGACTTGGTGCACAATGCAGATGTGGTACTTCAATAAAGCATGATTGTTTAGCACGCTAAAAGAAAGTTCTAGGTGTTAATGTAGCATACAAATTGATGTTAATGTAGCAGGCATTAGCACAAAAATAACCTTGTGCCTGTGAGTCAAGTGTTTAAAAGGAAACAGCTGTCAGGGCAGGCATAGCAGAATTTCAGACCTTAGGAGGGTCCTCAGAAGCAATGAAGTGACTTATGGTGCCACCAAGTAGACCAACGCCATCTACAGTGCAGTCATTAAGATTGCAAATAGAATCAATTCATTACAAAGAACAAAAAGAGAATTTACCAAGATTTAATCCCGGATATGAAATTGTGCGAGCAAACTAACCTTCTGTAAGGGTACCTTTGCCAAATTCGTCCAGCAAACACAAGGATCGGAAGGTTGACTGCCTGAAATGGAGAACAAAAACAGTGTCACAAGCTTTGTACTTAACTAGTTACGTTTGTTATAACTCCATAACTGCAACGTTGTTACTAAGACATTAGCATATGGATAAGCTTCCAAACAAAGATGCAAAATTCCACAAAGATCAACAAGAATCACCGTCACATGCAAGCAATTGTAGAAAGTTCAAGGAAATAAAGCCAACTAGACAATTTAGATGTACCTTAGCATCATTCCTACTTGATGTAGGTCTATCATAAATGTTGACTGTTCTGCAGTCATAAGTTTGCTTCCCATCGCACAGAATATCCTGTTACAATAGTTCATGGGCCCAGTTAGACACATTCTTCAATCTGATAGACATAAACGAATTGTCAAAGGTCGAACACCTGTCAGTCAACCCAATAGTTGCAGCATCTGCAGGAACAAAACTGCCAATGTGGGAAAGGAAGACGATCAAAGCCACCTGAAGACAAAGCAAGAAGCAATTCAACAAGCGAAAAAAGTAAGAGCAGATGATAGACCACATAATGGTAAGATAACCTGGATCGGCTATATGAAAGACAAATGAGCACGAATAGGCTATAATCACTGACCTGCTTAATGTAGATACTCTTCCCTGAATAGTTAGGGCCAGTGATGATGTTGATCCTTCCTAAAGCATCAGCATCACGGATATTAGAAAATAAATAGTCCCTAAATTCTAGAATTCTTTCCGGACATACAATGTTTTGTCAGGGATTTTTATCATTTAAATTGATTTACCCTCATCAACAATCTTCGTATCGTTAGGAATGAATGTGTCAACAGTCATTTCCTGTAAAACATGTCTGTAAGATGGTGTTAACTTCCAAATACGGATATGATAGAAATAAATATTAGTAAATGAAAGCTTAGTTTGGCCCTGTTGTAGCTTTTGCAGAAGCAGCTTCTGACTGCAGCTTTTAGATAAGTACTTAAAAAAAACAGTTTAGTGTTTGGCTATAAAACTATTAGAAGTGCTTTTAATATTAGCGGTTGTGTAAAATGACTATAATGAACTTATAAAATAAAATAAAAATAAAAATTCTAAACAATAAAAATTAGTCAAAATTGATCTTGTTAGATTTCTTTTATATTAAATAATATGATTTTATATTTCATTTTATTTTTAAAATGATATAAATGAAGGAAAATTATATTTTCTGAAATAAAATTAAAATATGGTAAGGATAATCTTGTATTTTCAAAACAGCTTTTCGCAGAAGCTCCAAATCGGAGCTTCTGCTTTTATGTTATACAAAAGTGTTTTTCGGCTTTTCAAAAGCTGAGCTTTTAGAGGTGTTTGGCCATGCTTCAGCTTTTGAAGCCGAAAAGCACTTCTAAAAGCCGGGCCAAACATAGGGGAAGTAACTCTCACCTTCCGTTTTGTATATCAATCAAGGTTTCTTCAGTTAAAATAGGTCTCACATAGTTGTTCTGGCGAGCGACAAGAGCCAATGACAGAAGACTGAATAGGAAACACTTAGTTGTGGTTAGTTTGGTGTACAATCATGTAAAACCCCAACCTCTTAGAAATTGAGTTTGGAGAGAGTATACTGTTCTCACCAATCAAGTTCAGCTACAAAATCAATCGCCTTAAGCATTTGTACGGAAAATTGAAGTATATGTGAGACCACATCTCTAGTAATTGCTCTTTCCATGTCTTTGATAGTTGATTAAATGGGGAAAAACAAATGCAAGCAAACAAGAAACGGGGGTTAGAAGATCATCAAGATTTGAGATTACAGATATAAAGTATCAAGTACATCTTCTTGGTGCTTGTTCTTGAACTGTAACCAAGTACAGAACTAGGTTGCTCTAAGTTATCATACAGTCAACATTGAGCATGAAGTTTCTTCGGGAGATCAATATCGAAGCTATTCATCAAATGTGGTTGATAGAACTTATTAGATGAGAAACACACAATTCTAAAACTTTTACCTAGAATTTTATGATATATGTCTCCCAGAAGTTCATCCAATTCTCTAGTCTTCGGCGTACGATAAAAAAATCTTTCAGTCTGTCCATCAGCATCAGAAAACTACATCCAGCATACAATTTATAAAAATCAAGGTGTGTGGATTTTCCGGATATTGGTTCAAAGATGACGCAAGTACAAACTTACCACAAATTCACAGTCATGAAGCTTTGCAAGTGAGATATCATCAAGTTTTTCATAAAAAATGCATAACAAATAACCTGAAAACGGAAAGTAGTAGAAAATGAATAGTTAAATCTACAGCACTGAAGTATAAAAGAACAGGGAATAACATAAACCCTTATTACTAGGACCTCCAAAAAGACAAAGGTCATGCTTGTCAAGAAATATGATTCCGTCCTATTGCTACTCTGGCACAAAACATTATACATGTACAACCACCTATGTTTGTGCACAGATATCAACATAAGTGAAAATTTTGTATCCCTTCGACTCAAAGATCCATCCACCATGTATAGAACTAAATGGATACTTGGATATTCTGAACTTAAGAACCTACCTATTTGCTGCATGTACACTATAGAAGGAAGAAGTTCCCCTCGACTCAAATGAGGAAGCTGTGCAAGCTCTGCTGATGACACCTGCAAAGAATGTTTATATCAGTAGTTTGGATCTCAAAAGCTAATCAATTTTAAGTTCTAATATAAGTTTCCTGATTACTAATGGTTCAAAGGGCACCTGTTGGAGAAATTCAGGAAGTTCATCGTAGATTTGCCTCAGCTCATCCAGCTAGATTTGGCACAGAACATCAGTGACCCAAATCTTAAATGTGAGCAGTATAATTGTTGATGAAATATATGGGTGCATCAAAGTATATTCAGCAAGAAAAACTACGAGATTATATCAGAATACAGGTAGCCTCAGCAGCTACGAGACTTCAGAAAAACACATAGGAAATAGGCGAAGAACAGAGGACCAAGACATCTTATACAGAGTAGGTAAACGAATCCCGCACCTCCTCACATAAGCCTTCCTTCACCATTGTCTCGTAACCTTTTCCTTTGCTTCTAGTAACATCAATTATACCAATAACCTTCCAAAGACGCATCCAGGCATAAGAAGTGATGGAAACAAAAGAACAGCAACGTTCAGAAAGGTGAGCATTAAATCTTCAGTAGTCACTGTTTCAGTAATTACTTTCATCACTATTATGATACGAGTGCATGATTCAAACAAAAACTCTGAACCATAGAGCGCAAAAGCACGGAAAAACAACAGCTCACTGGTGTGAGATTTACTGCGCAAAAGCACGGAATGAACCAATGATATATCGCAGAGCAAGATATATGCCTCATGTCTAATATTATCATCATTTGGTAGAGCTCATAACTCTTCCATGGTCCATCCTTCTTGTTGATGCGCATGCTGACAACAAACTAACGACTCGTATCATAGGCCCACATCAGACAAGCAATTTCCTAGAACCCTATATAAAGACATTATGTTTCCCTATTAAGGCTTGACCAGAACATGAAAGCATAAAGCTCCTAGGAAATGAAGGGATCATCTGATTCCATGATACTGATTATCCATGATCATCTGATAACTCTTTAAAACTGTACCCAGGCAAAGAAGCTTTCAGGTCAAGGGAACCAAGATGGCTTCACGAAACTTCACGCAAACCCACAATCGACACATTCTATTGTAGAAATAGTTATCAAAAGGCAAGATTGTACCAGGAAAAACCCAAGACTTAGCACAATTAATTATGAGAAGATGAGATTGCACCAAAACTCACAAATTCATAGACATAAGCTAGCTCTGTAGTGATGCATGATGAAGCCTGATATACAAATGAAAGATGCAAAGAAAAATTAGACATCAAGAGTAAGGCAAGTCAAATAGCACAAATGCTTTCCCAGACTATTTCATACCTGCTCGAGGATATCCAAATTTAAGTACTGTGCATGCTCTTGTAGGTTTCCAGAAACGCCTGTCTGAAATAGTTTCTCCACATGCAGGAGCGAACCAATGCTCTGGGAAAAGAGAGATTACTGTAATAGTTAAGAAGAACTCCGCGGATACCATTCAAGAGAAACTCTAACAGAGATCCAAAGGAAGACTTCAAGATTCAAAGATAAATCTATTTACGAACACACTGGATCACCTTGAATGTCAGCAGCTTACAATTTGTTTAAACAAATAAAGAATTGAAAAATAAAATGATAATATGATTGAGTAGGACTACCTTCAAGAAGGCTGACCAATCACTAATATTGCACGCGGAGCTTGGAGAGTTGAATTTCTTCAAGAAGTAATAGTTACCATCTTAGAGTTACAAAAGATATATAATAACTGCAGTCAACGTAGATATAATGCAATTCATCAAATAACATAGGATGCTATGTACAGGCATCCTTTCTCGTCACCAACAACTACGATTTGGATTACATGTATTGATGAGACTATAACAAAGCTGCAATCGCACTAAACTCGAAACTTTTTCTTGGAATCAAGAACCTAGGAGATATAAATCAGAGGAAAATCAGTACATTGATTTGCAGAAAATAAATACTAAGTAGTACCTTCAAAATGTAAGGAATGTCCTTGATTGACTTCAATGTTGCACGTAAAGAAGCCATTAGTTCTTCAGAACATAGGAAAAATGAAATCTAAGCACAATTAAGGAACACCAAATTCCATCCACGCCCAAAGTAAGATTTTCAAATGAAATTTAGTTCAGTAGCCTTCTTTCTTGGAAATAACAGAAGGATACAGCATTGAGACGACGATCTAACATTTCCAAGTCTAGTATGGGCCGCAGAAACCAGTTTCTGACGCATGTAAACCAATAAATTATTATGTTGGAGTCACGAGAAGAACTAATTAGCAGCATCTTAAAGAGAGTTTCACCTCAGAAGGCGTCGACCAACCGGAGTTAGACACTGAGTATGAAAAATTATGTCAGTCCAATCCACAAAATACCTTAAAATAAGTTCACCAAAATATGTATACATAAAAAATATAAATGTTTCTGACAAACCTTATTCATCATGCCAAATACAGAGAACCTGTAAGCCAAGAATCAGTACATGTTGATCACAGAGAATCAAATGCATGAAGACAAAAGTAAAGACCAGGGCACCGGAATGAGAAATTAGTAATTACCCTTCTTTTGCTCTACCAATCCCCATATGGCTAGGATGTTTGTCCACCAGGAAGATCTGCAAAGCCTCATGAGCTGTTGCATCAACTTTAAGAAATTTGTTTCTTACAGATGTTAAGGAAGTATATTAGTCACTCGATCGATAGGGAGAGGAACGAAGTCACTCGACCGATAGGGAGAGGAACGAAGTCACTCGACCGATAGGGAGAGGAACGAAGTCACTCGACCGATAGGGAGCTTTCAGAACCATTAGCATAATTGATTTCATATGGAAAGGCAAGACAGAAAAGATAGTAAAGGTATAAAGAAATAAATTGTTCCAGCAAAAAGATACAATGATACTTCTGCTAACGAGTCGATGGTAATTGATGGTCGCCCTGATTCTTGATGCTCAAGGGTATCCACAATCATCTCACTCTCTAATATTGCAAGAAGACCACCACTGGCACGAACTTGAACTTCACTATTCATATCCATCATGGAACTGAGCTGTGACAATGATAGAGAAAGAAACTTTATCCAAGGAAGCATCAGAATCCCACAATTTAATACTGTTGGGATTTATCAAACTACCAACCGCTTCAAGTCTCACATAAATGAAGTGAAAGGGAATTTCATATTCATGTTCTACATGATAATCTAGTCTAGCAAGAACTAAGAGAATGAATAAAAAAAATTAGAGATGGTTTATGTTCCCAAACCTCTGTTAATATCTTAACAAATTGGCATAATAACACAAGCATCTGACTGAAACAATGCAAACAATAAAGCCCACATAAAGTCCCAATTACATATAATGAAACAAAATTGAGCTTGGCATAAAATAGTTATCATGTTGATGATGATAACTTACCAGATTGAAAGTGCAGGAATAAGTGTAAACTTAATAGTTAAGGTATAAATATTCTATATGAATCTCGAAAAAGAGAGTGAAGTGTTTGCTGCATGCAACTTACGTAGCAGATCCTCTCCTTGATGTTTAACCCATCATCCATTCCTGTTACTCTAAGGTATATCAACCTATGCAATCCAAGCGAAATGTCAGCAATAGATCACCATCTTGCTTTTTCCGCTCTTCTTGTACAGAGGAAAACATTTTACGATAAGAAGCTATAAACAGGCTAAAGATAATAGCATGGATTATTCATAAGTTGACAGCGATCTTAATATGATTCATACCAGCCACCAGAAATAAAGATAGATAGAGGGAATCGGGATACCTGTGCCATGCCTGTTCGTAGCTGAATATAGAACTTTTCACCAATTTTAGTGTAGGGGCCTCAGTCGTGCCATCTGAATCACTATAGGAAGTAAATATGACTTACACACAACTAATTCAGAGTAAACCAGATAGAAGAACCTCATACCATTTTGCTGCAGGGCTGATAAGAAACTTTCTTCGCTTTTGGTGCTTGCATAGATTATCTGGGGCCTAGCCTGATACTTCACTGAGTCGCCATTGGACCAAACAGAAACAGAAGATAATTGAGACTAGAAATTTTTCGAAGAAGAATAACATATATGTCAGAAGAACTGAAGAAGATTGAATCATAAGTTTTCCCCCAATAAATAAACTTACAGGAAGCATCTTCAGAAAATACCAGCATGAAAAGTTGAAAGATAATTCAAGTAGATGGATCACATCCCATTAGAAGGCTTAGAATATGTACCAAGATCAATTAGGGGGAAATCATAGCTGCCATCTTCCCAAACTTCAAGGACATGGAGTTGACGGATACTCGAGTCGTAATAAGCAATTCCGACCCTGCATGGAAGATTGCAAGTGACTGCTCTGGTTATCAATCCTAATGAATCTTCAAAATGGAAACAAAGATGCAACAGCATAACCCTTTTCCACCATCACTGTGACCATTCAACTACCGCAGATCAAATTATGCCATCCAAGGACATCTTTAGAAGCACTACAAACACACACCATATCGTACAGATTTCTGAAAAGATTCCATCATCTCTACTCCATCTTAAGACATGCATATAGGAACAGAAGTCAAGTCATGCAAGAAACAGCTTACCGATGCCCATGCAGAATGCACGCCATATACACCTGCATTCATGTTCAAATGACAAAATCCAAGCAGTCAGCTGCAGAGACGTTGTAACAGAACCATATTTCCAAAACTTCAGCTGCTTGAAAGGAATGAACATTCAATTCAAATGATGTAGCAGTGACAAATTCAGTACATTCCATTAGAGAATCAGATCTCATTGCATCCTCCCTCTACCAGAATATCAACTACTCATCCACACATCCTTTCCCCCACACAGCAGATCTAGGTTTAGTTGATGTTCACAGGAACTCCCTAAGCATGTGCAATGGCAAACAAGCGACGGGCAAGTCCATGAACACTATGAATTTCTAAGTGGAAAGAACGTCTGTTGCAAAGAGGAAAAGAGCTAAGCCGAATCCACCGAACTCAATTCCAGAACCGGCGAACGGAAAATTGCTACCAAAACCAGTAGAATTCCTTATTGAAGTGCGACGACTTCTTTCTACTATGCTCTACCGACGAATTCGTGAATTTCGATTGTAACCGAAGAAGTTCTAAATCAACTCCAGCTGAACTAGGAAGGCGAATCCTCCGGAAAAATTAGCTGAGGTAGTGGTTCATAGACTACGCAGAAGCAAAAAAAAGGATGAGATAAACAGGAATTCGACCTGAGATTGGGTATCCGCTTCGTCCATTTCCTCATCCATTGCTGATCTTCGGAGAATTCAAATTCTCTAGTTGCTCGAGTTTAGCAGAGATGAGTCGCACAACTCGCACTTGGACTCAGAAACAGTATTGACCGTTGAGTCTTGCAGTAGAAGGAAGGAGATGGGACGCTTGTCTTTTCCCCATTATATACTTTTCGGTAACCACTCGCCCGGCTCTATTTGTTTCAATTAACCCAATGCCTTTCCTTTCACATTTTGCGAATTAACAAACATACCCCTCTACTATTGCGAATTAACAAACATACTATTCGTTACGTTTTAATAGTAGAAGGGTATGTTTTTCTCGTTAGTATCTACGAATCAATAAAATTATTTGGTTTGAATGATTTTTTAATTTAAATGAGTTGACCATGATTAAAGAAGAGAAAAAGGCAGAGGGGTACGCTGATATTAATATTTGCAGTTAATTTTTAAGCATCAGTCTTCCACTTGCATCTGACTCTACCCCTCTGAAAAGCTAACAAACAATGAGTTTGTAATCCACTTCGAGTGTGACGGTATGGAATACTGTGGATGTCGATGTTACAAATCGAGAGCGTGCCATCTCGAGCAGCTACTTGTTCAGTTAGGTATGAGTCAACAATCCCATGATGTTGAAGAACAATAACAAGGTGCATACGATCATCTGCTGACTTCACCACCAACCATATATATATATCACAACCTCGATAAGGATGAACAACAATGTCTAAGTTGAATTTGAACCGACCAGGTAGAGAAAGAGACCATATGATAATTTTTAAGAGGTTACTAATATTTACATGGATCCTCTTTAAACACGTTACTAGCACCGGGCCCGGCCTGTTGGCCGGGATAGTTTAGTATTTGTGTAGTTATAGTCTTACATATATGATATATATTGAAGACACATTCAATATATATTTTAGGGTAAATACAATTTAGGGTTAATGCCTTGACTCGAATTATGCACACTACTTCCTTGCTTTGCCGGATGCAGGTTTTGACTGGCAAATTCGACGGTAAATTCAATTGACCGTTAGTCAAGCACCAGGTCACTTGCCACGTCAGCGAACCCGAAATAAAAAAATTTGAATTTTGAACCAAATCCAAATTTTTTATTCTGGGTTCGCTAACGTGGCAAGTGATCTGGCGCTCGACTAACGGTCAATGGAGTTGACCGTCCAATTTAACGATCAAAACCCGCGCCGAACCAAGCAAGGAAGTGTGCATGATGCATAGTTCGGGCCAAGAGAGCAATTTTAGAAACCAAGGGCCAATAATAGAAAGTTTGAGTATAGTTTGGGCCAAAAGAAGGTATTACCCCTACAATTTATTAGCTAGATATTTCAAACTTTTCAAATTATTTTTTTATAATACTTTTCAAATTATTAGGCAAACATTTCAAAATACAAAATAGTAGTCAAACGTTAATTTTCTGCTAGCAATTTTGTTAGTAATATTGACTTGGCAACTTGATACTGACTTGGAAAAGACATGTGGAGATCAACATTTTAAAATTGTAGTATTTTAACTAAGAAAATAGTTACAAAATTACTAACGATAATAGACAAATGGCTAATATTTTGATGCGTTACAAAATATTTTACTAATATTTTTTATTTCGAAAAATTTGGTTAATAATTTGAAATATTTTGTAGATTTGACTAATAAATTATAATTTTCTTATATTTCGTACAATTCTTTATTGGAAAACATCTTGGCAACTCGTCAAAATATTCAAAATGTGCTAAAATATAATAAAAAGAATAGAAAAATTGTTATAACATTCAAATAAAATACAACCAAGGGTCTTTCACTATTTATAATTAAGGTGGACTACCTAAGTAAATCATTGAATATTGGAGTTACTTTCTATTATACGTACGTAATCAAACTTTAGTTGGGTTGTATATTGTGTTCGAGTCAATGTGGAGGATCCATCTTTTTAACCGTTAATGAGTTGTTGACCTGAATGCCACATCGAGGAAAACAATAATCAATAAATAATAGAAAAATCAAAATATTATCCAACAATTGTTTTTTTAGAACACAATAGTTATCTTGATCAAGGTTGTCATACCAATTTTTATTGTTGAATCGATTTAGCAAGTGATATGGTATGATCGAAGTAAAACTGATTTATTGAAAATCTATCTATAATCTACATTCATAAAAAAAAAAAATACCACATTACAAACAAAATGAGAAATCATATATATATGCAATATTTAATATTAACATCCAAATGTTTATCCAAATGTTTATACTTGAATCTAATAAGTAACATCATCCAAGTGTTTGATATTTGAATCCGAGAAATTCCTTCATTTTTGTTAGTTAGTTATACAAAAACGAAGTCATTTAGTTTACATATCGGAAATTTATTGATTCAGCAGGACCACTATTTTCTAGATTTTGACATTTTTTTATCAATTTAACTACTGTTTCATACCGGTGGTCTTCCAACTGATTTTTCTTAATACAAAATGAAATTTGTTATCACGGCCGAAATACCAGTAATTTGATCATTATGATTTTGATAATAAAAATAAAAAATGAAAAGTTCTCTCCCAACCACATAGTAACACAGACACGCTAGTGCTCTTCCGGTATAATCAAAATCCGCCGCCCTAGCTCCTATCCACCCCTCACTCTCACGCTCACTCTCACTCTCAAACCCAACCACCCCATGTCCTTTGAAAAGTCTCATATGCAATGAGCATATGAACGTTAAAAGAAAGTAGCGAGTGTCCAAATTAAGTGTGAGAAACAATCCAGATCTGACCTTATATATTGTCTATGGTCCAGACCGAAAGGTTAGAACACAAACAATGGATCAGACCATGTAGAGTACAATTCAAACCAACCAACTCCTGTGTGATGCAATCCAGACCAGGCAGACCCTGTTCAAAAGTCAAAAAAAATAAATTATCCTTTATTATAGAGTTCGGAAACTAAATGCTAAGAAACTAAGACCTTAGTCACTAATACACCAAGGATCCATTGACGTTTACTTGCACATATGAGATTGTTGTACAAACCAAGCTTAAAATCATCTACAAAAATACACGAATTGTCATAATTACTTGATAATAAAAACCAAATTTGTTACTCGATAAAAGAAATCAACCAAATAATGAAATAAGTGAGGAGAAATTGCACTGGAGTAATCCACACGATACATATTTCCACAAATGAAATGAATCCTTTAACAAAGAAGCAAAATAAAGTTAATTGGTTGAAGTCACATTTGATTATCACCTTTGATTTATATCACCTTTGATTTTTGGGTTGAAGTCGCAAAGGTAAAGGGCAAAGGTCAGGTGGCATGCATCTCTCCATTTGGCAAATAAAACTACACGTGCAATTCATGCACACATGACAAATGAAAAAGTGACTGATGTCTGTACAATAGACTCGGATCAAACTAAATAATTTGTATTTGCCCATCTGCTGGAATTAGAATCACATCTACTTTCCGTTGTCGTCATTCCCGCCCAAATTTCCATTACTTTTCTCACTCTTGGCCTGATTATGTTTGCTACCTCCTTTCGTTCTCAAACATAGGTTAGCATTCTCAAAACTCAATTCTAGCTTAGCTTCTCCACCCGCCATAAACTTGTATAGGCGGTTTTATAGAGCTTTGCCACCAGTTAACCATGCTTAGCAAACCCGGTTTCTTTGTTTTTGGATGAAGGGCAAACCTTTTTATCCCACTTCATTTTCATTTTAATGTTGACCAACCGCCTACTTGACTACTTCATTTTTCTCCCTTTTCACCAGAATGGGATGTGACGTTGAGCTGCTTTTGCTTCTCCATTGGCAGCAGAAACTGATGGCGGCGGCGGTTTGGCGTCTTAGACCAATGACCCCGCTACGATTTCAGGGAAGAAGAGTATCAGGCATGTCTGTTCGTTGATGCTGAAACGGAGGGGATAAGGGGGTTGTGGATCTGTTCTTTGATGCTGATATGCGGCGGCGGAACAGGGGAGACAAAACGCAAACGGGGAAGCAAGGGAAACGGATGGGATTGATCGAACCGGTAAACGGGAACGGTCTCAGTAGCCGATTATGACCCATTATTAGAGAGTGCGAACAAATAGTCTTTGTTGACAGGCCCAATACCGACGCAAATTGGTGGAGAGCAAAGCCCGGCGTACACATGGGCTGCAGTAAGTTTGATAAAACGCACAGCATAATTAAATGGAGGGTAGAATGTCGAGAATATCCTTCCGGGAAGTGCTCTGGAGCCTGAAAATTCAAAATCCTGAAAATTGAACCAATGAATATGCTTTATATATTTTGTAGATACTTCAAAATTCTCATAAAAAATTCATCCATTTCGGCTTAAAACCCAAACGTGTAGACGTGTGTGACAAGTAGGCATATGAACCTCCATATAATTTTTTTTTTCTAACAAAAGAGAAAAAATGAAGAATTTAAAATTTCCAGAAAAAAAGCACGAGCATCCTCCAATTTCCGCAACTCTCTCTCAACACTCTTTCCCCCGCCGTCTCTCTCCTTCCGCCATCACTAAACTAATGCCTCCATTCTCGCCTCTCACCAACTCTCATTTCCGCTGATCTCGCCCGCCACGGCAGGCTGAAGGAGAAGGAGAAGCTGCTGATATTCGCCAATGGAGTCTCCTTCGTTTGCCTCCAAAGCACGGACTGCCTTCCATTCTGCTGCGGCACGAGCCGAGCGCGTTCTAACCGATTTGAAATCAGACCGATCAGGTTCTCTCAGATTCTTAGCCCTTCCCCTTTCTTTCTTCGGCGTTCCTAATTTTCCGTCCTCTAGTTTCTCTGCCATCCTTTTTTTCGTTTATCTATTTACGGTCACGCTCTCAAAATTTATCCTTCACCCTGACTTTTTTTCCCACCTTTTTTCCCTTCATTTTTATTCCCATCGTCTGCAAGTTGTTGTTTGGGTTGATATTTTCTGATTGTTAATTTTCATTCTGTCGGCGTTTCCGTCGGAGTAGATGCTGACAACAAGCAATCGCCGAGGGAACAACGGAGGGAGCAGCCGGAGAAGCAGTCCCCGAGGAACGAAAGCGAGTCTAAGGTCAGCATGGGAGATGAACTTCCGATTTTTCATTTGTTTCGTCTTGGATTCCGGTGAAATGTAGGTTTGGATAATGAAGTTGAAAGTGCATTTTTGAATTTTTTTTTGTTGTTGTAGTTTTCCTGTTTGATTGCTGAGAAAATTTGAGTTGACGAAATGGAGAGGCGGAATCGTTCCATTTCTGGATTAAATTATTAGATGGCGTGGATTGGGTCAAGTTAGGGTTGCTTGTGCTTATGGGAGACTGACGTTTCTATCTTGTTTTTTTGTTTGAATAAAAATTCCCTTTTACTTATTCAGCAATCAAGCAGCTTAGTTATTGTCTATATAGAACGATGGAGATTTTTCTTGCCCACAGACGACAGAACTTCTTAATTTCCAGTCAGAAGCTGTCTAGTTTCTGGGTAGTCTTTGAGATGAATGAGCTTAGTCAAGGAGGGTGCGGAATTTTCAATGCTAATAGAGTAGTTTGCGCTTGGTGCAGAGCAACAATGAAGGGAAGCACTTGAGGTGGAAGCCTGCACCCATAGGAATCAAGCACGATTGGCAGGACCGATTTAAAAATATTAGAATAGGGAAAAAAGGAGGTGAAAGCCCGACAGAAAAAGTTGATGATTCACAGATGGCGGTTGCATTTTATGATGAGAATTTGTACATACTGAAGAAGAAAAATGATGCCGAGAACAAGGTGAGATACTTTGTTCGTACCCCTTTCATTGTCTTTCTCCGTTCCTTTCCTTAGGTGCTTAAGTTTCTTGTCCTAGGTTTGGAGATAAGTTGAATACCGTGCATTTTCCGTTGCGTGAGTACTTGCAAATTGAAGTATGCTGATGAGTGAATGGACTAATAGCTTGTTGTTTCCCTTTTTGATCGGATCAAACAAATCCTCTGGTTCTTGTGGGTTGTCATTTGTAGGCATCACAAGTACCTTACATAGTAGAAAGATTAAATGCCACAACTCCAGACAGCATCCCTCCAGCATCTGTCATGAAGCAATTGGCTATCGCTATTGAGTAAGATTCTGCTGTAGTTTTCCTTGATTGTCTAGTATCTTCATTTTCTCACTTTTATTGTATACTCCAAGTACTTCCTTGTTTGTACTGTTTCCATGAATCACAGGGGCATTTCACTAGAAGACACATTTCCTGTAATGGACAATTCTTTGCAATTACTTATGGTTTTGCTTCTGCTCCCTTTTTGTAGTGCGGGGAAAAAATACAAGTCAATAAAAGATCTTGTGGTGTCTTCTGGAAGGTCGCCAATGAAGGAGAGGGCAAGCTTAAGCCTTGCTGCTATGAAGTCATTGGTGCTCCGTGATAAGGACGAGAAGCTTGCATCTGAGTTTGAGAACCACGAGAAGGTTTTGTCCATCTTGCAGTCGTTGTTTGATGCAGGTAAATTGATACTTTTTTACCTCAATTGTTACTGTCTCATTTTAATTTCATTTTATGCCTACGTTTGTGTTTGTCTGTACTATTTTAGTCTATCCTGTGATGATCTTTCACTTCCATTGTAATATCTGCAAGATTCTCGCAGAGGCGGACTTTCTCAGGAGGAATGTCAGCTGTAGCGAGGATTCATTATCATTGATTAAAGACATTCATGGTGCTCCCCCTGGCAGCTTCCTGGTAAAGCTATCTGAAGTAATTGGAAGCTTTAGAACATTGCGGAAAATGGCCATCCTGTGGAACAAAATTGTTGCTGAAGTAAGTGAGCTATTTATTATAAATTCCTGATGGGTTTTCATAAAATACAATTCTGATGGTAATAAGGAAACTTAAATAACATGTCAGCTGTAGAACGTCCTGGGTACTATCTAGTCAGCTAGAAGCTTCGGATTACCTGTTTAAAGGGTTGGATTAGGAAACATCTGTGATTTGTCAGTGTCCCTATATCACAAAAGCTTTTATCAACATTCCTGATTATCATTAGTTGTAATGCTTACAAAACAACCCAGTTAATTATGGACATTTTTTAGACTTTCTACAAGTTAATATTGTTATTTAGATTATGAAGTTTCTTATTCAGGAAAAGGAAAAGCAAAATGGAGATACTTCATTGTGACCTTAGCCAGTTTAGCTAACTGTCTCCCATTACGCATGCAGCTCAGAAGACTCTGGGCTGAAGAACTCCATGTACCAGGCATCCCTCTGGATGAGTTTCCAGATCTCCATTCCTGCCTTCTATACCAGCAGTTTCAAGTTATCAATTGCTGTGTTTCCAGGAAAAAGCGTCATGCGATTGCTGCTGAATCAATGGAAGCTGCATTAAGGGACGCCAGTAAATTTTCTGCTGAATATGCTAAAGGTCTAAATGCTCCTGGGCATTTATTATATGCCAAAACAAGCAGTGGAGAACTTGTACTTCGGCTAGGTGCTGGTTCGAAGGCTCCTAATCTGTTTATGCTGGAAAGTGGTGAACCAATATACTCTCCTATCCCTCAGGTTTGGTTAGTTACTTGATCTAAAGATACTGGCTAAGAATCAGTATTTTATTTTTATTTATATCCTGGGTGTCCATGATAATAGGAGGGTCCTTTGCTTACCGAAGATCTTATCAAAGAAACAGAAGAATTTGTTCTTCGAACTGGAAGGTATGTACAATGATTTCTTTCTTCCTCCTTGCCATGCTTGAAATGGATGCTTATGTAAAACACAAAAGGACAAGGTGTAAGTGATGCTTTTGGAGGGCTTGTATTGCATAGTGGATTGAAGGACTATTCTTGATCAGTATTTGTGTCCTTTGTTGTCATCTGCTTATGATTGTGCAGATACTAGAGCTTGTATAATTTGTTTTTTACCTTATAAGCTGCATGTGAGCTTTCTCGGGATACTGATTTGAGTGTACTATGTCTCTTTTGTGGGCAGTGTTGGTGCTGGTTGCTCTCAATTACTCTCTGACATGCAAGGTTTCAAGGTAGGCATAGTACCCTAGTCTATAACAAAGTAGTTTTATTCAGCTTCCAATTTTGAATGTTCATTGTTGTAACTGGCTCGAATATGTTCCCTTTTTTATGTTAGGCTGCCAATCCTGGCTGTATATTAGAGGATTTTGTGAGATGGCATTCTCCTCCTGACTGGACAGACAGTGAGCCAACTGACGAGGCAAACGAGTCTTCTTCTTCAGATGGGGGCAATTCGTCTTCAACAAGAGGTTACTTAAGTAGTCGAATGCAGAAAGAAGGTATACCTTCGAAAACCACGTTATTTGAAGCCTGGATAGTTACTTATACAGTCCTTGCAAAGCTCTACCTATTAGTTATCTTCTTTAGATTGTATAACACTGAAACAATTGTTAGATAAAGTTTGCTGAGCTGGAATTGGGTTTCTTGGACGAAACCAGAAGTACTTGAAGTTAGCAGGCCTTTATATAGATGTCTCTTTGTGATGATGGCAGGAAACTTGTGGCGTGAACTCTGGGAAACATCTAAATCGGTACCAGCTGTTAAACAGGTTCCTTTGTTTGACGAAGATTTGGCAGTGTAAGTTTTATGTTAGCTATTCTTTTTCTCTGCTCTAAGTCAAAGTTGTACACCCTAAGCTTACAAAAACATCATGGAATCTCCTGCAGCGAGGGGATTCTGAATCACATGGAGAACATCAGCCCTTCTGAGCTTTTGGAACAGTTCTTCATTTCATTGGTAAGGAATCTAGTTCCACATACAAAAATTGTACTATGAGGCTCAATAGTATACTAGATCTTTGCAATCGCAAACCAATAATCTTGAATATTGTGATGTGTCCAGCTTGGTCTTGGAACTTTGATGGCCGAGGCAAAACTCTCTAGCAACGATGATTTATCAAAGCTATTCTATGACTGCAAAGACTATATTGTGGTCACTTGTCAAGGAAGACCCTGGAGTGACAAACTGGACGACCTTTGCCAAGTAAGTTGCTGATCACAAGCCTCTTATCATTCTCAACCCAAGTACTTGATCTCTAACCATATTCCAGCAAGTGGCTCCATCTTTTATTCAACTGTTTGCGCCACTTGGTACTCCTACTAGGCAGAGTATCGACGTCCTTGAATTCTTTGCTTGCATCAACTTACTTAGCTCCAGAGATCAAATGATTAAAGAACAATGCTTATACGTGCAGGTGTACGAAACAATCGAGACAATGTTGGTGAACCCAGATGAAATCGTCAAGGCAATGAAGCAGGCTGATGATGCCTGCACACCTGGATCTGAAACCAAGCGCAGTAGCTTCCCGAAACTGGGTCCGAACCCGAGAAAGCTGTCCCCAAGGCGCGAGAGCGGTTCAGATGATAGCCCCATGAAGCAGCAATTTTCGAATTTCTTCGAGGGCAAGTCGTCCTTGTTCTCGAAAAATAAGCCTCCCAAGCCAGGGAGTGAATCTCCTGGCGAGAAGACTCCGTCGGCAGAAGATAGTGACTGGACACTCGTTTAGAAAGCTACAGAGGGGGGAGAGTCATCCTACATTGCCAATTGTAATTATTTTTTGGGTTTTCCATCTCTTTCAGATCCCCCCCACCAAGGTAATGAAGGAATTCAGGCCTTCTGTACCCCAGTTTTTTGTTTTTGTTTTGTTTATAAGCTTGTTCATCTGTAAATCCACACTCTATTTCAACCTGATTTTGCCCCGGTTTTAGGCACATAGCCAGAATCCTGTTACTTTACTTGACACAAAAGGTGTTACAATACAAATTTAGACAAAAAGAAAATACAAAGAGAATCTGAGATTTAGCTGTAACTTTTGGTTCTCCTGTTTTGAGTGATGTTCTTCATGTTGCATCTGCTGAATGCCCAAGGTCATCGGAGGGAGGCCGAAGTCTGAGTGAGTTGTTTCCTCAAACCACATACGGGTTGGTTTTGGTATGTCATATTACTTTCCGTATAATTTTGATCATGCGAATGAATGATTATGATTTTAAAACCATGTTCGAAACATCTATTTATATCTATATATCTATATTATACTATATATTATGACAATTCAAAACCAATATCTTGCCACATAAGCATTTGGAGGATCCACAATTTGCCAAGTTGGACAACTTTTTTACAAACAAAAAATTAGTTATTAATGTATTTATAGAGCTACCTCTCTCTTCTTTAATATTTCCTTTTTTTTATCCAATTATTCTTTTTCATTTCTCCATTTTTTATTTTTTTTTTAATAATAAGTTATATGTTGATAAACTTAACCAAACACACATAAATAATAATTTTTTATCAAGTAAACAAAATATAAATAAGAAAACAGAGAGAGACACATATCACATTTGTTCAAATAAAAAATATATGATTAAACCTTATGAAGTAAATTTTCTACTCATTTTTACTAAAATTGAATGATAAGTTACATTTTGATAAAAAAAAATTAAACAACCATACACATAAATAATAATGTTTTTATTGATTAAACAAAATATATGAAAAGAGAGAAAAATACATATTTGACATTCAATTACCTTTGAAAAATAAACTATATTACTTTATATTTTGTTGCAATGAAGCACTCACTTATTCGTAAAATATATGTCTATAAAATAATACAATTATTATTTATCGAAATGTTAGAGTATAATCTTGATCGAGTAGTTACAGTTATTTATTTAAAAAAAGACTTCTTATTCATTCAGATCATGTTCTACCTTAAACTCCTCAAATGAAGAGGAATTGCATGTGCAATAATTTTATGATGTGTCCAAAGTTCACATTAATAATATTTACTCTAAACCATGTTTGATTGAGAAGCTCTATTGAGTTCCTAAGTTGTATGCTAAGAAATTTTCTTTTAGACTTGGAGTTATCGTCGATGATTATAAATAAAAATTTTCAAAATGACTTAAATATGATTGTTGACGAACTTTGACTTCATACCCCTAAGATGAGGCACAAGATTCCTTGAAAAATAACATATACGAAGGTTAGAAAAAAAAAATTGTTGAGAATCTACGATAAACATCATGTTTCATCAACTAATAACCTAGGCATTTAGTAAATATAGGTTGACAATTTTTAGTAAGATTGTCAATTGGGATAAACATATTTATCCAACAATCAAGTATCTTTATCCAATCATCTCAACTCTCAAAATTAGTTGTCAGTTCCTCCAAACTCGAGAAACACGAATTGATATATGTTGTATAAGATAATAAGTTAATGTAGATAATCAAATGAAATCCACCGCTATTGTTCAAATGATAAGACATTTTATATGCACCTGAAATATGTGTGTATTGTAGACACTCTATATCAATTATTAATATATAAGTAATAAAATCTTTGAAAATTACACATTCAACGACCATGTTTAGACCAAAGTCCTATATAGTGCGTGTAAGTGTCTTAGATTGAGATTCTAAGCCAACATATAAACAATGACCATGGGTTGAGGTTTAGTCTAAACGTCAAGAATTAACAATTGATACTATTGTATAATATACTAAATTTAAGTGTGTTGATAAAAAAAACTAACATCCAAAATGAAAATGAGTCGAGATTAGATAATTTTATCATCACGAGTGCTACAGTGTGTGTGTGTCAAGTTTCAATATGGTTGAATAAATTTATCCAATAATGAAAGTATCTTTACAACATTGGTCGAGACTCGAGAGTTCGTCCAAACTCGAGGATCATGAATGTGTATTGGATTTCGAAATGAAATAAAATCCCAATCCCTTTCGGGGGCTAAATACCCATGATCACAACCATAGGTTCCAAAGAGGAATGAAAAGAAGCCCAAAGAAAGCAAACCCCCCCCCCCCCCCCCCCCCCCCTCCAATACGATGAACAGAATAAAACCATATCGAGTTATGATCCTGTCATCCCTAGCCTTTTATTCTCCATAAAGGAGGATGTGGGAGAGGATAAGAAATAAATAGTAGGATCTAAGGATTTGTCTTTTTATATATTACATATCGAACGATAGACAACCCCAATGGTTGTCTGACGTTATGGGGGTAAAAGCGAGATCTCTATCCCGGGGGTGGGGGATAGGCAAGTAGCACTTTTATTCTTTTAATATGAGTATTTGGCGAGATAGGATATAGGTCTGATGAAGTATCTGGATATTTTTTAGTCTACTATAGATACACACACACATACATATATATAATATCAAGGGGTGAGTTCTACAGTACCTAGGGTGAAATTCAGGGTACCACATACCTTGAGTATGAAAACGTTATCAAAACCTTGAATTGACTGATCTTTCGGACATGATACTATACTCCAACCCTTAGAGATCAAAATCTATGTTTTAATTCTCTAAATCTTATACCCCAAGATCAATTTAATTAGAAACAATGATCGACGATTATGATTCGTCCAAATATAGGCAAAAATTGAATGCACCATCTTAGAGTTTATAGTTTATAATTTTGATAATTAGGACCTAGGATTCACTCATTAAGGGTTAGAGTATATTATTCGGCCCAAAAATTCTGCTAATTCGAGGTCTCGATAGCGTTTTCATACTTAAGGTATGCGGTACCAAGATTTCACCCGGGTATCGTAGACACCCCCCAATATCAAGGTATACTATACTTTTGATTTTACTCAAGATACGATAGAAGATAGGTATGAAGAAGTATGTGCATAAATTAGAGGTTAGAGAATTAAGGATTGGAGTTAACCTATTAGAGGTTAGGATATAGTATCATCCCCCAAAAAACTTTGGTTAATTCGGGATCTAAATAGTAAAACTCAATGGTCGTATGGTAGTGTGAACACAAAAGTATAGCGTACTCCTAGCGCACGCTAGCTTGAACTATATATATATATGGTGCCTTCTACGGTACCCTGGGTGAAATCTGGGGTACCGCATACCTTGAGTATGAAAACGCTATCTAAACCTCGAATTAGCAATATTTTTGGACATGATACTATACCCTAACCCTTAATGAGTGAACCCTAGGTCCTACTTATCTAAATCATAAACTATAAACCCTAAGATGATGCATTGATTTTTTTGCCTATATTTGGACGAATCATAACGGTCGATTATTGTTTCTAATTAAATTGATTTTGGGGCATAAGATTTAGATAATTAACACATAGATTTTGATCTTTAAGGGTTAGAGTATAGTATCATGTCCGAAAGATCAATCAATTCAAGTTCTAAATAGCGTTTTCATACTCAAGGTATGCGGTACCCCGGATTTCACCCTGGGTACCGTAGAACTCCCGGTGGTTCAGGCTAGCGTATGTCAGTCGTACATTGTACGCCCGTCGAGTTTTACTATTTAGAGCACGAATTAACCGAAATTTTGGGCATGATACTATACCCTAACCTCTAATGGGTGAACCCCAGTCCCTAATTCCCTAACCCAAGCCATGAGATTCATTTATTCTAAAAAATAATAACTGACGGTTCTGATTTAGCGAAATATATCGAAGTGTACAAATCAAGTGTGAACACAGGTGTACAACGTACGCCTGACGTATGCTAGCCTCTGCCATATATATATAATGTGTGTGTGGTTTTGGCTGGCGTACGCTAAACATTAGTGTTTCGGTTAACAAATTTTGACATAAGTTATAAATGGGACGTGAAAGTGACATCATTTATGATTAGAAAACCGAAGCATCACAAGTAGGTGTGCTAAATATTGGGAATTTTCAATATAAACATACTACAAACTCTGTTAAAAATCAAGAACATAAAATATTTAGAAAATAAAAAATAATTTAGACATTTAAATACGTTGATTAATATAAATTATAAAATAAATCTCACCGGCCAACGGGCCGGATAAAAAGCTAGTGAAATATATAGAAAAACGGGCTACACCCAAAACCGTTGCCATACCGCCCATTAGGGCTGGATTTTCGGTTAGATCGGTTATAACCGATAACCGAAATGTCGGTTACCGGTTAACCGCGACGCCAGCAGTGTCTACCGCCAACCGCCCGACGGAAACCATCGGTTAGCCGACAACCGACCGGTCGGTTACCGGTTAGTTGCTCGATTAACCGTGGTAACCGCAACTTCCTTCCGCCCTTCTTCTTCTCTGCAAGACAATCCAAAAGCAGAGGAGCTTCCTCTGAAAAACTCCGCTCCCTCACCCCACACAAAAAATTCCGCCAAACGCGGCCTTACCCACTTCTCCTCTCCCGCCATAGATTCCACCTCCTACTTCTTCCTCTTCTCCTCTTCAAAAAAGCTTCCATCTTTCTCTCTTTCTCTGCGGAGACCCAACAAATTAATGCTGCTACTGCTGCTCTGAAATTCTTGTGAGAACCGAGATAAAAATGGCTTTCCAAGACCACATGTCGCAAGAAATGGGCTTCCAGCCGCCGCCGCCGCTCTCCGCGGCCTCCGCAGGGCCTTCGTGGCTGAACAGCGCCGTCCTCCGCCGCGGCGACGGCAGCGACAGGAGCGAGAACGACAACAACAACAACCACCACCACCACGGCGGCGGAGGTGGGGAAGATGAGCTTCTGGACGGCGGCGGGGGAGTGGGGGATTGGGAGAGGGCGAAATGCAAGGTAACCGAGTGGCGCTGGGGCACGGAGAAGACAGAAGGCCGATGGCGGCGGCGGGGGTCGCGGCGGAGGTTGCTGCGGGGAAGGATTTGCGGCGGCGGACTCTCGCTGGCGGCGAGGACTGGTGTGGGCGTCGATGCAGAGAAGGGAAGGGAAGGAAGAAGTTTGATTCTGCAAATTGGGGATGGAAGACGAAGTCGAAGTCGAATTAGGGTTTTGGTGAAACGCTGAAGAGTGGGCAGCTGGGCGGCGTTTTGTGGGGGGGGGGTTGGCCGTGTCGGTTAGCCGGTTAACCGGCAGTTAGATCCGTCGGTTAGCCGGTTAACCGCCACCTCCAATATCCCTACCGAGCACCGCCCACGTACATTTTTTTCGGTTAGTCGGTTAACCGGTAACCGGCGGTTATCGGTTTAACCGGCCGGTTAACCGATAACCGCTAACCGAACGGCCACCCTACCGCCCATACCTACGGAGGAATTATTTATGGTCTACCGGTTTCATTAAATAGCTGCTACAGCATCTACCGCTTTATGGCCAAAAGGGCTGCCAGTCGCAGCTGGCTTATTTGCGGAACGAAATAAAGAGCAGTACTCAATTGGATACACAAAAAAGTCTTTGGCTTCTGATGGATACGGCAGTTTGCGGTTGGATTTAATGCCAAAATGCCATTTTCTTTGTAGGCTCAAGTAAAGTAAACTGTGGGTGGGTTTTGACTTTTAAAGCTCATTGGCCGTGGCCAGTCAAGACTGAGTCATCGGTCGCGATTTTGCGCTACTTCAACTTCCTCCATTACCACATCAAGCAGTTATGGTGTCAGGGATGAATCTCTTTATCTATACTAGTGTAAGCCCGCTCGTTATCGTTTTGCGTGTGAGCGAGGATGTGATATTAAAATTATTAGTTTAAATTTTGACTCAAAAGTAAAAAGCTTGTCATCTACAACTCCATGTAGTCGACGCAGAGATGAAATTTAATAAGGGAGAAGGGCCGTTGAGCAAATTATTTATATGTTTAAGTTGTAAACACAGGGTTCAAGTTGTTTTGATCATATTGAATAGGTTGGATACCCATAGACCATAGGTTTGTGTGCTCAAAAGCGGATAAAACTCGCTCCATACCAAAAACTTCACAAACACCGAGCTCAACTCACCTTGACTGGTTTCGAAATGAGTTTTTAACAATTCACATTCGGCACAACATGCCAATTCCAAAAGTAGATAAAAACGCACTCTCGATACAAAACTCGTTAGCCCCGACTGTGGGTTCAATTGCCATTCTTAACCAAAAGGAAAAGGAGAAATAAAAAACCATTAAAGCGGACAAAACTTACTCTCGATCCAAAACTCGTTTAGCTCGCTCTAACCCGGTCGAATCGAGTTCTTAACAAATTCACACTTGACCCAACCTGCCAACTACAAAAGCGGACAAAACTCGCTCTCGATATACAAAACTCGTCAAGACCATGGATTTGGGGTTCAATTGTCATTCTCAACAAAAGGGGGGAAATTTTTAAAAAAAAATACTAATGTTGGATTTGAGTCGCTTTGAAATCGTCAAGACCCTGAGTTTGAGTTCAATTGTCATGCTTGACTATAAGGAGAAAGAGAAATAATTAGAAAACAGTAAAGAATATGAAACTCGATCTCAATACAAAACTCGATCGGCAGCACATAGCATATTTAATATGGATTTTCGGTAGCAGTCTTGGGACACGGTGGATGGGTACAACTTAAGATTCGACCAATAGTGTTTGGAGAAGGGTTGTGAATTTAGTGGGCGAAGGCAAGGATTGTGCATAATAGATATGTTATGGATATTGGGTAGCTGTCGCCATCTATTGATTTCATCGATATTATTTCGAGATAGTTTGCGAATTGGTGGGGCAATGCGATGATTTGGGCAAAAGATCATGCACGGAAAACCTAATAAGTTATAGATGTAGACCTGTTACACAATAACTACTATAAGATACCTAATGCCTTATAGATGTAAAATGAGTGACATGCATGATTGTTTATTCGTTCATGCACTCATATATAGATATTGTTTGTTTGGTTTTTCAATTAGGGTACTGTTTTTATTTGTTCATGCACTCATAGATGATAGATGGTCTGACGATCGATCTCTTCGTTTCTGACTTTTACATACGTACGTGACATGATTTTACTGATTTAGAGGCACTTGTTTGTTTCTACACATGACAACATCATATATAATTCCCTAGAATTATGCTAAAATACGCGTCTGTCTCTGCAGCCTGTACGACGAACTAGCTAGCGACATTAAGAAGTTTTGTAATAACTCTATAGGACGACCACTGTCTGCTGTGATTTTCCATAATTTCACCACGCAGCTGCAGGCAGAGATAGCCAGTCGCTAGCTAGCTAGCAGAAGAAAGCGCTTCCCAGGGGAAGAGGAGAGCAATCGGACTGGCCCTATGCAGTCTCATAATAACGAAATGGAGAAAAAGAAAAGAGATCGAGGGCGCAAATGTTATAGTTGGGCCGTTGGGGCATGGCATTTACGCCATCCACACGGTTTTGGCGGATGAGAAGACAGACTACACAATGAGAGCTCGATCCCGTGCATTTAAATGCAGCAGCACTCCAACCAAGTCAACTTGGCCTCTTTTTCCTCCTCATAGTTCCCGCCCAGCAGCCCCATCCAATTATTATCATCGTCATACTGCGCCGCGCGCTTCAACTGCTGCTTTCTATATAAACCCTACTTCCGTTCCTCCTCTTCTCACAAATCTACACATCTTTCTTAAATCTTAACCATCATTCCTTTCTTTCTTTGCTCTACTCTGCCAACTGATGACACATTCCAAGCTTCTCCTCGCTTTGTTGCTCGGCGCCTTCTTGGTTTCCGCCAATGGCGCCAGGAACCTGCACCAAACTGCTACAGCTGGCTCCTTTGACGACGGGAAGAACCTGTTCCGCCGCCCTGGACGTGGAGGCGGGGGCGGCCTTGGTGGCGGCGGCGGCGGGGGGCTCGGAGGTGGTGGCGGGCTAGGCGGGGGAGCTGGAGGCGGACTTGGCGGCGGTGCTGGAGGTGGAGGCGGACTTGGCGGCGGCGGCGGCGGAGGCTTAGGAGGCGGAGCTGGCGGTGGTTCTGGTGCCGGCTTCGGCGGTGGTGCTGGCGCGGGAGGCGGGCTTGGAGGCGGTGCTGGAGGTGGCGGAGGGTTTGGTGGTGGAGGTGGCGGTGGTGCTGGGGGAGGAGTAGGTGGTGGGTCGGGGTTCGGAGGAGGAGCAGGGTTTGGTGGTGGTGCTGGCGGCGGTGCCGGTGGTGGACTTGGTGGCGGCGGTGGAGGAGGATTCGGAGGTGGTGGCGGCGGCGGGCTTGGTGGCGGGTCAGGTGCTGGGTTCGGCGGTGGGGCTGGTGCCGGTGGTGGTATTGGAGGTGGGTTGCCCTGAAGATGCTTGCAGAATTATAGCTCCATATTGTTGGATCATGAGTGTTGGATCATCATCATGATAAGTGTTGTCTCTTATCTATAAATGTTATGTTTGGTACGTACTAGAAACATGTTACCAAATATATATGATCAATTAATGTTTGTTGTAATTTAAGAAGAAGAAAAAATGCTACTTACCGTTGTACGTACGTTCTATATATTTACTCTAGCTATTTGTGTTCATCGTTATGTTTGTTCAGTGCTACGTATAACGTTGTATACCATCGTAGCCATTATATTCAAAGAAAGTAAACCTAGTGGCGTTGTGGGTTTCTTAATTAATATGTTTTTTTTAGCAAGTAATGTCAAGGTACAATAGTTAAATCCTCTATTCAAGACCCCAAAAAGATAATTAGTGAAGTCACCCTACAAAATCGAAGGACGCTATCTCTACATGGAACAGCAGCAGGACTTGTCTTGCCACTTTATGGGACAGCAGCTAGGGTTTCTTAATTAATACTAGTGTGGGCCCCGGCCAGTTGGCCGGAGGAAGGTAGGATGGCAATGGGTCGGGTTGGGTCGGGTTTTGCTAAATTCAAATCCAAATTCATGGGTTTATCCGTGAAAAAAATTCGGGGTAAAATTCACTGGGTTTGAAAACCTCAAACCCAACTCAACCCCTTGGGTATCCGCGGGTTCATGGGTACCCACAGGTTTTTGTCTTAAAAAATTTACAATAACAAGTTCCTATCAAAATTAAAGTCAAATATCAATCTCTCAATACAAATTATCCATATATAAAATACCATTCTAGAAAATTCAAGCAAATAACAAATTATCCATAAATAACATGATTAATTGAAAGCTTCTTCTTTTCAATTAAGTTTCTTCACTCTCCACTCGATAACATCAACTTCATTCTACACAATTAGAAAGAAAAAATTAGACATGTCTCCACAAACATAAATAAGATAAGTTGTTTAGAATATTAAATATATCGAGAAAATTAATTATATGGGTGTGGGCGGGTACCCATGGGTCGGGTTTACCTAAACCCAAACCCAACCCAACCCGATGAATATTGAACGGGTTTAAACCCAAACCCGGCCCAAAACCCGTCAACACGGATTTTACCCGCGTTGACCGGGTTGGGTCGGGTGGGTACCCGTGGGTTCGGGTTTTGTTGTCATCCCTATAGGAAGGTGAGGTATGAAATTTGATAATATAATGGGGTGTATAACTTATTGTTGTAAAGTTTTTTTGGGAAACACGTGATAAAAATAGTGAATTTTAGCAGGAAAGAGACATTAATGATGCAACAAATCAAAAATCGGCCTTATGAACCAACATCAAGTACCTGTTACCTTGTGAAACAATATTGTTTCTGGTAATATGATGAGGTGGAGTAAGTTTTATAGAAACTGAATTCCAGAAAATCGTATAAAAAATCGCCTATCCCGTCGGTTTTCGGAAAATGAGCATCTCACAATCGTTGCTAGCTTTTACTCGGCCCGTTGGCCGATTAATTTGGTTTATAAAACTTTCATCTTGTCGTCATTGTGCTTTCTGGTTTTTTTCAGGCCATGATAAAATCTAAGGAAATCAAGAACGAACAACACGATTTGAGATAGGAACCGTCGTTGTCGTATCCCTAGAAAATGGTGGTAAACACGGACTTACCTGCCAAACTGGTTTGGATTGAGATTTTTATCGGGTATCAGGGAACCATGTGATTATAAATTAGACTCGATCAAAAGGGGCCAAAACTTGAAATGCAGCCTGTTTGACCTACCCATGCCAAATTCTAATTATTCTTTACTTTTAAACTTTTTATTTGAAAATAAAAAATAGTGAAATAAAAGAGATGACTGCCATTTGCACATCACTTATTCGGGAATAAAATCATAGAAATTCAAAAGGAACTGAAAATGTTAGGATCGTTTTAATGTTTAAAATAACCAAATAGATCTTTCTGTTTAGTTTTTTACTAACAAATACCAAACGATTCCCTATAAAATACACTATGATTTGATCATTATGGTATCAAATAATTATATAATATATATTTGAAATGATAAAAATTGGACTAATTGGGTTGGTCGAGGTTGAACCATTGAATAACTTCAAAATACATTATATTTTAGCCACTAAGATATAAAATAATAGCATAATATATTATGCCAGAGAAAATAGCTTGTTTTAGAATGTCAAACCAATGATGTTCATTTGTTTTACTTGATGGCCAAATCCCGTGTAGGTCAAACCAATTCAACTCTTTTATTTTATGGTTAGCGGTTAGCCCATTAGATACCATGCATTAGTTTATTGTTAATTTTTTTTTATTTTTAGCAATAAAAAGAAGTATTGTTTTTGCCTCTTCATATATATTTTATCACCACGGAGAAATAAAAGGGCTTAATGAAAAAATTGACACTCTTGAACCCGTTTAAATCCGCATGTGTACGGTAAGTTGGCCCGTTCCACAGAGGAAAGAGGAAAAAATTGACACTCCCTATTCTATCATTCCTACAAACGCTCATAGAGCAGGAAATTTGAAATGGGGGAAGGGTTTTTTCCTCTCTGCTATTATATCTTTTTAATTTAAAAAGATGCTACAAATGTACTTAGTGTGATTGGTTATGATCTTTACTTTTCCTTAAAATGGTGATGGTTCGAATCCCACTACGTATCTTTTTAATGAATTAAAAAAAGTAAGTGTGAAGACCAAAATGTCCTTCCTACTTTCACTCTCGTTGCAGGAAATTTGAAATGGGGCTCCCGTTTTTCCCTTCGGTGTATTATATTATGTGTAGATGTGTAGCTAATGAAGTACGTGGGTTGACGATAGTACGCAAACTAATGCATTATCGTGGTTATCTTGTTGAATTTGAATCATCTTAGTTGAAGAAAATGATGTTTTCTTTAGTTTTAAAGGGCAAAAGCTAAATATGATTTTTGGCAAAAAGTAACTGATCAAAGCTTTATATATATGATTTTCAGGGATGGCATGGATGAGTTTTTCTCGAACTGCACATCGATATAGGGTTTGATTATGCCATTTTAGTTTTACATCCCTAGCTGGTTTTGATTACGAAGATGGTTACATATTGATTTCCAAAACGACAAAGTCAAAGAAGAAGAGACTTTAGAGGGTATGGTGAGACCTGAGTTGCAAATAAAGCCATGATGCTCACAAGTGGCTCGACGTTCGATTCGCTAGTTCAATTCGGTGGCTTGTTGAGCTCAACTCGCGTGATCTAGCTCGTTTTGAGTTATGTTTTGACTCCACAATGTGGCTGACGGCTTATATACGAATGACGAGAATTCATGGATTTTTATTCGACTTTTATCTTCTTCGTACTAACATGCGGATTTCAAATATTTTCACACAGATGCAACGGATTTGTTGTGATCTACAAAGTGATATTCATTTTCAACATATTTCGAAGAAAAAATTTCATATCACTCGTTACACATGATACACTCGCCAGCTTCATTAAATGTATATAGCTGCTCACTCAATTGGATTCACAGAAAGAAAAAGTCTTTGGGTTGTGATGGTCTGATGGAAACTGCTACTGCGCGTGCAGTTGGATTTAATGCAAAAATGTCGGCGTTGCCATTTCCTCTGTATACGTCTGAGTGAAAGTAAACTGTGGGTTAGCCCTTTGACTCTTTGATGCTCGTTCCCCCAATATTATTTAGGGCAATGGTTTTTTATTGGTTCATGCTAACATCTTGAAACATTATTGATGGTTTGACTTTTATTCATTATGATCTATGCACACATTCACTGATATTGTCGTCAGATAAACTTCGCAATTGTCAGCCTTCAGCTCAGATGAGATCGGTAGCTACGTGCATGATGTTGTTTTCTCCACACACACAAAAAAAAAAATGTTAGAGAGTGGTATAAGATTCAGCATAACCTTTTCTCAACAACTCGTGTTATAGAGATCGCGACCAACGAGTTTATGACATGGTGGTATCAGAGCTGGTTTGATCAAGTGGTCGTGTGTTCTAATCCTCACGACCTCCAATTATTAACAGTTAATTAAAGCACGAGGTATATGGTAAGCGCATGTGCAAACTTCAATCCTGTAAGATGACTTTCTCAAACTCAAACGTCTTAGGGGAAGACTGAAGAGGAGAGCAAAGGAATTGGCCAACCCTATCATAATAACGAAATGGAGAAAAGGAAGTGCACATGTTATAGTAGCTGGGCATGGCATTTACTACTGCATCAACACGGTTTAGCGGGTGAGAAGATTAGACCAGACAATGAGAGCTCGATCCCATTAATTAAACCAACCAACCAACTTCCCTTTTCTTCCCTCCTGATCAATAGTTCCCGCCCAGCTTCCATCCATATTGATAAACCCTAGCTACTATATAAACCCTACTTCCGGCGATCCTCCTCTTTGTCACGAAATCCACACTATCTTCTTTCCTTTCTCTGCTCTTTCTGCCCACGGATGACACATTCCAAGCTTCTCCTCGCTTTGTTGCTCGGCGCGTTCTTGATTTCCGCCAATGGCGCCAGGAACCTGCACCAGACTACTACTGCTGGCTCCTTTGACGACGGGAAGAACCTGTTCCGCCGCCCTGGACGTGGAGGCGGCCTTGGTGGCGGCGGCGGCGGGGGACTCGGAGGTGGTGGCGGACTAGGCGGGGGAGCTGGAGGCGGACTTGGTGGTGGTGCTGGAGGTGGAGGCGGACTTGGAGGCGGCGGCGGAGCTGGAGGTGGGTTCGGCGGCGGTGCGGGTGCGGGAGGTGGGGTTGGAGGCAGTGGTGGAGGTGGCGGAGGGTTTGGTGGTGGAGGTGGCGGTGGTGCTGGGGGAGGAGTAGGTGGTGGGTCGGGGTTCGGAGGAGGAGCAGGGTTTGGTGGTGGTGCTGGCGGCGGTGCCGGTGGTGGACTTGGTGGTGGAGGTGGAGGAGGTTTCGGTGGTGGCGGCGGCGGCGGGCTAGGTAGCGGGTCGGGTGCTGGGTTCGGCGGTGGGGCTGGTGCCGGTGGAGGTCTTGGAGGTGGGTTGCCCTGAAGAGATCAGCTGGTTGCTTGCAGAATTATAGCTCTATGTGGATCAGTGTTTGTTGGGATTTAAGAAAAGTGCTACTTACGTTGTACGTTCTACTACTCTAGCTATTTGTGTTCATCCCCTGTGTATGTTTGTCCAATGCTATTACTGCAATTCCTTTCCACCATCTTAGCCACTCAATGGAATTAATAGTGTAATACTACTCTTAAATCCTAATCATATGTAGAACTTGTACGTTGTGTGTCTCTTTATTAATATGTAGCTAATCAAGTACGTTGGTTGGTTATTGTACACAAAATAACTCATCATCGTGGATGTTCAATCGAATCTGCATCGACTTGGTTAAAAAAAATGGTGTATTTTAGCTCAAAAAGGAAAAAGGCTATGATTTTTTTGGCAAGAAGTCGAGAAGATAAAGAGTCTTTAGGGAGTCCAGTGAGATTACGACGGCAAATGAGTCAACCTGTTCATGAGCGGTTCGACGGTGTTCGACTCCGGAAAGAATTGTTTGATACTTAGTTCCTTAACTAACGAGTTAAGGTTTGGCTAATCCTTGTTCGGGTTGCAAGAGGCTCGTGAGCTACCTCGACTCGATGGCTTGTTGAACTCGACGCATGAGCTAGCTTGTTTTGAGCTATGGTCTGGCTCGATCCAGCGACTTATGATGAGCGAATCAAGTCATAACTTATTGATAATTCATATGTTTGTAAGATTATGTAATCATCAAAATTTTGAGTGCATGAGAAAGATGTCTCATTACAATTCAAAAGATGAATTATGTATCATTGTTCCTTTAGATACCGTTTAACCACTATTAAATACACAATATGTAAGATTAAAATTTATGAACTAAATAATATAATTCTCGAGTCTATCTCACAAGTTCAATGATGAACCGAACTCTGTAGAGCTCATGATGAGGTTGACCTTGAGCCAAGCACGAGCTAATGTTTTCAGTAAACAAGCTCAAACTCAACTGGTTTTATTAGTGAACTGAGATCAAATTAAACCAAATCTCGACTCTACTCGCCTCATTTGGAGCACTAAGTGAGACTAACCATAAGGAAAGAAAGGTACGTATGTGCACACGATACCTTGTAAGCTGTATTTTCCTATGCTTGGTGGTTCTACACTTCTACTGATATTCCAACTCTTGCGGGTTTTGAATAAATAATACATGCATCAAAGAGTGCACCATGATTATATTCATGAAGTATCATGGAGGTTAAGTGAGTAAAACTTGTTAGGATGAATAATGCAACAAGTTTGTCTCACATGGAAAGTGATATTGATAAGGGAACTTATAGGCCTTTTTTTTTTGGATCTTAATTAGCTTTGGTGTTAAATTCATGGAGATGTGTGTGTCCACAACTTGTTTCCTGTACTTGGTTTAAGAGGTTGCTTGTAAATGATATCATGTTTGAATCACCATAGATGTCTTCTTTATTGATTGATTCTTGTTGGTTCAAGTTTAGTTTCAAGGAATGTGGTAAACTGGTAATCTCCTTACTTTGTTTTGGCTGACAACCTGTCACGCATCCTAGAGAAGAGAGCGAAGCATTTTTGACCAATCAAAGAATGCTTCTTTTTAATTTTTAATTTTTTTATTGAGTTATATTTAATTCGTTTTAATTTAGAATTTAAATTCTTTGTTGCATAGAAATGACGCATTAATTAATATCTACACATTGATATTCATTTTGCTATATTTTGAGAAAAAATTTGTCTTCAAAACACGCATTGATTGTAGTATTATCACTATCATATATGTTATATCATGATCTTACCACTATGGTAATACTAACTGCATAAAATACATGACAATGTGATGTCATCAAATTATCTTGTCAACACATAAGACCTCATACCATCATAATATTATGATATTATAATTGTATCATAGCGACAATATCATGATATATATGACAGTTATATGATGTCATCAAATCATTTTGTCAAACACAAGACATCATACCAACATCATATGATTATCATATTAACATCATACCGCTGTTTATGGTAATATCGCGATATGACTTGTAGAGCATAAAAAATCTTATCTTTCTACGCATTTTTTTTAAACCCGATGAAATTGAATGAGAGAAGCTCTCTACTAAATCTCTAATTTCCCTTCTTACCATTTTATGATACAAACTATTAAATTTCTCTACCAAATTACAATTATTAAATCTGATCTTTAGTAAAATAATAAATTTTATTCTCTAACCTATTCCATAATTAATGTTAAACTTACGCTTCACTTTCCTCAAAATTTCAACGCCAACAATGGAAGGAAAATCAATTTGGGCAACCATGAAATATGGTCTCTTTTTTACAATAGAATAATTCGACGAATGGGGCCGTGCCACGTAGCCCACTCGCAAGGCCTATGAAGGCTCTACACAGAGATGGGAACGTGCTCCGAATCCAAGCTTCGCGGCTCTGACCTTTCCCCACCGTCTCCCTTTCCCTTTTCTCCTCGTCCCTCTCTCTCTCTGCCCCAAAAGGGTAACCCTACTTGCCGTTCGGCATCAAGCTCTTCCGTATTCCTCTCGGTTCCCTCCGGTCAAAGGCCCGCCGTCCGTCGGCACCTAACAGGTTCGTGCTCCCTCAGCATTTCCCGAATCTTTCCTGCGATCGCGTTATGTTGAAGATTATTCGTTGCGTGCGCGTTGCGTCTGAAAGTGTTTTTTTTTTTTGGTTCTGTTGGCCTTATGATGGATTCTGAGCGGTGAGAATTTCGTCTGATGAGTCTATTCGTTTCTTCTGATTGTCGAAGCGCAGATTCGAAGCTACGATGTTGGGCGTTCTCAGGAGTAGAGGCTCGTCTTCTTCGGTTAGGACATTCTTAATCTTCTTCTTATTATTCATTTATATTCGGATGTCTTTTATCTGGAGTTTACTCGATCTGTTGTGATTTGTGGAAATTTCGTTTTTTCTTTCAGATATTGAAGCAGTCTCTGCAGACCATTCGACCTGCAGCATCTACGCCTAGAGCTGCTTCTACTGCCGAGACAGAGGTACTTGTTGGTTCTGTACCATTTTTGCTCTTCTCTAATTCTTGGAGGCTTATAGGTAGGCTTTGTTGTCTATGTCGATTCGAGGAATGAACAGTTTTTAGGGTTGACATCCGAGTAACTGAATATGCTCTGTGAGGGAATGGGGGTTAGAAGTTACCGAATTGTAATTGAATCATGTGATTGCGGCTGGTGCTGCTCCCCAGTTCTGAATGAATTCATATCCTTTTTGTGTTGGTAAAAGTAAAGACAAGTCTGATTTGCAACCGTGTTAACAGGTTTTACTTGCTCCAAGAGGACTAGGACATGTCCGGAACTACAGTCGACTTGTTGTGCCAGGTAATATTTACTTCAAGCTTACCCCTTTGGTTGGTGGTTGTTTTTGGTGGATGCTGAATGTAAGGGTTTTTTTTTACTGTTACAGGTTCTACAGTTAGTCTGACGCCCAAAAGGTTAGTGATGCTGTCAACTTTTGTACTTAGTGATGTGTCGTGATAATAAATTCTGAATGCATTTTATTGTGGAAGATCAAAGATAACATAACATAAAACTTTGGGAGCCTATTTCATGTCATGCTGCTCAATCAGCAAGATTCCTTATTTCCCTGTGGCTTTGTGATTGTATTGTTTACTCCAGTGCTGCTGTTTCGATGAACTTACTTGTAGATGTTTTAAGAAAAGAAAACCGGTATTGTACTGGTTCTATACAAGTGTTTAAATATCTGGATAAGAAAACCGTATGAAGTGGATCAATGTCCTTGATAATTTAGATGTCAGTAGATTATGTCGCCTCCATACAATTAGATTTGCTAGTTAAACAATTCAGACAAGGAGAGTTAAATGCTGGTCATGAAATATATTCGTGAGTTTCTGTTCACTCTGATTCTATTTTATTACTGAGGTGTTCAGTTCTTGAATGCAGGGATGTCTTCTCAACAATTCACTTAATGGGCACTACGCAAATTTGGAGCAAGGGCTTTTCTTCTGATAGTGGTGTGAACTTGACTCCTCCCTTTTTGATTATTTTCCCCATCTGGTTATGCATTCATTAATGTCATGCCCAGCCAGCAATGTCCTCAATTATGTTACCATTTGTATTGGACCAATGGGAACATAGCATGCCTTGAATTGTGCAATGTCAGTTCTGTTTCTTAATGAGATTATAATTGTGCGTTAGTGCTGTCGGCTTTGGATATATGGAACAATATTTCTAAGTATTGAATTATATGCCATAAAGTTGTATCTCTTTTGGTCTGTTTTCTCATTTTCTAAGAGAAGTTATGGCTCATCCGAGTTCTTCTGACATTCTCTTAATGATTATCTCATGCAGCGGATTTGGTTGAGGCTGTTGTACCTTTCATGGGTGAATCTATTACTGATGGCACTCTAGCTACATTCTTGAAGCGTATGTTTTTCTTAGTCTTGCACTTGTATGTCCCGATTTGTAATTTCATTGCATGTGACCCTTGTTTCTGGTTACTTGTTTATTTGCTGTTTCCAGAGCCTGGTGACAGGGTGGAAGTCGATGAACCCATTGCACAAATCGAGACAGATAAGGTATTGTTCTCTAGTCTGTTCTTGCCTTTTTTTTCCTCCCTTCTTTTGGATAGAACCTGAAATTTGCATTGTAATGCTGATACCATTTATGCTTGCGCAGGTTACAATTGATGTTGCTAGTCCAGAAGCAGGTGTGATAAAGGAGGTATATATCTTTGTCTTTCCCAGTTGTCAATAATAAAAAATTCAGTTGGACGATTTTGATTATGAAATTAATGATCATTTCCTGTATGATAGTTTGTTGCCAAAGAAGGAGATACAGTTGAGCCAGGAACTAAGGTTGCTATCATTTCAAAGTCTGGTGAAGGAGTAGCTCATGTTGCTCCATCTGAAAAGATACCCGAGAAAGCTGCTCCAAAGCCAACTGAAAAGAAAGATGAGGTAAAGCAGACACCTAAACCTGAGGTTGCTGCAGAGAAGCCCAAGAAATCAACTCCAGCTACATCACCTCCTAGACAAGCTGCTTCAGAACCTCAGCTTCCCCCCAAGGATAGAGAAAGACGTGTAAGTTGTTTTCCTTGGTTCATGCTGTATATAATTTTCCTGGAGACGATCAGAAGTGGAAGTATATGAGCTAATGAGGTTTTTTATATGGCGTCTACTCATTCAGGTTCCAATGACAAGGCTTCGCAAAAGAGTTGCGACCCGATTGAAGGACTCGCAAAACACGTTTGCCTTGCTGACAACATTCAATGAAGTGGATATGTGAGTTGATATAGTTTTACTGAATCAATAATTTTGTTGACTGAAGCTGTCTAATTTTCATTCTTGGTCAGCCTAGTAGTACCTCTCAGTACAGAGATTTTTGGCTTGGGATTGTCATGAACGTGCATCAGATGATTACTGTAGGACCAACCGACCAAATGCTTCTAGAATTCTATGGTTCTTAATTGTTACCTTTTTCTTGCTCTTGGAATATTCTGCGTACCATGCATACTAGGTTCCCCTCCTTTCTACCCTGCTCAAAATCAAAATCAACCGATGGCTTTGTTTTGCATAACCTCCTTACTCGTACGGTAGGATAAAGTGGGGGTATATTCCTCAACCTTTCATAATTCCAGGAAAATTCTTTCTTTTTCCTTCCACATAAAGATAAGTTCATACTTATGGTCACACCTCAAATTTTAAATGCCAACACTTCCTACAGCCATTTGAACATTGACTCCATGCATCCATCCTGTTTATTTGTATTTTGTATTCTCAAATAGAATTCCTGTTAAACTTGAATTTCTTATTGTAGGACTAATTTGATGAAGCTTCGGTCTGAGTACAAGGATGCTTTTTATGAAAAGCATGGTGTGAAGTTGGGGCTTATGTCTGGATTCATTAAGGCAAGAATGTGATAATTTTGAAAGATATATTTCCCCAACATGTTCCACTTTCTTACCTCTTTTCTTGTTTATGGGATATTTCAGGCTGCAGTCTCTGCACTCCAGCATCAGCCTGTTGTGAATGCAGTAATTGATGGGGATGATATCATATATAGAGATTACATAGACATTAGTATAGCTGTTGGGACTCCAAAGGTTTGTCTTTATCTTCTTAATTGAGTAAACTGTTGTTCTGCATACTTTACATTTTTAGTAATTCTTCCCATGGTTATACTTGTTGATATTGCTCCAGCCTAGAGTAGTGAAGCTTTCTTCATTTAAGGCCCCATAGAGTTGATACATCATACATTCTTTTTTCATCAGTAGTGTGCTCCAGCCTGGAGTACTAAAGCTTTCTTCATTTAAGGCCCCGTAGAGTTGATACATCATACATCATAGTATTGGCGAGAAACAGTTGAGAAATGTGATCCTCGTGGTAAACTGGATCTTGCTTCTCTGAAATGGTGGTCAGATGTGGCGACCCTTGGTGTATTTATAATAGTAAAATCATTCACCCTCTGGTTCTGGTATATTTGTATTCTTGCTAGATTTCTTTGTAATTTTAATAGAGAAGTGCACTTAGGTCCCATTCAAGGGTTGTTTGTGTTGCTGGTTTATGTTAGCAGTAGGTGGTTGTCTATATCAGGGTGTCTTCCCAAGTTTTAATGGTAGAAGAAACATTCTATAATCTATTCTACCTGTGAAAGCTCTATTTGTTCATAGATCCCTGTCACTGGCTGATGACTTTTTTTTCCCCTTCTTCTGCTTGGGGTTCTTCCAGGGACTTGTTGTGCCGGTGATTCGCAACGCTGACAACATGAATTTCGCTGATATTGAGAAGGAGATTAATACCCTCGCAAAGAAGGCGAATGACGGGACCATTTCAATTGATGAGATGGCAGGAGGTTCATTTACCATATCTAATGGCGGTGTGTATGGAAGCCTTTTGAGTACTCCCATCATCAACCCTCCTCAGGTTCAGTATTCTAACTTGGAAAAGTTGAAACAATGGATGATATTTGGTGTGAAGATTTCATACACAGCCAACTTTATGGCTTTTGTGGACAATGTTCTCATGTTTTTTTTTTTTTTTTTTATAATGGTCAGTCTGCAATATTGGGGATGCACTCGATTGTGAGCCGCCCAATGGTTGTTGGAGGCAATGTTCTCCCAAGGCCTATGATGTACGTTGCTCTCACCTATGACCATAGGCTGATCGACGGGAGAGAGGCTGTGTTCTTCTTGCGCCGCATCAAGGATGTGGTGGAGGATCCTCGCAGGCTGCTTCTTGACGTCTAAGGACATAAACTAGAGAGAGTTGTGGTGGTGCCGAAGAACTGGTGAATTCTCTTCCTCCATCCCCTATAATGTATGGGGTTCGTTTGACAAGAAAGAATAAACAGCAGACTTCATTGAGACCTGAGCAAAGTTTTGTAGGGTTCTGTTTGTTGGTCCATATAAAAGTTGAGTTTTTTCCTCAGTAGTCAGTACAGTAGAGGGCTTTTGCCACGACTTGGTCATGGATCAAGAACAGTCGTGTTTGTAGCGATTCAATATTTATTTTCCCTGTTGGCCTCTGCTTATACGATGGAGTATTTAACTCGGTAAGTGACATTGGTAAACATTTGCAAGTGCATGTTTCTTGTTTTGCACAATGATATTCTTGAGTAGGGATGAAAATTCAGCTCTGACTCGTTTTATCCGACATGATTAGGGGAAATACCCCATAGTTGAGATGGGCAGAAGAATACTATCCTCGATCTGATCCGTCTTGAATTCACGGTCAGTACCTAATGCTCGTCTTTCCTCGGCATTTGGAACTCTTTGAGTATCGAGTGCTATTATGCAGCATTGATCCAACTCGTTTTACCCGGCTTGTTTTGAAGCGGATAATACTCATACCCACTCCGTAATTGAGGTGGGCATAAAAATACTATTCTTGACCTAACCCGTCGTGATTCCGCTTTTAGGACTTAATGTTTGTCTTTCTAATCCCCGACACTTGCAACTCTTTTTAATTTACCAATCTTCATATCGAGTATCAACTGCAATTACGCGGCAAACAGTTCCCTTCACGCACGTCAAGAATGTACTTGAGTGAAAACGAAACCGTCATTCCTCAAACACGATGCCAAACTACTCAGCAGCTATGTCCAATAACTATTCTCAACCCAGAGTGACGGAGTCTTGTTCCAAGTCATGTTGAAAACAAAGATTGTTGTTGCTCAAGCCATCCTGCGAACCGGTCTGGAGAGCATTGAAAAATCTCCAACGGGTGCAAGCAGTTCTTGAATATCAGATCCTGACTTCAATGCCATCTTTCCACAGGTGTTCTTTCACAGACCCAATGGGGACCTGGAAAAAGAAGGCCTCAGTATAACATTATGGCAGAACATCTATCAAAGAAGGACACTTTCCCAGAGGGATAAACTGTATGATGAGGCGTGTACCTCCTTCCTGTGGAAGATGCCAGCAGCTAATGCAGCGGACGCGTTGGTTTTCTTGAACACCTCTGAGAAGTGTTCAGCAGCACCTGCACCACTACTGGCGATTACAGGGATACTGACAGCATCGGATATCAACTTTATCAGGTCTATGTCGAAACCTTTTCCTTGACCTGTATGGGAAGCGGGGAAAACATTATGTGACAATGTCGGGAGAGAGGCATACACTGGTTTCAAACGATACGTAAATCACAGGGAATTTAGGCGATGTGGAAACTCACCATCGCAATCGATGCAATTCAAAAGGATTTCCCCTGCACCAAGCTCTTCAACTGCTTTGGCAAGTTCATATGCTCCAATTGGCCGGCCTTCTCGACCACCACTAACCTTCAAGAACAAGTACGAAAATGGGGCGTGAAAAATCACATCGGCACAGACCAATCAATCCCCTGAGAGAAAGGCTGGGAGTATAAGGGTGTTACCGTGCACTGATACCAGGCGTATTCCTCTCCATTTGGACCTAAAACCATTGTTTTACAACCTCATTAGTAAAGAGACGTTTCTTTTTTATGAATGGTTTTACAGAGACTAATAAGGTAGAAAGACTATTAAGTATGTTCTCTTTTCACCTGGGCTTGTTAACTTTATTGCCTTGAACTCTACATCAGTAGGAGTACTAAGGTACACTCGTCGAGGGTCAATGCTGACAACGACAGCCTGTAATAACAACCAGCTCAAGTCACTGAAGAGAATGAAGCATATAGTTAAGCCGTCACAATCTATGCTAAGGAATCAATCACAAGCATCCTAATAGTGCCTGCAAAATCCTCAAAAGATGGCCAGATCATGCTGATGATTCTTCGAATTAGGGTCATATCAAGGCCTACTCCAGAGTCCAGATAGAAACTTTGTTCTTTTCTTCAGGGAAAATTTCCATTTCAAAGATTCATTTTCACACTGTATACGGGAAATGTAGGCGAAAAGAATCAGGTTACCACAAATACAAGCCAGGAAAACATTACCTGATTTCCATAAACTCTAGAAATCTGTTCAATGCTGGTCTTTCCTGTCTTTACCTACAGACGGTTGAAAGAATCTTTCAAATATGCAGAAATAAGCCTATTGATATATGCATGAAAACTGTTTGCCGGCATAAAGTACGGTAGTTATCACCTACTTTAGTTATTAAGTATTCCTCTGCAGCATAAACAGCATCACTTCCGATGGAAATCTTATCAGCTCCAGACCTGAAATATTCTGAAGCAACTTCCAAGCTGGAGTAGTACCTGAAAAGCGAAAAGAGAATAAAGAAGATACCTTGAAGATACCTGAAAATCAAAGTCTATCATGTACAATTAGCGAACGTACTTGCCGGTTGAATCGGTAAAATCTCTAATGCCACCTCCAACAGTCAATGGTACAAAAACATTTTCCGAAGTGTTCCTCAAGACCTAAAAAATGCATTAAGCAGATATAACTTAAGAGGGTTGTGGACACACTTCAGGGTAAAAGAAGAAAAAGAGCTCTTCATTTGCACACAATTAAGATGTTAAAAAACCAACCTGCAGCATCGGCAAATCGCCCAAAGGGAAGTCACGGAAGCCAGTGATGTTCAAAAAACTAACCTGAGTTTGAACATGCATTAGTTAGAACTGGATCGAGTTCAATATTGAATCATAATTATGATACTCTAAAATAATAATAACTACTACCTCGTCAGCCCCATCTAGGTAGTACTGCCCGGCTAGCTCTACTGGTTTGCCCAGGTTTCTCACCTATACGCCATAAATTGACATGAAAAGTAGGCTAAAATAGAAAGAGTAGCCATATCTGTTTCATAGTAAACAGTATCTTCAGGCATCAAGAATTCAATTGCAAGACAAAACATAACAGGACCAAAAGTGTTTCCTAAGGTAACCGAGGAAGCAGGAAGGGAATTCTTGGTGAGCCACAGTGTGTACTGATGTTTGTTTTAACTAGATCAAGTTACTGTCCACATATCGCATACCAATTTCTTGAACTCATAAAACAATCCCCTGACCATACCTCATTCTCTTCTGTATTCTCCCGAACATCATACTGGTCTCCTTTGGTCACAACCAGGTCTCCTTTGTCATTTGCCCTCACGTCAAGACAAGCAATTACCTGAACCGCAGCAACCAGAATGTTTCCAAAAAAGAATGTTTCCAAAAAAGGATATATCACATTTGATACATTAAAAAGAGACAAGGTAACCAGAATACGAATGTTTTACTGCCTCCAATTCATCTTCACAGAAAACCACCATCACTATGTAAAAATAACTAACTGAAGCTGGTTTCAGAAGTTAATACCCTTTTTGCAAGCTTTGATGCCCTCCCGTCAGTTGGCTTCTGTCTTCAGACAAAGTTTGCACATAGTTAGATGGATATTCAAGATGGCACATTATGCCGTGGTGAATTTCAGAGGTCATAAGCTACCTTGGGCGGAAATGATTTTGGAAGTAAGAACCTTCTCAATACTGAAAGACCAACATCTGCAGTTTTTTATTCAACCACTATTGTAGTCAGCAAGCCATGATAAATTATCTTAGACAATTTGCAAAACAAGATGGGCAAAAAGATGGCAAAAGTCTCGAAGCTTTTGGACTCACTAGGGAATGAGCAAAGATGAGAAAAACTAGTTACCTCCACTCTTTTCTGGATGGAACTGAACCGCATGCACATTTCCCCTTCTGACAGATGAAATAAATGTGTCACCATAATTACAAGTGGAGGAAATCCACTCTTTATTTTCTTCTGACTGCCAAAGCATAAGGAACCGGTATTAAGTCCCAATATGAGGTGCAACAGAAGATATACGATCGACGAGAAAGAAACAGGCAATCCAACAGATTCTACAAAGTAAAGTAACAGGAAGGTACCGGCAGTGCCCGGTAAGAGTGGACAAAATACACATGGCGGTTGCCAATTTCATCCAGAATCTCAGAGTCTTCAGCAGTTTGCAAAGCATCCCAACCAATGTGGGGCACTCTGAACCCATTTGAGGCATCAAACTTCCCAACCACACCAGGGATTAAGCCGAGACCAGTCACTGTGTCAGCATGAAAGCAGCCAGAGATATTAAAAAGCTGAGAGTATAGGAAAGAAGCATACGTTCAACTACATCATCATTGAACATGGACTCATTTCATCCACATGTATACTAGTTTTTCCTTAATTTTTCTATCAACAAGCTATTTCACATAAGTACAGGCCCTCCCCCGAACATCTATACACGCAATTTGCAATTGAATGTATTAATCGATATCATAGCTTGGCACCGGACAATCCAATATAACAAAAGAGGTTGCTAAACCAAAATGGTAAAGTAGACAGAAACAGATGCTGTTGAAGACTCATACGCTCCAAAAGAATCTAGCTTTATCCAGTGGTCGGAGTTTCCAACTGACCTGGACCATTCTCTGTGCTGGACTCAAAAAGTAACTGAAGCCCAAGGCAGATTCCTAGAAATGGACGGTCCTTCTCAATGTATGCACATAGAGCTTCAGCCATTCTGCAGATACATTAATCACACAACAAACAAATAAAGACAAATCGTCAACTACCCTTGAGAAATTTAAACCCCCAACACAGAATTCATTCAATTCAAGTTCTGAACTCCCAAATCATAAGATTTTCCTAGAAACAAATGCACTGGGAAGACTTTGAAAACACATACCCAGTCTTATTAAGCACATCCATGGCTGGTGCAAATGCCCCCACGCCAGGGAAGATGAGCCGTTCTGCATTCAGAATGTCGGCTGGAGTTTGCACCTGAAGTTTTGTTTACACTTATCAGTTAGTTTCCTCACTATAAGAACAAGCCAATTGTTCGACATCGAGCAAATAGAAATTGAAAAGCTCACATCTTTAATCTGAAAACCGAGATGGCGAATGGCGTTTCTGACGCTACGGACATTGCCAGCTCCGTAATCGAGCAGAGTGACGACTTTCGAATGGAAGGGCATAGAATCATTAGAACCGGAAGTAAACAATAAATAGAAGCGGCATCCCACAAAGAAATCGAGAAAAAGTTCAGCACACTCGAGCTTGGGAATTATCCATGGATGGGAGAAAAGGGGAGTACCGGAATCGCTGGGAGGGAGGGAGGACGCGCAGACACAGAGATTTCTTCTCGGGGACGATTTAAATTGGGCCTGCAACTGAGCTTTGTGGAAATCTCTAGAAAGTGAGAGTAAGGAGGGTAAAGATGAAGACAAAACAGTGGTAAGTCTTGAAGGAGAAGTTGGTGAGGGAGCAGACGAAGAAAACGCCGCCGCCGCCATGGAAACTGAACAGAGCGCGCAGACTGCTTTCCTTCGAAATTAGTTGCAGTTTCAGAAAGCGTTCGGGTTTTTCAGGCAGAGATAACGACGTCGTTTATTGGGGATGCCTAAGCTGCCAAGCTGGATAAAAAAGAAGAATGGAGGAATGTAAAATTGGACCATGTGGACATAAACACGAATTAAATGAAAAAAGATGGACTCCATCTCGGGCCGGCCCAGAAGATTTTAGGGTGTGGGCCTAGCCGTCACAATCCAACAGAAAGTTCCACAAACCTTTCTGGGTGAGTCAGAATCAAGACAAATCAGGACTTGGACCAAACGGGACGGCCCAGGGTCAATTGAGGTGGGCTCTAACCAACCCTCATGAACAGCCCAGTTGTGTAGTACATGTATAAATGGAGGGAAATGCACCATATTTCACCTCTATCATCTTCAGACGAGTGGACAAGTCGAGCTCGCATGTATAGAGCTGAAGCAAACATTACAAAAAAAAAAAAAAGTTGTGAATTGATTCGCAAATATTGGTTGACGAAACTCGATGGAATTCTTTGAGCATATCGAACATCCTATCAAAGAAGAAATGTGTTTGAGTCATTCCTGAGAATATATTTTCAGTCCCGAGAAACTTACAAATCGGTCCTATCATGAGTGAGAAAGTTCTTAAGGTCGTTTGGATCAAGTAATTTTGATATGATATTTGGTCAAAAATAGCAAGTTTGGTTTGGGGGGAAAAGGATGCAACATTTGCACATATTATTTTCCAAAGACCACAAAATAGTTTTTTGACAGATACTCAGGGAGGGGGGCTTGTATTCTCCAAACAACAAGCTATTCTCTTTCCTTTTTTGTCCAATTATGTCATCATAATTTTTTGTAACTCCCAAACTACCCTTTGTTTTATTTTGTCCGTAGAATACACATGTACACATTATTATGGGTTTCTAAAACTTTCATTTCAGTATTACTGTTGAGCTTTAATATTTCTTTTGACGTTTGTTTGATGTTTCACACATAACACATTTATAATATTTTATAACTAATGCAAACCTTTTTAACACACTATTATATTAAAACATTGTATAAAATCAGGGGCGGAGCTAGGTGGGCCTTGGGGGGCACCGACTCCCCCAGAATTTTGAAATCACGTACAAAATTTATCGAACTTAGGGTAAATTACGTATAAAATGAAGGTTGTTTAATAAATATATGTCGCGTACAACTATAGAATATGGATCTGAAGGCAGTCTAGCGAAAAATGACACTGCATGTTTCTCTAGTTAACCTGGGTTCGAGCCTGGATGAAGGTAAAATTTTACTTTTTTAAACTTATTATAGCTTTAATGTTTTTTTTTACAATAAGCTTTAATGTGATGTAACCGAAGGCAATAACTTTCATAGTTTGTAATTACATGTCAAGTGCTTTGAAAATAGTTCCTGTAACTTCTTCAACTTTTAAATTCTTATTTTTAAAGAATATCTTAGTTATATATTAATCATTGCATTTAATCATATAACTTTCTAAATTTGTGTTTATAAGTCATGTGACTTCAAAATAGATCAAGTAACTTCATCTAAATTCTTATTTCTAATAAATATTTTATTTATATATTGGTTATTTCATTTTTTTCAAACAATAATACTTGTGAACATTCATTTTCAGTTATAAAAATACAGAGAAACATACTAGACGGTAATATGCATGATTAATTTTTTGCTCATAGTTTTCCTTGTGTCATTGTAATAATAGAAAATAAATTATTAATTTTTCTTATAATAATTTTTTGTTTGTTTTTTTTAGTTATACGCTAAATAGCTCTGCCCCCCTCCCCCCGCGATCGTCAAATCCTGGCTCCCCCCTGTATAAAACTATGCACGTATTAATATCTTGACCAAACGAGAAAGAGATGAATTTAAAAAGCACAAATCGGTAAAACAACCTATTTAAGTGTACATCAACCACACCACTACTTAGAATCCATCTAAACATAATTTTTTTGGTACTACTACCATAGAACAAATAACAAGTAACTGTGACATGTGTCATTTGAATGGTAATTAGCTCCAAATTAAAGGTTTGAAAAAAAATACTCAAATAAAACTGAATCACCCATTGGTTAGGTGATGAAGAACATGTTGAAGGAGCACTGTAAAAGCCAAGGAGGAGTCATCCAAAAAAAAGGTCAAAAAGACCAAAACGCGCGCATGCTAATTAAAAAAAGGAAGAGCTCCTGCCTCTGCCTCTGCCTCTGCCTGCCTGCAGTTTCTTCTTCTTAAAGGATTTCTGGTTCTCTGTTTTTCCATTTCTTTTTGTTAATGAGGGTTTAGATTCATTGGAGGAAGACGTGTGCTGCCAAAGCCCTTAAAATTAACAATTCCTGGAGGAAAGGCGCATGGCATGACTGAAGGTAACTTATATCTTCCCTAGAAAGTACCCAAAAAAAAAAAAAAAAAAAAGAAGTTGTGTGCAAGTTTAGTTTAGGGGCAGGAACATTGTCCCTAATCAGTATTTTAATTACTAATGGTATTCCCAGTTGGCGTATAGCCGATAATACGTTGTAGATTAGCAACACTACTTTTTCGATTAATCAAATAATCGATATATATTGATTTTCAGATGGATTAATCTCTACAAGAACTAAAAGGTTGATGTAATACGACGGATCATCCAAACAACCAATTAGTATGAATAACTTGAATTACGAGAAGATGTCACAAAATCAATATTTTATACAACTTTCTTACGATCTCGAATTTTATTACTTTATTATTATTAACTATAGTACTGCAAGAAACTTCTTTTCTGGGTTTCTTTCCCACAGTTTTATGGCCCTTCATTGATCATGATCTGGTTTAACTTTATAATAACTACTTCAAATATTTGAATTAGTAGTGTTAAAGATTCAAACAACTTCATCATTTGAATGACTACAACAACATACAAATGCTTCCCGAGTGTGTCCCCAATAGAAATCAAAAGCTAACTCCACTATAAACTCAATTGCTATATAATATTTACACATTTTCTTTTTGTTTTGGCAAACTAATCTACAAATCCCAACGTTCAAATTAAAATTTTGAAAGAGAAAGATGTGTCCATAGCTCAAGATAGCACACTTAACCGGTCAAGAGTTTCTGAGTTGTGTACCGATTCTCGAAACGCTCGTGAAATCCTTCACAATTCATGCAAAATTACCAGTCCTTGATGATTGAAAAATAAACTCCCCGAGCCGATTACTGCGAACAATATTAGAGGTTTCGAGCACATCTGACGGTGCGAATTCAACTACCGCGTCGAGGAATAAGTTTGTTAGCAGTGAAACCTCGCCTCGCCCCACTAAGACTATAGTTTAGCGATTAGTTGAGACGGTCTGAATAAGGTGTTCTGTCTGGGCAAGCAATCAACAAAGCATTGAACGTAAATGCACATGAAACTTATGTGGTCCACACTATCACTAACACAAAGTTTGCTAGCTGGTTTACAGACACGAGAGAACATATTTGACTTGTTTTATAAGCGACTACACATGCTACAAAATACAAAGAGTTTGAAAATTTTGCATACGATCCTTCATTTAACCATAAAAAGAACGGACGAAGATAGAAACCCAATTTGAACGAAACTCATACATTATCTGGCTAGCCGTGCATTGCACCCCAACCGCCCCAAATCGAGCGCTTCGCCCCCCTAATCGGCCAATCCCCCTTACTAATACCACCAGTATAGCACAAATAAACAAGTGCAAAGCATCTCAACATATGGTCATGAACACAATTGATGAAAAAATAAGAATCAGCCTGTTCTTATCCAACAAACTTTGGAATTTTCCACAGAAGAGAAGTTGGGAGGAGAGCAATAATGAAAATGGAAAGGAAGTATGCCAGGAAACAGATTAGTGAGTGAACAGAAAGTTCCTCCCGCAACTGTACAGCCTAGCAAGCAGCCCGAGGGTGAAGAATGGGAGAGAGTGGTTGGTGCTTCAATATTAGTGGTGACAGACAGACATGAATTGAACTTCCCAATTGTGTTTTTTTCAATTGACCCTTCTCCCCAACAGCCGCCAGCTTAATGTCTTCGTCGTCTTTACTTACTACAGCTGCTGCAATTTGCAGGTTCTTGAAAGGTGGAGGGGCCAAATTTCACCACCGACTTTGGTCTTCGATGTTCACACTCTGGCCTCCTAATTCACTAAAAAAACTAGCATTGACTCATCCTTGGGATCTGTCCAAAAGTCGCTCTTCAAAGTGTAAACAACTCCAACTTGTGCTTCAATTTCTATTGCCTCCGTAATTCTCTGGTTGACTCGAATGCTAAAGGAGAAAACAAAAGGAAATGCGGCTGTTAAGGCTGTTCGCACTTGGTTATGACTCTTGGCTGTGGATTTTTGGGGCCGTGAAGTAGTCTGTTCATGAAGTAACAAGAAAAGATCCTAACTTTATCTCGATCGATTATGTGGGTAAAAAATATTAGTGAATCTGACTTTGTTATTTTCTAAGTGGTTGTGTGTGTGATATACCAAATGAAGTCCATTTTAGTAAGTGGGTAACCTAAAGGCAAAGTTGCATAAAAATATCTCTGAGTTTTGCTCAAAAAATCTGTTGCAGATTGTTGTTAGTCTACTATGGTTTGTGTTTTTGAAAGTGACATGATAATGGGATTCCTCTGTTTCGACCAAAACAGAGCAATACGCCAAATATTTGGGTATTGGGTCTGCCCTGTTTTTGCAACTGTTGAGCTTTGATTTGTACGTACGGGGAAAAAAGGAATATGATGCAGGGAATGATCGAGGAGCAACCAAGGATTTTGGTGTTGAAGAATCTGAATTATCATTAATGTTGCTATTTTCATCAACTTGGGTTTTAACTACAGAATTAACATCTCCACTACTACTAATGGTAACAATAACGTTATCAACGGAGTCAAATTCCAATCCCGCCGCCGGCGACTCCACATCGGCATCCGAACATCCAAGCTCCTCCTTCTCATCCTCCTGATCCAAATCAAGAATCGTTGAATCCCAGAACGGAGATGCTGCATCTTGTTCCACAGCAGATGATTCGCTGTCCACCAACATGCCATCTTTTTCCACGGACTCGTTACTTCTTACTGTGATCCAACCCTCTTCTTCAGAACTCCAGTCCGAAAATTTCGATGCTGATGAAACCCCACTGTTAATCAAGCTCTTGATCCTATCACCAGCTGGAATTCTCGATCCGAAGACTTCATCAACGGTCAAATCCTCTGAGCTATCCAATCCGCAGTCCAGTGAATCCCAAAACCCCTGATCCAGCACGCAGCTCGGCGACCTCTCCCCTGCCTCCTTGAATCCATCAATCGATTCCGATTCGCGGAGGAACGGGTGATCCAGCAGCTCTCTGGCACTCCACCGCTCCCTCGGATCCCTCACCAAACACTTCCCGACGAAATCCGACGCTTCCTCGGACAACCAGCTTGGAACCGCCGGAATCTCGCCGGAAAACCCAATTCGGTACAGAGCAGAAACAGGGTCGTCGTCTCCTCCCAGCTCCGCCCACGGGTTCCTCCCCGTAGCCATCTCAATCACAGTACAACCCACGGCCCAAACATCCGCCGCAAGCCCCTGCTCCTCCCCCCTCGCCACCTCCGGCGCCATAAACGCCGGCGTACCGGAAAATCCCACCACCTCAGACCCTCCTTCAACAACAAACTTCGCGCACCCGAAATCCCCAATTACAGCTCCCCCCGCCGCCTCGTCCACCAGCACGTTCTGCGGCTTGATGTCGCAATGCGCCAAACCCTTCCCGTGCAAGTACTCCAACCCTTTAAGAACCCGGCGAGCCACCGCTCCGATTTCACCCTCTCCCATCCGGCCTCCCCGCCGGCGAATTGCATCTCGCAGGGTCCCGCCGGCGGCGTACTCCATACAGAGGTTGTAGGTAGGGGTTCCGCCGTCCTCGTGGGAGACTCCGGATCCCACGTACTTGACAATGTAAGGGGAGCTGAGGTTGGAGAGGATGCTCTGCTCCCTCTGCAGAAACAGAGAGCGGGAGAGATCGGCGGATTTGAGAGCGAGGAAGTGGCCGGAGGCGGCGGAGGTTGCGAGGGAGACGGTGGCGGTGGATCCCCGGCCGATTACGGGTCCTCGAGACCACTCCATGGGTAGCAATTGATGGTGGAGAGGATTTTTTTTGAAGAAGGAAAGGAAGATGGAGAAGAAACAGAGCAGAGTTTGGTTGTAAAGGAGTTATGAAGAGAAGAAGAGGGAATTGGGTATATATATAGGCAGTTGACTTGTTTTGTGATTTGTTGGGTTTCGCCTGGAAAGTTGAGGGAGAAGAAGCCACGTGGAGGGAGGGGAAGAAGGGGGATGCGACGCCGGCCAATTGGGTTGGCCTGCCAGCCCGGCGGCGGGCGGTGGTTTAATTCCAACGACGGCAAAAGGATTGAATGATTGTGGTAGTTCTGGAATTTTTTAGATTTGACACGGTGTATTTATTACTTTCAAAGAGCTGTTTTTTTATAGGAGGAGAAATCCGTCTTGCGACGACGGCAAATCGCGACCCCGTAGATACGTTGATGCATCATATATAGCTGCTATGTAGTGGTGACAATGTCAGTTGGTTCGGTTTAGTCATTTTGAACACCCGACTTATATATCACGATTTTGAAAATGTTAAACTCAAATTTATTCAAATTAATTTAGAACCTCAGTGATTTTTGTAATATTGAGTTGGGTCGGGTTAACTATACTTTTAAGTAAAAAAAACTTTTCTTGTCTCACTAAGGGGAAAAAATGATACCATTGTTTAGCTTCCTCACAAATATGCTTATATATGATGCAAACATGTTAGTAGATACCAAGACTTCGGAAAACAATTGTAACATGAGTTGGGTAGGGTTCTAAGGGTTGTACAATTAAAAACCCGCACCAATATAATAAAGCGGGTTTCACACGCTCAAAAAATGTTACCAAACGCCTAAACCTTATTATCAACAATAGATACGGGTGGTTCGAATCATGATTTTCTGTCCTTCATTCGAACCAATTCGACCCTGCCCATCAAACTCAGAGAACATATGTAGTTGTTTTTAAATGTATTGAGAGAGAGAACGATATTGAGAATCGAAATAATGGAGAATATAATAGTTAGGTTTTTCCACGTATTCTGGTTAAACCAAATTAGACATTAACCCTTAACCCATTTCATCGACTAGACCAACAGTTGAAACTAGGTTGATAACGTTGGTACTTATGTATAATCTAGAAGTTAGTGGAATAATTAAGATTAAAGAAGAGCTGGTATTGGGGGAGATGGGGGGGATTTTCTGAGTGGGCACATGAGGGCATGTGCTTAGGTGGCGTGATTAGTGAGGTCTTTCTTGAGCTTGCTTTATTTCATTTGCTTTTGATTGGGCGATTAAGGGATTGATTAGTGTTTTTGAATTTTTGAAGGGAAAAGGGGAAGGAATATCCGGTGTTTAGGGATGGAGTTTGCGGCGGTGGAAATCAAATCGGCCGGCCAATCATTAATCATCATCATCGTCAAAATCAAATTATAGTGTACTATACTTCTCGCGCTTGATTTGGTTTCCGGCCTTAATTTCGATTACTGAACTTTTTTCCGGCCTTCGAATATAAGATCCTCAAGTTCAAAATTAGTGACATTATTACTAAATCAATCAAGTATTCTATTCTATTCGCGAATTAACTTTCCAACTTAATTACTAGCATCTCATCTTCTGCTCGCGCTCTTAGAACATTCACCCAACAACTCGAGTTATTGGGACCAACTGGTTTATGATATGGTATCGGAGCTGGTTTGACCAAGTGATCGTGTGTTCGAATCTCCACGACCCCCCAATATTAACAGTTGATTAAAGCACATGGTATGGTGAGTCTGTGCAAACTTCAAGCCCATGGGTTGACTTTCATTTGAGGGGGGCGTGTTAGAGAGTGGTATAAGATCCAGCAGAACCTTCTACCAACAATTCGAGTTATTGAGACCAACTGGTTTATGATTACATCCAACCCCATGGCTGACTCCATACTCGAAGCTGGAATGATTTTTTTTTTTTTGCGACAAAAAGATAATCACATTGATTAATTGAAAGATCGATGCTTACATCCTGGAAATCAATCCAGGAAAAAAACAAACAAAAAAAACGAAATGAGTGCATGTTCTGAATGCAGAGTGCATGTTATATTGCTTCATTTCCAGCCATGAATTGGTCCATTGTCGGCCGTGAATCAATAACCCCATTCCAGCTGTTTAATTCACCGGTATATATCCTATCCTCTTTTATGGTTCAGGAAACCGGTAGTAAATCGAAGAAAATGGTCATTAATATAATAATATCAACGTGCCCTTTTCACCAATGTGGTTGCCGGCCGGCTGAACGAAGGAATGGTCTGTAACCATAGTTCAGATTTTAATCATACACACGGTAGAAAATCCAAACCATGTTCATACACGTTTGGGTTTCGGATATCCATGGATAATCATTTCTCTTTATAACTCCAACCAATATGTTAATATTCACACGTATTCTCAAGTTACGTAAGATGAAAAGTACGACAATAATTCACTAGAATGAAGAAAATTAATTAAAACAACACAATTTCATAAAAATATTATATTTATATGCTAAATATAAAATATGTTCGAGAAAAATATTGATTATTTCTAGACAAAATACATATGTATGTGTATAATCGGGCGGATTCGGGTTTGGATAGTGAGAAAACCATGCCCACCCGTTACCCGCAATATTCGAGTTCGGGTTTTACCCGTACCCACTAAAAGTCCTTCGGGTTCGGATTTTACCCTAACCGATTAAGCCGGATTCGGGCAGATATCCACTATTACGGACATCGAGAAAAGAGTGATCGACCGGAACAGTCGATTCGAAGTCCTTAAACAAAATGACGTTATTCTGGTGGAATTAACCAACAAAAAATGAAATAGTTGTCTAGTTTAAGTATAAACATTTGGATGTTGATATTATCTATTGAATTTAAGTACAAATATTCGGACGTAGATGCTAAATATTGCATTTACATATGGCTGACTTGACATTTTGTTTGTAATATAGTTTTTTGTTTAAACATGGATCGATGAAGATTATAGGCAGATGTTTTAAGATAATATTATATTATTACACAATTAATTTAGAAATGAGTCAATTTGATCAATGGTCTCGTTTTATAAATGAGACAATTAAAATGAGTCAATTCGAATTACCTGCCCCCACCCCAGGTAATTGAAATTGACTCAAAACGGATCAATTCAAAATACCTCAGGCAGATTGATCCATCCAAATTTTTTGCTGACAAACGAGACAACCTGGTACAATTGTCTCAAAACGAGACAATTGTGTCAAATCGATCGTAACAATTCCTCATCCAAACGAGGTTGTGGCCATGTGGGCAACGTCACACCCTCACAAGAGAAATCTACCAAAGCTTCTTTTTTCCCCTTATCCACACTACAAGGCAAACTGCCAAACTAATATCTGTATAAGTTGCCTATGACATTGAAACCACTCTCCCACGGGCATATGTTGATTATGTTCCCATTCACACAATCAGTTTCTAATTCGACATTCATACTACGAGAACGATTAAGTAATCAAGTGGGTTCGAGTTACGTAGTGAGAAAATAATTATGCTCATCCTTCATTCATTGTATTCAAATTCGAGAATTTGGAATTTTACCCTGCTTGATTAGATGAGATTCAGGTGGGTGGGTGTCTGCGAGCATGGATATAGTTTTGTTATGAACTGATGTTAGCTTTGCTCTTTTATAGTCATTTGACTACTTGTGAATAACAAATGAATGAAGCCAGAATTTTCGATGTACACAGATGCTACGGTCGATAATAGAAAAAAAGCTAAATTTATTATGAATGGGAAAATATCAATCATATATCAAATGCAAAACAAATCCCTAAAATCTAACCTTTTATTTGTCGGTAAAGGAAGATTGTTTACTCATAAAAATTACTTTGGACTACATTGATTATTTATAAGTAAATTGGTACATTTTATAATATCAACTCAATTATAACGTAATTTAACCTAAAGTTTAATGGTACTAGATTTTTAAGTTTAAATCACCGAATATTATTACGTGAGAGATTAGAGCATGGTAAGGACATGAAATTCTCATCAAGGGCCCATGATGCATAACAAAAAAAGACAAGAAATAATTATCACTTTGCTTTCTTCTTTTAATTTTGGTTGCGTGGAGAAACTAATTGAGAAACATGCTCTCTTGTTTGGGAACCTAGATAGACTTAATATTTGATTATGAATACAGATAAATACATGTTTAGCTTAGCAACGATTAGCAACAACAAAACTCATAAGTGTGAACTTGGGCAATTTACTGACTTTGGAATTACTCCAACATACAAAAAAAAAATTAAGTAGGTTTTCTTCTTGGTGACGAAGACGACTTATATAATGTATATGGACACAACAAAAAGTATCTTATGGTAGTTTTAAAAAGCAATGCAATTTCCTCCTCATAAGATGTGCAATGTACTTACTAATAAATTAAAGTTTGTAATATAAGATCTTGCAGTTGACTATCATGATACTTTTGCTAATGCAATCGAGATGTTCACTGTCCGACTTTATTTTGGTGTTCTTGCTTCCACCATGAATTATCACATCAACAATGCATTTTTTTTCCATTATGATTTACATGAGGACGTTCATATGCAACTGTGAGAAGGTCAAGTGCCTCCTTCTCATATCCCTAATCATGTTTGCGAGTTACATGAGACCCTGTACAGACCTAAACAAGCATATCGAAAATGGTACTCCGAGCTTTCTAATTCTTCACCGACATGTTGTACTCTTCCAGTAAGGTACATCATTCTCTATTCAACAAGGTTCGTAGTTCTTCTTTTACCGATGTCTTGGTTTATGTAGATTTTCTCATTATGAGAGGAAATGGTCTTATTGGGATCAACAACTTGAAGGACTTTCTTCATAGGACATTCAAAATTAAGGATCTAGTTCTCATCCGTCGTCCTCACACCACAGATCTCATTAGCCCGAGCCGCAACTCCTTACTCCTGCTAAGATAAACTATTTCCTCTCAGATGCTCAAGATTTTGAATAGAAAGTGCAATTAGTGATCATCATTTGGAATGTTGGTTGAATTAATTATGACTTAGCTTGGAGAACATCTTTAGTTTGAAATTCTCATTTTGGCTTCATTATGAGCCTTGTTTGAAGTGTGTTATTCCTTTAGCTAATTCCTAGCTCTGGGCAACCTAGATATAATCACAGCTTGGGATAAATTAAAAGTGCAGCTTCAAGTACGTACGGGTAGTGCTAATTACTTTGTCTTTTTGTCCTTAATTACACGATATTAATTAAAATATTATCAGTTTTTAAACTGAGGTTGAATCAATGGTTATCCACTAGCACTCTGTCTGATTGCTACTTTAGTTACCTTTTGCAGTTCACTAATTAAGATTAGTTAATTTCTTGTAAATTGTTGGGGGAATTTATCGTTAAATGTTTTTTTTATCCTTTTCACCAGACTCATTAGAGAAAAACAAAGTAGTCCACTGCATAACCAGGCGAATTTATCAATGACTACTACTTCCTCGATTTACTATTGTATTTTCTAACCATATAGCTATGTTTTGCAGGCAAGATTACTTTAACTAATTCATTAACTTATAATTGCCTATTTGCTTATGAATTTTATCCACACATTATCTATCAGCTCCTGTGAGTGATGGAGTATCCGCACATTATTCTAAGCGGTCATATCACATGGAGAATGGTATACTCCCGGAGTATACCAGTCATTACCCTTACCGTTAATATATAAGCTAAATCACATTATTTGATATGGTTTGCTGAGAGTTAAAATTGATCTCATCTACTTCTGAAATTGGTATTGTTGCTAACCGTCGCGTGATCAAATCATGAAAGATTTTTTATTTTTTTATTTTTGGTCGGGTATATTAAGAGTGACATTCTTGATAGTTTGGATAATGAATGTGTTTTAGATACTTTTCGAAACATGAAAACACGTTGTAGATCAAACTGAATCCAAAACTGCTAATAGTTAAAAAAAAAACACATAAAATTGTTGTAATCATATACATTTACAGCAATACATATGGGGGGATTTTAATGTTTGACAAGTTGATGAGAAACAGAGAGAACACAGATGGAAACAGAGTAACATGGCAGAGTACTATTATACTGTCTCCATATTTCCATAGTTTCTTTCTCCCCTTTTGTTTTCTCTATCAAACCAACTTCCCCCCAAGTTACCAGAGGTTGCCAACTCTCACTATAAATGCTCTTCGATTAAGAAACAAAGCTGGAGGGGGAAGAAAACTATATACACAAAAACAACAGCTAACCTTTTGTTTGTGGAATATTCCTACCTGCACAACTTATACAAACTCCACATGGACAGGCATTTACTTGGTTTGGGATCGAAGTATTCTTTTGTCTGAAGCAAGAGAAATCTGAGGGAAACCAGTAGAATAATAAGATGCAGCTGTAGGCTTCTTCTACCAAGATGTTTTGGTTTATTTATAACATATATGTGTGTTACTGTGCATGTGGAAGAATATGTGAGTGAAGGAAAGCAAAAAAGGGTGTCCAAATTAATAGGTTCTGTTTGGGTACAAAATGATATTGTTTACGTGGTGGTTCGTTTAATTAAGATGGAAAGAAGATAATCGTAATATATTAAATGTAATGACAAAATGATAACATTATACGAATGACTCATCGAAATACAAATAATGTATTTAAAAATAATCTGTATTATCAAATATTGATATTTTTGCAAATTTTTATGATTTTGTATAAAACAAATGTTATATTTAAGCAGATGATTTCTTATGCAAATTGTAAAGCGAAATGCTAAATCCAAGAAGCAGGAGATAATGACATAATGAGTATATGCTTTAGCATGCTAATCCTTCTAAGGAGTTGAAAAAATGACACTCCTATTAATTATAGTTATTTTTTGTATTAAATTCGTGTTGCATTTAATAATCTTTGGAAATTGAAAACTCGTCTTAATTGCATTCCTTTTTTTTTAACTACCATTGCACTGATACAACTACCATTGCACCTGTATACTGAACTTATATTAATTACGTTAATTCTTTGGAACTACCATTGAACTGATACATTTATCATTGCACCTGTACACTAATACCATTGCATTGATACAACTACCAGTGTACTAAAACAAGGAAAGTAATTAATATGTATTTTTAATTCATACAGATTAATAAATGCAACCCAAATTAATTACCTTAAAAACTTATAATTAATAGGGTGTCATTTTTCCAGCCCTTTTAAGGGTAGGCATGCTATCTCATCTCTATGATTGTGCATTAATCTCTTTGATCTCCTTGATGTGGGAAACATATGAAGTTCAAGGGTTAAATGGATCTCTCTACTTAGCGTTGGTTTGCTTCATGATTTTGACAATGGCTTTGCGTCTCAAATCCCATCTATTATAGAATTGTTCCAAAGTTCATTATTTTCTCGTCAATTTTAGAGAAGTAGAATCCATGAGATTTATAGATTTCTCAAGATGAGATTTGAACGAAAGCTGACAATCCATCATACTAACATATATGATAAGTAAAATCCATAACAAAATCCAATAAGCAACACTTCTTTAAATCTATAAGGGCAATAACTCCATCATAAATCTATGATTTTTCAAAATACAAATTTTACCAAAACTCCCATTTTCCAATTCATGAAGCAAACCTAGCGCGTAATCACAAAGCACGCCTCGAACCTGATTATTAAACTTGAGAGATGTTGCATAAACCCCTACGTACCCAACTAGTTGCATTTACATCACATAAATAACAGGCAAGAAGATAGGCCTCGCAAAGTTTGTGTGCATAGTATTCTATCATTCGCTCTCCCAAAATAATAACTTACGGGAGTGCACAACAACATTTAGTCGGCGTTACACAGTCTTGCATATTGCAGTTCCACAACAAACATACTTCTCAGTCTTCCGGCGAGACACAACTATATACAAGCATGTGGCACTCACAGGGAAGGTTATACTGATAACAGTGTGTCACCGCATCAGGAGAGAATAATAAAAGATACCACGCCGGCACCGGAGCTGAACCAGCAGCATTAGAGAAACAGTCCAACTACGCGGCTTCTGCAAACCCAATTCTGAGGTTGCCGTAGTCAAACACGGTGTGGTAACGGCCCATGAACACATCGCCCAGGATCCTGCAACGGCCAGGACAAACAATTTATGCCGAGAACGACCGACCGGAGCGAGTTTTGAGAGTTAACATTACTGAACCAACCAGTACAGTGGAATTCTTCCCAAGACTAACGCAACCATGATGGGAAGGTAGAAAGAAGCTTACCAGAGAGGGCCACGTGGTGGCGGGACATCGAGTGCTGTAAATCCGCTAATGCACTGAGCAGCAGGCCCCTCGCCAACTTTGAGGACATACTGATCATGGCCGAAGCGAAACAAAAGAAAGAACAGATTCAGCAGTCACAAAGATCAAACAGTAAACCGTTAAGAAACTTGGGGGGTACATAGATGCCAATCATCGCCAAACCAAAGCACAAAAATAATTACCTCCTCCGGAGTAAGTTCAAAGACCTTTCCACCAATAGTAAATGAAACATTAGGCATGGTAGACAAGCCGGCACACTCAACTACTGATTCACCCATTGGGCTTGGGATTCGATCGCAGAGCTGCAGAAGGCGGGAAAAACCCAGATAACGAGATGTGTAAGCTCAATGCTGACACCTATGTACTGTACTTTAAGGGGCTGACCAGGAAAGAAGAACAAGATGAACTTCAATTATCTTACATCATTTGCATAGTTGAGTATCTGTTCCTGTGTTTCATTCTGCTTAAGCGTGTTCTGCATCCAGACAACTGCCAGCTCACAAGCACTGCACATTGCCTCACTGGTAGCATGAACTGCTTTCTCAATGCTCTCATTCACAACACTCCGAATACCCATGCTGCGAGAGTTGAAACAGACAAATTAAGTGAAGACTAATGTTAGCTGCCTAAGTTCTAAACAAACAAATCCTCAAACAACATGATAAAATAAGCAGGCCATTTAAACTAACCTAACACCACGTGATCCATCAAACTCACATAAGCCGATCTGAGAACATATCTTTAGAGGTTCATCCTGCAATTTAACATAACGTCAATTAATTCACTAAAGTACCTAACAGGTGTAATTTAAAATTTCTCCACTAACAGATCACAGGGGAGAAAAGTACCTTTGCCAAAAGCATACGAATTATAGTTTCTCCATATTGAGAAACTACAAGTTTGCATTCTTGGCTGACTACCCCAGTAGCACCAATGGCATGATTAACTTCTGTAATAATTGACTGCAGTTGAAATGCATATGGTTAAAGCACTAGCACCATCATCACCATATTCTGGTGCCACAACCTCGCGCAGAAAATGTTGGCGAACAATTTCTGCCCGGTTATTCAACATATTATGAAGAGTAATAGCGATCTTGAAGAGTAATGACAAAACAAACAAACAAAGCATAAACTTTGCTAATTATATGAGTTTACTACACACCGTTGGTCCGGCTAACAAAGAGGTTCCAGAGTCAGCAATGGCTGCACAGCCACCGGAACAGAATCCTGGAAAACAAGAGAAAAATAAAAACATTTAAGAGAAAGGAGACAGCTGCTTAGTACCAAGCCACAAATGAATGAAAGAATACTCACCAGTAGATTTTCCACCAACCAAAACATCACCCATATCAAACTGTCAACACAGAAATAGATAAACATCAAGCCTTTTGACTTAAACTAGTAGAACATAAGACATGAAGTTGAGGAGATGCCTAAACAACGAACCTGCCAATAACCTTTCTCAGTCACAGGCACATATGTGTGCTCACCCACAAAGTGGTTAGGATCCACACCACCAAAAACAAGTTCGCCCCCTTGCTCCTCATCAGCATTGCGGTTAAGCCAGAATGAGAAAACTGGCTCATTGATGAGTCCTTGTTCAATCATGTCGTACCTGAAGCATATTAAAAAAAAAATAGATTTCATTAATGATAGCCAGAATTAGGGATAATCAACGAATATTTTGCCAATTCAATCAAAAGCTATCTAGTTAAACAGCCGCCATACCACACAGGGACGGCATTTCCCACAGAGATCTCCTGAAAGCCAAGCCCGAGTATACCATCAAATTTAGCCACCAAGAACGTGATTCCTGGTTCCTTTGATGCTTCAATAAATTGCTGGAACAAACTAATCGTATCAGCGCATAGACACATCTAAAAGAACCATAATCAATTCATCTAACAAAGCAAAAATACAACAGATTACTTACCACGTCCTTGACAACAATATCACCAATTTTTACATTATCCTCACTGAAGAAGCCAGAAATAGCTCCAGTTCCATACTGGATAGCGGCAGATTTTCCTGCACGATTACATATATGAGCAGCCTTCTATACCCACTGAAACCGTGACCAGTAAATACTGAGCTAGTAGTGAAAAGGAATCAGCAATGGCAGGTTTACGCATGCTAATATGGCATGGTCCAGTGCGGGAAGAACCAGGTCAAAGAAATGCACTTTATATAGAAGCGTCTGTGGAGTGTAACTCAAACAGAATGGAATACACCCCAAAAAGTTCATTTGTTCCCTGGATATGGAGCATACCAGACCCGTACAGTACCTTACGGGATTGGCATCACACATGATAGAATACAAGAATCCCCAACCCCGAAATCAAAATATATGGCTGAGCAACAAAGAATCAGAAACAGACAACAACTGCAACAGGGCAACGAAGCATTAATTTGACACAAAACTATTATGACACCAGGAGCACGAAGAAAATTTTGATAAGGGTACTAAGATGAGTGGACAAACCATTCTCCTTGTAGGTGCTTGATTTACTTGACTTGTACCTAGGGTGGAGATAGCAAGCAAGCTGCACAAAACAAGGACAACAAAATCAAACCACAGGACACAACAGATGAAAGCATATGCCAGCAAGCAACACATCCAAGGTCTCAATCCACTCACCGAGAAATAGCACTTGGAAGAAGGCACCCACAGGTTCGAACTACCCGTGTCGAATATCACCGTAAAAGTCTGTGCGGGAGTGCCAATACCAATCTCCCCAAAGTACTGAGCATCCATGTAGTTCTTCAGGATCACGATGTCAGCATCCTCGCTATCTCCCAAATTCCCACGGAATCGGTACTTTCTAACGGAAGCATTCAACAAGTCCCCTTCTTTAGACCCCAGCTGGGCAGCAACACGGTTGTTCTGATCAAACTTTCTCTTCTTGATCCCAACCTTGACCAGCCCATCATTGGGCGCGGCAAAAGCCAAAGGCAGCAGGAGGCAGAGCAGAAGAGCAGCTGCGACAGGCCTAAACGACGTTCCCATCCTTGCTACTGTAAGGGAAACCGATATAAGTACCATGGCCGTAAATCAAACTTCTTAAACCAAACATATAGATCAGTCTAATCTCCACACAAAAAAAAAAAAACTTCAGATACATCCATAGCCAAACACACAAACGGACAAACGAAATATCACGGACAAAAAACAACCACGTCACCGGCGCATACAAAAATTTCCAAAATTACGCAAAAGCAAATCGTCGAGATGCTAAACGGAAGAAATCCGCACACCGGCGATCAAAGCTCAAAGACATGCAAGCCAATTAAAGTTTTCCTTCAAATTCCAAGCAAAACAAACAGGTAGGCAGAGCGAGAGCGCAGTCCACCCACCAGCCAGTCAAAAACTTGGAAGTCAAACCATGGGAATCACTCTACTCACAGTCCAAACAGCAACGATCAATGGCTACGAAGAACCAGCGGAAGAAGCAATCGCGCAAGGGAAAGAGAACCAGAGGATGAAGTGACTTACTGGTGTGCGATGATCGGAAGAGAGAGCAGAGCTGCGAGAGTAAAGTCTGGAATGAGCTCAACAGTCAAGCCTGAAGAAGGGGGTAGATAATTATCTCAAAAGAAGAGGGGGGTAGATATTTGTTGACCAATCGGTCCGCCCGGTTCGATTATTTTAATCTTCTTTATTTCCATCGTTTTCAAAAATCGCGACTTGTTTGGATCTTGTCCCTACACGTGTAGGGTTGTTGGGGAGTTTTGCGTTTCTTGCTGACTAAGAATGTGATTGGTTGTGGTTCAAGGTTGTCAAACCGGTTTATACCGTTGTGCAGGTTTGGCAAGTGGAATGGTATGACCGATGGTATAACCAGTTTGTGTCGATTCATGTCGGTTTAAAAAAGTGTAAAAACAATTAATATCCAATGTATTTAATCATATATAAAACATATTTGTGGACAATTAAGTTACAATCCAACAAATATCATCAATTTTTAACTATTAAATTCATAAAATGAATGATAAATTAATTTTTATATTAATTAAATTCATTAAAACGATATTAATTTGCTTAGAATATGTAAGTCGATCATACCGGTCATACTAGTGGTGTCATGCCGGTTTCATGACCGGTACAGATTGAACCAGGTTCAACCGGGTGGCATGCCACCGGCATGACAACCAATGTGGTTGAAACCATGGAGTGGTAACTTTACACTTGGCCAGGTTCGAACCTTGAATTTAAATGTTGTATTCTGAGTATGCATGTATTCTATAGAATACAACATTTTTTTTACGTGTTTTAATCACAGAATGCATATATAGAGAATGCATGATGTATTTTACTTCATATATAATCTGTGCATTTTTCTACGTCACAAAACATTCTTAAAACCTACACATCATTATTAGTATACATATAATCCAAATACACTAATGTGAGTGTGAAATCAAATGATACATAAGTGAAAGGATGGAATGGATATAACAATGTGAGGGAAGCGTCTGGTTAAGAAGTCAATAAATCCACCATTATTATTTTCTTGAAAACAATCACTCGATCATTCTGGAGCCTTAGGACGTCGGTGTAATAGAACGAAACACGTTAATAATGAGGAAAGGGAAAGCTTGTTCAAGTGGGGAATTGGTTTGTCTGTATTGTTAGATGGTGGAGTCTAGGAGTCTACTTCTGATATATGTGATATTTTTACCGATTTGGTTGTTGGGATTATGGGTAGGATGGTAAAAATATCTGTAACCGTGGATAACTGCCTGAATCCGATTTTGTTGGGTAGGGTAAAATCCGAATTCGAATGACTTTTAGCGGGTACGGGTAAAACCAGAACCCGAATATTGTGGGTAATGGGTGGGCATGGTTTTCTCACTATCCAACCCGAACCCGCCCGATATACACATGCATATACATTTTTTTCTAGAAAAATCATCAATTTTCTCTAACATATTTTATATTTAGCATATAAATATAATTTTTTCATGAAATTGTGTTGTTTTAATAAATTTTCTGCATTCTAGTGAATTTTTGTCATAATTTTTGTCTTACGTAATGCGAGAATACATGCAAATATTAACATATTGGTTGGAGTTATAAGGAGAAACTATTATCCATGGATAACGGTGGATACCCGAAACCCGAACGGGTATGGGTATGGTTTTGATTTTCTACCCGTTTCTTATGTGGGTATGGGTATGGGTAAAACCCGAACTAATTTGGGTAGGGTAACGGAAATGCACTATCCGCCCCCGACCCGACCCATTGCCATCCCTAATTATGGGATATATGTTTCAAGTAACTTAAAATTGTGGATATTTGTTTCTTGGCAAGAAAAGTTCGGTGTTGAAATGGAATTGATTGCACCTTGATTTTTTAAACAACGATTAAACACACACAGTTTACACCTCTTTGAATGAAGTTTAAACAAAGGTGTTCGATGTTCTTACAACTCAAGAGACAAAGTCTACATTAAATTAGCGCTACTTTTGTGGAGGTGTAGTGAGAGCTCCAGAACTACGAATATGACTAAAATCAGTGCAGTCAAAATCGCGCATTAAAACGTAAAAACTTACATTTTTACGTATCCAGGCCACCAAAACGTTTCAGTTTCTACCTAAAGTCTCTTAGTCACAAAAATTGGTAAAAACATGGGTAAAATCGCTTAAAATCGGTAAAATCGCGATTTTGAAGTGTTTTTATATGTTTTTGCTCATCTAAAAAATGTGTTAATTGGCCCAAAATGATGTAATTTTGGAGACATATCAGCAAATAATAAAAAAAGGAAAACATGATTCATCACTCGTTCTACAACTAGTGTCGAGATAGGAGCTTCAGATTAGGTTAAATTTAAAAAGACACATAATGGTATTCTCAACAGTCGCTGACCTTCTATCAGTCTTCTCCCTTAATCTTCACATGTGGCTCTTACCTGGGTTACGATAAAAGTTTATGGGTAATTGATTGTATATAATTATGTAACCTCAAACCAACTTATGAGAATTTGGATTCTCAAGCTCGTTTACGGGTTACGATCTACATTTATGAGCTTATTCTTAAGATGTTATGAGTTTCTCTACTTTTGAGTCAACACAAATTAGTTTATGCGTTAGATATTACATTTTAATTATGAATTTCATGTATTTATTCACTTATCTAAAATCTACACACTCATATTTTACATACTATATGTTGTACTTAACATATTTTAGCTATTTTAGAGGGTGCATAAAAAACTTACGCTTTTACGCTTTGATTCTACGTTTTACGATTTTACCCATTTTCCGCTTCTAGGTAGAATCGCGCTTTTGAGTGCATTGACTAAAATTTATAGAGGAAAGATACAAATGTTAAATACTTGACAAGTGGTGTCGAGTTGTTGATTTTTGTGAATCCTTCTTTCATCTTCATTCTAAGTTATAGTCATCAGAAGTAAAGTGCCACAAAAAAACCACTCAAATGTCGTGGACCAACGGTTACCCTCTTAACCGATCTGACGATGTCCTGACAATAGATGTGTCATCCTCTTTAGTCTTGACCCCCTCTTGTTGATTAGAGCAGGGTTCGGGTTCAAACTAGTTGCACTTTCCGTAGCAATGACGAAAATCATAATTTAGAATGAATAGAGTATGAAAATAACAAACCGCTACAGCATTCCACAACCGAAATCAAAATTTAAAGGAGGCTAAATAGCCCCGAAGTACCACTTTTTAATATTCGCTCAATAGATAAACACATACGTCACAACCTTAGATCGAAATTTGAACCGATTGTAGCCCCTCGTGTGCTACACTTTTAGCTCCAACACTGATCCGTAGTAATCCAACATTCAGTTTTTAGCAATAAAAGTATCAGATACTCTCTGGAAGAAGAAGAAAAAAAATGGCTGACTCGACAAATTGCCAACGAACATAGAAGAGCTGGTATATAGAGAGCTCCATTATTGTACATAGATATATGTATCTTACATAACACAAATACTTAGAGGCAATTCTCTTGATAATTGTGTGCGTACCAATGAACATCCACATCTTTGCCGGCGCCGGCAGGGATTTCCCGCATCACCTTCTCCTGACCTTTCGGGTAGTAAATCCCAGTCTTCTCGTCCGGAACCCAACTGCAATACCCACCACCACCATCATCAGATCCCAGCTTGCTCTGATCACTCTCCACCTTCGCCGCGGCGGTCGTCTCCCGGCCACTCACCGTGTCCCCGGCGGCGGAGGAGCTCTTCTTGTGGTAGCCTTTCCTCACCATTGGCCTGCATGGATGCAACAACCCATTCACAGCATCAGTCACATACAACAATGCCACAACTCTGATGCAAAAAGATCTGTAATACAAGAAAAAGGGTTGGAGAGTTATGGTAACCAAGTACTTGAACATGGAGTTCATGGTGTGTGCTCCTCTTGAGAATGCACCCGACATTGTTATGGTCCTGCAACTAGCTTCGAATTATGAAATGGAGTAAAAGGTGCATGGACGGGTTCGTCGTGGTTTTTTGGAGGGATCGTTATAAAGAAGCAAATTCCTCCTATCCATATCTCTCTTTTCGAGGGAGGGATGAACTGAATGCATTATTTTTGTCTTTGCTTCTGCACAGTAGGAAAATGGGTTCTTCCCCCTCTTTTTTGTTCTCATTTCTCAACGCCACCAACTGCCCATACCTGCAACTGCAAGATAGAGTTGGTTAGGAGCAGATTTGAAGGGTGCCATACCTTCAATTGAGTGAGAACAGCACCAAGAGAACCTCCACCACTTTTGTCCAACTTCCATAATGGCTGAGATTGATAACAGAAAGAAAGATTGCCTGCCACTCATTACAATATGGGAGGCTATGAGCAAGGAAAGGCCATAATGACATGCTCCGGATTGATAAAATTCATGCACTAAATGCCCTTCGCAACACTCGTGAACAAGGATTCGGTCCAGTAGTAATATCGTTGCTCTTGAACATAGATGTTACAGTCTCAATTTCTTAAGCAGCGCCTAATTTAGAAACAACCCTTGCATTAAAAAAACACTCCTGCAAGCTAATTGCAGAGAACTATGATAAATCAAACTTCCCAACAAGGGCAACGAGGAGCACCGATAGGAAGAGTGCCGCACGGTGAGATTACAGACTTATAAGGGAGTAGTACACTTGAGCTACATTGCCTAGAAAATGATAGCTTACAAGGTTGCCATAAGCATGGCACGTACTTTTGCTCTAAGGTCATCAGGAACATCGTCTGTTTTTTGACCGGGTTCGGGCAACGGAGCTGTCTTTGCACTGTCTCGACCAGATTTCGACAGCTCCACAGAAGTTTCTCTACTGCCTGAATTCCGAGTCTCGCTTGCTTTGGACTGATCGGATGATTTAGCAAGAACCTCCCCTTCCTCCATTTCCGCGTCTCTCCCCGACTTTGAAACCCTCCTGTCCCTTCTGGACGTCCGTTTGTGCTCATGTCTATCATCGTCAGAGTCCATGTGCTTATTGTGCTTACGTCGAGAGTGCTTACGTTCATCACCAGAAGAGTCAATGTGATCATGATGACGATGTCGAGGGCGCTTGCGCTCGTCATCTGAGGAAGCATTGTGTTTGTGCCTTCTGCGATCAGAGTGCCTACGCTTTTGAGCATGCTCATCTTCGGAAGATAAACTTTCCTTGTGCTTGTGTCTAGAGTGCCCATCTTCATCATCCGAAGAGTTTGCACGATTAGGATGAGATGAACGCCTTCTCTTGTGCTTCCCAGTGTCCCTACTATGATGATGTGATGAACCATTGGAACGCCTCTTCTTCCTGGAATGTTTATGTTCTTCCCCGTCTTCCTTCATTTCTTCCTCCCCTTCTTCTTCTTCTTCATCCTTTGCAGATCGGGGACGGTAACTCCTCTTAGACCGCAGATCCATCAATGCTTCAGCATGTTGTTTTGTATTCTCCATCTTTTCAATTTTCTCAGAACTATCAGCATGCATTGGAGCTAAACTCCCATCCCTTTCTCTATAATCCACAACATTATTAGCATCCGAGGCTCCTCCTGACCTTGACAAACCAGAATCAGGTGGTTCTAAAGATGGAACACGGTGCAGTGGTTCATTTTTCAAGGGAGCAGCAGCTCCACCTTTTATCATTGCAGCAAAAATCTTCGCTCGTTTCAGCCTTTCAGCCTTTAGCTTTTGCTCTCTCGTTAGGCCAGCTTCAGAGGAATCAGCCTCGTCTGCTGCAGCAATAGCCGCAGTCTTGGCAATGGCCTTCGCTAGAGGAACCATCTTTTGAGTGGATGCATGAGGCTGAGAGCTATTGAAACTACCGGGCTCACCACCATCTCCACTGCTGCGGCCTTGACTATCACAGTTCTGTGAATTCTTTGAAAAGATATCCAGGTTAGGATACGTCATGCCTTTTCTGGCAGCCTGAAGAATAGCAGCTGTTGTGGCTGCATCCATACTAACTCCAGCAGGTTGTGCCTGAGAAGCAGCTGATGTATTTGCATCAGGTTGTCCTTCCCTCTTGGACTTTCCAATCACCATCTTGAACTTTTCCTTCTTATCTGAATCATATGGTATGTCAGAGGGTAAAGACAGAGATTCACTTTCTTCCCCGGCACCATTCTTCTCCGAATTGCAGCTTTTGCCAGCTAATTTTGGCTGTAAAACGACCAGTAAAGAACATTAGAACCAAGGCAAAGCAGTGGCACAAACTAGTAAATTATTGTATATGCTGGGGTCCATAACAAAAAAGAAAAGCAGTTAAATTTGACAAAAACATAGAGCATATTTATGAAGTAAGAAAACAACAGTGAATTGAAACCCTCACTAATCAGTCATCAAACACAGGTGAATCTAAATCCACGAAACGTCAAAACAAGAATGCTTCCTCGGATGGAAATCCCTCGGAAACTGCCATCAGTTAACCACTGAGATTGAAATACATACCATAGAGCAGGAATAAGACAATAACATCAAAATTTATGAAACAGTAAAAGCAACCATTAGTATGGCAAATGGGTTTAGTTAGACACCAACAAACAACCAGTCTACTGAAAGCTTTTTCTGGAAAGAGCATCCTGGTTTAGTCAGACACCAAAAACACATACTTCTAATGATACTTTTCCAACCAAATTTCAATTGATGGAGAAAAGGGGGGGAAAGATGGATAGTCAGAAAGAGGGACAATAGAAGAAACCAAGCGCGCACCTCTTGAGCCTTCTGAAGAGCCTTTAGGTAATATAGGTGATACTGATTTGATGGCGAAAGGAAGGGAAATCTCCCATGTTTAGCATCCTGCTGGACAAGAACTGCTTCAAATTCTTTCCCATTTCGGAGAATGAACTCAACTATCTTATCGACTACTCTCTTCATATCAGATGGAGGCTCCACGATTGGTAGTTCTGGCTTACAGAGGTTGCTTGAACTAGAATTCTGCACTTTGTCAACAGTGGAGGGAACACAGCCTGATGAACTACCTTCTTTCTTGAACCCGTGAATGGTTCCTGCCTTCACTGTGCTAATGCTATGGTTTCTTCTTATGACCTTAGGTGCATCTTTCAAAGAAGGAATATGATGCTTGACAGACTTCTCATCTCTTGCAGCAGCAAGTATAGAAGAATCAAGTTCTTGCAATCCTGCGGAAACTGTGGTTTTATCTGGATCAACAGCCTCCTCGAGGTCATTTTTCTTAAGTGATAATGCATTCTCAGAAGCACCTTCTTCATCCTCTGCTGATCCATATAATGAGCCAAGCAAAGACAAAGCCCCACCAGTCTCTTCAAGGCTGCTCCTACAACTATTCTCTTCTTCCACAGACTTGCTTTTGATGTCAGACTTCATAAGGTCTTGATGATCAACAAGGAACCTAAAGTATGGATGAAGATCATGGTCAGGCATCAGGAATCCAAATGTTGGATTGTCCCCTTGTTTCACCCTCAAAACAATTTCTGACTGGCCCCCGTGAGTGTGCACAAACAAGGCAGTCCTTGCAATGATCTGATGTACCTTTTCGGTAGGTGGCTGAAAAGGCAGAGAACACAAAGGTAAAACATGTTCCTGTCAGCAATGACAATTGTAATCCTTGAGTCCCAGGAAAGCAGACATCTTACTAAAGAATCCCACTAGGGAACACCTGAGGTACATATCCACATAACAATAAAGATCAATATGCATACTGTTACAAGTCGTCTATCAACCATTTCATCTCTACCCAATAATTCCTGATAGGCTGAGAATGTAATATATTTCTGTCATCCTAATCCCACCTTTAGGGCCCCTTGTCAAGAGTCAAGACATCAAAAGAAGACAAGGAGCCTGTGAGTGACAACCTTGAAGAAGTCCAATTCCTGCTCCGAGCATCTGAAACTTAGACATGGTAAGCCTTAGAATAACATATGCACCTTAGACAACTACCACACCGCCGCACTGGACAAGTATCAAACAAACAATCACATTAGAAGAATAAAAGAATCCAAAAGCACTTAGAAGTATGAATTTACACTTACCAGCTTCTGAACCATGTGTTCAGGCACTGAGAATGGTGGACGAAAACCACATTCAGCATCCACATTATTGTGGTCGTCAGATGAATGGGTCTCCCCATATGAAAATGCTACTGAATGATAGCCACCATTGTTGGGCAGTTCTGCCTCGTTTTCCAAGTCTGCAACAAAAGAAACAAGAAGGTTTAAGAGTCACATGAGGAGAGGATCACATCAAATCATTCTGTATACAATGGGAAAAGCGCCTAAGAACTAAATCACAAGAAACGAACATACTTCTAGGGAAAAGTAAAAGAAATTCTTACTTGTACCTCTGAAAGAAGAAACTTTAGCAAACTAAATTCGATCCTGCAAACTTGGAGTAACCCAAAATATATAGCATTCACACATATCATAGGCTGCATTCCCATTGTTCAGCTGAATATTATGTTAAAAAGAGACCCATATTAGACTAAAAAGGTTATCATTGGCATCCTTGCAGCAATCGGTAAACCATGGACCATGCATTACGTATTGACCATCAAATCAACCGCTATCATGCTAATTATTCAAATTATTCGAGTAACAAATTGCTCTAATCTGATCATCCTACCTACTTTCATATATCCCCTGTTTCCTTCACCACTCTTGACACAAATGCAACAGAATTCCATTCTTTTATTTTCAGAATCAACTTTCACGAAATGTAAGGGATCAGCATTGAGGAAGTGTCAACCTCGCATCAACAAGGTTGAATCTAGAGAGCAAAGGTGACCAACTCTCTTCTTCTTCAGCACAAACCATCAATGGACAGGGAAATATAACCACTGAATACTGCTAAACCTTATCAAACAAACTAATCTAGTTGCTGAGCTGCAGGTCCACAGCCACCCTGTAGCCGGCTACTGTGTAAGGAAGGGCAAGTTCTAGCAGCACGAGGCAGCAATCGACAAAATTAACATACTCTGCCGCCCGAGAGAAGAAGGCACGTTTTGTGTTCTTCAAACAACCATTTTGCGGGGGAGAAACTAGAACTTGAGCAAAGATCATAATAGCACATCCACGAGAATACAATCATAAATCTGTAAGTACACAATCGAATAAAAGTTTACCTTGCTCATCGGGAATCGACAGCAAATCCTGGTAGCGCTCGCGATCTAGCTCCGATTCAAGAGCATCGTCCTGGTGGTGTCGCCGACGAGCACGCGGCGGAAGAGGGCCGGTAAGGAGATGACGGACGTCGTAGCGGTCGATTGAGAGAGAGTTCCATTCGACGAGGGCATTTGCGGAGTTGGTGAACTCCGCCATGGCATCGTCGTCGAAGAGCAGCGCGTGGCGGCCAACAACTTCCAGATCCATTTCTAGGGCCGCCGATCGATGCAGAGGGGAAACCCTAACGTTTCTTTAGGTTTTGAGGAAGGAGGAGGATCTCCGTGCAGACGACAAACGTCGAGATTGAGAGACGGGGTTCGTTCTGGAACGGTTGCGTTATTTCCGAAAATAAACAGTCCAATTTAGGTTAATTGGGTTGTAGGTCAATTAGACATGGATATTCGGATTATACATTATACGATTATGGCTTAATTAGGTTGTTGAGTAATCGAAATATGAGTCAAGTCGGTTACAATCTAGGCCGAGTTGATGGTAACGGTTTGGGTCGGGAGTGAATAGTGTATATTTGTTATACTATCTAAATTTCTAAAGTAGTTTAGGTTTTACTCATATTCATATTCATATAAGAAATGGTTAGAAAATCAAAACCATGTGTATACCGGTTCCGGTTTCGAGTATCCACGGTTATCCATTAATAATAATTTCTCATTAAAACTCCAATCAATATATTAATATTCACACATATCCTCACATTAGATAAGAGGAAAAATATGACAGTAATTCACTAGAATGAAGAAAATTAATTAAAACAACACAATTTCATGAAAATATTATATTTAGATTCTAAATATAAAATATATTAATAAAAAAATAATGTTTATTTCTAGATAAAATACATAGGCATGAGTATAATTGGGCGAGTTCGGGTTGAATAGTAAGAAAACCATATCCACCCATTACCCACAATATTTGAGTTTGGGTTTTACCCGTACCCATTAAGTCCATCGGGTCCGAGTTTTATCCTACCCAATTAGGTCGGATTCGGGTGGATAGCCACTATTACGACTATTTTTGTCATCCCTAACCATATCTTCTGATTTGTCTGAACCGAATATACATATGTTCGGTTGACCAACCCAAGTTTAAGTTTATTTTGGTTCATAATTCGTTTCGAGTTACCCGGACAACACCCAACTCATCTTCTATTCTACACCAAATTGTAAAATATATAAAATATGGGTATTAAATTATAATTTGTTAACAATACCTGAATCCACCAATCTAATTGGATATGAATTAAGGGCTCGTTTGTTTGTTGGATTTGAAATGAAGGTTTTGAGTTTTGAAAACCTTTAGATTTATGATGTATTTGTTGCATTTTGTATTTGAAAGATAACATTGTTTGTTTAGTTGATTTTTATAATGGATTTAAAGGTTTTTGTACCACGACTCACAAATCTTTGCCTTCCATGACCAAAAACCAAATGAAATATGGTATTTGCAAATACGCTGGGTCCACGGATTTGGAGCTAAGAAAAAATACTAAATCCGTGGCCCCAAAAATTTGTATAACTCAACAAACAATGTTTTTTTGGCAAATACATAATGCTTGAGATTTGGGTGTCAAATACATCATCCAAATCCCACAAGCAAACGATATCTAAATAAACTAGATTAATTGGATATTTAAATGGGTGGGGACAATTGTCACCTCTAAGTGTCAGATTTTCATGTTTACACAAGGGACACAATGAACCGTTTGCTTGTTGGATTTAACTATTGTAATCGGTAACCAAATTCCAACTTGATGAATGTTGTGTAGACAAATAACAAATAAATTAGATTTGACTCATGTTTTATGCAAGTTGGCCGTCATGGACTTTTATATATAATATGAATCAATGAGACCAACTTAAATAACAAAATAACAATCTGCTAAAATAATAATCTTCGTTTCGTTGTATACTTTGACATTACGAAAGTTTCATATGCATGCATGGTTGTGGTTAGTGTTACAGTATTTGGTACTAGTTCATCAATTGGTTCTTACGGGAAGTGTTGATCAATCTTTGTACATCATAATTAATTGGGTTCTGAATCTTCATTGCAAAGCATACTAAAAGTCAAACCAAAAGACTTATTCGTGCCAGAATTTGTAATTGCATATGCACATTAATTTTCGTTACAATAGCAAATCCCACATTTTTTACTTTTCTCAATTTCAAATTTCATGCAACGAGAGTCAAGTGATATTATTGGTTGGTATAAGATTTATTATTAAACCTCTATCAACAACTCGAGGTATTGATACTAACGGTTCTTAACAAAGAACACCATTTGAAACACTACGACTAACTAAATCAATGATTGTTTTGTATATATGCAAAGTGATATTTTCGACTGCTAATGCATTTTAATTTATCAAAAGTTTTCAACTAAGATTATATGAAAAAAACTATTTTATCATTTTTTTTTTGAGGTGGACCCACCTTAAACGAAATCCTGGCTACGCCACTGGTGGTGTTACCACTAGAGCAAACCCTTAGCTTGTACGTATAGAAGAAACACATTAATTAACATCTACACAATAAATATCCATTTTGTTATGTTTAGTCACACGTAAGACTTCATACCAACAACATATCAGTGTTATATATGATATTATCACTGTATACACTGATATAATGTCATCAAATTATTTTGTCAAACGTAACCTCATATGAAGATCATATTACTATATATCATACCATCTTGGGGGTGTAGCTCATATGGTAGAGCGCTCGCTTCGCATGCGAGAGGCACGGGGTTCGATTCCCCGCACCTCCATTATATTTTTTATTACCAAAAACACAATGATATTGGTGTTGTTATGTTTTTTCAAACATAAGATTTTGTACCAACATATAGTAATAATAGCACGATATGTCAGTGATATGATGCCAATCAATTATTTTTCAAATTGTAAGACTTCAGAGAACAACATTATACGACTATGATATCAACATCGTACCACTATGATACCATATCCCTGTCAACGGTAATATCGTTATATTACAGTGGTACGATGACTTGAATTTTTTTTGTGCCAAAAATATCAAAATGAGTATCATCATGTAGAACACAAAAAATCTGAATTTTTATGCAAAATTTTCTGAAATGCGAGGTAAAACGAATGAGCTAAGATCCGTTGAATTATTGTGAGAGATTTGGAAAATTCTTTGACAACAGTCTCAGAATCCGCGCCCCTCCCAAATCCGATCAACCCTCTCTTCTACCTTTCCTTCTTACCCTTCTACAAGGATGGACATTGGAGGCGACGTTGAGACTGAGATAGGGATGTTGCGACTCGCGATTGGAGAGGGAGGAGGACGATGTTGGATTGGGATGTGACAGACTCACTAGTAGAGCAGGGTAGCTATGGGACGGGTTGTTAACTTGATGTCATCGACCACATCTATTTTATGGTTATTGGTTATTTGATTGACCGATTTCTATCGGTTCGGTTTTGCAGTTTACCCGATAACCGTTTATGAGCCCTAATTTTGTTATCAATTGGGGTCTAGTTAATTTGGTTATATAAGAAAAAAGGTTTCACATTCTCCTCCTCCTCCACACACAGCTATAAACCCAAACTCAACTCCCCCTTTCTCCATTTCCTTCTCATCACAAACCATCTTTTCTCCGCAAACGAAAGTCAACTCATCATTATCGTCAGAACAACCATGACCACCGCTCTAATAAACACGATCCTACTCATATTCGTAGCCACCGCCCTCTCCCTAGGTTGAATATTCTCTCCGTTCATCGGATCGGCCCTATATTAATTTGTGATGCAGTACGCACAGTGTTTTGGTAGGGGGGAGATTGAATTTTGTTTTCATGTAAATGGAGGAATGTCTTCGTATGCTGTTGTATTCCAATTCGTTTCCATCGGCCGGCTGATCGGAAAACTTGATAAATGAGAAGTCAATATTTTATATTTATTGATTTTACACAGAGAGAGAAGTAATTAATTACTTTTTATTGAGTGATAGTCATCTTGATCAAATACTATTGAGAGTCACACATATTTTTATGTGAAAATTATTCTATCCAGTATTAAAAAGGACAGTCCACTTGAAAATATTTGTGAAAGATAAGTTATAAATGTTTCATATTTGTCAAATGATTATTGTTAGACCAACCTTCAAAAAAATTTAACATTATAGGTATTTTTTGTCACAACTTACCTAGATAATTGTTACTTAATACTTAAAATCCTACGTACAATTTTTTTTTTGATATATCGTATGAGAAAAATATGTGATCTATCCTATTCATAAATATGAGCTATTAGGTGTGCAACTTGATTATGTCTTCTTTCCCTCTATACTTCTGTATTCCGGAAAAAATCCCAAGTTACACATGTTTTTAAAAAAAATTCTCAAAATACACACGTTATGAAAATAATTCCCAATCTACGCATGTTTGGGTATTCACCGCGGCAGAGGAGGACGGTGATTGCATCACCGCGGCAGAGGAAGGCTGTGATTGCATCACTGCGGCAGAGAAAGACGGTGATTGCATCACCGTTGTCGACGAAGGCGGTGAATGCTTCACCGCAGTACACGGCCGCGGTGAAGGCCTGACTTGCGTCGAAACTTTAAACAAACGTGACTTTGTGCTCGGTTATCCGATCGTAGCGAATTTTTTTTTTATTCCGCATAATTTTTCGAGATCTTACAACATATCTTATATGGTCCCATTATTAGGCCCAACCCAAAGACACTCGAAACTTGACCAAACCTCATAATCCAACCGAGGAGAGACCCATCAAAAGTGGGCCGAACCAATCAACCACCCGTCGGACCGCCCCCGAAATACTCTCCCGACCCGACCCGGGTCGACTGCCGTTCTCCCGCAAGCAAAGCCAGGAAACACGGTGGGAGAGCTAGTCGCCATACCCAATCGGAACAACAGACGCAGGCAGCTGCCTACACAGACACAGTAGCCTGAGATAACCAATCCAGCCCCACTATCGATAGCAATTTCTCCGGCCACCGTTGCCGACGACCTATCCCGTGGAAATCGTCGATCCGGAATTCCACCATTCAGAAAGTAGAGTCACGGCTGGAGGATCACCCTCGTTCTTGTAAGTCTGATAATTCCTCGACCCACGAATCACAATCTCGATCGTCCGTTCCCCAATCGCTGAATTGATATCGTGGTTCGTTGATTGTTGAATCAATGGCAGGAATTTCGTGTAGGATACTAACCTTTCTCGTTTTCCCCCTCTCCAATTTCTTGCAGGAAGCAACCGTCCCAAAACGGGTCCAGTTGGAAACTCGTTTTTCGCTCATGTCAGGGCCGAATGAGGACATTAAATCTTCTCATACACAGGTATTGCTTTTCTTCCATCCATGGATTTTTTAAAGTCTTCGAATTTCTAACCTAATAAGGTTTAGATAGTGGCCTAGTGTTTGTATGCGTAGCAGTGGTTTCACCCTTTTCGTTTTCGCAACTCCTAACTGGAATAATGTTAAAAAGTTAGAACCTTTTTCCTGGGTTTACACCCGATTTTGAGAATAGATACATTTCAGATGATGGCAAGTTTGTGAAGTTTGTTTCTTTTCTGCTCTTGTGTAAAACAGCTGTCGTCCCAGTTGTTTGGGAACCTACTGGATTCCATGATAGCAGATGTGGCATCTGAGTGTCACAGGATAGCAAAGCTAGGGCTTGACCGCAACTTGGAGGAAGAGGAAGAAGAGCTGAAGTTGTCAGCTGAAGCCCGGGCGAGTGTAGCTGATGCTGCTGCCGAAACGAATGGCAAGTATGTGATGGATATCTTCGGGCAGACGCATCCACCTATTGCCAATGATTTATTCGAGTGCATAAACTGTGGGCGATCTGTTGCTGCCGGAAGGTTTGCTCCTCATTTGGAGAAGTGCATGGGAAAGGTGACTTCTTTGTTTGCTTAACTCAAATCTCGTATGCGTTTGCTTCGTTGCTGGAGTATGACTGCTTTATGTACTACCTACTGTTTGTTTTGATGCCTCTGAAGACTGTTTGGTTTCGATTGCTTGCCGATTTCGAATTCTGTGTCTGGTCTGTGCTGTTTGCAGGGTAGGAAGGCACGCAAGGCAACAAGAAATAGCACGGTAGGACAGAACCGGTATTCGCGAGGCAGCCCTGCTTCAACGTATTCTCCTTATTCGAACTCCACCACCACCACCACCACTTCCAACAGGTTACCAAATGGGACGACTGGTATTGCAGGTGAAGGTTACTCCAATGGTGCATTTGAGGAGAAATGAAGCTATATAATTTGGTCCTGTCAGGGCAACCTTCAGTCACAAGGAACTAACTAACTAACTCAATCAAGTCAGGGGCAACTCTATTTTGTCTTGTATCTTGTTCATGAAACATACAAATCAGGGTAGCTTTATGAACTGATTCAGCATGTTCCAACCCTCATCTATGTTATTCTTAACTCTGATAGATGGAGGAATGGAATGAAAGAGAATGGAAGTTTATTGTACAGCTGAAATTTGTTTGTGAAGCATGATTTTCCTCACATACAGATGAACTCTTCAATGTTTTATTTCTTGACCAAAAGAATATGAACATGAAAGGTAATTTCATGGTATGTCCAGCTAATACACAATGTATATGCTCTTCTTCAAGGTCTCTGGTCCTATGCCTAGTTGCAGAACCCGAATGCACAGAAAGTCCCTTTGCCATTGCTGGCACACCGATTGTTACAGCCTCCACAATGCTACATGTTGAAAAATGGATTCACACATTTGCCATTACAGCAGGTCTCGTTGTACTTGCACTTCTTCCCACATCTCCTGCAAGTCGAGACAATCTTTCAGAACATCGACGCACTTCTTCTTGCATCAATGAGGCCCCCAGACTTCTCCTGGCAAAACATATCCTAGGAAACTTGTTGCACTTCTAATGCCCAGATGATATCTTTCCCCTTTGAGCAAGAAACTGACTAACAATACCACTGTCATTGTTCCCAACATGCTCAGCTGAAGATCCGGTCAAGATGTTGGCTGCATATTCTTCATCCTCTTGTCGTTCTTCATCATCCTCTTGTTCTGGTGATTCCCCGAAGCTTAGGGACTCTGGCCATTGCAGCAGTGAGAAGCAACAAGTAATAACGTTTTAAAGAGCTAAAGTTTGGGTCACAGGTGTAATTTCCAATAATCACGAATAATTGTAGAAAAATAGTTAAGAAATCTGGGCCACCAATAAAGGAAAGGATCAAAATAAAATGGAGGAAGGAGGATGAAGAACGACAAACCTGCCACAGGTTGAGCGATAATGGCTGCCCCCGCCGTAGAGTCCAGGCCCGTGACGGCGGCCCTCCGATCAGTCCTTCTCCGCGTCCGCCAAGCCGCCGAACGAGCCGGAACCAGCCCCGAACGTGTGCGGGTCGTCGCCGTGTCAAAAACCAAACCCGTTTCCCTTCTCCGAGAGGTCTATGACGCCGGCCATCGCTGTTTTGGGGAGAATTACGTCCAGGAGTTCGTCGACAAAGCTCCCCAGGTTTCCGCTCATCAATTCCTTTCTCTGACAATGGCTAATTAGTAATTCAATTCGAAATGGAACTGCTTGTGAATGGCGTGCCCTGTCCTTTTTCGCAGCTGCCGGGCGACATCGAGTGGCACTTCATCGGCCATTTGCAGAGCAACAAAGTGAAGATACTTCTTAGTACGGGTTCCCTCTTTCTTCTTCTTCTTCTTGTATCTCTTCATCTTTTTCCGCGCTTATCCATGGTTATGTGAGTAGTATTGGCTCCAATTTTTCAAAGGAATGTCGACTTCTGCTCCTGTAAGCTTTCATAATCGGAAGGAATGTTTCGTTTCGTTACTTTGTTTCGTTTCTGTGATGCTGAATATCTGGGTAATTGGGTGCAGATGCAGTACCGAATCTGACTATGGTTGAGGGTGTAGATAATGAGAAGGTGAGAGCTCCCTCTGTATCCATAATCTAGTTATCAGTAATTGCTCTTCCCTTCCCAACATTGATTTGCCTACTGATAATACTGCAAAAGAGCAGATCTTTTTAGAATTGGGTTTGGTTCTAGGTGGAAGTCTGGTGCAAGAAAACTTATGCTTTGTTAGTCTTGAATCATCCTTGTATGGGGTAATATCGAGCTCGAATTCAGCTGCTGTGGGGTAATATTGAGCTCGAATCCAGCTGTTCCATGTTTCCCATGTGAATGGAGTTATCCAGAATACAATTGTTGGGAAGGCCGTACGTACTTAGGAGACCTAGATGTCAAAAGTTTGCATGAATGCATGGAATGAAAAGCTTTATGTCTATTGTTATCATCTGCAGCCCGTTGGATCTTTCAACTTTTTTGGCTATAGCTAACAGATTCAGTTAAATTATAGTTATGGATAAACTGATATGAGAAGAATAACAAATATTCACTTGAAAGAAGGATTTGTGCTGTTGTAATTTGTAACAATCTTGTGTTGACAGGTTGCGAACATTCTTGACAAAGTGGTTTCAAGCCTCGGAAGGAACCCTTTGAATGTCATGGTCCAGGTGAATACCAGTGGAGAAGCATGTGGGTGAAACCATTCATCTCATCTCTCAGCTAATTTTGTTGCTAAACATTGAAATTTACGACATGATTGCTACCGTTGTTTTCATTCACGTCTTTGACCAACTCTATCAGATGCTAAATCTCCTTTTGCCTAATAAATCGCATGACAGAACCATTTAACATCCCTGGAGTCTGACCCAGTAATAAACAACTTAATGCACGAATTTTGTTTCATATGGCTTATGTCTTCTCTGTAATCATTCTCATGGATTAAAGTTAACTGAGTTTTGGGGTATCATTGCAGCAAAATCAGGCATTGATCCATCTGGTTGTGTTAAGCTGGCAGAGCATATAAAACTGCATTGTCCAAATCTTGCTCTTTCTGGCTTGATGACGATTGGGATGCCAGACTACACATCAACTCCAGAGAACTTCAGGGTAAGTTTCTGCACCTACTTATTTGCGGAAATGGCAATCACATCAAGATTCAATTCATGATCCTCAAGTTCAGCAATATCAAGAAGACACCTATTATGCACAGCTCTTATAACTGAGGATCACCCGTTGGTCTGAGTTCTAACTTATTTTCCATTTTTGTGCTCAATCAACAGACACTAGTCAACTGTAGATCTCAAGTGTGCAAGGCCCTTGAAATGTCCGAGGACCAGTTTGAGCTATCAATGGGGATGTCGGGTGACTTCGAGCAAGCTGTGAGCCCTCTTCGGTTGAATTGACCTGATTAGACTGCTTACATTTTCTTTACTGTAGGATGAGTTAGTGATTGCGCACGTAGATTGAAATAATTCAGAATAGATGCAGGGTTAGTGATTGCACAACTGTTTAAAATCAAACCACGTTACATATACATCAAACTGGCGCGTTGTCTTGCATAAGTTGCGCATTGTTGGTCTAGATAGTGATTGATCCCTTGATACTGTAATATCATTTTAGAAGAACATCACTGATTGCAAATCCTGTCTTGTGCAGATTGAAGCGGGCAGTACCAACGTTAGAGTGGGATCAACAATATTCGGGCCAAGGGATTATGCAAAGAAGAAGTAAAGTATTTTGAATCACAACATTCGGCCGCTAAGCTTAACGAGTTAAGTCGGCAATGCTGTACTGTAGCAGTTAGAATTCACCATTTTCAGAATCTGTTACCCTGTTCCATGTAAAGCCTGTAATGGTTATTCTTTGGAAAGGTTACCAGAGGTTCTCTGGTTTCCCTCCATTTTATTTACGTTTTCAGGTATAGTTTATCATCTTTGTCCCTGTGTAATTCTTCAGTCACTTACCAATAACAATGTTCAGGGGATACTACATGAATATATGTGTACTACCCACTACCCAGTGATTTTCAAACCCAATCCCCCTCCGGTTCACTAAAACATCCTTATTTGGACCCTCCAGTTCATTATGGGCATAATGCCGATTGTACCCTAGTCGGATTATACCACTTGCTGAATCAACGTAATTGTATAAATTAGGTTGATAATTGTCTTGCATTTCTGTCATTGATTGGTCATCTGCATAGTTAAATAGTTGTGAAAAAGCTTAGGAAAAAGAATGTTGCAACTCCAGAGAGAGGGTGAGCGAGGATAGAGAAATTGGACATCATTGTAACCTTTTTTCAAATAAACAAACTTCTCAATCCATGCTCTTAAAAATCGCAACTACGAAGGGGTTTGATCTTACCCGCACCACACGAATTCAATCCGTATGGATCCATCCTAAGCGCAGTATTACACATCTCACATGTAGTGTAGGCCGTGGAGTGAGGTATGAGTCTTACTTCTACAGAGTTATACTATCCGGCCTTGCTCTATTCCATCATGTATTACGTAATTTGAAGTCTACATAAAATAATTTAGCTCATAGTAAGTGTGTGTTTTTACCTCACAGATAATTTGGATTCGTTCGTCAAGTCATGCTCAATGCATTGTACATAGGAAATTTATTTTATACAAAACTATAATTATTACGTATCCTTTCTTGTAATCACATGATTAGCATAAAACAAATATGAATATTGAGATACCCGTCCCATCCCATTATCATTCCGCCTGAAAACACAAATATTTTTAATGCTAACATACTGCATTTTGACATCAGCTAATTTCACAATTCACGATCCTTAACAAATCTTCACATCTCTTTGTTAATAACCTCAAATCCATTTCGAAAAAGTTTTTCCAGCCCGAGGTGTTGACATGGTCATCTAAGGGTGATGACTGATGAAAGCAAGCAGGTAGAAATCGTATTCCTCGTTGTTTACAGAAGAAATAAATTGACGGAGGTAGAAAGTTGCCGTCTCCCTGTCGAATAAGAAACAAGGAGGAAAAAACTATCCATATTCGATGGTCAATTGTTCATCTCATTCTCATTGGTAGGAGAGACGACGTTACTGCCGTTGGAGCGTCCGTGTCGTCGTGGTTGGGACGACTGTAATCAAGAGAGTGGGAGACACAGAGGTCACCGGAATCGGAATTCCCACCACCGGAAGCCCTTTGGCCCAACCCTGATGCGATTCCTCCCTACCAATTAAAACCCTTCTGTTACCTTGCGCTAAAGTCTTCTCCTTCGCTCCCTCGGCCCCCGATCTCTTCCCTCGTCGTCGCTCTGCAATGAACGAAGTCATCACGGCGGCTGATGCATCGGCCAGATTCCGATCAGCCACATCGCAGCCCTCCATTATCCCTTTCAACGTTCCTCTCATCTCCGCCTTCCTCGCACTAGCTATCGCCCAGTTTCTCAAGCCCTTCACCGTCTGGTACTACTCCCTGTCCTCCTTTCTCTTCTTTTGTTCCGGTACTATTCGTATTCCATAGGATTTGCCATTCCAATTTGTATATTTCAGCTTCTAAGTGAAATTTGGAAAAGTCCCTTTCTTTTACTTCTTCTTTGTTCATGTACAAAGTTATGGTTTTGATTAGTCGCGTGAATTGGAATTGGGAGTGTCTAGATGAGAGCAAGAGGTGGATAGTGGACTACAGAATGCTACGAGTTCTTAGAATTGGTCGATGGATTATGGGGCTGGTGGTGGTGGGTTTTAGCTCCTATACATATACATAACGAATGAGAGCGTGGAATCTTTCTTTGCTAGGAGTCAGGGTTGGCGTTTTTTAGGAAAAAACAGTAGAAAACTGTTTCACTGCCTTCCTTCTGCTTGTTGATGATATTGGATGATGCAATGGATTTGAAGAAACCATTTTGTGTATCAAGTCATTTGAGATATCTATGGTTATTAGAGATAAACAACTGTTGCATTAGCGTCTAAGCTGTCTACAATCTGAATGTGTGAGATTAATCCTCTTCTGCACCAAAAAATAATGAAGGTTCAAGGAGAGAAGATGGGATTCTAGAAGGATGCTTGGGTCAGGTGGGATGCCCTCCTCACATTCAGCAACGGTGACAGCGCTGGCCGTGGCTATTGCACTGGAGGAAGGAACTGGGGCCCCAACTTTTGCTGTTGCACTGGTTTTGGCTTGTGTTGTATGTACTCCTTATCCAGGTTTTCTTCATTCTTCGAAGTTGTAATGGCCGATCACATTGAAGTTGATGACTTTTGTTGTCGGATGAGATTTCGTAGTATAAAATAGGGTGCTTATTATGTTACTGGATGGCATTTTCATCCTTAAGCTAATAGACTACAATGCAGTAGAATGAGATCTCATGATCGACATTGCATTGCAGGCAAAGGTCTCAGTTAGATCATAGTTTCCAGTGTTACTTTTGTTGCCTTGTTTAAATCTTAGATTTTTTCCTCCCTGACTAGTGATTATTTGTAGTTATAGACATTAAGTTGGCATTGTGGGTCTTTCAGTGATTGAGGGTTCAGGCTTATCCATTTGTTTAGTTGTGTCTAGGATGGTATTTGGGTCCAAGCTTCCTGTACTTATTTTGATCAATGGTTTTGCAGGTTATGTATGATGCCACTGGTGTTAGACTTCATGCTGGTCGTCAGGCTGAGGTGAGATAAATTTCTTGATTTACTGTCCTACAAAAAGTTAGAAGAACATTTGAGTTTTTGTGATATTGAGCTTCGGTTGCTGCCTTATAATGATATTCTGCTTATAGATATCTGAGTGGACTTATATGAATGACCGTAACTTGTGGTATCCATCACACAACCTTATCCTCTTATTTTCATTATTTTTTTTCTCGCAAAAACAAGAACTCTAGTATTTTTCCTTAGAAATACAAGGATCCACATCGTGCACAATAAATTGCTCTGCGCCAAAAAAGCATTCTGTGATATCAGGCTCGTTTCTTAATTATGCTTCATCATTCGAAGGAGTGTATACTCTAAATTATCCTTTTTAAGCATAAACCTAACCTAAACATATCATTTCAAAGTGAACTCCTGGATTCACACTAATTTGGATGTCCCATACTTTTCCGTTGGTTCACAGCATTCAGGATTAGGTGAAACACTTGTATACCATAGTTAAGTGTAGTTGACAAATTTTGAGTATGCCGGAGTTTGATGACTACTTTTCTGCTGTTAATTCATCATTCTTCGGCTGTTTTATGCTGTCCTTTTTACTGTTTCTGGATTTTTATTGGGGAGTAAAGAGTAGTGGTATTGTTATTTACTTACCAAGCTGCTGTTCTAACTTCCTTTGACCATGCTGGTAAATATATGTTCTTGCAGTTATTAAATCAAATTGTATGTGAGCTACCTCCTGAACATCCCGTCTCCAATTGTAGACCTCTGCGGGATTCACTTGGCCATACACCCATCCAGGTTTGTTGTTGGCATAGTTCTCGATTAAAATACAAGGGTTAATATTCAGTTCCACATCAGCAGGGAATTGGTCCATGTTAAATGCTTTCTAAAAGTGTCTCCAAGTTTCATTCCTTGGGCTTCACATCACATATCGTTTAAAATGAGAATCAACTTAAACTACAAGGTGTTAGGAACTGTTAAACCATGGTGGTTTAACATAGGCGGCCTTGTTCTCTGATTGTCAATTTCCATGTTTAAACTATGAAGAAAGACCGATGCTGGTTTGTTGTAGAAAATGCAATTCACTCCATGGCTACATCACGTTATGAAATCACGAGCTAAAGAATAGTGTGCATGGGGGTACTGATGCAGGTTCTGGCAGGTTCCGTGCTAGGGTTTGCAGTGGCTGTTCTATTGAGAACATCCAGTTAGCAAAAGATCCCCATGTAAGGTGTTCCTTCAAATGCATTTACAAGCTCCGTAAAAAGCCGCTGTCATTGGGAACAAATTACATTGGTGCTCTTGGGTTAGGAAGAGGAACTGAAACTCTGAACAGGGCAAGGGAACTGCTCAGGTTAACGTGTTTGGGTTTGAGGTGTTGTTAGTTACCTGAAGTAAGTGTATACACAGCTTGGTTTTTTCGCTTCTGAGTTCTATATTCCTCTTTCCAAGCGAAGAGGGCAACAAGTAAACACAGCAAAAGATTATATTCTTATACTCTGATCTGATGTTCTACTGCGTAGCTGTCGTCTGCTTAGTGTATGAAAAAAAAGTGTAAAATGTAACGTTAACAACGCTTCCATCGACTGTGTAGCTGTAATTTGGTTGCCTTTCTTATCAGTAGCAGTACTTGTTTTGTCTGCCCATCCAATTCCTAGCTTGACGGAGGCTGCAAATTGCAGACCTTGCTGTCGAGGAATTCTTTCTACTAGCTATGGCTTGCACTCATGTAGCATAGCTTATCTCGAGCTTACTTGACCTATCATAACATTACTTGATCATCTGTGTAATACACAAACACCAGTATCTGGTAACAGAGCTTAAAAGCAATCTTCGTGTCACAGACAAACATGGTGAAAATGGTGGCAGCTACTGCCTACACGGGATCTTGGCCACTGCATGCCTTAGACTACAAGCTATCACTACTAGCTCGTCCTTCATCTTCGCCTTTCCGCTTGCAACTTTTGCACCACAACCACGCCATTAAGATTAGCTTCCCACTCCGCCTTGCTTCGTCTCAAAAGTTCTTCAGCTAATCTTACTGTGCTGCAAAACGTGCAGCATGAATGTAGCCGCAGAAGTTTCTGCGTCCTTGACTCTACTCTTGGCATCTCCCGGGATGTACAGCATTCCATCCGGAGTCGTAACTTCAACCGCCGAGACATAAATCTTCTCGTGCGGACGACCTTCTTCTATCATAATGCTGCAGTATTTATACAATCAACCAGTCAGAAAATCATATGCTTTTCACTACTACACCGAAGTAGAGTCATTGATCATATATAGAATGTCGATCGGTAACCTACCAGTAACACGGTTTCGGCCATTTCTGCTTGACGCACATCTCATTGAGCTTCTGTTTCGCGTCCTGTATCGTAAGCGTCGACCCATCATAGCCACTGCTTCCAGCTGCAAGAGTACTAGAATCGGTACTTGGCAGCTCCGATACCACGATGTCGAAGGCTTTCCTGCAAGCATCAAGCTTGGCAATCTCTTTATAATCCGATGAGTCTGACACGACAAAACTTCCATCGACGAAGATGCTAGCAACGGTCTTCGTCCCACTTCGCCAGTATTTGATATCGACGTGCTTCCCCTGCTTTTGGCAGAGGTCAAACAGTCTTGTGACCGGTTGTGGCTGGCGCTCCAAATGTTCAAGTGTTACAATGGGTTCCAAAATACCTCTGAATATCTGCTAAACGGGAAACAGCAGTAATCATCATGTTACAGATGGAACTCATGAAAGCTATAGCCGGGTCAAGGAAAAGTTTGCAACTGGAATCATGTTAAAGAAAAATCCCACCTTCCAGAGCGTTTCGAGATTGAATCCCACGTCGGCATAGACAGCAGCTGCTATGGATTCAACGATGTCAGCAAGAACCTTGGGAGCTTTCATTGAGCCACCGTAAACCAGAGGGTCGCTCTCATCTTCTTGCCTTACTGCATATTCAAACTCCCTTACCTATAAGGAACTAAAGTTGGAAGGTAAGGAAGTGGTTAACTATGACAGAGAACTCCTTCTAACAATTCGATTTATTGAGACAAGTTGATTTATGATAGTCCGAGATGTATTGGAATACCTATTTTGAGTCAACACCAATATTTTAGAAACTTCACTTTACTGTCCGATCAGGTCGGAAATAGCGGAAAAAGAACTTAAAATGGTAGACAATTTTCGCGATATGGAAAGAACGAATCACAATTAAACTACAATTAAACTACAATTTTAAGTAGCTATACTTTTTTCAAGAAACAGAGTGTAGAAACCAAGTGTAGAAACAGAGTCCAAAACTTGGGGAGTAAGTTGACGACTGACCCGGTCGTCAAGAGCGGCAGAGTTCCGCCGGACGAACTTGTAGAACCCACGGCGAACCGCCACGCGGGCAAGCTTCTCGGTGCTGACGTTGGCGGCCCGGAGGAGGGAGAGATTACGCGGATCGAGCGGAGGGCTCTGCAGGAAGAGGTAATTGCTGACGGCGAGCTGAATCACGGCGTCGCCCACGAACTCCAGCCGCTGATAGTTCCTCGGGCTCGGGATCGACGACGAGTGCGTCAGCGCGTCCACCAGCAGCTCTTTGTCGTCGAAGACGTAGCCGAGTATCTTCTCCACCTCGGATACCGTGCCGGCGGAGCCGTATTGGTTGAAGAGGATCTGATCCATGGATCAAAAGGAGGTGCAGACTGCAGAGCTAAGGAGTAATTCGATGGCAGCAGAACAGAAATTCAAATTATTAGATTTCCAGAGGCAGTGCGATTTCAATCATTTAAGTAGCCTTAGGGAGACGAGACGACTGCTTTTTTCCGAAGAGGAAAATGGTGTCGGAAAGGCGACAAGAGGAAGACTAAAGAGCACTGAACAGTGCGATCGTGGGGTCTGATGACAAATGTTGCCGCGGTCGGTCATGGGTTGGATCCGGTACTTAAGGCTCATTGTTTAATGAGATTCTTAAATCATTTTTATTGGCTGGTGTTAGATTAGGTAGTTAATAAAAGGTTAGTAGTTAATAGTTAGTTGGAATAAATAAGATATTATGAAAATATAATTAATATTATTCATTAATGAATCTCTTTCTCTCTCCTCCTTGATCTTCATAACCCTTTCTCTCCACTACAATTAAAAGGAAATTCAAAATTAATTTAATTAAATATTATTATTTAATATTTAATAAATTCGAACTTAATATTTTTAATTTTTTAAAATGAAAATTGAAAATAAAAAATATATACTCTCTCTCACTTCGTGGCAACTTGCAATACAGTATTAACATTTTGCAATGACATTATCAACATTTATGAAATGAATCGTTATTATTATACCTCATCATTATTAACGACTTCAATATACTTATCAATTCCTTACAATTACATTATTAACAATTTTGGATCAATTGTTACTGTTTTATAGTTTCATCATCAACGCCTATGAATGGATCATTAAAGTTATGTAACATGATCATTAACAGTTTGAATAACAATATCATTGATTTACAACATCTTTTGTACTAATGATTAACATTTTCACATCATGTTTATAACTATCTAGTCATGGCCTTTCCAATGATTTCTAATGACATTATTAACGTTTTATGATTAATTAATATTGCTTTACATTATCATTCTCAATGATCATAAAACACAATACTGATTTTCGACATCTTGGGTACTTGTGACATAGTGCACCTGTGTGATTCAGTCAAACAAACATTGTCCAGAAAAATATTAGCTCAAGCAAACCAACATTCACGCCTCAACACCAAACTTTTAATAACAATACAATAAATCATTGATAACGAAAAGTATTTCATTGAAAATAAACACAAAACATCAATGTAAAAATGTCCTACTTCAACATTATAAAATACACCAAACTTTTAACAAAGATATTAAAAACCATTAATATTGAATGATCAAGTCACTGATAAGGAAATAGATTTTTGTAATAAAAAAATTATTAATAATATTCAGCTGCAATGTTTAATGTCAAATAGCACTAAAACGCATTAATAAGTAACATGTGTTTAATGGATAATGCATTAAAAAACGTTGATAATGATTAGGGATGGCAATGGGTCGGGTTGGGGCGGGTTTTGTCAAACCCAAACCCAAACTCATGGGTTTATCCGCCAAAAAAACTGGGGTAAAACCCGTTAGGTTTGAAAAACTCAAACCCAACCCAACCCGCCGAGTATCCGCGGGTACATGGGTACCCGTGGGTTTTTGTGGTAAAAAAATTTACAATAACAAGTTTCTTTTAAAATAAAAGTTTAGCATCAATTTTTTCATACAAATTAATCATAAAAAAATACCAACCTAGAGCATACAAGCAAACCGCAAATGATCAATACAAATTGTTCAAAATTAAAGATAAACATCTATAAACAATAAGATTAATTGAAAACTTCTTCCTCGTCAACTAAGTTTTTTCATTCTCCACTTCATCATATCAACTTCATTCTAAACAATTAGAAAGAACAAATTATACATGTCTCCGCAAACATAAAGAATATTAGTTGTTTAAGGAAGATATATTATTTAGAATATTAAATATACCGGAAAAGTAATTATATGTGTGCGGGCGGGTACCCATGGGGCGGGTTTACCTAAACCCAAACCCAACCCGACCCGGTGAATAGTGTAGCGGGTTTAAACCTGAACCCGGCCCAAAACTCGTCAACATGGGTTTTACCCGTGTTGACCGGGTTTTGGGTCGGATGGGTACCCGTGGGTTCGGGTTTTGTTGCCATCCCTAATAATGATAGCAATTAATGATTGTTAAGTACCTTATTAGATATTATTAATATCTTATTTTTCAAACATTGATAATGCTTATACATACCTATTAATAATGACACCAACTATGTTACTAACTTAGACGGAAAGATTAATAACCATAATTATATCATTAAACATAAATTCACTTTTGCTAATGTCATAAACAAACGAATTCCTAACAAGTATGCTTATTGATAATGACATTTGACAAAGTTACAAACATAAACGAAAAAATATTAATAATTCAAATCACTAAATATAAGCAATCTTACAAATGAAATAAATTTTTGCTAATGGTTGTATTGTGCTTGGAAAAAAAAACATTGATAATAACACTTCAAATGATTATAAATCGTTGCGAACCAAATTGATAATACGATGTAATAGTAAATAAACTTCAAGTACTTTCAAATTGAAAACACAATGTCACTTTTGCTAATGTTACAAACAAAACATAACATAAAAATTTAATAATGTCATATAAAATTATTAAAAAACATGTCGAACAACATTAATAATAACACAAACGAATACCTAACAACGAAAAATCTCAAACTCATGCAATGAGAAGCCCTAATGATGATTCAATTTATAAATATTGATAATGTCATTACAAAATGTTAATACTTAATACTAGTCGGAAGTTGCCAAGATGTGAGAGAGACATATATTTTAAATTTCAAATTTCTATTTTAGAAAAAGAAAATTATTAAATTTGGATTTTATTAATAAAATTAATTCCATATATCTTTCTAATTATAATGTAGAGAGAAGGTTATGGAAAAAATCATAGGAGGAGAGAGAAAGAGAATCATTAATTAATTATATTTACATACCCATTTATCCTTAAATACCTATTAACTACTAACCATCATTAACTACCTAATCCACTACCAACCAATAGGAAGGCTTTAAGATTCACCTTAAAAAATGAGGCTTAAGGACTTAAACTCAAGCCGACATGGGCTATTGTCTATAGGGTCTGCAACAGCCTCTGGCTGCTTTAACTGATAAAAGCCCAAGACCAGCCCGAGTGGCTTGGCCCAGGAGCGGATCCATAGTAGACAAAGCAATAACAATATATTCCATCAACTCGGCTATGATGCTCACAGTAGAAGTAGAACTATCAACCATCTTATCACCGGTGAATATCATTACCAAACAACCACCATTAGGGGGGGGGGGGTGTGATAATCGGTTATCGGTTATTCGGTTAAACCGAAAAGGCGATTAATCGGCTAACCGACAACTGATTAAATGCCCTGCGGTGTCTGTTCTTGTTTTGGGCGAATATGTATAACTGCCGGTTAGAAGTGAATAACCGCAATCGTGGCGGTTAATCGCAAAACCGTCGTCACCCCCCCCCCCCCCCCCAATGTGGAAGAAAGAAAAGAAAGCGAGAGAGGGAGTTGGGGAACGAATCGGCGTTGGGGAGAATGAAGGTGAATCGAAATGGAAGAGAAGGAAAAACGGAGAGGCAGGTCGAGAAGATGGGATCGAAGAGACAGGGTAAGAGGTTTGTTCGTATTCTTGTGAGGAAGAACAGAAGAGAGATGAGGGAGAAGGTTGAAGAAAGGTGAGCGGCGGTTAGGGTTAGGATTTAACTAGGGTTTGATTTGGGTCTTAAAAGAGACTATATACCCCTTCGCCTCTTCAAGGAGCGGTTCTACGTAGGGGTGGGCAACGGGAAACGGGTATTTGGGTATACCCGTACCCGTCCCGTTTTTTAAGGGTTACAGGTACCCATATTACCCGTAATATTTTAAACGGATGGGACTTGGGATTGTACAGTCCTAATATGGGTACCCGCGGGTTACTCGCGAATACCCGTTTGGGTAATATGGGTACCCGTTGTACTCATTCAAATTACAAAGACATGTAATTCAGCCCATGAGCCCAGGCCCAACCCAATTCAAAATCCATTAAAATTACAAAATCCATTTAATTCAGCCCGTGAGAGTTGAGACGCTGACGCACCCCTAGGCCCTAGAAGACGCGAGACACGCGACGGCAGGCGGCAACTTCTCTGGAATTTGGAAAGGTCTGTCTCTGTCTTGTGTCTTGTCCCTGGCTGGAGGAGTCGTCTTCGCGGGACGAGAGAGAAGAGACGAAAGGTCGAAACCTAGCTCGCCTCGGGCCTCGGCGCCTCCTTCATCCCAAATCCATTTTAACTTTGGGTATTTATGGGAAGTATGGGTACCCGTTATCCATCCCGTACGGATAATGGGTACCCGTTTCCCATATGGGTTTGGGATATGGGATGGACTTTGATCTCCAAATGGGACTGGGTACCCGTTTAAAACGGGACGGGTATCCCGTCCCGTCCCGTTGCCCACCCCTAGTTCTACGTCAACAATAGAAATCGCTCCTTGAGCATGCGGTTTATTGCCTCGACACACAAACTGTTTCTTCCCCCAACGGTGTGTGTGTCGTCCCCATACATCCGACATGTCGGCATGCAGTGGGTGGGGTTGCACGACAGACTAGAAACCGACAATGATGATTAATTATGTATATTAGTGTTAATTAGATTTGTATATGGTTGTTGATTTATTTATGTATTAGTGTTAATTAATTTTGTGTTTACCTGTGATGTATTTATATAATAAATTAGATAAATGTTGTTATATTAAGGGAAACGTTTTTAAACTCTTGTTCATTCATAACCGTGTAAGAAACTATAAAAAAATAAAACGAAGACATAAAACAAAAGTTTAATGCTACATATTATTACACGGAAAAAATCAAAATCCACCACTAATTAAAAAATATATCACCTAAATCGAAAATTTTACGAATCTACCACCATTATTGAAAACCACCACCCAAGGATGTGTCTTGCATATGTTTTTAACAAACCGCCATCTGGGAAGGCAGTTCATTGGGCTGCCCTACAACAAACCGCCTCTCCAAGAAGTGGTTCTACGTTAGCTTACCGACTCGTGTAGCGGGAGCGGCTGCGAGAGCGTCTATTCATAAAGAGTTATAAATTCAGAGTGTTGTGAGAGCGTTAATATTATATTATTTTAATTAAAATAATTTAAAATAATATCAAAATTAGACAAATTACTCCCACTCATAGGAAAAATGAGACTAATTGGAAAGTTCTGTGGTTACATCCTAAGTCCTAACTTAGTCAAACAAGAAGCATCACTAACTTAATAGCCAATGTCTTTAGTAGCCTAAAATGATAAAATCCAATTAGATACCAAGATTTTTTTTTTATAAACATGCCTATTTGATAATGCACAACACAAGCGTAAGCGTATCATTATCTTGTTAGGCATAACCCATAGCCCACAGGAACTAACAGATAAAAGGAGACCATGGCCCAACTAAATGATTGAGCCCAAACTGGGTTGTCGATTGAAACCCTAAACGAAACTCCGCTAAGTTGATCCAAAAATTCACTCGACGGAACTTACATCCTGTCGATCCACACCATCTTCTCATCGACAAATCCCCCCTTTCTCCTTACAACCTTCCACTCTTCGAAACCCAAATCGTTGATCCAAACTGCAATATCATGCGTCATCAAGAAGTCGTTTCCCATAGAGTTCAAAATCTCCCAGTTGAAAGATTCTCTTTCACATGCAAAGACTTTAGGATCTATCCAGAAATAGCACCATTAAAATAAATACAAAAATAGCACCCAGGCCACACAAATTTCAAAAGTAGCACATTTTTTTTCAAAATCGCACCTTGGCCGTGCTGTTTACATATAAACCGCAACCTGAGGGTGCGGTTTGAGTTTCAGAGACTAAACCGCATCGTGGCCAAGCGATTTGCTTTCTGACCTAACAGAACCGCATCATGGCAAGGCGGTTCTTAGGCTGACCTAATAAAACCGTCTGCTGAGAATGCGGTTCTGTTTCTCCAACACAAACCGCATCCTCAGGGTGCGGTTTTCATTTGCCGACACACAAACCGCACCCTCCCCTTGCAGTTTGTGTGTCGTTCCCATTTATCCGACATCCAGCATGTTGGCCATGCAGGTTGACAGACGTGTGGCTGCAAGGTAGATCAAAACCGTACCCTCCCCCTGCGGTTTTCAGTGATGATTTAGCCTATAAAAGGCAGCCTCGGGAAACCACTTCTCTTACACACCTCTCCTTCTTCTTCAATTTTCTGTTGAAGCACCATACTTTTTATTATTTTGCGATTAACGTTAACTCGTAAGTTTATTTTGTATTACTTTTTATTGTCATTTGTGATTTTTATGATTTTAACTGAATTACGATTTATTGCAGATGGTGGTAGATATTAGCTAGGCACGCGGATGCCCAGCTCAACTCCCTCATTGCATCCCATCTACCAAGGAGGATCCTAAGCCATCCACAACTAATTAAATTGTTGAATTTTTTGAAGAACACTCCTCCAATCATGCCTATGAGATAGACTCCAACCGTTCCGTTTTTAGAAAGGGCAAGATAACGTCGTTCCATGAGAGCAGATTGGTCGTACCCCTGTAGCGGAGTATTTGGTATGCCTCCTATGTGCTCCACACGGTTGGAGTCGATTAGGCATGGTCGTACCAAATACTCCGCTACAGGGGTACGACCAATGTGCTCTCATGGAACGACGTTATCTTGCCCTTTCTAAAAACGGCACGGTTGGAGTCAGTTATGCATTTTTCGGGCATAAAAATCGGTCGTCAGCTCATCACCGCATTGGTGGAGAGATGGCAAAAAGAGACACATTGCTTCAACTTTCGCGAAGGAGAGTGCACCATCGCTCAAAAGGACGTCGCTATCCTAACCCTTCTGCCCATTGACGGCAAAGCGGTGTGTGTGAGTGATCATCGTCCGAGGATGTTGGCGATATGACCGGTTGGCAGCATTTGATCTACATTGTTTTAGGGGTGCGAGTGGCAGTCAAGGGGAGCGTTGATGCGACAGATCGCTTAGCACCATTGAGAAAAAATCAAGTATCAATCACTTGGTTGACGAGGAAAGTCCCGAGGAGGTGAAGGAAAGATATGCCCGTGTCTATCTCATAGGCATGATCGGAGGAGTGTTCTTCTCCGAAAAAGAAAAAAAAATCCAACCAATTAATTAGCTGTGGATGGCTTAGTATCCTCCTTGATAGTTGGGATGCGATGGGGGAGTTGAGCTGGGCATTGGCTTGCCTAGCTAATATCTACCACCATTTGTGTAATGCATCTCTCAAAACTGTGAGGGAGGTTGGCGGGGCAATGTTCATCGTTCAATTTTGGGCTTGGGAGCATCTGTCATGGATTGCACCATAGATTATTGTACCTCAAGAATTCGAGCATGACATCTACTTCATTCTGAGTGGTTATGAGATATTCCTCATGCCACAACGACCCGCCTTCTCTGTTTGGATATCGGTATACCATACGATCAACTCTTCTCGTGCCATCCATGCAAGTAACGTTAGTACAAATTTGATGGAGGTTTTCAAGCATTGGTCACCGACGTAGGTGACCCCCTTTCGGTCACTTCTGTATAACCATTCCAACATAACCCAAGTGTGAACTTATGGAACGCCATTACAATAAAACCATAATTCAATTAAAATCGTAAAAATCACAAATCGCAATAAAAAGTAATACAAAATAAACTTACGAGTTAACGTTAATCGCAAAAACAATAAAAAGTATGGTGCTACAACAGAAAATTGAAGAAGAAGAAGAATGAGAGGTGTGAAGAGAAGAGGTTTCCCGGGTTTGCCTTTTATAGGCTAAATCATCACTGAAAACCGCAGGGGGAGGGTGCAGTTTTGATATGTCATGCAGCCCCACGTCTGTCAACCTGCATGGCCAACATGCAGGATATCGGAAAAATGGGGACGACACACAAACCGCAGGGTTAAGCGATTTGTGTGTCGGCAAATGAAAACCACAGCCTGAGGATGCGGATTGTGTTAGAGAAACAGAACCGCATCCTCAGCAGGCGATTTTGCTAGGTCAGCCTAAAAATCGCCTTGCCATGATGGGTTATGTTAGGTTAGAAAGCAAACCGCTTGGTCAAGATGCGATTTAGTCTATGAAACTCAAACCGCACCCTCAGATTGCGGTTTATATGTTAACTGCACGTCCAATGTGCGGTTTTGAAAAAAATGTGCTACTTTTGGAATTTTTCTGGTCTGGGTGCTATTTTTGTAAAAAAAATTAATGGTGCAATTTCTGGAAAAATCCCAAAGTCTTTGCATGTGAAAGAGAATCTTTCAACTGAGAGATTTTGAACTCTATGGGAAACGACTTCTTGATGACGCATGATATTGCAGTTAGGATCAACGATTTGGGTTTAGAAGAGTGGAAGGTTGTAGGGAGAAAGGGGGGATTTGACGATGAGAAGATGGTGTGGATCGTTAGGATGTAAGTTCCGTCGAGTGAATTTTTGGATAATAGTATGAACGTCTTTAGAAAGGGATCTACAGAGGATTTTGCTGAAACGAGGAAGAAGGGAGCATGGAAATGAGTCGGCGGCTGGGATCTCAACTTAGCGGAGTTTCGTTTAGGGTTTCAATCAACAACCCAGTTTGGGCTCAATCATTTAGTTGGGCACGGTCTCCTTTTATCTGTTAGTTCCTATGGCCTATGGGTTATGCCTAACAAGATAATGATATGCTTGTGTTGTGCATTATCAAATAGGAAAGTTTATAAAAAAATTCTCGGTATCTAATTGGATTTTACCATTTTAGGCTACTAAAGACATTGGCTATTAAGTTAGTGATGCTTCTTGTTTGACTTAGTTAGGACTTAGGATGTCACCACAAAACTTTCCAATTAGTCTCATTTTTCCTATGAGTGGGAGTAATTTGTCAAATTTTGATATTATTTTAGTTAAAATAATATAATATTAACGCTCTCACAACACTCTGAATTTATAATTATTTATGAACAGACGCTCACACGCTCTCGCAGCCGCTCCCGTTCCACGAGTCGGTAAGCCAACGTAGAACCACTTCTTGGAGAGGCGGTTTGTTGTAGGGCAACCCAATGAACCGCCTTCCCAGATGGCGGTTTGTTAAAAACATGTAAACCGCCACCTTATCATGCGGTTCATATGGGAATGCGTTAGGGTGGTAACTAAAATTTTAGTAGCCACCGTGGCTAGGGGTGTACATGGGTCGGGTGGTCCGGGTTTAGGCATTTTAATCACCCGACCCATGCACTACGGTTTGGGAAATATTAAACCCAAACCCACCTAAAAAAATATAAACCCTACGGTTTGTTTCTAATTGGGTTGGGTCGGGTTGGCGATATTTTTAAGTAAAAACCCAACCCAACACAAAATATGTAATTATTCTACATCATAAAAATATTTTATAAAAAATTAAAAATTCAAACGAATAAACCGAGGTGAAAGGTATCAAAATTCACAAATATTGTTTGAATTTTAATAAAACTTGATTTACTTCAACTTATGTCTAGTTTTTTTCATGCCATTTGTTGAAATAGGCTAAAAAGGTTACAAATGAACGCATCCATAATATGATATTCTTTTAAAATTGTACACAAGAAAAAAAAATACGTGAATCATAGCTATATTAAATATATGTCTAAACTTTAAGTCGAAGAATGCATTAGATTAGTGAGACTTTAATAGAAAAACATGGCGAAATATCTTAATTTTCTCATAAGTATGACTATATACGACATAAATATTTTTTTGGATACGAACTCATACCAATAATTGGAACACGGGTTGGGTCGGGTTCTACGGGTTGTGTAATCTAAAATCCAAACCCAACCCAAATGAGGCGGGTTGTACAAAAGAAAACCCTCACCCAACCCAAAACCTTCGATTTAGCGACAAATACGGGTGGGTTGGGTCGGGTTGGACGGGTGGGTCGGTTTGCGGGTGTGTTTGTTCACCCCTAACCGTGGCTACATCATTATCTGCAGTCCATTTTTATTTTTTTTATTTTTTAATCTCATGGTTAAGATTACGTCAGGGTAATTTTGGAAACGAAAAAGAGTCCACACTGGATTATTCTATATATTCTACCCAAACCCTACTTCTACACTCCCCTCCCTCCAACCAAACACTACTTCAGACGGTTGTCGACTGCGGACTGCCCGCCCTCCATCCCTCTCTCCTCCGACCACTTCCCTTCGCCAGCCATCCCTCCCCCTCCCTCCCAATCCCCTGTCTCTCTCTTCACATATGTTCTTCCTCCGCGGTAGAACCTCCCCACTAATATATACCTAAAATCCAATCCCCTTCCCCCACCCCTCTCTCTCCTTCTATTCTTCTTCAGCAAAAATGACAAATGGGATAAAGAATTTCTTTTTGCGGAATTCGACTGAAATAACAGAACAATTGATTTTTTATTGGTATGTACTTTCTCGCATTGGTAGTATTTTTTTCCCGTAACGGTAGTGTTTTTTTGCATTGGTATTGAAAATGTGGGATGAATAAGAACTCTAGATCTGATTTTTTTCATGAGACCAAAACCGCATCTTAACCATGCGGTTTCAGGTCTGACCTACAGAAACCGCATGGCCGAGGTGCGATTTTGGCATGACCTAGCAAAACCGCACCTTGGAGATGCGGTTTGTTTCTCCAAAACAAAACCGCATCCCCAATGTGCGGTTTTGCCATACAAACCGCACCCCCAAGGTGCGGTTTTGCCATACAAACCGCACCCCCAAGGTGCGGGTTTGGTCAATTATTTTTCGACATGCCATGCAAAATAACAGACGTGGGATAATATCAAGTTAACACGACAAAAATGGACAAAGCCAATTACAAGTTAAACGAATTGGGATAATATCAAGATAAGAGGAATAGTTCCAAGTACATAGAAATAAAAACAAATTGAAACAACACTCAATTAAATAAACTAAGATAAGGGAAATAGTTCCAAGTACATATAATTAAAATTCAACTCAAAATACATCTCAAGGAAGTCCACGAGCTTCACCGGAAGTCCACGAGTTTCACCGGAAGCGACGGTTTTCTTGCTCCTTGTACGACGGCCGATGGGAGTAACAACAGGTGGTTGCGGTGGCAAGTTTCGAATGGCCGAGGTAGTGTGGCGCTCATCGACTCTTCCGGGGTCGAGCGGGAGACATCTGCGCTCATACGGTGAGGAGTAGGAGGCCACGGCTGATGAGGGAGAGTCAATGGGTTGAATTCGTGGGGCGCCGTCGTGGAGGAACCATCATGCCAAGTACCCGATTGGGGGTAGACCGGGCGGGAATCGTAGTATGTTTGGCGGGGAGATGGGGGATAGACTAGGCGTGAATCGTAGTATGTTTGGCGGGGAGACGGGGGGTAGACCGGGCGGGAATCGTATGATGGTTGGCGGGGATTAGGGGTGTAAGTTTGACCCTTAAAACCCACTAACCCGCCCCACCCCGACCCTCAGGGTCGGGCTGGGTCAGTTTGTCTATAGGGTCAATTTAGGGTCGGGTCAGGGTCAGATAGGGTCGGGTCACTTTTTGACCCTATGACCCTTAGCATCATACAAACATGTTGGACCTATTTGTAAAATTTTATAAGTTTAGGTACTAAATTGTAAAAATTAAAAATTTGGGTACCAAAACGTAATTTTACCATCAAATTTTAGGGAGTTATTTGTAAAAAAATAAAATTTAGGTACTAAAATGTAAGAAAAAATAATTTCGGGTACCAAATTGTAATTTTTAGAAAAGTAGTCTATTTATTAGGGTCGACCCACTGAACCAACCCTTCCTGACCCGGCCCGACCCTAAAGGGTCAGACAGGGTCATGAAAGAAACATGGTCGGGGCAGGTCAGTTATACATCTTGACCCTTCAGGGGCGGGTCAGATAGGGTCAGGGGAGGGTCAGGCCAATTTTCAGCCCTAGCGGGGATCGTTGTATGAGATCGAGTTAGGATCATATGGGGATTGATGGAGACTCGGAGGGGATTGATGGTCGGTCGAGCGGGGATCGTAGTATGAGCTTGGGTGGGGATCGTTGTGGTAGGAGGGGAGGTGCTCTTGGAATGAACTCGGGCGGGGAGCTTGAGAGGAACTCGGGGCGGCACCATGTGTCACAACCAATGGGGCGGCACTTTCCACGCCTGATATGGCGTTACGTCTTGCACGTTGGGCCTTTCCCGAACCCTCTTGCTCTTTTTTCTCTCGTATGGTGGTGGGGGATCGGGGACATCAACTTGTACCGGAGGTGGCGGGGGTGCGGGCATGGGCGGATATCTACGATGATCCCGACCCTGAGCTCTGATACAGCCAAGCAGACTGTTTGCCATCCTCCTAATGAAGCTCACATCTTCATTGCCCAGCTCAACTCTTCCGGTGGTCATACCTTTGATCCGCTCGATCGCATCAGCCTAAATCACAAAAAAAAATATTAGAAAAAAATTTAGGCGCCAAGTAATAAATTTAATTGTTTAGAAGGAATATACTTATGCACCATCTGCCGCACCCTCCGGAGTCATGTACCGAACCGATGTTTGCCGACATCGATCCAAGTATGGGTCATGATACTCCATTCGACCCACTTGAGTTGGAGTGACAATATCCTGCATTTGTCAGTTGTCCCACATCGTGATGAATTTCGCCAACTTCGGGGCCAATCGTGAGTACCTTGCCGACCATCTCAGTGGTGAAAGACCGTTTGACTATCGAGGACCTCATATAGAATGCACTGCTCCCGACCAAACTGACGGAGGCATCGATTCGGCAAGTGCCACTCCACGGTTCCAAAACAAATTAGAGGGACACTCGTGCACCATTGCCCGATATGACCGGGGAATTGCTAGATATGCCATTGAACGATGTTCTCCGGGTATGAATCGAAGACGATCTACAAGAAAGAAATGAGTAACTTAAGTTTATCAGAATTGGAAAAATACATGTACTCCATGAAAAAATGATATAAATGGATCGAAGTATAGAAGTTACCTCTCCTTCCCAAAGTCGCTGAAACCTCCTCCAATACTGGTCCAACTTGTGTTGGGCAAGGTTGTCGCATGTTGTGTGTCCGAGCCACCTTATTAATAAGACAATAATGAAACTACAATAAGCTAACACACAAGGGAAAATGTGTTATGAAAAAAATGATGGGTATGAGAAGTTTATCTTGTACCATAAGATTCACCTCTTAGGGGATGATCGATTAGTCAATCCCTGTCGGGACGTTGGACCGGTGCAATTTATGGCATATGCTCTCAAGCCCAAAATTGGATGATGAACATTGCGCCGCCGACCTCCCTCGCAGATTTTAGAGACGCATTGCACAAATCTGTGATAGAGTTCGGCGGCGCAATGTTCATCGTCCAATTTTGGGCTTGGGAGCATATGCCATGGATTGCACCGGTCAAACGTCCCGACAGGGATTGACTAATCGATCATCCCCTAAGAGGTGAAGCTTATGGTACAAGGTAAACTTCTCATACCCCATCATTTTTTTCATAACACATTTTCCCTTGTGTTTTAGCTTATTGTAGTTTCATTATTGTCTTATTAATAAGATGGCTCGGACACACAACATGCGACAACCTTGCCCAACACAAGTTGGACGAGTATCGGAGGAAGTTTGAGCGACTTTGGGAAGAAGAGGTAACTTCTATACTTCGATCCATTTATATCATTTTTTCATGGAGTACATGTATTTTTCCAATTCTGATAAACTTAAGTTACTCATTTCTTTCTTGTAGATCGTCTTCGATCCATACCCGGAGAACATCGTTCAATGGCATCTCCAGCAATTCCCCGGTCATATCGGGAAATGGTGCACGAGGGTCCCTCTAATTTGTTTTTGGACTGTGTAGTGGCACTTGCCGGATCGATGCCTCCGTCAGTTTGGTCGGGAGCAGTGCATTCCGTTGGAGATCCCCGATAGTCGAAAGGCCTTTCACCACCGAGATGGTCGGCAAGGTACTCACGATTGGCCCACGAAGTTGGCGAAATTCATCACGATGTGGGACAACCGACAAATGCAGGATATTGTCACTCCAACTCAAGTGGGTCGAATGGGGTATCATGACCCATACTTGGATCGATGTCTGCAAACATCGGTTCGGTACATGACTCCGGAGGGTGCAGCCGATGGTGCATTAGTAAGTATATTCCGTCTAAACAATTAAATTTATTACTTGGCGCCTTAATTTTTTCTAACATTTTTTTTTATTTAGACTGATGAAATCGAGCGGATCAAAGATATGACCACCGGGAGAGTTGAGCTGAGCAATGAAGATGTGAGCTTCATTAGGAGGATGGCAAACAGTCTGCTTGGCTGTATCAGAGCTCAGGGTCGGGATCATCGTAGATATCCGCCCATGCCCGCACCCCCGCCACCTCCGGTACAAGTTGATGTCCTCGATCCCACACCACCATACGAGAGAAAGAAGAGCAAGAGGGTTCGGGAAAGGCCCAACGTGCCCGACGTAACGCCATATCAGGCGTGGAAAGTGCCGTCCCCATTGGTTGTGACACATGGTGTCGCCCCGAGTTCCTCCCAAGCTCCCCGCCCGAGTTTCCCCCAAGGTGCCGGCCCGAGTTCCTCCCAAGCTCCCCGCCCGAGTTCCGCCCAAGATCCCCGCCCGAGTTCACCCAAGAGCACCGCCCCTCCTACCACAACTATCTCCACCCAAGCTCATACTACGATCCCTGCTCGACCTACCATCAATCCCCTCCGAGTCTCCATCAATCCCCATATGATCCCAACCCGATCTCATACAACGATCCCCGCCAACCATCACAAGATTCCCGCCCGGTCTACCCCCCATCTCCCCGCCAAACATACTACGATTCCCGCCCGGTCTACCCTCAAGATCCCCCTACATCATCGGGTACTTGGCATGATGGTTCCTCCACGACGGCGCCACACGAATTTAACCCATTGACTCACCCTCATCAGCTGTGGCCTCCTACTCCTCACCGTTTGAGCGAGGATGTCCCCCGCTCGACCCCGGAAGCGCCGCCTCCCCGCCGACACAGCACCGACAAGCGCCACACTACCTCGGTCATTCGAAACTTGCCACCGCAACTACCTATTGTTACTCCCGTCGGCCGTCGTACAAGGAGCAAGAAAATCGTCGGTTCTGGTGAAGCTCGTGGACTTTCTTGAGATGTATTTTGAGTTGAATTCTAATTATATGTACTTGGAACTAGTCCCCTTATTTTAGTTTATTTAATTGAGTGTTGTTTCAATTTGTTTTTATTTCTATGTACTTGGAACTATTCCTCTTATCTTGATATTATCCCAATTCGTTTAACTTATAATTGGCTTTGTCCATTTTTTTTCCGTGTTAACTTGATATTATCTCACGTCTGTTATTTTGCATGGCATGTCGGAAAATAATTGACCAAAACCGCACCTTGGGGGTGCGGTTTGTGTGGCAAAACCGCACCTTGGGGGTGCGGTTTGTGTGGCAAAACCGCACCTTGGGGGTGCGGTTTGTGTGGCAAAACCGCACCTTAGAGATGCGGTTTGTTCCGCATCTCCAAGGTGCGATTTTGCTAGGTCAGGCCAAAACCGCACCTTGGCCATGCGGTTTCTGTAGGTCATACCTGAAACCGCATGGTTAAGATACGGTTTTGGTCCAGGATTATGGACCGCACCTTAGAGGTGCGGTTTATATATAAAACGCACCTCTAAGGTTCATAAAAAATGGTGCTATTTTTGTAAATATTTTCGGCTGAGTGCTATTTTTGTAATTTTTTTTAAAAGGTGTTATTTCTAGAAAAATCTCATTAATCATTATTTGCCAGTCAGACGCCTCTTTTGGAAGAAAAGACAATCTATCTATCTATACTATATATTATGACAATTCAAAAGTAACTTCTTGTCACATAAGCACTTGGAGAAATAACAAGTTGCCTAGGTGGACATTTTTTTACTAACAATTTTTTTTATTATTGATCTATTTATGAAGCTATCTCTCTTCTTTTAGTATTTATGCTCACTTTTACTCAACATTAATAATAAGTTACATTGAGAATGTAAATAAAAACATGTAAAAAATAATAATATTTTTGTCAATTAAACAAAATATAAAGATGGAACAAAGAATGACAAATATCGAGTTTGTTTAAACAAAAAATATATGATTAAATTTTATCAAGTAAATTATCTACTCATTTTAATCAAAACTTAATAATAAGTTACATTTTAATGAAAATTTTAAAGAAGTACACACATAAATAATAATATCTTTGTCTGTTAAATAAAATATAACGACACAAAGAGACAAATCAAGCGTTTGACAATCAATCGACTTTGAAAAATAAAATATATAAATTATATATTAAACCTTCCCTGCAGTATGCTCTTTCATGAGTGAGATGCTACTAGCTATATGATTATGATTTGGTCAGTAAGTAAAACGTAGCAGAAGGTTATAAGTAGAAGGGAACACATGTGAGGTTTTATAAAGGTGCGAAGAAGAAAGAAAATGGTGGTGGTAGTCTCTAAATTGACTATGTCAACGTTCTTTCAATTTTTTAAACGTTTGCAATGACATTTATTTGTTTCATTAGCGTGAATTTTTGCCTCATTGAATCCCTAACTAAAACTTGATTTTGGCCCGATCGTTTTTTGAGAACAACTATTTTGATTGATGCATCAATCGTGTTCATAAATGAAAATTATACAAGATACAATGAGATGAGTTTTATTGAAGTATGCAGCTTTTACAATTCGTCTATGTTGTTATTAGGTAAAAAAATACACCATTTTTTTTAAAGGGGGCATGTAGCTCTCTACGAATATAAAATGTGTTTATATGCAGTTTACTTTGCTGAATATCGTTTAATAAATTAGTGACAACTAATAGTTCTATTTTTGGTTGGTTTTGCTATAACATTTTAAAGATAAATTAAATGAATAAGCACAAGATGGATGATGTGGATGCTAATGTGTTTTCTCATTCTTCCAAAATTGCACAAATAACTAGTAGTGCACGATGTTCGTAGGATCTAGAGCGCAATAGTATGTATTATCATATACCAACATACGAGAAGGAAGAAGAAATGAAAAACTCTTTGCTTATTTTTTTATAATTAAAATATATTTGCTTATTTAATTTGTTTAAACTTCTTTGTCACTATTGTTTGCTAAAAAATTAATAATCTCTTATGTTTATATCCTAAATTATGGTTTCGGTACCAACTTATAATTAATCAAAGAAAGGTCTATCGAGAGCTTATTTAATAAAATCAAAATTTCATAAATAAACAAAAGATTTAAAAGTGTGTAACAATACCTAAAATCAAGTAAGTGAGATTAACAATTCAATGTATAATAGTTTAACATACATAAATCATAAAAAAATAATAGAACGAAAAATAAAACACCGATACGAATGCGCCGCCTAACGGGCGGGTAAAAAGCTAGTCTCTAATTAAAGATTATATCAAACAAACATAGTCCAAAACTTAGGTGGAAGGTTGGATTCTACTTACCTTACCCGGTGGAGGTGGAGTTTCGTTCCGCCCGGCCGGACTTGTAGAAGAACCCACGCCGATTGCCGACGGCCGCACGAGCTTGCTCTTCGACTCCTAACATGGGCAGCTCGCAGGAGAGAGAGAGAGGTAACCTAGATCCAGCTGCAGGAAGAAGAGGTAACGGCTGAGGGCGAATTGAAGCTTGAACGGTATTTGATTTGAGTAGAGCCTCGTCCGTGAACTGAAAGGAAGCCTTCAGAAACTTTGAGAAAGGGAGAAAGTGTGTGTGAAAGTTGGGGAAAGCCAAAGTCGACGACTAGGGCAGACGTTCCAATAAAAGTTTCAAAACGGCCCTTTCAGGCTCCAGGGGACTAAAATGGGGAAAAGAGTGTCGGCCACAAGAAAAAGCTGTCGTATTTGTGAAAACCGCATCGAAACCGCGCGTTTAGTGAAAAACCGAACAAAATAGTTAATTTTGTAGTGGCGGATATTATATTGTCTATTTTGTGGTTCGATTTTAACCGCAATCAAAACCGAATAACTCATAACTAAGGCCCACAGCCCACTGCCCACTAACAAGGAACCAACGTCGAGGCCCAGCCCATGTATAGCTAAACTAGTCGCCGTCCACCCGCCCCGACTTCCGACCGCCGGAGAAGAAGGATGCGCCGGCCGCCCGTCCCGTCCTCGCTCCTTAGCTGACTTGCCGTCGTTCGCCCGTCCCATCCTCTTCCTCATCCTCTGCTCGACCCGAGCAAGCAAGTACCACCAAGCAGGCAGCTGACTCAGGAATCTTTTGTAGGGATGTCCTCTTTTAAAAAGCAAATTAAATTAAAATACAAAAATACCCGACTCGTACGACGTTAAAAAAAAAATTCACGATGTGTTTTCATATTCGGAAATAATTGTAGAATACACTGAGTGGCTACACTGCTCAAAAAATTGTCTATGTATATCTTACTAGACAATCATTCACGAACTTATCGCATATTTGATTCTTAAATTTGTTATTGATGTAACCCAAAGCCGAAAAAGACTCTTTCAACACTTGTCTTACAACCATAAAATCAATACAGATTATGAGTAGCTTGAAATTAGGTTAATTGTTAGATTTTGAAAATAATTAGAGATAGGAAATGTCAATTTACTATTATACAGTGTTTAAAACCGAACAACAAATGAGTTGTAGCCAAATAGAAATAAACTTTATTAATAGTAGTAGACTAGTAGTGTCCTAGCTAGGTTTGAATTATCCAAACTACCACTTATATTCTCATACACAAACTAAACTAAAGAATGAGAGTAGGATAATCATTTTTTCAAATTTCAGGGGTGTCCCTCACTACCAAATATAAACTTTTATTCATACGTAAATTACCACCGGGGGTTGGATAATCGTTTTCTCAAAATTTAGGGATGTCCTGCCCCTACCGACAAGCAGCATCCCACGTGGCCACACTTCTCGGCTCCCACCTCCAGGTCAATGCAGTTAGTGATGTGGTTAACCGCACATCGCCACGGTTGGCAAATATGGACTATTCTCAATTGCATTTAACCGCAAATTTCGGTGCGATTAACAGCAACCGCACCTGCACCGATTTCCAGTCCTGCCTTAGCCTAGATTGATAAACAGTGACTCCTTAGATACGAACACTGATACGACTCACAGGATGTTAGTAAAAAACTGTCCTCGCAGCACTGCTCATTCATTGAATCAGGAACTGACGCTCTGCAACCATAAGATGGACTGCAGTATTGCAGTGGTTCTATGAAATCAACGTGCCATAAACTATTGCCAGTCACAACTCACAAATCAAGTCCAATATGACAAACAAGAGGTAGTCCTTTTCCTCATTCTCTTTTTTTTTTCTTTGAAAGCCAAACATAAAATTACCCCCCTTACAAGAAGACAGTTTCTCTTTATAAACATATTCTATCTTTATCTACAGCCCAAATAGAAATTAAGCTCAATAAACAAGTTGATGTAGACTTCATCCTTTGAGATAGAAGGCTGTCAACATAATAGGTAACATTCAGAACCCAACTCCATCGCCAGACAATCAATTGATAAGCATCCACAAGAAAGGCCAGCCAGCTACAACTACCAGCACTTTCACTCCTTTTACTTCTATCCTAGAATTAACACCACCAACTCCAAGGTAGACTCGACCCTCATTGCAGTTCCAGATTGATGATTCTAGTTTACCAACATATGATCAAATCCTCCACCACCCTGAAGTCCAGCAGGAACGCGGTTCACCCCGACATTGTGAAGCAACTGTTGCAGCCATCGCCTTGTGGTGGGATCTTCCTGCAAAACCTCACGTAACAGCAATTACAGCTCAATGTCCATCCTCCAGGGAGAAAAAAGCAACACAGAGATGTGAAAAGCGGAGTTTCTTACGCGAAGACAGCTGTTGAAGGTAGCATCTCTCAGCATTTCTGGTAGGCAACTCCTTAGTGCATCACATGCCCTGAGGTTGTCAGATAGTCGAAGGTAGCATCTGATGATATGCTTCAGCAACCTAGGAGATGGCTGTTCAGAAAGCGCCGTCACCATGTTACCGAGAACTCTTCCTACTGCGAAAAACCTTTCTGCTGTGGTACAGATGTAATCAAGACCCACGTCGTCCAGTAATATCTTCTGAACTATAAATGTTGCGACCTGCCATCAACAGGAAAGAACTTCTCGCTGTCAGTTTCCTGTGGCACAACTTAAAAAACAAAATATGAGGGGCTCGTTGCAGCCGTTGTCTTGTTTGGATAGGAACAGGATGACCACTCCCTTTAGTAAAGATATAAAGAAGGCATAGAGTAAGGGCACCAACCGTCTTTGACAGTTCACTCCCCATCTCCATGGTACGCAGACACAAGGGGATTATTTCAGTTGACAGAAGGAAACTAATGACTTCAGTGTCATCAACCTGGCAATTTTAAAGAAAAAATATGTATGATGCTGCAGCAGTGGACGAACTTTAGATTGTCCGTAGGAGTATCAGCAATCACAGGTAGATACAAATAGAACAGGAACAATAAGAAATACCTTCACCAAAGCACCAATGACACCTAAACTAGTAAGTCTCAAGTACTCAAAAGGCCTGGACTTGTTTGTTGTGTTGAGGAAAGGGTACAGATAGAGAGGTATATGAGCTGCAAATCAACAGTTCAGAATAAAAAGGCACAAGTGTCAGAAATAATCCAAAGAGAAAGAGCATGCCGAAGAAACTAGTAGCATCTCTGGAGCGTTTGCATTGCTACAGTACTGGATAAAGGAAATACATATATTTTGCAGGATTTTTGCAGGGGTGAGAGATGAAGCAAGAGTATTACCATTAAGGAACAACATCCTTGTATCTGGATGAGAGGCAACACACTGTGAGGGAACAGAGAAAATTATGATGCATTAGCAATATTCTCTTAAATAAGTAACCACAACACAAGTTACCCAATATGTATTAGGAAATGTCTTTACCCACTTGATAGGGAAAAAGAAAGAAAAGGTAAGGGAGGTGTTTCTTCAAAAAGTTTAATCACCTCCAAACTACCCATGTTGTCTATCTAAACCCTTCAACTTACGGACCCAAAAGGTACTTAACTGCTAACATGAAGATTTTGATTTACTGTTTTCAAACACAAGTACACAACTATGTGTTAAAGGACTTCTCTGTCAAAAGCACTATAATTATTTCGCAGAACTGATCTTCAAAGATTGGGCCATAAAATATAAAATGTGGATATTTTCAGCCTATGCAAGCAAAATATGGTCATTGTATTGACTCATGATTATGTTAACGGTGTATATGTTGTGTAAACGCAGAAAAGTCCAGTACCCAAGGTCATAGAAGTGAACATAATCACCATCCAACACTGAAGTAATACAACAAAGTATCTAACCTGAAGCAGAGCAAGGGCGTTGCAGACCCTATTTGATTGAGCAGGGCTTAAGTTTGGCGGAGACAGAACAGGATATATTGAAACTATTTCCTGCAAGTAGAAATGAACAAATGAGAATTGCCTAAAGATGAAACGTTTATATTGCTTACCAATTGGGAATATTGAAGTGGGTGGTACCAAAATCAAAACAGGCATACCAAATTCCAGAACTAACTATTTTGGAATAGGACCATTGATCTGGAGTATTTTCAGTACAAAGCACTTGTAACATTATTAGCATCATGGAGTCAATAAACGGAAAGAAGAAACATCATGTTTAAAGCACATTGCAATTGAATAATAAACATTATACAACACAGCTGGCACCCCAGTGATACCTTATCTGTTTACAGGAACTCTACTTACATGATCCACCACGGTGGATCATTCAACCCAGTAGTACCTCAACTAAATGTCGATGGGAAGGTAAATAGTGGTATTAAGGCATTCAAACATAAGGGAAGTATTCAGATGCGTAGGAAATCAAGATTTCCTCGACCAGCCTTGTCCACTACATATGGCCACATATAGCAGGGAGAGTATCGCTCAAAAGGCTTTTGAGTCAGACCACGACAACAAAACTCAAGTAAAACAATCGCCAGAATGATGTGAGGAATTCTGTAAACACAAAAGCAGATCCACAAAGGTCTGATATGATGTGAAATATGTAAAACAAGGAAACTACATATAGATGGTTTACCTGCAAAAGTGCAGCAATTGTACCAAAGGAGTTCCACAGCAATGGAGCCAAATCCTGAAATAATTCCCTCTTCTGAAAACATCAACACAGGAAAACACGAGTTTGTTAGGAACATTTGCACAGCACCTCATCAAGAAATGTACCACCTCTGGCTTACAAATGCAGGTACATCTATCCAATTGACTGCAGTCCTAAAGCTAGGAAAAAAGATTGACAGAACATTTAACTTAAATACTAATGTCATAAAGAAACTTCCATTTACATACTTGCTTGTTTTTCATAGAAGCAAAGTACATAGTCAAACTAGTTCCGCTATGATAGATTAGAGGCCCCCACCCGCACAACACAAATGGGTACCGCATTGTAACAGTAACTCCATAGAGTATCAACCTCCAATAGAACAACATAATTCAAACTTTGCAGGCATAAGAGCAGCATCATTTAACCAAATGCATTCATATATATCAACAGACCCGGACAATCTTTCTTAAGGCATCAAGAGGAATCCTAAACCACTACTTAAATGCACTCTACTTCAACAATAGAGGTTTTGTGTCCCAATTCAAGATCAACTGGATTACATGTCCTAGGGTGCACTGCACTACAAGAATCAACGAGACGATGTTCTAAAAACATAGAATATCCAAAGACATTTTAATTTTAGCACAAACTAGAGAGGCATAACCCGTTAATCCATACTTAACATTCAAAGCAGCTAGAGCTCATTGAAAGTAGCAGGCACTTAAGGAAATGAACTGAAGCCAGCTGGCAAGCTCGCATTTCAATTATTCCGAAGAAAGCTTTGAGGCTAAGAACTTCTGGACAAACTGCAAGTTAAGTGAAATGAATCACTATGGAATTATGCATACGGACTCTTAAGACATGCAACAATGATCAAAAGAAATAATTCTACTACTCACGATTTGGGAAGAAAAAAGATACCCATTGAAGAGACGGTCACATTTAGCTGTAGCCAACAAAGATGGCTGACAGACAGTAAATTCCTAACGGGTTTCTTCCTCTTTTTTCCCTTATCCTTTTGCAAGTGAACGAGTGAGACGCCACGGAAGGATACTAAGGTGAACAAAATAAATAACTAAGGCAATTGAAAGTTAAGAACTTCACAAAAGCGAGCAAACCATAATGTGGCAGTTGATCTCCATACTCAAACCTAACGAACTCAACAAAGAAACTAGGGGATGAAGAATAAAACCCTCGAAACTATTAACCAAAAACAAACGTGAAGAAAGAAAGAAAAAATTCACGGGGATCACCTTAGAGAGCTCGAGAAGAGCGTTCTCTCGAAGGTCGGGGTTGCTCAGCTCGAGAACCAAGTGCTCGGCAGACGCCATTCTCCGTTCCTTTCCGGCCGGCGCTCCTGCGGCGCCAGGGTTAGGGCCGCCAGGTCCTCCGAAGGGAGCATTCATGGAGAGCGAATTAGGAAGGTTCGCCATTTTCCTTTCCCTCCAAAAGAAGCAGAGAAAACCTGCCCCTGACTGATTCCCCTCCTCTGTATCGAGCGATTCTCGCCGGCGGACTCCGATCGATGGGTTATAAATGCAAATCGCGATTGCTCCTGAAATGAATTGAATTGGAAGTTCATGTATGTGAATTGAATTGTGGGATTGAGTTTCTCCTTATGGTGGTTTTCATTTTTGGAAGCATACGAGACACGTGCTGTACATGCGCGTGGGATTTGAACACTTGTTTGCGTTTTCCGTTTTTTTGGGTACACACTACAAGGCCACAACCGTTTTGCTGGCGGAGCGGTTGCATATGGGCCAGCAATACACGGGGTCTAGTGATGGGCTTTCGGCCTATATGTAACTTGGGAACCTTTATCCACGGCCCACCTCAACTGAGCCTCGGAAGTCAACATTCACAAATCACAGCTGAAATATCTACACTATATATTACTAGCTTATAACCCGGCTCGTTGGCCGGAACGTTTATATTTGATTATTTATAATTTTACGTTAAGTTTAAGTCTATCAACCCGTTTAAATGGTTTAATTATATATAGGTCGAAACTCGAAGAAATACCAACATCATTTAAGAATATAAAATAAAAAAAATTTATAATTGATTTCATTTTCATAATGATAATATTATTAGTTGATAAAAATAGAATATAAAAGCTCAATGGAATTACCACACGACCCATATATAGTTTGAAAGTGAATCTAAAACCTCACAATCCTACATAAAGGTTGCAATGCTCTCCTTTTAGGAACAACATGCCACTAATAAAAAAAAATCGAGAGTTATTGGTTCAAGTATACTATATACTACAAACTTAACTAAGAGGGAACCATCAAAACTTGAGAGCAAACGACAAAATTAGGGTTACCTCCAATATACTAATAGACTTGATCAAAGTCATAAGACACAAAATTAGACACTCATTTTCTATCAGTTTCAGTAGGTTGAATAAAGAATCGACCTAATTCAGTAAATCAATCAATTATTTCTCGTTTTAAGATAGAAATAGGATGTGGTAGCTGCAAAAACCATAAACCTAAAGAGCCAATAGCCACCACTCTCCGTTGAACGACCAAAATTTTATCCACTCTATCTTTAATCTCAAGAGGCATATGTTCCAACCAAACAATTCCATTTCTGCTACTTTGATGGACCTTCTCTCCGTGACCCTCAATTTCTCTTCCAATTGGGGTTCTTGTCAACTCGCTCTTCAACTCCTCAATCTTCTTCTTGTGTTTTGTAACTCATCTTCCTCGGGGCAGTTGTAATAAGTTCGCTAAAACCAACACTCATCTCTTGTTCCATCAATATGTTCATCTCCCCCTTGTCTGCCTTCACCCGCTTCAGTCCACTTCCTTGCCCTTCAATAACCTCTCCATTTTCATTAATATCCTCATCATCTCTCACTTCTCTCTCGTTAACTGCTCCAGTTTCGCTTCCATGTCTTTCAACACTCTCCTAAGTTCATTCACTACCCTCTCCAACTCCCTCTTCTCTGCCTTCACCTGCTGCAGTGGAACTTTACCCGTTACTAAATCCAAACACAATTTCTTCCCTCCACCACTTTCATTCTCAAACTCAATTCCAACTCTTCTAATCCAAGTTCAAATTCATAACTACTTGATTGAACTTCATTCTATTCGTCATGGATTGATATTGGATTTGAAATTTTCTATTTGCACAACTTAAATCCCCAAAATAAAACTATCCTGCCAAGAGAAACCAGAAGATTAATTTTCAAATGCGCCCTTGTACTCGAAAGTGAAAGGGCCAAATTATTGCACGATGGAGGGACTTTCGAAGTAAATTATAAAGAGATAAGAACAAAGATAAAAAAGCACAAAATTTAAATTTAAATTGAAAAATGCAATGACACAACACGTAGAAAAGAAATAGTTTCTTCCATATTAGCCAATTACAAATTTGCCTAAACGAAAATTAAGTAGAGCATGAATTTTAAAATGGATAAAATTACATGAAACTCTACTATGGACATTGAAGTATTAAGCACCATAAAAATATATACGGTAGACTTAGTGGGCTTGTTGATCATGATGTAAAAGTCATTCACTTTCCAGAGTTTAACTTAGTGTATGTTTTGTATTCAAATAAAAACAACAAATTTGTTTAGTGTAATTGGTTATAATTGTTGTCTTTGTTTGAAGAGACCCGGGTTCAAATCTTGATGTTGATATTTTTTATTTGAAATAAATCATTAATTGTAAAGACAAAAATGTCCTTCCTACTTTCACTCTCGTTGCAGAAAATTTGAAATGGAGAAAATTACACAAAACTCTACCATATATTAATGGAGGATGACAATTCAAAAGTAACTTCTTGTCACATAAGCACTTGGAGAATTCACAAGTTGTCAAGGTGGACAATTTTTTTGCAAACAAAAAATATAATTATTGATCTATTTATGATACTATCTCTCTCTTCTTTTAATCCTTCTACTCATGTTTACTAAACATTAGTAATAAGTTACATATTGATGAAAATGTAAGGAAACACACATAAGCAATAATATTTATGTCAATTAAAAAAATATAAAATGAAAACAGTGAGTGACATATATTGCATTTGTTAAAATTAAAAAATATATTATATTTTATCAAGTAAATTTTCTACCCATTTCACTAAAACCTAAATAATAATTTCATTTTGATGAACAAGTAAAGAAGTACACACACAAATAATATTTTTTTATCGATTAAATAAAATATAGCGATAAAAAGAGAGAAAACAAGCGTTTGACAATCAATCGACTTTGATAATGACTTGACTGCCAAGGTGGTACTCCCGTCCCACCCAAGATTTTCTCGGATGAAGCAACTAAATTGGGCCTTACGTGGGCTAACACGATAGCAGGCCGAGCCCGACTTCCCGGGATGGCAACATCTCTTCGTACCTTATATGGATTTGGAAGGGGTAGCAATCCGAAGTTGGCGTCCGAAGTTGGCGTTGGAGTCGGCCGTCTGTTGTCCCTCTATTAGTTTCAATTCCTCACCGAAGTCTGAAGGAGCGGTAGAAATCCGAAGTTGCAGCAGGGCGGGTGGAATTTGGATTGTTTAATTTTGTTTTAGGTGGAGACCGGTGGCCAATGAAGTTGTATGTCGCTCAACTGAAACCATTCATCACTTATTTAGTTATTCCAGCCTAACAATGTTTTCTTTGATTTCACTAATAGTGTAGACCAATCTTGCAATTTGTAATATTAACAATTGATTTAAACGTGTAATATGATCAAGCTACTCAACTTTCAACGACATCACATGTATTTAGCTTAGGAGAGACCGAGAGAGATATCGGGGTTCGATTTTTCTGGTTAAATGATAATTTGAACCGTTTCATCGTTTATGATATGGGATTTAAAACAATTGTTCTCACCACTTTTTTTTTTTGTTTAATTGGGAAACCAATAACAAACTAAAAAATTTCACTTTGCTTGAAGATTTGCCCTTTGTTTAATATTCAATTTCGAGTTCAAGAGGATACATTTATAAAAAATTTATTTTTGTGACTACGTGCAATTTAACAGAAATGATATTCCACCTCTACATTTGGGCCTTTTAGGCACTTTTGAAATGGATGGTAGTGTGCCCTTCGGTTGGGATTGGAAATGGGAGGGAGAGGGGACATTATCGTACAAATTAGTGAAATGGCGGGACGAATTATATTCATCTATGAATGAATAAAAATATTATTATTACTAGCACTGGGCTTGGCCTGTTGGCCGGGAGAGTTTAGCCGAAATAGTTCAGAAACACCAAGACAAATTATCAAACTATGCATAATGTGTCACAATATAATAGAAAGAGTAGAAAATTTATATAACCTTAAATAGAATGCAACTAAATGGTCTTTGTCTATTTATAATTGAGGTGTGCTACTTAAGTAAACTATATAGTTGATTATTGGAGTTGTTTCCCATGATACATATGTAATCAACCTTTAGAATGTTGTTGTAGTGTTTTCCCCAATAGAAATCATTATTGTTGATTAGAACACGGGTGATGGATCTGAAGTTTGCAGGCTTTGAAGTATATAGAGCACGATTCAAAGTTTTCACTAACCCTCATATCATAATGTGAAAATTGCCTTACAACAATGTATAATTTTTCTTAGAATGTATATAAATAATGAGGATGTCTAAAAAAGACCACATAGAAGATAGGGCGATGCAAAGAATGAAGAGTTAAAAATCTCTTACCATATTGGAAGAAGATAATCGAAATTATTTTATTTCTCGAATTGAACAAATACTGTCACGTTTTTTTACAACTTCATAATGTTTCACTTTAATCTTTGTTTCATTACCCTTAGTATGGGAAAATAAGTGAATATTCCAAAGGTTATTGTTTGTGACTACCATTATATCTATATAGATCAAGACATTTACTTACAACTTTAACAAAGAGTGCAGTCAGGTGCGGATCTTGGAATTACACCAAGGGTATTCAATAATGAAACAAAAGTATCAAGGTCTGCCTCCACTAATTACACCAGCACAGATCTGCCCTAGATGCAATAGAAGATAATTCAAGTTAAATTTGGAGGTCGCAGAAGACATTAATTCCATCAGTTATTCGTTGTTGATTGTCATTGACTCCTAACTTTTCGTTGACAACTTCATCTCCTTCGATAAGTTCGATTCTATAACGTATTATAAACGGTTACAACACATACATAATAATCAAACTCTCCTGGCCAACAGGCCAGGCCCTGTGCTAGTTGTAGAAATAACTGTTTCGCAACAAGAAATGTGAACATTAGAAACAACAAATGGAGAGAAGAGAGAGCTTCTTCGTTCAGAAGTACCAACACATTGTAGAAATAACATACATATGATTTTACAAAGTATTATAATACAAATGACTACCTCTTATTTTGTTGAAGAAATTGCACATTCTTTTGGTATTTAAATTGAAAATAAAATTTCAAATTAAGTTTTGAAAGCGACTTTTTAGAG